GGTTAACTTTCGATAGCCAGAGCTTGGCCGAGATCAAGAGATTTCCGTGAATTAGAAAACACGAGGCGACCTAAGCATCTAGAAAGGGCTGGCAGAAGACAATTTTTTCTGCAGGCATACACAGGGCCAAACCTGCAAATGGTAGTTCATGGACGGCGTCAGCGGCGCTCAAGACCGTTGCGGCGGGCAGTTAGCATTGTGGGAGGGGAACGAGGGGAACGAGGGGAAAATCCCCTACTGACGACAACGTGGACTGCAAGTTTGAGTCAGTCTGGCGGGCTTGACATCGGTGAAATCACGACTCTAATAAAGGTCTACAAAATGTATGTCTTGTCAATTGTCGAGACCATTTCTTCGGGTAGTCTGGCCCTGGCTAGTGTGGTTGAATTTTCTTTCCGGGAAACTGGGGAGCGAACCGGTTCTTTCGGGGTCGCCACGGCAGTCGCTTTATCAATCCACGGGCCCGTGAATCACTGGAATGCATTAATGCAGCTAAATAAGCTGCCAGTAACAGGAAATGTGAGCCGTTCGTGTGGCGGCTATATCTGCTAGGTTAATGTCTAGCTGCAGGACCTGGGTAGGGGGGCTCAGAAAAAAAAAAGCGCGTTCCTGGAAATCTGGCAGCTGGGGGGAATTCATCCAATCGCGGGGGACCAACGATGGTGGCTTTCAACTGGCGGCTGCATACTGCAGGAAAGCACCTATAGTACCTCAGCAGCAACTCCAGGATCTTGGTTACCAACCAGATTTAAGGCCCGGCTGTTTCAGAACAAGCACGGGTCAAAAGCCTCATTTGTTCATGTTCCCGCTGTTCTGTTTCCATGGCCATCATATTGGCCTAGGTAACGGGAGTTCTCACTGGTTCTGGGCCCTGCGCCCCGGAGGAATGCAAAAAGCCCCAGGGGCCAACCAGTCAGCATTGGTGCCGCGAGCCCAAGTGGGCAGGTCAAGATATTGTAAAATTGCACAACGAAATGTCCTTATACTATGCAGACGGAAAAAAACAACAGTCTTTCCATAATTACGAATCTCATTCCATGCCATAGTAATTGGTGCGACAAGGTTTGGACAACAACATGGCCAGTTGGTTTATTTGACACTGTCCGTCTCCTGTAGTATGAGTAGCAAGGACGCAGTGGCCCGCCCGGTAGGCGTTAGCGGTAAGCCACATCTGGATCTTTGCAGCGGGTCGGCCAACATCCCATGAAGCATAATTGTGATTTCTAGAACTCCATGTCACTACAGGTAACATATTTGCTGGTGCCAGGCAATTTTTGATGCCAGCTTAGCTTTCAGAGGTCACTGCACGGTACCTTGGCTTGTGTACATAGTAGAGTACGACTAGGAAATGGCAGATCGGACTGAGACAACCGAACGAAAATGCTTGGCACTGGGCTCGTTACATCTTGCATTGAACTTTTCATCTGTTTTCGTCTCATTTCCCAACGCTGCGCACACAGAGACGGTATTTGACAGACGCCTATAAACAATAACAAACATACAAATGAGCACAAGAATAAAATAATGACGTGTGAGAGTATTGCCAATTTTAGAATGTTTATTAAGCAGCAGGATGCGCGTCCACAGGTATTCGTCTGCCAACCCACGGTAGCATATCCATCGGTAAGTTATGGTAAGCTGCAGCACCTTGTACGCGAAATACCTCAGTAAGCCTCACTCAGCTCTTTCGCATTACATCACATCATTCTTAGCGATCCTTTGCCCCCCTGTCAATCCCGAGCGCCTTCAAAGTTGCGATTGCCTTCGACTAGTCCCTTGGCGCGCGGCGTACCTGCATATAAGAAACGCTCTAGCAGGGGTGACAAGCAGGGACCAAGCCGCTGTCCCCTCTTTGGGCGCCGACCCCGACCCCGACTACACACGCTGAAAGATGGAGGGATGCGTGGGAAAGGGGAAACACAATTTTGACATTGGATGAACGTGCAACAGCCCGTCGGTTCGCACGAGGCCGAGAGCTCATACTTTGTATCTACACAGCAGGCAGAATCCTGTGTCATGTTTCTGATCAACGGCCACTGCTTTTCACTCTTGGCAAGGTGGAGGATGCGAATAAGCTTGATTTCTTTTGGGAAACAGATTGACGGTGCCATGCAAACGTAGTCTTGTCGGATGCTACGCTACATGTAGGATGAACAAATTGAATGCTTCTGGCCATTGTAGGACATGCGCACGCTCCCGATGTCTGCCGTGACCAACGGCAATGAGGGAATCGAGATGATCTTGGAGACTTGGGCCCAGTTGATGTCTCCAAGATCTGTTTGTCGCCGGGAGCCCATATCCTAGGCGCCGACACTCCTGGAGCCAAGAGGGCATCCTGGTTTGGACGCATTTCCAACAAGGTCACTGGGGCAACTTTTGGATATATATATTTACATTACTTACTATAAAGATATTATACTCGGTTCTTTATTCACCAATGGACGACCTCTACAGCTAGTTGGACAGGCATTTGCCTAGTTGTCATGATCCACCCAGCGATTACGTCGTCGTCGAAACCATGGGGGCTTTCACTACATGAAAAGCTGCAGCTGTGGCTATAATAGTATTTGCCTCATGATCGATACTGCTTGGTAAATTCATCACGGCATGCATATCCGCGACTCTATCGGCGAGGGATACAATCCCGCCGCCAATGACTGTTGCTACCAGGAGAATGAGTATTTCCGTCCTGACCGCTGCCGTCCACCCACTGATGGAGAAGATATGATCTTGTGACTTGGTTCTCAACGCATGCACGTCAAGAGAGAAGCGCCCGCTTGTTTTACCATTGACTCGGGGCCTCAAAAGCAGTACCAGTGGCGTAGTTCGTGCCTGCGCACTTGATTTTGCAAGACACACCCCAGGTCAGCTTTGGCTCCGTCTGCTGCCCTAGGTTAGGTATTCATTAACCCAGGTCCACACGCATTGCACATCCCGGCGACCCCAAATGATCGTCGGCCGGGTTTGTGACGTGGTAACAGACAGGGTAGTTGAATTGAAGGGGCCCGCCATATAATCCCACGCCTACTACCTCCAGCCTGAGCGACTAGAAGCATTGATTTCGACCTTCTTCGCTCGGAATGTCTGTTTGTGTGTCGTTTGGTCGCGACTTTTTGCTCGGTATTTTGAGGCTTGCATGGCTGCTCCCCCTCACATGTAGCCTTTTGCTTCCCGTATTATACTATTTTTCCAATACGAGCAAAGTTGAATATCATTTCCCAGACAGTGAAGCAGCACCCTGTCTGCTAAGACTTTTTCTTAATGGTAGTAGCGGGGAACCCGCGCAGGCCCCAGTGATGCCAATCAGAATTACCCACTGTCAGGTCCATTTGCTTCGTGTTCTGAAGCCTCTCCAGATGGCTGTGATCAGGCCGGTCAAAGTACCAGAGGTAAAATGCATGTGTGCCAATACCAACCAATCAGTAATGAATGGTCTTTCGTGTTAAAGCATATATAGTGTTATTTGGTGGTCGCTGGCAGTGGTACTTCGAGCATGTCGAGTGTCAATTTCATGGGGTATGTACCTTATGTAGTAGCCGGACGGTAATTAGTAGACTCACCCCACCTTCCCTGGTAACGAAACAAATGCGCAAGACTCGTTCGCCCCGCTAGCGACTCAGTAAGTTTAATTCCACCTCCGTCATCCACCAACAATAGTGTACCCGTTCTCACTCACATTTTCCACTTTCTTCACCTTTCTCCTGTTCTCTGTTTTTTTTTTGTTCACCGACCTCACACCACAATTCCCTTACCCCCTGGGCCTGGCCATCTTGTTCTCGGGTACACACACACTCCTTGTCGCATACCAGTCATTCATTCGGTTCATCCATTCATTCTCTGGCGTGCCCGAGCTCACTCGATTCACTCCTTCCCGTCCCTCATCTCCACCATCCAGGTCTGTCCGCCGCCTTTGGACCCACACCCCCCATCAAACAAGTCAACCCGACTTTCTCTCAAAACCCACCGGCGCGGCCAGTCTTTACGGTCTCTGACTCTCTTTTCGTTCCATCGTGTTCAAGACCTTCTTCTGTTTTCGTCAGGTCCAACCACCTTCACACACTCTCCTTAAACCAACTACCCGCCTTGGCGCATATTCACTCCTTCAAATACAGCAAAGGAATCTTTCTTCCGTCAGCCTATTTCTCCCTCTCGTCCTTGACCTTTCCTGTCGTCGGCGAGCCAACGCAAGGGACATTTCTTTTCGCTGCCATTCATATCGACCAGTTCGACCTTGTCACTCTTTCCATTTGGACGCAAGTCGCCCGTTTCCATCTACGGAATTTCGCAACAGACCTTGAATCGGCTTGTTCGACCCCCGAGGCACAGGTTCCTGCTTCGTCCAATCCCTTCGAGACTTCACGATCCCGTCAAACCAGGACATTGATTCTATTCGAGATTCCTTGTCAACCAAGACAAATCTGTTGTCCAACCACACTCGCTGAGGTCATCTGCAATCACTTTACATTGCGTCGTTCATCGTCACCCCGCCGGACCCGGATAAAAGAGCCACTTCGCATCTCGTGAAGTTTGAGAACAGCCAATTCACCTCGATCAGGAATTCACACTCAAGGTATGTTTAACTTCTCACAAATCTGGCGCCACCACTATTTGCCCATTACCCAACCTGTTGTCGATCATTATCTCTTTCTGGGGAAGGGCCATTGTTACTCTCTATCAACCTGGTCAAGAGGTCGAGCGCACACAAAGCTTGAAACGGCAACAAAGAATGGAACTCATGGACGACTGTCGCCATCAGACAATAGACACAAGTCTAGATTCATGTGGATGGACACTTGTTGGTCATTGTCTCTCGAGGTCCTTCCCGCTCATAACAACAAGACCCCCGGCGTCACAGCCTCACATCCGGCCCTGGTATCACCGTTTGTCATTCATTTCACGGCAGCGCATTCTCATTCATAATTTCACTTTCACTTATGAATAGCTGGCTTACTTTCTTACTAGACGTTCCTTTATCTGCGAAACAGCTCAGTCACTTCAAAATGAAGTCATCCATTTTCTTTGCCGCCACCGGCGCCATGATGGCCATGGCCACTCCTCTTGACAAGCGTGTCATTGTCGAGACCGAGGTTGTCGTCGAGTACACAACCCAGACTGTCACGGCTGGCTCTGAGCCTACTCCTGCCGCTGCCAACGCCGCTTTCGTCAAGGGCGACAAGCAGAAGGAGCAGCCTGCTGTGGTCTACACCACCACCACTGAGGCCGCCCCTACGCCCGAGGTCGTCTATGTTACCGAGACCTACACCTACGGACAGGCTGCCGCCGAGACCACTGTCGAGACCCCGACGACGACCCAGGCTGCCGTTGTTATTCAGGAGACCACCGAGGCTGCTGCCACAACCGAGGCTGCCCCTACGACCGAGGCTGCCGCCACCACCTATGTTGCTGCTGCCACTAGTAGTGCTGAGGAGGCAGCTGCCTCGCCCTCTGACATGGCCAGCACTGCTCTGTACGCCCACAACCTGCACCGTGCCAACCACTCGGCCCCCTCAATGGAGTGGCTCGACGAGATTGCCACCTATGCCGAGTCCACCGCCAACACCTGCAAGTTTGCCCACGACATGTAAGTTCCACGTCCTTGTGTACCATGATGATATTTGTACTTACAATCTCTCAGGACTCAAGGATCTGGAAACTATGGCCAGAACATTGCCATGTGGGCCACCTCTGACAACGCTGAGGCTCTTGGTGCTGCTGGTGCCATTGGTATGGCTAGCCACGACATGTGGTACAACGGTGAAGTCGGCCTTTTCCTGCCTTCTTACTACGGCGAGGCCACTCCCGACATGTCCAACTTCGAGGCTTGGGGTCACTTCTCCCAGCTCGTCTGGAAGGACTCCACCCAGCTCGGCTGCTACGCCAAGCTCTGCGCAAAGGGCACCATGTACACTGACATGGACGCCTGGTACATGGTCTGCAACTACAGACCTGCTGGTACGTCTCCATATTCTTGCTTCCCTCGTTATCCTGTCCTAACTTGATTCCCAGGCAATGTCGGTGGTAGCTACGGCGACAACATCCTTACCTCCCTGGGTGAGGCCACTGTCACCAACTAAACTCCTTCATCATCCGTACTCCAACTCGGTCTCGAACATGTCTTGCAGGGCAAGGAGGCTATGATGAGCCTGGAGCGAGTCAAAGAGCTTGCCTCTTTCTTCTTGTAGTGTGTAAATTTTATACACGACTGTCTGTTTTATCAACGAACATTTGCACCGGCCCTCTTCTTGTGATCAGCAGGATCACTGGGGATTCTTGTGCACTCTGCGTTTCTATTTGACGATGACGACTGGATGCAGTCAACGACCAAAACAACCATGGCGTGTTTCCGGCTTGGAGGGCACTTGCGCACCAGCATCTTTCCACATTTCGTTGCCAAACTTTGAAGTGGTGTATTTGCAACCTGTATCTTTCGACCGACCTGCTCTAGGTTCATGGGTACTTGAGGGTCTTTCAACAGAAAGATTCTTGAGCCACGCATCATCGCGCGCGTCATTTATGGGAGGGAAGGAAGCATCTTCATCATTCGAGTTTCGGCCCCTCTTCTCGACTTCTTCAATTCTTGTATCTAGGCTCCTTTCTGCATGGCATGTTCCCCCGAGACTCGATATTGATGGATGCCGCCGGCCTTTGTTCTCGATAGGTTCATTTGTTTCCCACACTGGATTTGGCGTAGAGGCGAAATCATTCATTCGTACGAGGAATGATGCCCGCGAAATGGCTTGAGAATATAGGGTTAGGCTTTGTGCATTGTCTTTTTCGCAATGTGTTTTCGCAATCAGAACATGATTCACCAAATTTCCTGTGCCAATACTCGCGTGTTAATCTGTGATGAATATATCGGCAGGCATAGTTTGCAGAAATGACTTGTTGATTATGCATACGTATCATGTCGGTGCTCTGGCATTATAATTTTCTTTGCTGCATAATACAGTAGGTGTGGAGAACTTATGATGGTTTATGATTTCACACCGAGTTAGCTCTAGTAATATGCTCTTTGGTCTCCAACTTGACTATACACTTGCTTTTAGGTGGAGGTGACATTGGCGGACGGACATGACTACTATTTTGCCGGGTCGATCAAGGGTATCTCGTTCAACTCTTCTCGGGTGGTTTTTCTGTGCAGTATTGATTGGCAACTCAAAGCGGTATTTGAAGAATAACTTTGGAATGCTTCATGTTTCCTTCCCAACCAGTTTTCAGATGAGCTTCACTCTGTGTTGCTCGTCCAGTCAAGTGGCGAATTTCGACTTGCTTTTCTTGAGCCCGCAACAACGTCACATTTTCTCTAGCAGAGATCTACAATCACTTCATATTTTTTCAGGCACACAATGAAACACAAACGCGTACTCCTACACAATTGAGGGTCTTTTAAGGTGCTCATCGGGTGGGAACCTTCCGTGAAGTGGAGTGCGAGAGGTGTATACCTGAAGCTTAATGGTGGATTATCTTATATGAACCCCCCCTGGAGGATGGAGCATGCCAAGACATTTGAGCACTCAGCAATAACATTGCCCAAGGCCATATAAGTGACCAGCAAGACGACTAGAATACGTGGAACTTTCTCTGTCAAGGAGAAATTGATCGGATTACTGGAATCACAAAATGAAGAATCTGGTGATACTAACCCTTGGGTTCGCCATTGCTAGGGCGGTTGGGGAGCCTGCGCCTGCGCCAACACCAGCGCCAGATCCAAGGAACGCGGTGGCCAGAAGAGCAGACACATCATGCACGTATAGCGGCTCAGCTGGCTACTCGTCTGCTAGTGAGTCAAAAGCTGCCTGCTCAACCATAGTCTTGTCTGCTCTCACTGTTCCGGCTGGCGTGACCTTGGATCTAGAAGACTTGAATGATGGCACCACTGTGAGTAGAATTCCAACATCCATGATTGACAATTTGCTGACGAGATTCATAGGTTGTCTTTGAAGGAACTACAACATTTGGGTACAGTGAGTGGTCTGGGCCTCTTTTCTCCGTGAGCGGCAACGACATTACAGTCCGTGGAGAAGCCGGTTCGATATTGGACGGACAGGGTGCACTCTATTGGGATGGCCAAGGGGGCAGTGGAGGCGTAACCAAGCCAAAGTTCTTCAAGGTACGTGCTATTTGGCAGGACAGATGACAAGATACACTTGACATCTCTGCCATTCGAACCTATTCTTCAACTTGAGGAGAAGCGTGCTGACTAATGCCAAACAGGCCAACAACTTGAACGACTCGCTTTTAGACTCCATCACCATTCAAAACGCGCCCAAGAATTCTTTTAGTCTCAACTACGTTTACAACTTGACCGTAAAGGACATCACTGTGGACGACAAGGCCGGTGAAGAGCTGGGAAAGAATACAGACGCCTTCAACATCAACAACGCAGACGGTATCTTGATTACAGGAGCAAAGGTCTGGAATCAGGATGACTGTGTGGCCATCAACTCTGGAAAGAACATTGTTTTCGAAAATGGCTTCTGCTCCGGTGGGCACGGACTGTCTATAGGATCCGTCGGTGGGCAGACCAACGATAATGCTGTGCGAAACGTCACATTCCGCGATTCTGTCATGGAGAACTCGCAGCAGTCGGTGAGAATCAAGACCATTTCAGGAGCCAATGGAACAGTAGATGGCATCACCTATAGCAACATTGCCATGAGCGGAGGCGACGATTATGGCATTATTGTAATGCAATCCTATAACGGCGTCGACGGCGAACCTACAAACGGAGTCAGCGTGACCAATTTTGTGCTTCAAAATGTCACTGGTACGGTACAAAGCGACGCGGTCAATATCTATATTGAGTGCGGCGTGGGCAGCTGTTCCGATTGGACCTGGACAGATGTTCATGTCACTGGTGGAAAGAATAGCACAGACTGCCAGAATGTGCCAGAGGGTATATCGTGTTAGGATAAAATTGTCGAGAAACCAGCGCATCATAAATCTGTTATGGGCGTGCTACTAGATCTTGAAGTCTTTTGTATTTAGACAGTAGTGTCAGGACATTCAAGAACATACATGGCACTAGATGAGAGAACTTTCCAAGGACAAGCAGTCGTCGAGCCAATACATGTCCATTGACTCATGTGTTCGTCTCTGCTTGCACAAATTGATATCCAAGGTTTGCTGAGAAATGGGAGGTCGATAATTGTCTTAAGTATCCCATCAAGATATTTAATTTAAGGCGGGATTAATGAAGTGAGGGTTCAAAAATAACCGAGTCAAAGTCTTTTATCTGATTTGAATGTATACCGCATTGCCCATAGAAACCTGAAAGAATTTTGCATATTGGCTGCATAAGTCTGTGTACATGCATTATTGAGGGGCTGTCAAGCTTGCTACCCCACCATAAGTCCAGCAGAGGGAAGGAAAAAAAAAAGTTGCCATCGCTTGATTATCAAGCACCGATTATCTCAGCGTTTGCTTCTAGCAATTTGCCCGGTCACATAAAAAGCCAAACACCAATATTTTCTGATCATCTCCTTCCTTTGGGATCGAGCCAAAGATAGTTGTGTAATCGGAACACCCCTGAGTACTACACTTGTTTTCAGTTTCACAATATCCGCCATGTCTGCCCCGCACAACAACGACGAAATCGAGGATGCGCCCGAGATGCTCGATGTCGATGATGCGCTCGAAGAGGTCGAGGACGCCGAGGGCGACATTGCCATGGACTCGGACGACGAGCCCGAGGAAATTATTCTCCAAAACGACAGCATAGCCTACTTTGACCTCCACAAGGACTCCGTCTTCACCATTGCTCAGCACCCAACTCAACCCTCTCTGATTGCGACGGGCGGATCAGAAGGTGAAGGTGAGGATGCGCCCGGTAAAGGCTATGTTTTCGACACTAGTTCCATCGCTGGCAGACCTGTCCTTCCTCCCAGCTACAACTCCGACCCCAATGCGACACAGCAAAAGAGCACCGAACTGACGCCCCTCTTCGAGATTGACGGCCACACGGATTCGATCAATGCGCTCGCTTTCACACTTCCGCGAGGCCAGTACCTGGCATCAGCAGGCATGGATGGAAGACTCAGAGCCTACCAGCTCTCCATCGATGCCCGAAACAAGGCCACCTTCACTTTTGTGGGCGAGGCACAAGAGGTTCCCGAGATCAACTGGCTGTTGCCCTGCCCTTCGGCACAGTACCCCAACACGGTAGCATTGGGTGCCTCTGATGGTTCGGTTTGGGTGTACACCATCGATGCTTCCGACTCTTCCAACCCGCTCCAGATTGTGCAGAGCTACTTCATGCACCCCGAATCCTGCACAGCTGGTGCATGGTCCGCCGACGGCACGTTTCTCGCAACCGTAGCCGAAGATAGCTCTCTACATGTGTGGGATGTTTGGGGCGAGGCCGCTGCCAAGGGCCTTACCAACGAGAACGGCCAAACGGTGGTCTCTCTCACTGGTGCTGACCAGCGCTTCGAGGTTGAAGGTGGTCTGTACTCAGTCGCTATCGACCCGAGAAACGCCTTTGTTGCAGTCGGCGGAGCTGGCGGAATTGTCAAGATTGTTGCCCTGCCGCGGATAGGCAATGCGGCAGCGACACAGGCCCAGCCGCAATCCAGCAAGCAGAGCAAGGCCAAGGCCAAGGGCGGTGAGGCGAGCGGAAGTCAGGGTGGTGCTATTCTGGCCAGTCTACAATCACAGAGCGACGGAATCGAGACCCTTGCCTTCTCCCCTACTCAAAGCCTGCTCGCCGCGGGCAGTGTTGATGGAAGTATCGCCATTTATGACACCGCCAGGAGATTTGCTGTGCGAAGACATATCAAGGAGGCCCATGACGAGTTCAGTGTTGTCAAGGTCGACTTTGTTCAGGGAAGTGGTGATGGATGGCTGCTGACCAGCTGTGGCATGGATGGTGTCTTGAAGAGATGGGACGTCAGAGGCGCAACCCCGAGCGGCAACGTGAGCTCGGCGAGTGCGGCTGGCTTTGTCAAGGAATGGCGAGGTCACAGAGGAGATGGCGAGGGAGGTGGTATCCTTGGTTTCGTGCAAGGAGGTTCGGGCGAAAGAGTCATTACAGCTGGTGATGACGGAGTAGTACTCGTATTTGAGGCTTAATTTTCTTGATAAATTCTGGACGAAGACATGAACAAATAGACAACCACAACATCAAACATTCTCCATTGATTGGCCTTTGTCATTGGCTTTTTTTTTTTTTNTTTTTTTAATGGCATAACTCATGACTAATACTTTGCACCCAATTTCTTTTCCGCTTTCAACTGCTCTGAATCAACGACCACTACAGCCTTGCCCGACACCTTTCCGCCATGGACGAGATCGATCAGTTCCTTGATCTTGTACAAGCTGTTGAACTCATGCGTCTTGACTGTAATACCGTGCTCCGCAACCGCCTCCAACATGCTCTTGGACTCTTCCGGTGAGCACAGCAGACTACCCTTGACATGGATATCGCGAAAGACAAGTTCCTGGAAGGGAATCTTGATCTCGTCTGGCTGTGCAATCTGAACCAGAGTGCCATGCATTCTAGTGACGGCACAGCCCAGTGCAGCCGATTCCTCTGCATCTGCCAGCACAATGGTGGCATCAGCACCATCACCACCAGTGACTGCCTGTACCTCGGCAACAACTTTTGATTTTGACGTGCGTGCATCAATGACGATGTCAGCTCCGGTCTTCCTCGACAGTTCTAGGCCTTCCTCCCTAGCATCAATGGCAATCACATTCAGACCTTTGGCCTTTTTGGCAAACTGTATCCCCAGATGACCAAGACCACCTCCGGATCCCACGATGGCCAGGGATTGACCGGCCTTGAGTCCCGTCTGGAGTACGCCGCGCCATATCGTTCGGCCTGCGCATGCCAATGGCGCGGCAGAAAGCAAACTGACCTCGTTCGGGAGATGCGTTGTGTGACGTGCGTCAACCTTGACATACTCGGCGAAACAGCCATTGACGTGGACGCCGACGTGGCCGGTGATATGGGAGCAATACTGTCTATGGCTTTCCTCGGGCCCTAGGCAGTCATGACAAGCGCCGCAAGGATGTAAAGGAAGGCCGCACATGACACGGTCTCCGATCTTGAAGTCATTCACCTCGGATCCAACCAGGGTGACAGTCCCAGATCCCTCGTGGGACCCGGTCACAGGCAGCTCAGTTTCAAAGGTTCCCCCAGCCACCATGGAGTCGGTATGGCAATACGAGGCAATGGCCACCTTGACCAGAAGGTCATGGGGTCCGAGATCGGTCGGTACGGACACGCTGTTGATAACATAGGGTTTGTTGTACTCCGTTACCTGGACAGCTTTCATCTGTTTAGGAATGGGTGGCATGTTGGAACTCGTTGGTTTGGAGGTTGGTGGATGAAACAGTCTCACCACTATTGCTGCCAGGCTCTATTTTGATAGAAAAGCCCACTAAGAGACGACTGCCTCCTATCTATATACCTTGCGCATTGTCAGATATCTAGCCAATCGATGTCAATTGTGTCTTCTTTGTTCATGCACAGAGTTCGTGAATTGGCCTCCAAGAGACATATCTTGACGTCATCGCTCACATCGCCTCTAATGCCATTCCTATTGTGACTTTGTAAAATGTCTAATGCAAACACTTGACTAGGCAGGAATCAAACTCTGGACAGTTGCAAGCAATCATATTCTTGAAAAACTAAAAAGTTACCCTGTAAATCTTTTTGGACTCAGCTGACCTTGGTGCAGGACATTTGTTTTCGAGCGGCATTAAGCGGGATTCCTTGGCGCATCTGTCGTGGTTGGTGTCTCATAAAGGACGGCGAATCGCTTGGAGTGCAGGGCGACTCAGGGCAAACAAGCTCGTCAAAGCCAATTGCATGACTGTCAATACCTTCATTCTTTTTCGTGCGCAACATGGACAACTAGGTCACAGTAAGGTTGTATCAATATCTAATGCCACTCGAGTTTGTCTTTGATGCGTCACTCTGATAAATATCACGTTCTTTTATATTAAGTGCATATACTCATTGGCGGCGTGTTTGCGACAGAAACGTTTTATTCCCACTGGGAAACCAAAACTGCAGGAATGCCCCTCTTTCATGCAACTCACCGGCCATTGTCGCTGCCCTAACCACAAACGTGTAGGCGGGTGCTCTTCGTGACTGCTCTGATTGGCCAAAGCTGTACATATCAGGCAATAACGGCTCACACTACCCCGCCTTTAGCTTTTCCTGGATCAAGTAGGACCCACCCAGCCTCCAATGGAGGGGCATAATCGAGTTCTTGCTTCTGAAGGCCTCTTGCCAAAAGTCAACAGTCGGGCACAGTAACAAACGAGATGCAAGAATCCATCTCGTGAAACCCTGCCCGTCAGCCCAGCTTATTTCTTCTTCTTCTCTGCTTCAGACTTTTCCCAGCTTCTGCCACTTTGTCCTTCTTCTATTTCAGCAAGCGATCTCCTCATTTCTTTGACTTCTAGGACTGTTCCCATCAGTCCTCACACGCACAAGTTCGAGAACCCCAATCCACACACATCGGCATCAAGTCACTCACGTTTGTCACCAAGCTACCTTCAATCACACTTCACACTCTGACGCGTTACGTCACCGCCAAAATGCCTCGTGTAGGTTGAAGCTCTCCTCCAAACACGCTGCCACCATCAGCACAGTGATGATTTGCCGGCGTCCATGTCTTGCTGTCGAGACTGTTTACTAACCCATACATTGGCTGCAGGTCAAGTACATCCTTCTCGACTGCGACAACACCCTCTGCTTGTCCGAGCGCCTTGCCTTTGAGGCCTGCACCGACTTGACCAACGAAGTCCTCGAGAAGTGGGGCAAGCCCGAGCGATACACTGTCGACCAGCTCCTCGAGGACTTTGTCGGCCACAACTTCCGCGGCATGCTCGTCGGTCTCCAGAAGAAGCATGGCTTCACCATGACTCCCGAGGAGGTTGATGCCTACGTCGACCGTGAGCTCGGCGCCGTCACCGCCAAGCTGAGCGAGAAGTGCAAGCCCTGCCCTGGTGTTCCCGAGCAGCTTGAGTGGGCTAAGCAGCAAGGCTATCCCATGTCTGTTGTCAGCACTTCGGCCAAGCCCCGTGTCGTCGCCAGTGTCAAGAAGACGGGCATTGACCACTACTTCAAGGACGAGCACATCTTCAGCGCAGCCACTTCCATGGAGAAGCCCTCCAGCAAGCCCGACCCCGCCATCTACAACTTTGCCTGCGAGAAGCTCGGCGTTGCCAATAAGGATACTGTCACCGTCGAGGACAGCAAGAGCGGCGCCACTGCTGCCATGCGCGCTGGCATCCCTCTCATCGGCTACGTTGGTGTCTACGGTATTGAAGAGGGCAAGGAGAAGATGGAGCAGATGGCTAAGCTCCTCACCGAGGAGTGCAAGGCTGCTGTCATCATGTACGACTGGAAGGAGTTCCCCGAGTGCCTCAAGAAGATCGAGTCGCTGTAAGTGGACAGCCGTTGGTTGCAACGCCCCCTTTTAGTGGCCTGCCTTGCCCGGTCCAGTCAGTCCAGTCATACTTAGCGGGGTGCAGAAGTCAAAAGACGAAGCCGGCAAACATGTTATGAATCTGACGAGATGATGAAACGACAAATACACTCTACAGTAGAGATGAACACTCACTCGCGAAGTGGTGTCACTAGATAGCCTCAATAGAGCTGTACACGAAGCATTGTGAATCCGGGTCTACCTTGTGAGTGAGTTGCTTGTACTCCTTTTCTTTAATGAGTATCTGGTCCAAAGGTTGTTTTGCCGTAACCGCCAAGCTCAGCTAGAGAACCTCTCGTGGTAAACTTGATATGTCCATAAATAGTGCCCAGAATGAGGCGAGGTCGACTTGTCTTGGCTTTTTCCCTCCACTGTGGAAAACTTGTGCGCTCGCAGATCTCAAGAGAAATACATCGCGTCGGGAGGTTCGCCGTACGCAGTGTCCAGTTGTTGACGGTGCTTTTGTGTGATGACCCCCATCTACAATGTGCCGTGCGTAAGTTAGCGGCCCGGCCAAGATGCCTGGACATGGATCGTACCCAGGTAAAGGTAGAGTCGAGAAAAGGACATTCGAAAGAAAATATCAACAATGCAAACATTGATAAAGACTTTCAGTATTTTCAAAAGCGCTGTGCCAGTCAAGACTTGTTGCCTGTCAGCGCCAACTAAACAATATAAACAAGACGAATACGACTACTTCAGGTATTATACTCGGATATAAACAAGTTGAATTCGCGATCGTCGGGAAGAACCGACCGGTTTAAGATTAAGATTAAAGACAAGGTCAAGGATTATTGATCCCCGCAACTAGCATACAAGTCCGGGCCTGTTCATTACAGAATAGGTAGTGCACCACACTAGAATATGTGATGGTGCCGAGTTTCCCGCTGGAGATGGCCCCCACCGACACTGAAGCCGTCGATATGGTTGGCGGGAAGTTGAAAGAACTTCGATTTGCTGGCAGATTTTAGAGGGGGCATCCGACTACATACTGTGTATTGCTCAGGGGCTCGTATCAGATAGCCGGCCCATGGACATGGTTTGTAGCGGTACTAGTATGCACCAGTCCCCTGCGCCACTGGAGCCGTGCCAAGCCAAGTTCTAACGCAGGTCACCAACCAGCGGAATGGACAAGAAACTTGGCCGAATGCAGGAACGAAACGCCGTGTCACAGGGGGGGATATGAGATGGGGGGATATTTGGGCTATCATTTCGAAAACCGGGATGGCTTCTTCGTTCGACCAGATAGACGGACAGACAGCCAGCCAGACAGTTTGACAAGCCGTCGCCGCCTCCTATCTCGTTTGGGGACTGCCGCTTTGCGGGTCCCAGGGGGGAAAAGGGCTTTCAAGGGCTGCTTCTTTTCTTCCATCATCCGTGATTGAAAGAAGACTGCCGTGGTTCTCCTGCTTCTTGACAACAATAACAACTCCTCTCATTTTTCATTCGGATAAGGGATAACCAAAAAGACCCGTGGGCGATAAACAAAGCCATACCTACTAGGTAGTGTACTCCTGCATGAAACCCATCACATGCAGATAGACGCGCCCAGGGGGATTGTTAGAACTGCCCAGCACACCACACTCTCTTTATTCATCCGTCTGAAAGGGGACTTGCTGCGCCCAAACACCTATCTTTGACATCTGCGAGTACATATCGAGGACCTGCCCAAAAAGGTCATACACACGCATACCAGCAAATCATTACACAATAATTCGCCGCTTCGGTGCTCCTCTTTGCTGTGGTGGTCCATCTGAAACCCCTGCATTTTTTTTTTTCCCTCTTCTCGGATTTTCCCTCCCTTCTCCAGTTTCACTGGGATCTGCATCCACCTGCAGGAGTTAGTTGCTGGAGTCCTTGCATAGTTCTCCTACATACTTACCTCCCAGCATCCCGGGGCCTGGCTTTCGAACACTCTTTGTTCTTGTTTGATAGTCGTCTTTCCCTCCTTCTGCCCACTATCATTGGCATTCGCACAACGTTTACTGCGTATACGTTTTGGGCGTTTGCTGTACAATCATTACCGTCACCAATTCAAGGGACATGCGCTCGGAACAAGGGCCATTGCACTCATCTCCCTCCTCATAGCTGCGGCTTCGACCCCGATCTTGATTGATTCAAGAAAAGCTTTCTGGCCTCAACTTCCACTCATTTAAAAAAAGGAAAACCGGATAATACATTGACTAAAACGTCGAACAAAAGAACACCACTTCTCAACATGCTGCCGCGGTCGCTGTTGAGTTCAGCCACCGCGCTGTTTCTCTCATCTCTCACGTCTCCAGCAAGTGCCCAGCTATACACGGCATGTAATCCGACTTTGAAGGACTGCCCTGCCGACCCGGCTTTCGGAACTGCTCACACATTCAACTTCAATGCAACGCCGCCAACCGGTCTTTGGAACACTTCGGCAGGTTCTGTTGGTTACGACGCTGAGAATGGTGCCTCCTTCACCATTTCCAAGAAGGGTTATTCCCCAACCTTGACCTCCAACTTTTATTTCTTCTGGGGCAGGACCGAAGTCATCATGAAGGCTGCCAATGGCACAGGTATCATCAGCTCGATCGTGTACGGTAGCGACGACTTGGACGAGGTCGATTGGGAATTCAGAGGCGTTGATACGGCTATTGCTCAGTCAAACTACTATGGCAAGGGCGTCACCAACAGCAGCAGTGGCGCATCCCACACAGTCAGTGGAAATATTCAGACCGAGTGGCACAATTACACCAACGTTTGGACAAAGGACAAGTTGGAATGGTGGATCGATGGCACGCTCGCCCGTACGCTACTGCCGGCCGCCGCCAATGATTCCAGAAACTATCCTCAGACACCAATGAAGCTTTCGCTTGGTATCTGGGCTGGCGGTGACAGCAGTCAAGCAGCTGGGACAATCGAATGGGCCGGCGGTGCCACTGATTATGACGCTGGTCCTTATACCATGTACGTCAAGAGCGCCAGAGTGGAAGATTACTCGTCGGGCAAGGAATACGTCTACGGTGACCGAACTGGTGACTATACAAGCATCAAGATCACGGAGTAAGTCGAGAAGCACAGCTGCAAGAAGTTTTCAGTCCACTGTTTGCTAATAGAGGTCTCAACAGTCCCGATTCCAACTCAACTGCGGTCGATAACCTCAACAATGCCGCTACTGCAGATGACGATGAGTCGCTCAGCGAAAAGTGGGATAACTTGTCATCGGGTGCCAAAGCTGGTGTATATGCTGGAGCTGCTGGCGTCGTTGGACTGGCACTGGCTGCTTTGCTGGTCTACTACTTCAAGCAGAGACGCCGAGGTCAGCAGGAAGCTGCCACTTATGCCGCGAACCAGGAGCGAGAGCGACTCGAGCTCGAGCAGTTCAAGAAGGAAGGCAGAAACCCGGATTCGCTCGCCTACGAGGGTACAGAGTATAATGCGGCCACCATGGGCAAAACGCCAGTAGTATCGACTGCTGCGTACAACATCCCCGACTCCCGGAGCAACTCGCTGCGAAGTCTCCACGGACCTGAGACCACATCGGATGGTTGGGACCCGACCTCATCTGGAATGGGTTCGCCAGGAGCGCGGGCTGCTGCTACTGTTCCCCTGATGCAGGACTCCCCTCAGAGCCCTACCTATGGTAACCCATCCCGCAACAACAGCTACGGGCCAATGTCGCCAGTGCACCCGCAAAGTCCGGGCGGACCTCCTCAGTACCCCCTGCCAGCCTCGCCAGGAGCACGCAACATGTCCATGCCCAATCCTTCTATGAGAATGGGCTCCCCAGGGCCGCAAGCGGGAGGGTACAGTGCTATGGACAGGACGGGAAGCCCAGGTCCGATGAACCGCAGCTTTAGCTCGCCTAGAAATCCCGGCGGAGACGATGGATACTGGAATGGTGGCGGTCACAGGTGATGATGACCTTTTCGTCAAGCACAGGGGTGTATTTTTGCGATGATTGTGCAATAGGGTATAAATACGAGCGAAGCTTTGTTTCTTTATTTATTGGGGGTAACTTTGGATTTGGTGGTCGGTTTGCTGCTGTATAGAGAAAGTCCAAGAAGAGTGTTTCATTACAAGTCCGTGGGACATTTTCTAGATGATAAATTCAGCACAGGTTGCGACCTATTTTCAAGATTTGTGGTTATCAATCTCCCCCAAATTGGCGCTCCTAAGTGACCACGAGATTCGCCATCGTGAAGGTCAAGATTGCCAGGAATAAGTCGCAGCAAGTAATTTGCATGACCATCTAGGTGGAAGCTGTCGAGTAGATGCCCGTCCAAGCCTTCTAGTGGGGGTCATAGGGTCTGGACACTACAATGTACTAATCGTACACTTTACGGATCTGCTTCAAGAACATGGCTGAATAAGGTGGTAGGTAGTCTTTCTGTGACGAACTATGCCCATGAAAACTGGCTTACAAGTTCCATATGAGGATATATCTGCGCAAAGCTACTCCTCTGTCGCCAGACACAATCGCCGCCCAGCACTCAAGAGGTCTGTTGACTTGAACAGAATTTTGGATCTCCGAGCCACATCCGCGGGGAGGAAATACAACACTTGAATCCAGATCTAAGCTTCCCATTAGGGTTGTCGTGATTGGTCGATAACCTCCTGTATGCTGTCTTGGCAGCGGGTCTTCCCCGAATTGCGCCATCGCTACTTTTCTCTCTAGCGGGGCAAAACTTTTGAGAATACAGCGACTCCGGAGTCGCAAAAGTTGCGGCTATGGTAAGCAAAGAAGACGAGAAGAGTCAGTCAGGCATTTGATAATCGCCTAGAGGCAGAGGCAGACTCGGGATTTGCTTGTCTTGTCCTAGGTATAGTATGATACATGAGTTCTCCTCCTCTGACGCGATCGCTGTTCTTTCAAATTCAATCTTCTTCATTTTTGTTCTACCTGTTTAACCAAGCACAGCGCATGGGATTCCCGTGCAAGCTGTAGTAGACCTATTAAGCAATTTCTCTTTTGTTGGATTTGCAGCTTCTACATTCGCACAACTCTTTTCGTCCCTTGTTGGGTCGAGGTCGACCATGTCGTCTCAGCATATCTCTCTCCTCACAGCGACCGACGCCCGATCCCATATACATCTCGTTGTTGGCTCGAACCCACTGGCTGCGGCCCGCTGCACTCAGTCGCTGAGCGTAGGCGCATTACCAATACTGCTCGCTCCCGAAACAGCAGAGCTGCACTATACTCTACAGAAACTCATTGATGATGGCAAATTGAAACGGATCAGCAGAACGTTCGAGGACGGCGATCTCCTCTCACTGGGCAGAGAAGAAGTAAGCCATGTTGTGGATGCTGTCTTTGTAACCTCTGCACCTCGCGACTCCCAAAGCGCACACATTGCGACCTTGTGCAAGCGACATCGCATCCCCGTCAACGTCGTTGACTCGCCCCAACTCTCGAGCTTCAGCCTCCTGTCTTCGCATACGGACGGTCCGCTACAGATTGGTGTTACTACGAATGGGCGTGGATGCAAGTTGGCATCAAGGATACGTCGCGAAATTGCTGCGTCCTTGCCACCAGACTTGGGCTTGGCCTGCGTGCGACTCGGCGATGTGAGGCGCAAGATACACGAGGAGGACCAACTGCTACATAACTCACTGGCAGACGGTGAAGACTTGGACGATTCTACAGATCAGTCTGCATCGTTCAACAAGCTGGTCACAGAGGCGGATCTGGATGCTGCCAAGAACCGACGCATGCGCTGGTTGAGTCAAATCTGCGAATACTGGCCCCTGAAACGCCTTGCTGCTGTCAGCGACGACGATGTAGACGCCATATTGAAATCGTATCCAGGAACAATTGGAGCGCCAGAATCCGTTGGCAAGCCTGCGGCTCCCGTGGATCTCGCCTCGCGAGGTCGCGTTATCCTCGCCGGTTCCGGTCCTGGACACCCGGATCTCTTGACCCAAGCTACACACAAAGCGATCCAATCTGCAGACTTGATCCTTGCAGACAAGCTTGTGCCATCGGGCGTCCTTGACTTGATTCCCCGCCGCACCCCAGTGCAAATCGCGCGCAAGTTTCCAGGCAATGCCGATGCTGCTCAGGAGGAGCTTCTGGAGATGGCTCTGACAGGTCTACAAGAGGGCAAGACTGTCCTGAGGTTGAAGCAGGGAGATCCGTACATTTACGGGCGAGGTGGTGAGGAGCTTGCCTTTTTCCGCAAGCACGGTCTGGGCGATCGGGTGGTTGTCCTTCCGGGAATCACCAGCTCGCTGTCTGCGCCTCTGTTTGCCGGGATACCACCCACCCAGCGCGATGTGGCGGACCAGGTGCTCATATGCACAGGCACTGGAAAGAAGGGCAAGGCTCCGGCCCCGCCAGAATATGTTGCAAGTCGTACTGTCGTATTCCTCATGGCGCTGCATCGTATCTCGGGGTTGGTGCAGGAATTGACCCAGTACACGGAAGCCGAGACGTCGTTGCCCACTGGCGGATCCGATGACGAGTCGAAATCTGTACGACCATCTAGGGCACTCTGGCCGCTGAGCACGCCATGTGCAGTCATCGAACGTGCGAGCTGTCCCGACCAGAGAGTCATCAGGACAACCCTGGGTAGCGTGGTGGAGGCCATTGAGCAGGAAGGCAGCCGGCCGCCAGGCCTTTTGGTTGTCGGCAACGCCTGCGAAGCCTTGTACACGAGGGAAAAGGGCCGGAGCTGGCTTGTTGAGGACGGCTTTCGAGGACTTGATTTGGGCGACCAATTGAGCCTAGGACTGTTGGGAGCAGTTGCAGCATGATGGAAAAATCTTGAATCAAAGGCTGCGAAATTTGCATTTCCACGCATAGCGAGCATTAGACTGGTGTTTTGTAGGAACTACTTGGACAGGCATGGGAGGTGATTATTGATACCATGAAGCTAAAGTTATTGGATAGACTGACGCAATTATAACATTTGTCATGGTGCAAAACCGATAGACATACCATCAACGACCTTGTCAGCCCTACACTCATTAAAACCGTGCTGAATGTTGAACAGGTGTAGTGGGAGATACAAGATCCGATGAAGCCTCCCAATGATCATCTTGCCAGCCCGTGGTGTCTAGAGTAGAAACCATGGGTGAGGACGAGTCATCTTCTCTGCCGCTCCGAGATGGCAAAGTGCCTACCGTCGAAACCCGATCCTCTTCTCTTGTCGCCGGCTCGCCGGGCAATTCATAGTAGACTGGCTCCTCACTGGTCGGCTCCGTCGAGTCTCCATGTAATTGATATATCTGCTGTGTTGCCCCATCCATTTCCGTGTTCGGTCTCACCTGTGTATCTTGGCCATCCAGCTCTTGTTCATCGTCTCCGATACCCCCATTGATAGTTTTCCCCGGAGAAGTCGACGCCGGGTGAGGGATTGCATTATGTACCGGGCCCTTGAGAACGGATTCGTCAGGCTCTGGCTCGGACGCCGCGTATGCTGCCTTCTTTCGCTGGCGCAGTATGAAGAAGGCCACAATTCCGGCCGTGAGGACAAGCAGGACTGCTCCGACAACAATGCCGGCAATGGCGCCACCGCTCAAGCGCGAGTTACCTGATGAACCTCCCGACGGATCACCTGAAGAAGACGAGCAATCAGAGCAGTCGCTGGCAGAGTCTTTTGCCAGTATGGTAATAATGTTCTCCTCGGCACCTTCATTCCATGTGCACGCCGAGACATTGAAAACACCGCGCTCGTAGTCGGCGGTGAGATACCTAAGACGGAATTCAGCGCTTGCATGGGCCATGGCTGTCAGCTTCAGCTTACGCTTCTTGGAGGAATGCCCGACCAAGAGTATACTGTGTCTCATTGGCCGCCCGTTTCAATGGAAAGTAGTAGCTGGAGTTTTCTACCAGAGGGTATTCTGCGGTCAGGTCGAATGCATTGTAAGGAAGCACTATCCTCACGTTATCACCACCAGTAGTGACATCCGAGAGTCGGAACGAGACTTCAGCATTCGAGTCAAGCAGAGCGGTATGGTGAGTATCATTGATAAGATACAATCCAGTCGTCTCGTCGAGTTTCAAATCAAAAGCGTTTTCGAACGCATCGCATACTTCATCAGGGAGCCAAAAATTTGGATCGGTCGAGTCAATGAAAATATTGATCGGATCCGAAAGAAGAGTGGCAGAGTTCGATCCACTATAGCTAATGGACTGAAGTACAACGACCAGATCGCGCGTGACATCACCAGCCATTGTAAAGGACACCGAGTTCTCTTCGAAGCGAGACGTGTCGTAACCAGAGAATACGAGTTGACCGTAGACTTGTTTTAGGCCTTTACGGGATATCAATATACGGCTGTTACACAGGGTTATTGCAGCAACCTACGGTATTGAGCACCAGCTGTGTAGCTCCAGCTTAGGCTGGGGATCTTGTTTTGATCCTTCAAGGTCGTGAGAAAGGAGGGAGAAGAGTAGTTCCCCAACGATGTAAAGTTTACTGGCTGGTTGTTCAAGCCAAAGATACCACTGCCAAGAGTCAGAGAGATGGAAAAATATCTAATTTGTGAGAAATATCTTACAGATAGAAATAGTCTGCCGTTGCAATACCACCAATTGTCTGGTTATCCAGACTTGGACCAGTCAGACCTATCCCAAGGCTATCCAAGGCGAACTCAGCCTTCTGGTAGTAGCCAAGGTTTGCCTCGAGGCCTACACCATTCTGATTTATGCCATAAAGTCCCATATCAACCCAGCTGGATGACTCATTGGGATTGAAGAGGTTGCCTCTTGACACTGCACAATCTGATGGCACTTCTGGAAGTGCAGATGATGAGCAGCCATAATCTGCAAGAACAACCAAGGCTTCTGGACTGGCTGTAGAGACCAAGACTCTGACGTCTTGCTCTGAACTTCCCACTCGCAGATCAAAAGTGCTCCAAGGTCCATCATTGCCTTCACTAGATATGAATTAGCATAGATTACGTTGAGGGAGTGTGGAAAGAGATACAAGTATTCACTAGCAGATATCACGACAGCTGCATTTGCTGTGTCCCTCGATGAATGGATTTGGAGGCTATTGGCTGTTCCAACAGTGCTGTATGCCAAAAGGCAACAGGGAAAGACTATTAGAAACAGCCCAAGGGAAAACATTCTGATGGCTCAATTTGCGCTCAGCTCGAATCCTTAGCTCTTACAATAGAACAATGTACACATTGTGTAAATTACAAGATATTGCTACAAATTAGTCAAACATACGATGCGGAGGAGAGAGATTCTTTGAACTGAGCACACAGCATCCAAGTTTTGCCATGTGTGACAGATGCATCAATACAGAACTCATACAAATTCAGATTGAATTCCCCCGTGCCGAACCGCAGCATAAGCTCCGGGTTGCCAGGTGAAAGACATTGCGAACGCAAGTTTTGGTCAATAAACGTCATTGTAAGTCCAACCCCTGGATCTCCTCATAAATCAATGGCCAATGAGGCAGAGAGAAACACTTCTCCATGGGCCCCCTGTTCGATGCGCAAAACCAGGCACAAGACCCGTGTTGTTGCCGTGGCTCCAATAAATATCGACTCTCCAACCACACGGCGCGATACTCGATAGAGTATGCCTGTCACTGCCTGTTTGGGCCGCGCGATCCAGAGAAATATGCTAGGCATGACCGCATAGACACGTACGTACCAGGATATGGATGTTCGGAGTCCAGCTTACCCGTCTGTGTGCCTCACAACAATATAACTAACAAGGCTGTAATGTATGTGAGAGGCGTTGGTGTTTTTGTTGCTCGAGTTTTTCTGGTGGTGGCCAAACCATAAACCTATTGTGCTCGGTCTTTCGCCTAGCAGACTCTACAGCTTCATTCATTCTCTGCAAAGTCGCAATCATGTTGTCTACTGCAAGATGTTTGGCGTGGTTCACTCTGTTAGCTTTCGGTGCCCAAGAGTGTCATGGTAGTGGTATGTTTCCAACCTTGGCCACGATGGATAAATATTGTGATTAACGAGGCCCAGCAATACATCATCATGCTCCCTTCTACAACACCTCGAGCAGTTATAGCACTTCTTGCACCGTGTCAACACACACTCGGCCAACAGAACCGTCGAGTATACAGTATAGCACATCAAGCAAAGAGATTACTGCTAGTTCCAGTGTGTTGACGACCAGCTCTACCAAACTGCCTGAATCAGATTGCAGCAACAGCACAGTTGTTTATCCCACAACCACTACAACGTCGTCTTCCATCATAACATCGGTGGTGACGATTTCTCACTCAACAAGCACCACTACCACGATCAATACACCTTCAACAACCACCTCGATCATCACCTATTCAAGCACCACCACCACGAGCATTACGCCTTCATCGACTACCCCGATCATTACATATCCAAGCACCACTTACACTACACAAACGGTCATCGAAGAATGTCCAACAACATGCAGCATGTAAGTCTTGTGTTTGAAAACTCTGAGGCATGCCGCTAATTGTCACTTTCAGGTATGCCGGCACTGTAAACTTATTCTTTTGGCCCACCGGCAATGATTACATATATCCTTCAACATATGTTGATACGTCACTGGATTACACCTTGTATGTACTTACTTTGTTCTAAAAAACGCCCGCGATAAGTATACTCTACTGACAAAGGGGCTATGTAGTACATCACCCTCGGTGTATATGCTCGTTGACGTGATCTACGGCACCAATTCCCTGGGGGTCGTCGGTCCGTCTGCAACTTCGAAAATATTTCCTCTCGACCTCGACGAAGTTTCCACAATCGTCGGGGGAACGGCGACGGAGCAGCTCTCATTGAGCGATCTGGGCACCGACTGTCCCCAGACCGCTGCCCCTTCGGTCATTGCGACGTTGAGCGACTCTCGATGCGATCCCATTCTCGCGGCGCCCGATGAAGTGAAATCCTGGGCGTGGCCATGCAACGCCTGTGGCAGATTTGGTCTCTTTGACCCCCCGTACGCCATTCCCACCTTGACCGGAGGTCTGATTGAGACAACGGCAACGACGACCGCGACAGCTGCCACATCAGCAGCGACTGGCGCCACTCCTACAGCCGTGACCACCACCCAAGTAGTTGTGACGCCGGTCACGACGACGACTTCGGCAGTTGAAGCAGCAGATACCACGTCAGAAGTCATCTCTCTCGGCCCCAGCGGCATTGTGATTATTGCTTACTATAGCGGCACGGCGTTGACAACCACTATACCGACCGCTGCTTCGACGGTCGTCTACGATGGCCAGACTCTCACGCTCGGCGGCGATGCTAAGACCTTGACCACAATTGATGCCAGCATTACAGCATCAACGGCATCAACGGTCACAACTTCTGAATCTGGGGCATCCTCGTCGACCGACAATGATCCAACGACAACCTCGACTCCTTCCGCGGTAGCTACAGCAGACGCGCCCCGGGCTTTGCAGCCTGTGCTCGTTTATACATGTTCATTCATAAGCATGTTGATTTCGATGGAAATTTTGTTATGAAGAAATGAAGTTCTCTGATAATGGCATGGTTTTTGATTTTGATACCTATTTCTATTCACTGTTCGGCGAATCATCTTTTCATTAAACATTGAACATGGATTGGATGCATCCCGGATTAAAGGAAATGCCACGAGTAAAAGCACATACATAGTATTAGAGTAATGGAAATTAATTAATCAAATCTGGAATCAGTACATGCTCAAGGGTCTCGAATCAATCGTCATCTCCCATCTTGATCTGATTGTGACCAGCACATGCAATGCAAAACAACGTCTATTGATTGTTTGAATCCTGTATCACTAACCAAAGTGTCTTTTCGCCCAACTTTAATCTTGTGGGATTATCTATTGTAAGATCTGAAATGTGCGTCCGCAAGGGCCCAAGCTGCGTGTCGGCATCCGCACTCTTTTCAGACAGCGCTGCCTGGAGGATGTGATTGTTGGCCAAGCCGAGGAGCTGCGCCAGCTCCGGCGTATCCATCAGTCGGGCGTACAGTCCCCGCGGCTCAAACCATTTCTTGTTGGCCACGGCCGTGTACACCAAGGCGCGCTCCCTGGGCGTCTGCGGCTTCTGCGTCACAGCAACAACGGCCGTACTTGGCAGACTAGTAATGGCCTCGACGGCGTTGACGGCCGTGGATATGGGCAGAGTAATAGCACCGCCAATAATGCCAAAGGCTGCTCCCACGATGTTGCCCTTTTTAGCCTTGTCGCTGATGCCTCTGCCAATGGATTTGGCGTGGGTTGCCACGTTCTTGCCAAAGCGCTTGGGGACGTTGCCAAACTGCTTTGCAATGTCGGCGGCGTGGCTAATGGCCCGGTCTGTAACCTTTGCGGCCAGAAACGCCGAGAGCGTATCCAGAAAAGAGGCCCACGTATCTGGCGGTATGCCTCGGGCCAGTAACGAGTGCGCATATGCTTGCAGGAATGGTGCCGTGGGGTCATCCGATACTTGAGGAATGGCAATGGGCCGATTGATTGTTGTTTTAGGCGTGGCTGACGACTCTGAATATGATGGGGCCGGTGCCTCGGGAGGAAAGTCAAAAGGCGACGTTATCGTCGGGCCTTGGACTGCAGCCGCTGAACGACTTGCTGCTGCACTTGATTGTACTTGCGTAGATGATCCGGCCCTTGTATCTTCCAATGCGTATGCAGGTAGTATCTCGGTCTCATCCGTCTTATCCCGTAGGATGTCTTCATTATGTTTTCCAGGGGACATTATTGTTGATTATACGACTTGTTGATGGGAATTGGAAAAAAAAAAAACGAGTCTTCTTGGCAGTGGATTTTCTCAAAGCCAAGACGACGTCGATCGCTTTTTGTATTCTTTCATCTCGTGCCTTGGGTTCAAAGGATCAAAGCTGAACTAGAAAATGCGAGTCCGAGCGAGGCGCAGTCATCATTTAGTGGGCTGCAAGCTTGTGACTGGCAGAGCGCAATTGGCTTATGATCTCCGCCTTTCTTTACTTATCTCTTCCAATATATCAATTGAATTAAATAAAAGCTGGCCGCCGGTATTGGTACGATGTAGTCTGCATCCACGATCGGTCTCTTCACAACAAGACCATGATTGAGGAAGATGTAGGGTCGTGATGCAACTTCTTGGACCTTGTTATTGAAAATGAGACGCAGGCGGGCAAAGCTATTTTCACCCAGACCCTGCATACATTAGTCTTTGGAGCAGACATGACAGTTGACACGCCCAACATGCTACATGATATACTTGGAGGTGCAGAAAAGTGCAGCGAGGCTTTTGTTGAGGGCTGCTTCTTCCGCCAGAAACGGCAGATCTCATGGATTCAAGCGCCTTAGCTGCAAGGAAACCACGCCAGAAGGGCATACTGTGGTGCGAAATGCATATAAAACAGCCAAACAGATGTCAAAAAAACTTGCATTTGATCTTGGCACCAGTCAGCTTCCCTTTCAATGCCCGAGATATTCGAAAACTTCGTACCTTTGGGCGGATCGATCCAACACTTGGATTTTGAGTTCCGATTTATGCCCGGCTCGTTGTCGATATGACAGTATTACATGGAACAGAATAATGCAAGAAACTGCATTCATTGCATCCCTTGCAGACTAAAAGCTGGTTGACAGGAAGTATGAAAATGCTGAACCCTCTTCACAAAACCTTGTTAGTTGGTCGTATTTTATATATATAGAGACATTCACGGCATTCCTTAATGAGTAGCAGGCACACACATCTTCCACTCTTTCTTCCACCTCTCAAACCCCCAAATATAAGTCACCCAGTCCTTCAACATGATCATTACCACCCTCATTCTAGCCCTTTTTTACTCTGGTATACTTGCTATACCGACGATCCAGCCGGAGTCTTGGTCCAACGATACTCGCACGGTCGCCACTTGTGAGTCCTGTTCCGTTCATGGCCACAAGTCGGGTAATGCGAGTGCTTCTGCCACCGATGCGGGGAGTGGCGCTTCAGAGTCTTCAGAATCTTCAGAATGGACCATTCGTCGCCTCCAACGCAAGTGCTACAAGAATAATCAGATCTGTGTCTGGAAATTCGGCATCGACTGCGGCCACGACCGTGTCACCAAGTGCTACTTTGTGGTCAACTCCCTCGGGCGCAACAAGACGGCTACCGAGACCGACTCGCCAGACCACGTCTGCGGGCGCTTCACCGTCTCCAGTGGATGGAGCGGACAGTTTGGTCCAGGCAATGGGTTCTCCGTGTTGGCTTTGGTAGACAACGAGAGTCAATTAATTGCATGGCCGTCATATTCCGACAAGCAAATACAAAACGGGACCGTCGTCAAGCCTGACCAGACTTATACACCAAAGAAGCTGAAAGGCACTGATAAAGGTGGACGGCGCGAAGATGAGCAGTCAGAGGATGAGGAAGAAGGAGAAGGATCACCTACTTCAGTCAACAGCGGTGGTTGGTAGTTTACCATTCTATGGCTCATCTCATGACCAAAAGTGGTTTCCTCATGTGCCCATGGCAAGGAGTAAGAGTTGAAAAACCAGCTGCTTCTGCTAGGCGAGCGATGATTGAGATACTGTTGATATGAAGATACGGCAAGCATGAATGAATTCGGGCCAAGATTTACACGATGATACGCCCTAATGAGTAATGATAGTAATGAATGTACGTATTTCCCAGTGTAATAACGCTTCGAATTGGTACCAATATCCCGTAGTCTTCATATTCGGGGGCGACTAGTACTTTTATATTTGACCAGTCTTGAGTGTATCTGAACAGAAACTGGCTAAAACAACATAACAGTATTGCGTATATCAAATGGTATCATTTCTAAGAAAACAATGGCGGCGGCGGGCCACCATCTCGACCATTACCTGGTCCTCTTGGTCCACCCGGACCACCGCCCCAATACCTCTCGCCTCCTTCAGCCTCGGAGCCGTTGGAGCAGCGCGGGTTGTTGTATTCCTCCACGGTACCCATGGGCCACATGGGAATGACACAAACCTCGTTGATGGGGCAGGGCGGGCACCGCTTGAACCTGGTCCAGCTCAATGATTGCATCAAGGCCCCCACTGCGCTCTGAGCGGCTGCCAGCGAGGACCGGCCCGGCGCCGGGTCCGTAACGACAATATTACGAACTCTGAACAGAGTGCTGCAAATCTCGTGTGTAACCGTCTTGAAGGCCGTGTGAATAAGATGATCCGACTGGGTGGCAGGGCGGACAGAGCGTAGGTAAAAGTTGGCGCAGCGATCAATGGCGTCTTCGGTCGTCTCGACGTTGGAGCCGTCAACAAAGAGGGTGAGCAAAAAGTTGACCTTGTTGGCCATGGTCTCGATACTGTCGACTGCTTCGGCCATGTCCTTGAGGCGATCTGCGTAGCGACCGACAATCAAGTCCGAAACATCTTGCCAGTCAATAATCCGGGCCTCTTCGTCGCGCCGCTCCAAAACCACGCCCTCGAGGTACTTCTTGATCTCTGCAAGCTGAGTCTGCTCTACCGAGACAAGCCTGGGCAAGTCCTGCCGCTTTGGGTCCGGGTTGGTCATGTTGACGGGGAAGAAGAAGGCTGACACCATGGAAGAATAGTCAATAATGGTTCTGGTCGAACCAATGCCCTGGTACCGCTCCGACAAACCCCGAACAAACTCGAGGTTACCAAACCCACCAGGTCTGCGGTCCGTATCTTCAGGCCGCTGCAACGCCTGTACCTGCTCCAGACCATCCGAGAAGTCGCACTTGATGATTTCGAAACCAGCCTCCATGCGAATGACGCCCTGCAAACCCCATTCCTTGCACAGCGCGCAAAGATCCTTGGCACGTTCCTGCTCGTCCATGGGGCCACCACCGCCCGGCCCCTTTCGTTTTGGTGGTGGTGGCGGCTCGTCACGCTGCGGGTGAGCCCAAGTGTCCGTGTCATTTGCCGGCGTCTTGCCTCTGAGCAGGTAGTCCTGCCAATCTAGCGTGCCCATCGTGGTCTTGCCACCGCCCATGCCATCCACGTAGAGAAACTTGAGTGGGCGCGTGGTCTCATACACGTGTAGATAGCCATGGCGCTCCTCCTCCTCCTCCTCCTCCTCGGCATGTTTATGCTCTTCGCCCCTCAGCTCCAGTGTCCCGTGCGACTCTTTCATGGTTCTTTGCTTTTCGCCTTCCCGGTCATCACCTTGTGGTGGTGGTGGTCCGCGACCACCTCGGCCCGGGGGTCCTCCACGACGACTATGCGCAAAGTTCTCGGCATGTTCAATCTCGTACGCCAGCCAGTCTGGTTGCGTGGGCGAGTTGGGACTAGTATTCCCGTGGTGTAACAGAACTCCCTTGGGTACTGTAGCAATGAAGGAGGACACTAAATAAGTTGCTTAGTTGACTTGATACTTTTGCATCAACTACCACATAGCCAGCGCACTCGTCTCGGCGCATACTTTCAAGGCAAATACACCTAATAGTAACAATGAGAGACAGAATTATACGTACTGCCGTTGTGGTGCAGCGACGATCCCCATTGTCGCATGGAGTTGTGCACGGCGTTAAATATCTCGGGACCTCGACGGCGCGCAACTTCCAGGCTGGGTGTGATGCCATCGCCGAGAGAATCGGAGACAGAGGCAGCGGCCACAGACGCCGCGACGACGGGCCCGGCTAGCCAGGTGCGGACGCGCATCTTTTTGTGTGAACTGCAGATCCAAAGTCAATAACAGAAAAGATGATATATTGCTCAGATCAAGCAACCAAGCGCAGAAAAGCAGAACAAACGAATATAGAAGGCAGTCATGAGAAGATCAGAGATCTACAATGTTTCGCTGCTCGACATCTTGATCCGAGCCGATAAGATTAGATTGCGTATGCCTCCCATTATTTGTAGTTGCGTCGTCAGCTGCCCCCACTCCGCGCCGTTGGCGGCGACGATCACAGCCCCGGAGCCGAAGCAGAAGACCGACCCTGAGGCTCAGCTGGCAAGGCTGGTCAGTTTGCTCCCTGGCAATTTTGCCTTGAGACTACACAGTACCTAGGTAGACTACAATCTTTTGGCTTGGATATAGTACACATTTGTCTGCGAGATATGTCAAGCCACGTGTGGGGATTTCCAACATGTATCAAGTTCAAGTACAAGCAGGTGTAACAATCAGCCAGACCAGCACAGTAAAGATTGATTCAAATGTCTTTTTTTGCATTTATGGTATCTTGGAAGTTACATATCGTTTAAAGACCGCAAAATCCATTTGTTCGCCGTTGACGTAACATTCGTGAAACCCAACTCGTACGTTGACAGGAGCCGTCAGGGTGCCGCCCTTCTCCCCCTTGCCACGATCCTTCAAAGCCCCGAGTTCTTCGATCCGGCCAGAACAGCAGAGCTGGATATAGCCATTGGTTCAGATCGACGAAACACGAAAGGTGATTCGCAACGCTGGCAGTGACTGGTCGGAATGCCAGATCTAACGGGGCACTCGAGTAATTATACACAAGACGGGGCGCGTCTTTGGGGTGTTGACAGTCTGTCAAGTGAGTGGATGGCTGGTCGTGACCCCCAGGAAAGAATATCTGGCGAAAGGGGGCTCGATTAGAAGAGAAAAAGAAAAACATATAAAAAACGGGAAGCCGTAGTACAAGGCGGTAAATCCCTCCGATGGTGACAGCCGATGTTACTCCAACACATGTCCAAAGCCGTGTCTGGTCTCTAAAAACCCAGTCAAATACAGATCAAAAAACTCCGGTGTGCCTCGTGCTTTTTTGTATGAACAAGGTTCCACTTGTTGTAAAACCGAATGGCGTCCGTGTTCGATATTTGTCGTCGTGGAGGCCAGAATGTCGCAAGTTCGCCCTTTGGGCGATTCCTTATAACAGAATCAGGTAATTGCTAGGCGCAATACCTGTCTCGCCGCTCTCCTTACGTGCTTGCCACCATCTGCCACTGACGTCGCTGACCTCCAGAATTTCGTGCTTGGAAAAGGAGATCTCATTCGCATCATCAGGATTGGCTTCGTAGCTATAGATGGCCTTGGCACGATAGGGATATTCCGTCGGCTGCGCAATCTCGCTCTCCTTTTGAGGTGCTGCCATGGGTTGTGCAGCAGGCGAGCGGGGGGTCACATTGGCAGAGAAGCCAGCAACGGGCGATGGGTTCTCAAAACCGTTGAGCTGTGCCGATGTATACATTTGCGGTGGCTGGTTGGAGACCGACGTCTCGGGCCGCCCGCCATAACCACCATTCATCGTCTGCCTGTTCTGGGGCATCTCCTTGGTCAAAGCAAACGAGTCGAGGTAAGCACGTGGAGTTGCCGAGGGGGCGGAGCCAAAGTAGAAGATCCACACGATCTGCATCGATCTAATCAGCGACGATCACAACCGAACAAGAAAATTGACTTACATTGACCATGGAGAGCAGGATGAATCCGGCAGCGGCGGCCTCACGGGCAGCGCTCGACGAATAGACAAGGGAATTGACGGACGATGAAGTCAAGACCAATCCAGCGCCCAAGTATCCCACAAGTGCAACGTGGTAAGTTTGAGCGGCATCAGCTGCGACGACAATCATGACGCCAGCAATGAGGAAAAACATGTATACGATGCTCCACCATGAGAAAGTTGGAAATCCTTGCTCGCCTTTTGGTATGGGTTGGATCTGGGCGATAATAGAACTAATCATGCCAATAATCCAGGCAAGTGCTGCAATCGAAGTTGTGGCCAAGGCAAATGGATCGCCAATAACATTGCCCAGCGTCATGCCTCTGCGGGCGTGCGACTGTCTCGAGTATTCCATTTTCCGCAACGATGGGGAATGCAGCGATCCGTATGAGGGCATAGAGAGAATGTCAGGAGCGATGCCGAGTTGTTTTGTGAGCTGTGCGTCGAATGCAATGCGCTTGTCGTTACAATGCAGAAAGCGTAAAACCGTTTAGCGACGCACCGGTGGTTGATGGTGCCGGGCGATGCTCGTGGCCGCGTGGCAGTGATGCGAAGATCCGGAAAGTATATGATTTACAGTTTTGCTGACTTTGGTTGTAGCTTCGTTGATGACAGGCGCAAGCAACAAGTGGTGGTCGCAAAGGAGGAAAAGGAAATGGGATGGATGTTCGCTTGGAGACACAACTGATGTGTCTATGCAAGTTTGGTTTCGGACTTGATATCGTTGCAGGTTGTCTTTTGTGTCTGTGAATCACTAGTGGACGTGAATCGAATTACGTCGACAACAAGTAGAACCGATTGGTGAATCAAATGAGTGACTGTGGGTGAAGAAAATGTCTTGTGACGAAGTTGAGAAAGGTTTCGAGGTTGGTATTGTTCTCGTTGTTAAGCCGCGCGGGTGACAAAAGTGGTCGGTAGACAATGGTTGAACAATGGGATTGATCTGAGCTGAGCCCCTCGAGTCAAGTTTCGTACAGTACACTGATTTCCAGCAGTGCCGCAAAGATGCAGGTCCAATTAAACCAAGCGGAATGAACCGATGGGAAAATAGAAGTGCAGAATTCGCAAGAAGTAGAATGAGATTCTGACAGGGAAGAAGATTGAAAAATAGTAGAGGTTGACAATAAACCCGACTGATCAAGAAAAGTCGATGTTGGTCCAGGAAGTTGTAATCTTGTCGCTACTGGCTGGGGCTCGATGGGGATAGTCGGTCCAGGTGGAAAAGATTGCGATGGGTATTGCGTTGCGTTGTGCTGCGCTACGAGTTGGGCGATGGACGGGATACCGCAGCAAGGGTCGTCGTCGTCAGCAGCAGCCACACCACGTCTTACTTCTTCGCGTCTTTATTCAACAAAGAGCGAAATATTAGGTTCAAGGTTGGATGTATGCCGAAACTTTGGTGTTGGTTTGCATTAGGTCTCGATTCGACTAAATCCGTAGAATCCTGTTCTCCCAAAGAGTAGATTTGGGGGTGTTTTCTTTTGGTGCGATGCAGTGCAGTAGATACAGTTCTGAGTGAGGTGAGGCCTTGGCAACTCCTAGTCGCAGTTCCTGACGGCGCTTAGTCGTCGATTGATCAGTGGCACCTTTTTTTGGTAATTTGGGATCAGTCGGAAAGAATGGAAAGGTTGGCGGGTTACAGCAGGACAGTAGTGAATTTGATTTTGGGGGGCGGGCGAGAATCAAAAACGCAGTAAGTCACTGGGCAGTCCGCAACGAAACAGTTGTCGCTCGTTCTCGTCCGGGTCAACGCGGGCTCCCAGGGAGAATTGCGGTGGTTCGCAGTCGAGTTGAAAGGAATTAAAGAGTAGAACGGACAGAAAGAGACGAAAGGAAGGATGATGAGACTGGGGTGGGAATGGGGTGGAGTAAAAGCAGGATGAGAAAGGCAGGAGATGAATCGAATTGGATGGGATGGGGGACATCCAGTGGGAAGGGAGGGGTGGTGGAAGGTATGTAGGTATGTACCTTGACCCCTGCCAAATACATACGATTCGGAGCCGGGCCTGTCCTGTTGCTTGGCTCGAGCCTTGGATGAGAGTGATGGGTGTGTGTGTGTGTGTTTGGACAGACCAAGAACAAAACAGAACAGACTGGCCAGCGCGCACTGCACGGCCACTGAGTGGCCCGCAGTCAACCTAGCAGCAGCCAGCAAGAAATGGAAATTTCGCAGCAGAAGCAGTAGCAACGAGAACGGCTCAGCAGCAAGCTGTCGGCAAACCCAGTGGGACCATCGCTCGAGGACAATTTACTGGATGCTAGGGGCGGGGGCTGAACGAACTTGCCCAGACCCAGCCAGATCAGACCCATTTACGGGTACCTCTACGCTTCTCGGGGGATAACTGACTCCGCCTACCTTAACCTAGCCCGTTGCTATTGCCCCAAATGTGCATGCACGGTACCTGGCAGTGGCTTGCCTTGTCCTTAGTTGGCGTGTCCTTCGGGAGTTCATGGCCAGTCAGTCTGCAGAAACTATTCTGGCTACATGTGTCAGCATCGCACAAAGAGGCGATATATGTGTCAAAAGTTGATCTAGCCGAGTGAGTACCTACCTGAGGATGTACACAATATCTAGGGAAGCAACAAGTACAAAATTACTGTCTGCACTCTATAAGAACACTAATGTGGCAGCATGAAGCAATGTTCATGCACTGACAATAGAACAGGTAATGAGCAAGCACCCATAATTTGGTCTATCCGCACTTGAGGCCTTGCACATGGTAGCATCCAGCCAATAGAACCTGTCGTTCTTTACCTTATCCGTGCCGGCAGCGAAATACCTACCTAGGCACTCAACAGACAGCTGGATATCGAATCGGGCCTTGCTTGGATCAGAACACGCATGGCCAGCCATAAGCTGCAGAAGCGAACGAACGGATGGTTGAAAGGGGGCGCAGCCGCATTGCGCTTTGGTCGTTTACTGCCGGCCAAATGCCAACCTGGGTATATACTACAACCGTTGGTGGTAGTTGGTCACAACCAGTCAATGTGTTTCACGCTGGGGACATGAAGCCGATCTCCTGTGACCGGAGGCATCTTGACTATCTAGGTAGATATTCCACCACATGGGACGAAGACTGTATCGTCAAGACGGCGATTGGTGGTGATTTCAAAGGCCCTGAACTTTGACCAACCCACCTAGCTAGACGCTTCCGTCAAAAAGACACAAGAACCAACCAGCCAAAGTTCAATACTGTGCCTTTACACAGCACCAGCGCACGCTAAAAATAAGGCCGCAAATCCTTCAGGTGGTTCGTCTATGTATCTATGTATGTATTCAGGCTCATAATGCTCATTAAGGGAAAAGAGGTAATATAGCTATGAAGTGGATTGCCTATGGAAGGTACCAGACACTGTTCGGAGTTAATCACCGGACAGTTACACACGACAGCATCGTTGTCGACGGTCGTGCTGTAGTTGTAAAGCATGAAATTCTCGGTTTTCTTTTCACGCAATGTAGAAAACTACATAGAAACACAATTATATCAAATCCCATTGACGAATCCTACGACATTTCCTCGATCAAATGCATCCTCGTGCCTGCGCAAAAGGCTACTGAAGACCATCTGTCTGCCTCCCAGACCGTGCAACCAGTGTACACATGCTGCAGTATAGCGAAGCGACCAGGATATGCCAACATTCAGCATTCGAGGCAGCTCGTACGCAGATTGATATACTGTCTGCTCCGTATTCCGCATATGGGGATCAGAAGCTAACCACAAGTCGTGCACAAATTTGAAGGCATGTAAGTGCACTGCTAGGAACACTTCCGGTGATTGTGTCTGGGATTTGCCAGAGATTTGATCCTGAAAAAGACAGGAACCGAGTTCATGTTCGCCCAGTACCTATCTGATGATTGGCCAGAAACAACTCAATTCGACCTGACACAGGAATGCCCAGCCGCCATCTTTGGTAGCCCATATCCACTCACACACATACGAGCAACAGGCTTGCCGGATGTCTTGCCAAAGCTAATCCTCTGTGCGCACCCACCCTTCAAATGCCACGAGGAGATGGGCTTCCACACGAAACAGAAGGGGAGCCAGGAATGGGCCGTCAAGTCCGTTTCACACGCCTCAAAATCGAATGTGCCATGTCGAAGCGCATGCACAATCAGAGCTCTGGTCTCCTATTGTGCATCTTCTCAGCACATTGGTCCAGGCTCCTTCGCAACAAGGGAACTCTGTCTATTTAGGTAAGCTACACCGTGGGTCGAACGACGGGTAATCATCTAATCTTCCGCCTCTGCCGTACGGATACCTACTGAAAGCACTTCCTCTCAGACTCCACAGCTGCCTCGAAACTTGATACTACTACATACCACCTACATATACTACTGTGTACTACCAAAGGGCTAAAAAGTAAGTTGCCATGACCGGGATGGACAAAGCCGGCTTTTTCGAACCGTTTTCTACTCGACATCTAGACGCAATCTAGACTCGGGCCTCCTCTTTGTCCCTGACATGTTTGTAGATCATTCTCCAAGTTAGCCGTCTAGACTCTTGCAAATGAGGCATCTTGAAACCCCGCGATTTCCTTCTCCAGACCTTTGCCATGATATCATCATCCTTTTAGGGTTGTGCAGATAGGTATCTTGCCTATATACTCGGCCAACCTTGGCAGACAATGATTGCAGGTAATCATTGCTCCCATTCTTTTTTCTCCGTCAACAAACCACATGAGTCTCATCTGCCCCTTGCTTGCCCGTTCTCCTCGCTCCACACGGACGATCTGTGCATGCCTCAAGGTTGACAGGGCTGCCAGAGGGGAATCTTCATCCATTGTCGAGTCTGGAACGCTTGCGACCTAGCAGATCAATCATTTCCAATTTGTGATTCATTGTGCCGTAGCCTCGGTTCTTGAAATCAAATTCTCTGTGGCCTTGATATGTTGCCTCTCTCACTTGATATCCTTTTAAAAGCTTTGTATAAGTTTCATGTCTGACAAGAGCAATCGTCTCTCCTCCAAATAAAGATACCCGAGTCAGTTTGTACAAGCTATATGCGCGTGCAACTACAAGCTTTGTATTATTGCGCCTCTACTGGAAATCTTAGTCCCTGCAGGGAGGTTGACAGGAGTTGTGCCGAAACTCAAGATCACGTTCCCCAACGGTCGCAGCTCTGAGCGACTTGCCATCCACTTTGCTGGTTGTGGAGTTGGCTGACCGCGCAGTATTCGTAGTTTGCAGCCGACGGAGCCAATGGTCATGATCTACCAGTTTGAGACTCCCGCTGCTTCGACGCTGCACGGCTTGCCACCATGCCACAAACCGGCTATGATGCCATCAGCCGGGTAATATCATAAAGAGGTAACTAGATGATTCTTTTGCGCACTCAATCTTTTGCCACTATATCTCATCTTCGTTATTCTGTCTTGAGGCCACTCGCGCGCCGGCTCCCCGACCACCAAGGTCCTGGTCGATGGATTCTAATTTGCAATATCCAGCTTACCAGGTCTGCTAGGGGCAAGTGTTAACTACATTGTAACAACCTTGCGAATACATGATGCCACTTGCGCAAGCATGAATTGGCCAACCACTTTTCAACTCAACTTCATTGAAGACCAATCTAAAATGCAAATCTATCAAGAGTCACAGCTCTGTAAACCTCTTGGGTAACCTTGGTAGCTCAGAAAACATGACTGGCATTTTTCACGGGGAATTAAAGTTTTTTTTTTTTTTTTTTTTTTTTTGCTTTCATCTAGTATTGATATGTTAGTCGATCTAGCACATTATTAAACCAAAAAGTCTATGTCTTGGATGCAGCAACATCGTACAACCGTGACAACACATCTCGGTGGGCTTTCAAGACAGATGAGTCTTCTTGCAAAGATTGCCCAGTCTCTTTGCCGCATCTAGTATCTTGAAGACCATAGTTTTTTCTTCTCTCGGCCAGAACAAAGCATAAACCTGTGTAGCCCAGAAATGTATAACGTGAAATCGATCAACGTCTTAAACGAGACTCCCGCCTTTGTTGCAGGGCCGAGCATAACCACGAGGCTCGCCTGGCGGCATATGAAGATCAGGTTCATGCCACCCGAATCCCAACACCTAGCGCAGTATGCCCTCCAATAGAGACACTTGGACACTCGAGAACATGTGATGCCCTCTTGCAATTGGCGGCCACATCATATTGCAAGTTATTGTCGTTGAACGATTTGTAACAAGGCCAAGAGCGGTAATCGCTGGGGTGTCGAGTATGCTGGTGTGCAAACTTCCGCACAAATATGATGCCCATTGGCTGCCGAGACATTTCCCCATCAGTCTTCAACAGGAGGCCTTCAATATCTGGGTTAGTCGGATTACGATGAATAACCCAGTCTGCTACACATCAAAGTTTCCTAGCGATGAAGGCATATCTCGGTGTAGCCTCAGCGAGCGCTACTTCAGCTATGACTTTGTAGCTTGAGTTGAGGGAATCCGACCAATTCTCGTAGCCGGGTGTTAATATGATTTGCGGAAAGTCGCTGCTTTGATCGGTTTGCTGGTGGCTGTTCTTCGTTTAGAGTACCCAAGCTGAATCAAAGATCTTGGCTAGCTCTCTCTGCTCGCCTTACACCTCTTTCGACCTTTTCCACTCTCTTCTCAACGCCGGCCAAGCGATTCCCGTAGCCGACGACGCTCTGCTCATAATAGCTTCGAACGACCTGCTCGCTCCGACCCCTGAGATCTGCAATCTCAGCCGATTGCGCCTTCTGGGTAGCTTCTATGGCGCGCATCCTGGGGAGCAATGTCACCAAGCTCGCACTCATGGATGGATCTGGAATGGGAGTATCCTCAATGGAGGTTAGTGACGAGGCGATAGAGGGATACAAAGTCGATGAGGCGAGGACCATCTGCGCGAGCGCGGCGGGAGACAAGTCATCAGGGGCGGCCTCGGTTGAACGCGTCGTGAAGAGAGTAGGATGGGCATTATCTGCATCATAAACATTAGCAATGCTTTTTTCCACGATCACTTGAAACCGTTCTCCTCTTACAAATCTTGAGAAGTTCGTCATAAGTTCGTACGCGCTGGCGCAGCTTCTCAAAGCGATGTTCTAGCTGTTGCAAGCTAGGGATAGCTGGTTTCTTTACGAGTACTGCCGAGGCATGGCCGTAGAGCAAGTGCTCGAGACGGAGTAGACGAGACTCGAGGTACGAGATGGTACGAACGGTTGCGTCGTCGAGAAAACGTGATTCGTCTGAAGGCTGTGGTTCGCCCATCCTGATTGTTTCTAAGATCACTGCCTGGTGAGTTTGACCCTCAATGATGCTATCTTTCAACAAGGGGTTTGAGGGGCGAGCAATGTATTGTGGAATTTCCGGCGTGGGCAACGTCTTTCCTCACACGTATCGAAGGACTCTTTCGAAGAGTGTGATAATACCGTAATGCACGAGCGCGTCGATTAAGGTTAATGTAAGGCTGAGAAAGAATCGAGCTGGATGAGCTACATTGCCGCCAGCCAAGCGCGTCGCAGAAAGTGATGTGGTTCCCTTTACAAGCTCGCCAATATCCACTTCTATTGGCTTGCCTTGATGCAACATGTAACCGCTAGACGAGGGGAGGAATCCGGGGATGACTAGCGGGTACCTAGTATGAACAAAGGAAATGCTACAGGGCAGGGTCTTCATTTTAGGTCTTGTAAGGCATTGACAAGCCTCCAGCAGTTGTCAAACCATGCGACTCCACGGCACATTAAAGCCGTGTGGTACTCTGTACACTGGGATTCAGGACTGACGACAGTTGCGCAAACGTAATGAAATTCCAGATGAGGAGGGACAAGACACCTACCAATTCCTTGGCTTAATACAACATTCCCTGCTGGCGACAATCTGGCATCATCATCAAAAAGACCTTTTCTTCTTTTCTTTTCATGTTCATTTCACCATTCTTTTGGGTGTTCACCTAACCTGGGTATATTTTTCTTATCGCCTAGGTAGTGCGCGCCACAGGTATACGTCAAGCTCCATCGATTGACTTTGGTCGGGCGCAAGTGGACTGCCAGGCAGTTTAGCTTTGCCCGACGCAAGGTGGATAATTGACGGCGGTGCTACATTACTCTATGGTAGAGAGCCCGGGAAGATTGTCGCGTGTCTCACCACCCACCCAAACACCAACCGCTGTCGTGAAACATTGATGAACATTTCGGGCAAACACAAGAACATTCACGTGTAACGAGCCACTGGCATTTACCTAGTTTCCAAGTCCTATCGGACAAAAACAACCGCCACCGCGAAAACACCCCCAGCTAGGCCCATGCCGAATTACGACACCATATCTGATGGCCGAGCCAACGAAGAGTCTAGCTCGACCTCCGCCGATATGACGAGACATCGAAGAACGCGAGGTCACCACCAGAAGGATGGCCATCATGGCCAGGCCAGCATGGTTAGCAGTGTCATCAACCTACTCAACACAAGTATGTTGTCTCTAGGCTGGGAAACAGGCCGAATGCGCAATCAAAATCCCGCGCCGCTTCGCAAGAGATACTGACAACTTCTGCCTTGTAGTCGTCGGCGCTGGCACTCTAGCGATGCCCGCTGCCCTTTCGCATTTTGGAATCATTCCCGGAGTAATTGTCATATTGTGGTCGGCATTCACTTCTGCCTTTGGCCTCTATCTGCAGTCACGATGCGCACGATATCTCGACCGCGGCTCGTCGTCCTTCTTCGCCCTATCGCAGCTCACATACCCGAATGCTGCTGTGATATTCGACGCCGCCATTGCCATAAAATGCTTTGGTGTGGGCGTGTCCTACATGATTATTATCGGCGATTTGATGCCTGGAGTAGCTCTCGGTTTCGACAGTCGGGCTCAAGGTGTGCCGTTCTTGATGGATCGCAACTTTTGGATTACTGCATTCATGCTGGCCATCATTCCTTTGTGCTTTCTCAAGAGACTGGATAGCTTGAAGTACACAAGTCTGATCGCTCTCGTTTCGATTGGATATCTGATCATCTTGGTGGTCTACCATTTTGCTGCCGACGTCATCCCGAATCGGGCGCCGGTCAGAGTCATTACTTGGGACGGGCCAATATCTGCACTCAGCAACTTGCCTGTGGTTGTGTTCGCATACACCTGTCACCAAAACATGTTCTCCATTCTAAACGAAATCAAGGAAAACACACCAAAAAGGTAGGATTGTCCCGTATTCAGAACCCGGCGATGTATACTAAGCTTGGACAGTATTATTGGCGTTATTGGCTCTAGCATCGGCTCAGCAGCCAGTATCTACATTTTGGTTGCCATCACCGGATACTTGACGTTTGGTGACGATATCAAGGGCAACATTGTTTCCATGTGTAAGTCCAGGTCAGTTTCCGAGTTGTTACTCAACTTACTAACATGTATTGCCTAGATCCTCCATCGGTGGCATCAACCATTGCCAAAGCCGCAATTGTCGTTCTTGTACTCTTTTCGATCCCTCTGCAGGTCCATCCCTGTCGCGCTTCAATCGATGCGGTTCTGAGGTGGCGTCCAAACTCGGCTTCACGGCAGTCTCAAAGCCGCACAAACTCCCCTGGGGGACGGCCACTTCTTCCAACCGCACAGGCACGGTCTGACCATGGCCCAGCGGCACCCATGTCAGACCTTCGGTTCGCACTATTGTCAACGGTGATTTTGGTTCTGAGTTATGTGACAGCTTTGACTGTTGTGAGCTTGGAACGCGTTCTTGCTTACGTTGGAAGCACTGGAAGTACCAGCATTAGCTTCATTCTCCCTGGCTTGTTCTACTACAAGATCTCTGATCCAAACTCCACCCATCATCAGCGTTTGGCCAAGACCGACGATGATGCAGATTCACCCGTCGGGTCAGACGAATCCGACGATGAGGAGGCTGCCGAAGCAATGGCCCGAAGTGTCGGCAGTGTACGAAGTGTGGCAAGTGGACGGAGCAATACCAAGAGTTCATGGCGCTGGCGCAGGAAGTGGAGATGGGACTTGGAGCACATCAACCCAGTGCATCTCAGGCGCGCGTCTTTGGCTTTGGCAATCTATGGAGGTTGCGTGATGACCACATGCCTGATACTGAACATGTTTGTCAGTGTCGCTCACTAAGATTCCGTAAGGGGGCTCGTTCACAAATCATCATTCAGCCCATTAGCGATGTTTCCTTCAAGCATTATTCTCGGAGTTCGGGCGGGAGGCACTCGGTGAAAGGTGCCTCTTGTGATATATTTGGAGCATGGGAAAATAATCCATGTACATAGCCTCACTGGATAGCTGAATACTTTGAATCCTTGTCAATCTATTTTTGGCTTTGAAGTACAAGCGAGGGATTGACACTATCAACACTCCTTGCGACAAATGTGTGCTGATTCACATCAGAACAATATTCTGCTGACGCCAGAGAAACAACCTGGTTGACTTTTATCAGTACTTTGGAACGAGAACACAATGCTTCCCCAAACTTTCGGCTGTGTCATTAACATGTCGGCAGACATACTCTTGCCATGGTCACTACAAGTACAAGAGGGATCTAATTTCACATTTGTTGTTAAGATGAGAAATATGATCTCTATTCCTGGATCGATTAGAACCATACCTGAAATTCAGACATCTGTAACCGCGAATGGTTTCTCGCAGTAAAAAGAGTCGCCTTCTTCATACGTTTTAGAACACTGAAACTATGGTCTGGAAAGTGTTCAAAGACATTTCATAGACCAAATCGACGGCCTGGTGGATATTCAAAGAGCGCTCCAGCTATAGTCACAAATCACTAGACCAGCATAATCGTAGAACGTTTCATTACCTAGCTAGTCCTCAGGCTTCGTTTATGAAATGATACGGGTAGTAGGTCAAGGTCTGGAGTGGCAGTTATCAGATCAATGTGCTTCTATGGTCATAACACCAAACCATTATAGAGAGCCGTGGCGAGAGTTATTCCGTTTTTCCCCTTGTAATTCTGTGCAGGCTCATCATTTCATTGTTCTCAGCCCCCTATTGATCTCTCTTCTATCCATTTGATGGCCAATGGAATAGCATTGGGTCATATGATGCGAATATGATCGAATAGCACCACCGATCCATGGAATGAACCCAAGGCAAGAAACTTGTATTTTCTAAGTTGATCGGACAATAGCTATTCTATATTGAAAGTTTCACTTCATTCTTCGAATGATTGTGATTCCTCGAAAGGGCGTGGGCAGGCAATGAACAACAGCTACCATCAACGTATCCGCCCCAAGGTGGCGGTCCCGAACTGCTTGGTCAGGCCCGAGGTCCAAGTGGTCACATATGCACTCACGGACTCGGATAACCTGCCGGGCAAGAATCCGGTCTCCTCAATGAATGTGTCGATAATCATAACCAATGGAGGTCACTGGTATATGGGGAATAGCGCGGGGGCAGCTGGAAGCGAGGAGTAGGTTGGCTACGGAAGTCGGTTGCAAACATCTTCCATTGGTTCTCCGTTGCATCGGTAATGCCTTATCTAGCACATTGATTTCCAATGAAACAGGTCATTCAACCACTCATGGTTGCACTATTTCACTATAGACAAGTCGTCAGTCGCGCCCTCGGTGGCGTGCTCATATCTAGAGTATTGCGTGATTACCCCACGCTATATACACAGGTTGGAGGGGACGAGGAGGTTGATAACTATAAGAGAATGATAGTATCTCGACTGGATAAAGATGTTATTCACTTGTCAAGCTTCAGACTTGTTATTGTTCGCGATCTCATAAATACTGTGGAATGTGAGTGCTCAAAAAACGTGATTACTTCGTTCCCCCTTACATTTTCCCAAAGAATTTTGCTTCAATCATGAAGCGTTTCTCGATTAATTTCTTGTACCATATACATTCTCATAATTTTACATACAAGAATTAATCTGTAGTAACCTGTATAATATCAAGCGGAAGACAAAAGGCTAACCAACATACTTGACTTATAAGACAAGACTGCAAGCATGGCTCCCGGCGTAACCACCGAGCTTCCCGTACACTCTCTGCCTTCTCAGGACGGGAGTGTCAAGACCAAGGCATTTCCAAAGCCGCTGAGCCCCAGTGGTGCTCTCGAAAAGTTCCAATACGAGGACACAACGCCTGCCATTGGCCGAGAGTTCATTGGCGTCAATATCGTAGATGATCTCTTGCGCGCAGAAAACGCCGACGAACTTCTACGAGATGTGGCCATTACGAGTAAGCTCTTTGCTGCCGTCATTCACTAAAAAAGTGTTGCTAATGCTGGTCATGTGCAGTCTCACAGCGTGGCGTTGTCTTCTTCAGAGCTCAAGATAATCTGACCAACGAGTTGCAAAAGGAGTTTGTACACCGTCTTGGCCAACTGGCTGGCAAGCCGGCCGACTCTACACTGCATATCCATCCCGTCCTTAACAACACGTCGGAATTTGGCGTGGGCGATGATCAGATTAGCACCATTAGCTCTCTGCAACGCAAGGCCATTTTCCAACACGAAAAGGACCAGACGAGGAAGCGATACGACTCTTCACAATGGCATTCAGACATCCAGTTCGAGCCCGTGCCGGCAGACTACACGTCGCTCCGTCTCACGCAACTGCCCAAGACTGGTGGCGACACTCTCTGGGCATCTGGCTACGAAATCTACGATCGTTTCTCCAAGCCATATCAAAAATTCTTTGAAGGGTTGACTGCCACCTTCATCGGAGACGGCTTCCACCGGGCAGCCCGAGACAACCCGGACAAGGTCAAGCTTTACGAGGGCGAGCGTGGCAGTCCCCTGAACACTGGTGCTGGCCTCGAAGCCGTCCACCCTGTCGTTCGCACCAACCCCGTCACTGGCTGGAAGAGTATCTTTGCCATTGGCCCTTTCCCCAAGTACATCAACGAGCTGCACGCCGATGAGTCCGACGCTCTGTTGAAGAAGTTCTTGTCGGTCATTACGGAGAATCACGATCTACAGGTTCGATTCAAGTGGAGAAACGAGAACGATATTGGTAAGTTTGTTCTGTATTGATTGGTCATTTGATTCGTGAATCCTGACACTTGTGATTTAGCCATCTGGGACAATCGTAGCGCATTCCACAGCGCGACATTTGATTATGACAATCTGGGTGAGCGATTCGGAAATCGTGCGGTTGGAATCGGCGAGAAGCCGTTTTTTGACCCAAACAGCAAGTCCAGAACAGAGGCTCTGGCGGAGGCTACTCAATAATAGCCATTATGATACTGTAGCCATGTCAATGTTAGCGTGTCATCCTCACCAAAGTACAAATGATTATTTGTTGCCAACGTACTTGACCGAATCGACCCTCGAAGCAAGATGCTTCCGACGCCCAAGATATGACATGAAAGTGACTTCATGGAGACAGAGAACCCTATCTTCTCTCTCCCTCTCAGCCTTTCGATAACTCCATAGTCGGTGGAAATTTTGTCAGCGTTTCTACCGTTGTTTTATGGAGTTCAGCCATTGTAAATGATGTGTCCAACTCCTCAGCCGCAAATGTGGCCGCTGTGTCGTGATCTTGGTATCGTCTACGGGGCCGCTCAACTTTGCCAGATGGAAGTGACTGGTCCCTTGATAGTTTTATGCACGAGGTTGACTACTCGCGTGATATGATTACGCATCACTCTCAAGCCTTCTCAATTTGCTTCCTCAGCTCCCTCTCTTTCTGGGAGACCTCGAGCTCCAGTCTCTCAATGCTGTACTCGAGAGCCTCCCTTCTCTGCTTGACAGCTTTTGCCCTCAGCTTGGCCTCACCACCAAGTTTTTGAACGGCGCCGCTTGCAGTCTTCCCACCCCGGCCGTAGGAGGACGAATGATTCCGGCTGCTGCCGGGTCTCTCCGTGAGACGACCCTGCTGGAGCTCGGCGCGCGCCTTGAGGGATTCGATGCGGCGCTCTACGCGGTCAATGTGAGAGTCAGCGCGGTCGAGCAGGGTGGTAATAGCAGGGCCTATCTCGTCGCGTAGCGAAGCTTCGGCGGCAGCGAGGGTGGGTTGGGGGATGAGTTCGTAATGCTAGGTAGATGGAGGATCAATTAGTATTGTACGAGGCTTATGAATGGCGAAGTGGCACTGAGAGACCCGGGGAGTGACAATAGCAGCTTTCACAATTCCTCAGACGTACCCGGACAGTCTTCAGAACACTGATCAATCTTGGAAAGTCTGCGACGCCGTTCCCGAGCGTCTCGACCGATGACTCTAGATGCGACAAGGAGCCGCGTAGGGCGGCCACGCAGTCGCCGTAAGCGCTCGCAGTAGAGGACATTATGGAAGAGGGCCACAGGAATTTGGAGCAATGCCAAATGTGTCCCTTGTGCCTGGACGATTGAGTGTGTCAACAAGACAGTAAAGGTTGCGCGCCGTGTTTACTTTCTTGCCAGGAGTATGACTTGACCAACCGTGTCTGGTGTGGGGCAGGTGAGTTGGTTTCCAGCGATGGCGGCACCCCGCCAAACGACTTCAATGCTGCACGTCTTTCTATTTATATTTTAGGACCAGAGCAGCACAGGGAGAGCGGGTGAGGGAATGAGTAACGAAAAAACCACTCTTGTGCTTGGATTTATGGAATCGAAGAATAAACATCACTGGTATCAATGTCAATACGCATTAATCGATGCCATTATTCGCTCTTGTAATTACGATCCAATGTCAAGTCTTCTTCGGTATACATATTACAACAAAAATCTGACATTAGACCAATGCTGCGCTCAAAGCAGACTGAAAGAAGAGAGAAGAAAAGAAAAAAAAAAAAAACCGTAGATAGCAAAGTATTCCTTCCTAAAGCTTGGGATCAGATAGACCACCATCGCCAAAGGTACGTGATATAACAAATAATACGTACGACATGTAATGGAAAATGCAAAAAAAGGAATCGGTCGGCCTATTGAGGACCGTATGATTGGTGGCAAGAACTGCTTGTTCTTGCCCACTACTGGAGTCGAACCAATTGCCTCCTCATTACTAGTGAGGCGCTCTACCGATGAGCCAAGCGGGCTTGTTGTTGAAGATAGGCTCTTTATCATAAATAATACCACTAGTCAATTTCTGCTACTATCTAAGACGCAGATCCAACCCGGAACCTCATTGGTTAATATTTGTGGCAAGGAGACCCCAGGTCTTATTAAATGGTACATTATTTGTATAGATATTTAGATATATAAAGGCTAATATGATATAAAATATGGTTTTTTTGTGAGTAAGTCAGTTGCCAGAAATTTATAAAAATACAAGTAGATACGGTAGGGACCCGCCTTCTACCTATATCCTTGGGGCTTGTAGTTAGCTATATTATTAGGTAGTATCATAAAATCAACTTCTGGTATCTCACCTCCCACCTGTGCAATCCAGCACATATCTCACTTCTAGCTATCACCTCATAAAGAAAACTTGCGAAAAGCTTTAAAAGAAAGGCCATGGTTATTCAACTTCCATTCTTCCAATATACCGAGACCATTGTCTAAGCTCCAGTTTCAGCATGCCTCTAATTTAACAGTGCTACCAGTTAATTTCGTGAGCAGGTCTTGCCGGAGGCATTTGCCATCGGGAGCATTGTCGAAGGACAGTGTTCATGTCGGTTCCTCTCTGAAATTCACTTTGGCACGGGCAGAGATACTTGCAGGGGGTATAAAACTGAATTCCAGATCTATATACCGCGCCGTCCAAATGAAGAGTACTGCAAGAACCACAGGCCCAGGAGAAACTCACAAAGTCGAAGGATTGACGCGCCAAACTTTTGAAAACGTTGGTAAATTGAATCCGTACCCTCATTGCGCATGCATTCAGCAAGCATACTGCATCGTCTTTTCACGCCACAAGATGTGCCGACGACGAATGAGTACATGGCCAGCCAGGCTGTGAAATGCATTCGTTGTCTGTGACAACTACTCGACTTGCTTCTCGCAGCCAATTCTTCCCAGCAACTCTTTCCTATCACTGTGTCCTGGTAGATTGACGCCAGACGAGGTTGCAACACGCTTCACACCAGCGCGTCGCTCCCAGCCCTTCAGATCAATTGCCTCGACGCCCACTTCCTCTTCAAGGGGTTGTGCCTCCTCGTATTCGTATTCTTCCTCTTCCTCCTCTCCTGCTTCATCATCGCTTCTGGGGTCATCGGCATTACCACCTTGAAGAACACGTATAACGAGTCGCACGATCAAGTAGAACCACGACAGAGTGATCACCTGCAGAACCAGGAGAACGGAAAGGAATCCGCCAGCAATTCCCTCATCGAAGCAGACTGTGCCAGCGGGGTCGCGAAATGGTTCAAGAAGATGCGAGAAGCCTTCAGGCGCCGAGAACGGACCAACGAGATCCTTGCCGAGGCCGCGATAGCAACCGAGGTTGATATAACGCGGAATATCAGCGTAGATACTCCAGCATACAGCCAGGTAGGCGACGTGGCGGGCGAGGAACCAGGATACCACGAATAGGCCAAATGTCATGTCGCATGCTGTGGTGAAGCCCAGATACTTGAGGCATTTTGCAAGCTAATGCAAGTATCAGTATAACATGTTAACAGCCAAGAAAGCCACAACTTACAGGGAAGAAGAGGTCTACAATATCCATAAGAACCAGAATCAGGTGGCCGACTCTTGTTTGATGGTAGGCATACGACGCGGCAATGAGGCCAATGGTAAGGAAGTGGTGCGTCAACATCTGCCAATGATCCTTGCGGCGCTCCTCAATGTGAATAACCAGCACCTGTTGCAGCCAGAAAGCCCATTGAGCAAGCATGTAGGCCTTCATGACACCATCAACCTCCCTGATGGGCCAGTTCATCCATAGCTCCTTTAGGTTCAAGTAGTATGGCGACTTGTAGTAGAGATACTGTGCTAGAGATCAGTCGATTGGGCACTTGGAATGAGCCATTGTATGTTTATGAGAGCACTCACGAATCCGAGGGGCCAGAAAATGAGATAGTACGTCAAGAGCCAGGCCTGCTCCGCAAATCGTGTCATATCCTTCTTCTTCGAGATACCCCAGAGCTTGGCCAGTGGCGCAAGGACATTTTCCATACAGCCAGCCCGCAGGCCGGTAAAGAGGACAATACAGAAAGCAATAAAGTAGTTATCACCTGGCCCGGTGGTGTACAAGCCAGACTCCGCGTCGTAGTGTGACAGGGTGAAGAATCGTGTAGTGTAAGGTCGCGCCTTGGGCATCAACATGTGCGTAAGGAAGAGAAGGGCGATTAGGTTGAACGAAAAACCTGTCAAAAGACACAAGATTAGGCTATTGGTCTCTCATTGATGCACATAGGGTCTTTTTTGGCGCCATGAGGAGGCCAAAACGGACAGCTTAAGCATCTGCCGTGCGACTTGCTGTTGATGGTGGTGGGGCAGCAAACCTGTTTGGATGAAAGAACTTACCGAACTGATTTTCCAGGAACCAACGAGACAAGCTCTTTAGAGGGCCGTCACCTTTCCTCCTCACTCTGCGAATGAAAACCTTGTTGTTCGAGTTTTGCATGTACAGAGGACCATTCATGCTGGAGTTGCTCGAGTTGCGCGACTGGACGGATGGCCGTACCGGAGCTCTGAGGTGCTGGTTCTCTGCCGGCTTTGGCTGTTCAATGGTCGGCGAGGGCGGGCTGGAATTTGGGAGCTGCTGCGCGACCTGCTCGACATTGGGAGCATTGTGACTGGAGTCGTCCATGTTGGAACTTGATATGCGACCCCGGGGGTCCTGTGGAGAGACTTGATCAAGCAATTGCGAGTCCGAAGACGGCCAATTGAACGTCTTATCAATCTACGCGACTTGAGCACTCGGCGGCCGCGGGAGACGAAGACGGAAATTGTCGAAGAAGCGGTCTGTGGCAGAGGCAACGCGCGATTGAGGTACACTCTTGGTTAACAGTAGATGCTGTGGGAGGAGCAATTCTGGCAGCAGGCGTCGTGTGGTGTTCTTAGGGTTGTTCTGTGTGCTGCAGGAGGAGCCGCGAGAGGGTTTGGAGACAAAACGAGTGTCGGACCAGTAGTTGTATGGATGTTTCCCGCCTCAGTGGTCAGGCATTGACACAGGCAATGTTTTCCGTCGGCAAGATAACAACACCACTCTATACCCAGCGAGTGAGAAGAAGAGTGTTTCTTGTTGTCTTGCTTCCAATTGAGAAGCCAAACAAGAGACAGACCGGACAGATATCAGAGGCAGACAGAGAGAAGAGGGACACAACAGACCAAGCAAAAGACCAGCAACAGTCAGCCAGCCAGTCAACTGAAGAAGAGGGCCCCGACTGGGGGACTAGAAATCGTTGAACTGCAAAGTGCCAGAATACAGTGGGTCCCCCGCCCGCAACGAAACGCAGAGCGGGTCCTTAGCTCGAAGCAAGCACCCTGGCCTTGGAGGTTCCACTCGCAACCACCAAGTTATTATGTAGGTGACCTTGGTCGGTGCAGCAGCGGCGGCAACAGACCAGTCACGAATTCGGGAAAAGGAAAGTCGATGGGTTGATTCGACTTGGCTACAGAGACGATCCATGCATTGCTAATGAGAGACTGAGAAAAAGAGAAAGAGAGGCTGGAGGGTACGTGGGCGTTGGCCCCCCAGGCGGTGAAGGACAATACTCAAATGTAGTATGCTGTATACTATTCATGGTATGTACCCCATGTTGAGCCAGCTACCTAGTTTGGTTGCGATAGCCTCTTCTTTTTCTGTGTCATTTGATTATAACCAAGATATCCTTACATTTGCAAACCTACGCAACTCAAAAACAGACATGTTTCTCCTTTCATCAAATACTTCCAATCTTTTTTCTTCATGCAATTTATGGGACCTCCTATTATGAAGAGCTAGAGATTTGTTATGGAAGCTACTTAGCACTCTTGGCCACTTGGAGCTCGGCCGATAGAACCAAGCAGAAAAAAAAAAGGGATGAGGGGCAAGGGCTTTTCAACTGTCCAGGCTTTGTGTTTTTTTCCCTCTTAACTTTTTCTCCTCTTACTTTTGAGTTCAGGGGTCCTGCTAATCCATCCAGATCTAGGGCCTTTCCCGCCACCAAGTTGCCAAGCAAGGTCAAGTTGCAAGGAGAAGAAAACAAGCTGCTCCAATTAAATTGGGTTGCACTGAGCACAGATCGGATGTCACTGAAGTCGATCTACCCTACCTACTACTATATCAGTGTTGTAAAATAGCACAACAATAACTTCCTTTCTTCGTGTTTGTAGCTGATAGATACCGGCATGACACGGGGTATGTTCTACCTAATCTTTATCGAATACATCTCCATGGACAAACATATTAATACATGAGTTGCAGATTCCGAAATCAGCGCGTCTTCACTGCAGCATCCTAAGTAGCAGATTCTACATGGTTCTCCTAATTCTCATCACTTAACAAGTGCCAATCACAACTTCCCGTGTTACATGATCATCCCATCCACGCATTGGCAAGAAATCTAGCCAAAACCGCGAATTACACAGTCCCGTTTGAGAGGCAAAGAGGGGCTTTACTTAATTCAGTTCTAGACTCTGTCGCCCTCAGTGTTGAGACTTGTGCACCATCTTTGATCTGTATAAATAAGCATAGTCTCGAGCATGTATTGCTCGAGCTGTAGTCCGGACTCTTTTCCGTACGTCGGCGACGCCCACCAAGTATACCTACCTACCCACCTTGTACCCCATCACCATCTTCCCCGCAGCAAAGACCCAAAAACAGATCTAGACACACAGCTATTGCTGCAATGCCACACGGTGAATGACAGACCAATGGTATTGTCATGTCCGTAAGTTGGCGCAAATGTCTAAAACATGACACGGGCCGTATATTGCACACACCTTGATATATACCCGAGATCGATGGCTACCTCAAAGCGTGACTGGCTGTCCATCATATGAGCCAATGTCTATATAGTTGCCCAACACTTTGGTGGACTGCAACACCCGTCGCACACAGAGGCGCATATACTTGTTACCCGGCTGCTGCCCAGCTGAACTCGTTGCAGTGTGTCATGATAGGATGAAGATCAAAACCATCATAATATGATGAATATAAATCTTGCCTGTCGTGTAGAAAAGGATAATTTGCTTATTCAGTAAGCTGTGTAGTTGCCAGCTCTTTGAACTTTCAGGATTGATGCTCTAGCATTTGATCTTTGGATGGGCAAGAACTACAGGATGGGCAAGAAGCATAAATCGCCCAATTCTACACTATGTCACTCGAGCCACTTGTAGCTGTCAGTCATCAAAGATCGCCACACGTGGCTCACGAGATCTCGATAGACGGTAACAGGATGTGGTGTCCAATTACAATACTACCAGGCGCAGCACGTGCAAGGGCCATTGTTTGGTGCGCCCACTGCTAGGCCCTCCCGCCAGGTGCTGGAATCCCCCAGAATTTTTGATGCAGCCCATCAACATTAACTTGGTTAGGCGCCCCGAAGCTTCCAGTGGCCGGCCTGAGCTTCTTCTGTGCGCCGCGGTAGAACAGCGCTGGCTGCCTACAAGGTGCCTAATGAACTGCTGACGTACGCGACGGTAATCTTACATTGAGCCACGGACATTCCTTCCGGCGGCTTCGTCACTCTCTTTCACCTTTCACCTACAATTCAATATCGCGAGCGTCTCTCATCGGCCAAACTTCATCTACAGGCTTTCTATCACGACTTGTAAGGAGCCATGGCAAGCACCGCCAAGTACCAGCCTGCCCCGACGCAGGACCCAGAGGAGGGAACCTGGAGCCAGGCCCCGCCCTCTTACCAGGCCGCTGGCAGCGCCCAAGATTCGGATCGCCTCTTCGGCGGCGGCGAGGCGCGCAGCAGCGAGGACAACATTCCCGATGATTTCAAGTTTGGCGGCTCCGTAGCTGAGGCCACCGTCGACATCCGAAACCAATTTATCCGCAAGGTCTACACCATTCTGACTGCGCAGCTCATTGTCACGGCCATTGTCAGCGGCCTCAGCTTCTGGAGTGAGGGCTACAAGGCCTGGATCCAGTCGCACCCCGGCCTTGTCTTCGTTTCTGTATGTGACAAGCACCTGCATCCACACACACATACACACGAGTACTAGCTGCTAACCTTTGATTGCCAATAGCTTTTCGGCGCAATCGGATTTATGCTTCTCACCTACTGGAAGCGCAAGTCCTACCCGACTAACCTACTCTTCCTGAGTGGCTTCACACTACTCGAGGCATACTCTGTTTCGGTCATCGTTTCGTTCTACAAATCATCCATCGTGCTGAATGCCGTCTTCCTGACTGGAGGCATCTTCATCTTCTTGACGCTCTTCGCCTGCCAGACCAAATACGACTTCACATCATGGATGCCGTACCTCTTTGGCGCTGTCTGGGGATTGATCCTGTTTGGCTTCATGGCCGCCTTCTTCCCCTACAGCAGTACCGGTGAACTTATCTACGGTGGTCTAGCAGCCTTGATCTTCTCTGGCTATATCTTGGTCGATACACAAATGGTTATTCGCCACCACCACGTTGAGGAGGAAATTGCTGCAGCCATCAGCCTGTACTTGGACATTCTCAACCTGTTCTTGGCCATCCTGCGCATCTTGAACAGCCAGCAGAACAACTAGTCAAAGAAAATACTCGAATGTCATATTGCTAACGCCACACCTAAGCAGACTAGGGCACGTTGGATTTTCGAAAGAGTCGGGAGTATAAAGGCTTTGATTGTAAAGCTGTCACGAAAGGAACACAAGAACCTGAAAATGGAACGAGAGGTTTTGCTTTGTAATTGCACCCCTCCCAGCTATGGTTTCTGAGCATGGCATCTTCATGGGCGTTGCAAATGTATGTTTTTCTTCCAATAGCCGTTAAATTGAGTCCACTGTCTTTTCCCAACCTCAGAAAAGAACGTGGTATGTTCTGGCGAAATAAAGACATGGTATCAAAGCGCAACTCTGGTCCAAATTTTGTAGATTCATCAAATGTGCCACGTGGTTTCAAGGTTCGCTCCATTCTTGGAAGTCACATCTTACTTTCTGATAATGATGCATCGATCAAGTGCCCATTTGGAAGAAATTATTTGTTCCGCCCGACATGGAAGCCTTGCATGTACCAATAGATGACCGCCAGGGCCTACTTCAGAAAGAGATTTGCACCGGGCGACATGCCGTGTTCCTGAGTCTTTGTAGATCGTGAATAGCAATACTGATGGTTGTGTCATAAGAAAGTGGCCCCAACCTCATGGCCGTAACTCGAAGGGTCATAGATGCATAAGCTATTCATCACACGGCTTCAACGCTGCGCAAGCAGATACTATTTACACTGCAGTGTCATTGTTAAGTTATACTCTGATACAGTCTGTATCCACTGTCCTTCTCAAATCATAGACTTGTCACCCATCAATCACCAGTTGCTTGGTAGTCACGTCTCTTGGAAAGCGAGGACGGTATCTCAAATCTGCATTAGAAGGCCAATAGTGCTAGGAAAGGTCTCGGCATCATTTTAAAAAGTAAAAGGGTAGTAAAATAGTAAGTAAAGAGACAAGGCGGCAACTCTCGCGAAGTATTACATCAAGCAGGCGGGAATCCTCGTCCATGGTCTTCAGAAGTCGTCAATAAGTAGTAAGTGATATGATGGCTCGTCATATCAGATCAGGAATCCGTAGCTCAATGCCACTTGCAACAACTGCCATGTCTGCGTCGCGCAACACGTCGACTTCCCGCCGAAGTCAAATTACAGTTTTCACCAGAACCACGACGAAGCCTCTATCTGTCGTTCCTTGCAACACCGCATCTCGAATTAGTGGCCCCCTGATCTGTAAAAAATAAATAAATGCGAGTAGGTGCAAATGCCGCCGCCGTCACCTCTCAAGGCAAATTGCGAGGCAAGAGGGGATATCAAGACATCCAACGCCTGCGAATCCGTGCTTTTGTCTGGCCACCATTGCGGTAGATATCGTAGAGAAAAACAGATAAAGGTCAGAATATGCGTAATTAAGCCTCGTGGTCGCCATTGGCTTCGGGAATCGGCGATGCCTGGGAAAGAGCAGAGGCCTCGCGCTGCATCCGGGCCTCTATCTCGCGGAGCTGGGATTCGCGAGCAAGCAGCTCTTGGCGCTTCTCGTTGATCTCGCGCTGGACCTTGATCTCGATCTCGCGCAGCTTCTCCTCCTCGCGGCGAAGTTGCTCCTCCTTGAGTCGGACGGACTGTGATGCGAGGTCTTCGGGGTTCATGGAGGAGTCACTGAAAATCAGGTTAATATAGTCCATGGAAAAGGTGTCAGGGAATACATACACTCCAGCGCCACCCTCGACGCTCTTGCTGAGCTTCTCGGTACGGTAGTTCTCGTACAAGAAGTCGTGGGTAATCTCCTTGAGATCTGCAAGATGACTGTGGAGGAGAGCCGAGCGGATAGCAAGGAAATCCGAGTGACGAGGGTTGTCAACCTCCACGACACCCCAGGGGTACTGTCTGGCGCGGACCGTACGACCACCAATCTCGATGATATCTTCAGAACCGACAATGGCGAATGGCATGAGACCTCTCAGCTCGGCGTTCTCCTCGACTGTGTCCTCATCATCCTCCTCAATGTCGTAGGGGAAGTTGTACACGGGAATGCGGTAGTGCTCGATATCCTCCATGACCAACTTCTTGGATTCAGCCAGCTCGTGGGGCGTGAGAGAATCGGCTCTACCGATGACGGGAATGACATTGACACGGGGAGCCAGGCGCTTCATCAGCTCGATGTCAAGTTCACGAAGACTATGGTCACTAGTAAGCAACACATCACCAAACGAGATAATACAAAGGTGTGCTCAACATACCCGTGACCAGTTGGGGTAATGAAGTAGAGCATAGCATGGACACGGTTGTCCCTGAATCTGGGGTTACGCTTGATACGCGACTCCTCGGCCAAGATATCATCATATTGTCTCTCGAGATAGCCAACAATCTCTGAGAAGCTGTTCTGATTGTTAGCACACGTGGCACTCATTGATAACAATGCGCAGTGCGACGAACCTCGCTTCATTGTCAATTTGGTCACCGAAACCGGGTGTGTCGACGATGGTTAGGGAGATACGAGTACCCTCCTCGTCCAACTCAAGCTCTGTTAGAATATGTCAGTAACCAGTACGACCAGGAGACGGCGCGCCATGTTTTAAGGAGCCATTGACGCCGGATATTCGACATACCGACTGTGATAGGCTTGATCTTGACGCCATCCTCGACGTGGGCAGCACTGGCATCGTCCGAATCCTTGTGGGCTAGCACGCTCTTGCCGCAAAGGGTGTTGACGAAGGTCGTTCTACCTGTGGAAAGGAGGTGAATATGTCAGTACTTTCTTGGCGCAACGGTATTTTTGAGGTGATCTGCCACAAAGGCTCGAGTGCGTGTCGGTATGGCGATTGACGCAACCGACACTATAGACTCGTAAAGGGCACTTCTTGTGGTGGAGAGTCGAAGATGGTGGTATGTACCTGTTCCTGAGGCACCGCAGACCATCAGGCAGAACTGGATTCCCTTCTTCACGTTCTTCTTTCGGCGAATCATCTTCTGTAGTGGCATGGAGGGTTAGCGGTTGGGATATGAAAAGAGTCCGAGACGTGGCAACGAGAGACCAAGGTCGGCTTTGTCTAATCGGCGATGTGATGATGGTGTTTGAACGAGTAGTCTTGAGCCAAGATTGGGTAAGGTGTTGCTCCAGACACCGAGACCAGGCAGGTTGGTCAGTCGGGTAGGTAGGTAGGTGCTCTGGGAAGTGGACGGGAGATTCGTCTCTGTGGATTCGAGAAAGGAGATGGATAGCAGGCGTCTAGCCTCTTGGGCAATGGGTCCTTTGGGCTTTCGAAATACGTACAGCTGGGGAAGACATAATGAGCTATCCTTTTCTTGGTCTGAGGTCTCGCAGAGGGCAATTTATGGACTGGGCGAAAATTAAGACCTTAGGTACCGCGTATCGTTGATGATTGAGGGGCGCCGAAGGAAAATATGAGGAAGAAACGCGAAACGGAAGACGGAGACAAATGCTGTCTTGAAGGAATGTAGTGAGAAAAAACGTGACGATGCGGATGTTCGTCCAAAAGTCGTGATGTCGCGGAAAAAAAGGGTATCTTCACACAAAAAAGGGGACTTGCACTCTGCTGGCCGTTGGGGGTTTGGCTTGAGGGATGGCAGATTGGCAGATTGAGAGGTCGGGGATCGGGTGTTACTCGTCCAAGCAGAGACCAGGACCAGACGACAAGAGAGGACAGACAGCCAAACAGAGAGAGTAACCGAGTGATTGACTGGAGGGCCGATACGTGCGTCTGTCCAGTGCGCGGCAAGGTACCTGCCTGCGTTCAAGCAATTTAGGTCGAGATCCCCAGTAATTAGCCCCAGAATTCCCGCTGGTGGTCGATGTTTCTGCTAATTTCACCACCACAAAAGTGCTGCAGGTGCTGTCGGCAGGGGTCCAGAGGTCGCGATCAACTGGGCAGGGAGCACTTGAAGTGGGCAGCTTTGGAGGGGGTCACGTCTAGAAATTTGGGGGAGCTTGGGAGGGAAACGTGCTGGGCAGTGGGCTTGCTGCGTGTTGCTGCTAGAACCTGCTGCCGGGCAAGCTTGGGCAAGCGCAGGGTCCAATTGGTCCACCGGCCGCTGATTAGCTGCTCAAGCTAAAAGGACAAGCCGTCAGGGGCAGCACAGATCGTAGACCCGCCGTTGCTTGCTGCCAATACAAATACTCCACAAACGCCCATTTGGGGTCAATTCAGGGGTAAGCAGGATATCAGAGGGAATGTTTACCTGCATACTACTACATTTGATTACTATGTCTGTACACATAGTACATATGCCGTGGGCACGAGTCTATGTACGTCCAGTTGAACCGTTCAAACAGACATCAAGCGAACACAGAGTTTCATGTGGCCGTGATGCAATAGTATAGTTCCAAATCATTACTGCAGCTGCGCGGCATTCTCACTTGGAATGGTCTTTCCGTTTAAAGATCCTATACGTGTTCAAACACTAGCGGCGGCATTTCATGTCCAGCTTACTGATGACTGTGACGACCTATTTGTTGGACACGAGCCCTTAGAGCTGGGTTTTGAATTACAGAAGTCATGACTCTTTCACAGCCGGCGTTCATTGTGACTATTCTGTCGCAAGCCGGAAAAGAGAGACTTTCGGCAGCTGAAAGGAGGTAGGATAGGTGAAATTTATTACAGGCCGTATTGAGAGATGAGTAAGATGATTCATATTCCCGCCCATGTGTATACCTGGTAGCCACGCGGAGTGACCACCGCCGGCACATTACTCTTTTTCCTTTCTTTCTTAAGTGTGTATTGACTCTATTCCTCGCTTTTATAAATTGCTCAAGGATGCTGTATGAGCTACAATCGTAGACACGGACTTGCCTGAAGATAGGCGGATTCTCGAGGAATCATGAGAGTAGCATGTTGCTAGGTATGTAATTTGTATCCAGTATTCATGATACTTGGCCCGTGCTTCCGTTGTCATCCCATGTTCCAGCTCAATCTCCGGATCAGCGTTGCGCATCTATCTCTGTCGCTTCCTCTCTGAATAATTCGGGAGGCGAATGAAAACATGTCCTTGTGCTCTAAGCTGACACAAATGTAGAACATGCTTTTCTTCAAGTAGGCTCCTATAAAGGCCATGGAGTTCGAGGCTCTTTCATCTTTTGCCCATGGTCATCTTTGATACATTAGGCTGTAGGTTTCACCAACGTCGGCAGGTTCCCCGCTAGGACTGTATGGTGCCTGTAGCTACACTATTACCTTAAGTTAGGAACTCCAACAAGCACCAGTTCATTCACCTTGCAGGCTACAGCACATCACCGGTGGACTACTCTGGTATCGTCTGAGCCGACTGACTCTGCCTGGGGCAGAACCAGCTGGATTCTCTTCTTCTTTCCCTTCTCGTAGGCAGGCTGTGCGATCTTTCTATACTTCTCTTCCTGTATAAGGATGCCACAGAGCCAACACATGATCTTACGTTGACTACCCCCCTCAACCAGTCTGACTAGCGCATTCTCCGTCTTGTTCCACGCCAAGGTGACTTCATACCGTGCTGGGACAACATGAAATGAGAGCATCACCCGCTCAACCAAACAACACAAAATCATTCGTTTCACGCCCGGTGGTACACAGCCTACGATGAATACCAGGCCCCCGATAGAGGCTTCCCATGAGCCGACCGTGCTATCCGTTGCCTTTAACAATGATGCCAGCCGCTTCAGCATCGGTCTTAATACCGGCCTCTGCGGTATGTATAACAGTCGCATAGTCCTTCCGTGCGGGATCGTCTCACTGATAGCCGCCTAGTATTTCACACCTCGTCGTGTACTCTCAACATGTCTCGTGAGTTTAACGGAGGCCTGGCTCTAGTGCAGATGATGGGCAGTTCCAACTACATTGCACTGGTTGGAGGAGGACGATCACCAAAGTATCCCAACAACAAGGTCATGATCTGGGACGAGATCAAAGGAAAGGTGGCCCTGGAAATCACTGCCCTCACTCCCATCCGTGGAGTCCAGTTGACCAGAAAACACGTCGCTGTGGTACTACAAAATAGCGTTCGGCTTTACGAATTCACGAAACAACCCAGGCCCCTTGCAACGTATGAGACGACAGATAACCTTCTCGGCCTGTGCTGTCTTACTGAGCGGCTGCTCGTCTTTCCAGGCCGGACGGCGGGGCAAGTCCAAGTTGTCGAGCTGGCTACGGAGAATGTGAGCATTATTCCGGCTCACACATCGCGACTCCAGGCATTGCAACTATCCACGGACGGCGAACTACTGGCAACAGCGAGCGAGAAGGGAACCATCATTCGTGTCTTCTCAACATCCAGCTGTGCCAAGATTGCAGAGAGGAGGCGAGGCAGCGAGTTTGCACAAATCTATTCATTACGATTCAGCCCCAGCGGGCAGATGCTTGCTTGCACAAGCGCCAAGGGCAGTCTGCATGTCTTTGATGTCTCAGCTCCGGGAAGAACCAACCTGCTTGGATCGAGTCCTCCAACACAGTCACCAGCAGCAGCAACCGGAGCAACCGCGAATGCAGGCGATGCCAGTACAAATAGATGGGGCTTCCTCTCCAACATTCCGTTTGGACCTTTCCAGGACACATATTCATTTGCAACGGCAAAGTTCGAGCTTGGTGACGAGCCGCTAGGCGCTGCTGCCACCGAGAGCACAGCAGTTCTTGGCACGACACGACCCATAAAAGGCGTCATTGGTTGGGCAGAAGAGGAGTGCCTAGTCGTTGTGGGCGCAGGGCAGGACGCTCGTTGGGAAAGGTTCATGTTAACTACAGACGAAGGTGGTGCCCGAGCCCTGGTCCGGCGAGGATGGAAGCGGTATCTCGGCGGCGGAAGTTAGGCATGCCATCAGCCGGGTGTTCGCACATATGATATGAGATTTTTAGAGCGACATGGTCTCGGAGTTCTAGGGCCAGCGGAATGGGTAATTTTTATTGATTTCAAACTACACGCTGCCTTCTGTGATCATTTATTCTCATGGCCACGTGGCGATCTGCTCCTGCTTCTTCGATGACTCCTACGATCCTGGTCATAATCCCGTGTTCTGTGACGATGCCGTTGGCCGTCACCTTCTGCATCTCGGTCTCTCCGACCATCTCGATCGCGGCGCCTCTCGGAATCTTCATGGTCGTCCCGTCGCCGGCGGTCTCTATGCCGTTCTCCATCACGGCCGTGGTCACGGTTCCTGCGATCCCGGTCCCGATCTCGAGCATCTGGGGTACCATCTCTGCGACGATCCTCTGCCAGCGGCGTTGCATCTCGTTTCGACCGTCTCTTTTCACGGTCGTCTTCGCCTTCACCCGACCTGTGCGATCGGTGAGTCCTGTGGTGATGCCTATGCTTGTGTTTTCTCTCTTTCTTTTCTGCTCTCTGTAAGGCTTCTTCAACCTCTTTCTTCTTTTCTTCAACCAGGAAAGCCTTCATAGGATCGTCCTCATCATGCTCGGCAATTAGCTTGGCGAGCTCCTTCTCTTCTTGAATCAGTGGTCTTCTGACCACTTCTTGCTCCTCTTCACTTTCACTTTCACTCTTCTCGCCATGGTCCTGGCGCTCTTTCTTCTTGAGATCTTCCCAGCCCACCCGGAACTCGCTATCGTCTTCGTCGTCTCGTGACTTGTATCGCGCATGATCGACTCTGATCAGTCTCCCAGCAATTTCGGCTCCTCCAAGATTGTCCACTGCAAGATCGCAACTCCTTTGGTCCTCATACTTTAGCCACCCAAAGCCTTTGCTCTTGCCTGTCTCCTTATCCCTTGCAAGCTTCAGGAATACTGGCTCGCCGAATTGCGAAAAGATGGTCAAGACATCACCCTCGGACAAGTTGTAAGGCAGACCACCGAAATTCACAAAAGCTGTATCGCGGTAGTCGGCGTGCCAGGAAGCAGCAGGGTCGTAGATTCCTGCCTCAAGCTCGCGCTTGTTCAATGTTTGAATCTGGCGGATCTGGTTCATGATGAAACGAGAAGCTGAAAAGTGCTGCTTCCGTAGGAGACTTCAGTCGCACAGAAAATTATTGGCGAGGGTGAGCCCCGTGATAAAATCGGCGTCTCACGGTGAACTCTTGATTGAGATTTGTGTAGTATGAAGTAGTATCTTGGTAGAGTCTATTGAAGAGAGATGCATTTTTGATTCTTGGAAGAAGGCTGAAGACGGACTGCGCAAAAGAAAATCGAATAGCTACAAGGCTGAAAAGCCCCAGGCAGTGACGTGGATAGCGACTGGGGCGCTGAAACATTACATAGGTCGCTAGCGGATAGATACATTTGAGCTCTATGAACCCCGCCAGACGTTTGGCAGGCTGTCGCTGGGGAATCATCGGGCCGCTGCTCAGCTGCCTATGTACCTGCACACCCGACGCTTGGTAGTAGGTACCTGTAACTCACTGCTAAGGTCAAGCTCGCTGCATGTGGTCAAGCATGACCCCAGCCGTAATTACAGGTACCTAATCTAGCGGTAGTACAGTGCACCTTTGCCGAGAACCAGTCCAAGGGGCTGCTGGGCTGCAGCAACTGAAGTTCTGAGACCGAGATCTCTTTGGCATGGGATGAAATTCATGATTGGAACGAAACACCAGCTGCCGCCCGTTTCTTTTACTCTGGGGAACGATACGAGCCCTTGCCTCATGGTGTCTTTGTTCCACCACCAAAAATCACAGTCCCTCTTGTCGACCCACCGCTTTTCCTACTGCCAACCGAGCTTTGAGACCCGTCAACACGCGTGCTTGGAGCTGGGTACAGACGCGCCGTGTCGCACAGCTTGAGCTTCACCAAACCCGGGCTGTGTCTGGCCAAATTCCAATTTGGCGTGTTATAGAGCGCTGGCAATGCTGCCAGTTTGCCGCTCCCCAGTATGACGGCAAACATGAATCGCTACTCGACGTACACGTCCACTTCCGCCGGGCCTGGCGATGGCGAAGAGAAGAAGAAGGACATGTGGAGCTCCATGCTTGACGATGTCGCCAGCGGCAAGAGGCTACCCGAGAAGAACATGCTGGTCCTAGGTACTGTTCACTGAAGTATGGCTTGCATTCTGCAAACATTTGCTGATCCCACAGAGTAGGAGGATCGGTAGAATCGCAACGAGACTTCCTCGAATCTCTGTCGAACAACGAAAAGAGGCGCAACCTGGACCGATCAAAGGACAAGATCCCACCGATAGCGAATAGTTATGCTCTTGGATACACATATTACGATGTCCTCGATGCAGATCAGGATGGTAGGTTGATACCAAGGCAACACGACACAGGTGGCGAAGCTATGTGAACCTGCTAACACACTTTGCTCAGATACCTTGGCGCGTGTCTCTCTATACCTCCTCTCAACACCTTCTCCAGCTTTCACTTCTCTTCTCAAGCCGCTTTTGACGAGACAATCGATTCCCAACACACTGATCGTAGTACTGCTGGACTGGTCACAACCTTGGACTTGGATGCGCCAACTGCGGGATTGGATTCTGCTCATGCGAACGGTTATAGCTTCCCTCAGTCTAGAATGTAAAGATGTCTTGCAAGAGAATCTGGATACCTGGAAGGACAGAGGTCGAGGAGGCAGCGCTCTCAACCTTGATGGCACGCCTGCTCTGACTTCAGAAGGTGACGTTCCTTTGCCTGTTGGCCAAGGTGAATGGGATGAACCTCTAGGTCTACCTCTTTGTGTAGTCTGCCAGAACGTATGTTTACTCACTCATTGTTTTCCAAATTTAACTAATATCTGTACAGGCCGAGAGGATGGACTATCTGGAAAAAAGTCAGAGCTGGAAAGAGGAGCAGTTTGATTTGGTTTTACAATACCTCCGAACGGTCCTACTGAAGCGTGAGTTTTACGTCTCATTTACCGCACACTGTTTAGAATCTTTACTCAATCATTCTCAGATGGTGCTTCTCTGATATACACAAGTCCCACGGGGGACACACCACTGCAGAGTCTCATACACGCGAGTCTCGGGATACATTCACTCTTGAAGCGCGCACCGCTTAAGCACAATGTTATCGACCGAGACAAGATTGTCGTGCCGCCAAACTGGGATTCAACCAGTAAGATCATGGTACTGAGAGATGGCTTTGATGTAGATGCTGTTAGCAACGGGTGGAGCATTGATATCGATCAACCATTTGTACTGCCATCAAAGCCAATTGAGACGACTGGTAATGAGGATGAGCCCGATGGGTCGATTATTCCCGTCAGCGGTCCCAGTGAGGGTCTTGTCCAAGATCCGGAGGGCTCTGCTGTCACCCTCTATGAATCTCAGGTTCAAGACTCTAGTCTTGATGCACTACATCTTGCGCAACAAAAACAAGACACTACGAGGCTCGAAGTAGAGGCTGCAAGCGCTCAGGAGTTTCTCGCGACTTTGGTCCCCCGAGTTGATGCCGAGAAAAAGGTTGACGAGGAAGAAGGTAAACAGTTTGCGCAGAACAGCACAACGACCACGGAAGAAATCATTAGTGATCATATTGGCCCTGTCCAATTCAATATGGGAGGTATTCAGGTCGATGCCGATGACATGGTTCAGAGACTCAAGGTAGGTGCCACTTTGCAACCCATTCCGTCGACTCATCATGCAAAGGACTGGACTAATGATAATTACAGGAACGGCAGTCATATAGTCAGACACCCGAGCCCGTCGCAGACGAAGAAGAAGAACTTGGCTCGAGCAAGCCAGTTGATACTGAAAGGCTGGCACAGTTTTTCGGTAATCTCATGAATAGGAAGCCTGGCGCGGGAGGGAAATGATTGGCCATATGAGAGGCCCAGAAAGGGCTTGAGCAAGCCTTACTCAACATGTGTGTTCCACAACGGGGTGAAAGAAGTAATGCCGAGACTCGACGCAAGGGCCTTGTCAAGCTTATTGGCCTCTGGACCATGTTTGCTTGTGAGTGTATGGCCGAGGTTGTGGTGGGTTTGAGGTTGGCGCCACCACGTACATTTGACGTGTACGAACAGACCATAGAATCGATACCCAGAATTTTTGAGAAATAACTACTACAGTCTTATATGAAGCAGCTCTCGGTGACTTCTGAGCGGCATTTTAATCCACTTTGGCGTTGTGCTACTATATTACGTCTGGGATTAGCGGCGCACTGGAATTAATCTTTTTTGTCCCAGTGATGGCTGACAGCATAGGTCATCACATTGGCCTCGAGTGAACGGTCTGTGACAATGTATGAGCAATACCCAAATGCCGCGAAGAGTTTGCCTCACTACAGTGAACCGGGCTCACCCGAGACTCTAATAAGCCTTTTTGCGCCACATGCAGTAGCTGGTGTCGATCATTCTTATCGCTGGCAATCCCCTCCTCGCCGCTTGGCTTGGTGGTGGGGTTTGTATGGCGAGTCGCAACAAGACCCTCAACCCCTCCAAATACCACCTAATAACCTAGGTCATTGGGTACCACTTGTACCTATATTTATTATTTAGCTACATTTACCTTGCATTTTGTTAATCCCCTGCATTTCGTTTGCAAGCGACCCAAAAAAAAAAGAGGCTTCGTCGATTCCGCCACCTGCTCGTCGGACATGACATTATAGTCTCCTTCTTTACCTTACATCGAAGAACGAATTCTACCAGGAGAAAAGGTCGACAAGATGATGTCGGCAAAGCTGCAGGAGTCGGCGGCCACCGGAGCTCAGAAGCCCACGACAACCCGGCCAGCCGAACAAGCTACAACGTCTTCCATTGAGCCGTCCCAGGCCCTGAAGAACATGGCAGCCAGCGGCAAGAGTCCCTACGTTCAGTCGCAGAAGGACAGTGCCATCAAATGGCAGCTCTGGGGCTCCGAGTCCATCGAGCGGGCAAAGAAGGAGAACAAGCTCATATTCTTGCACATTGGCTTCAGCGCGTCTCACTACTGCTATCTCACGATTCAGGAGTCATTCTCGAACCGCAACGTCGTCGACCTGCTCAACAAGCACTTTATTCCCATCATTGTCGACCAAGAGGAGCGGCCCGATCTTGATAGTATATACATAAACTATGTCCAATCGCTGAACAGCGCCGCCGGCCACCCCCTAAATGTTTTCCTCACGCCCGAGCTCGAGCCTGTCTTTGGAGGCACCTACTTTCCGAGCCCCGGCTCCCACCAGATTGATCAAGAGACGGGCGAGGAAATTGCGGACTTCCTCATGGTTTTGCGCAAGGCCGAGTCAGCATGGGCGGAACAAGAGGCACAGGTTCGGGCTGATGGAAAACAAAGTGTTGAGGATGTGCGCAAGATGACGAGTGAGGGAACAATGGGCCAAACGCGAGATGCCCAACCCACGCCCAGCTCCTCTGGTGATCTCGATATCGACCAACTCGAAGAAGCCTACAGCCATATTGTCAAGACCTTTGACAGAACACATGGCGGTTTTCTGCATTTGCCGGCCACTGCGCCGTCTAATTTCTTCTCGGGAAGCATCCCACTTGACCAAATGAGAGAAGCTTACGATCTCATCAGAAGTACTGCCAAATTTCTGACACCTGCGAAGCTCTCCTTCCTCCTCCGGGCCACCCAGTACTCACAAATCGTCATCGATATTATTGGAGATGAACTCAGTTCTGAATGCTCAAATTTCGCTCTCAAAACCCTCATCCACATGGCGAATGGTGCAATCCATGATCAGGTGAGCACTGGATTCCACCGCTGCTCGACGACATGGGACTGGTCTCTTCCCACATTTGAGAAGATGCTGTCAGACAACGCGCTGGCCCTTGGGATTTACCTTGATGCTTGGCTTCTGCAGGGTGCCAAAGCCAATGACCAGTTTGCCAAGGTTGTACTTGAGCTCGCGGATCACCTGACTACCGCGCCAGTCCTGCTAGGAGGCGGTGGTTTTGCGTCCAGCGAAGCCGCAGACTCTAGCAACAAGCAAGGCGACAGCGTGCTGCGTCATGGGGCATACTACTTGTGGACGAGAAAGGAGTTTGACACGGTCATCGGGGATGAGCAGCAGAGCACCGTAGCGGCAGCTTACTGGAACGTAAAGGAGCACGGAAACGTGGAAAAGGACCAAGATCCCAACGACGAGTACCTCAACCAAAATGTGCTTCGCGTAATCAAGACCCCAGCGGAACTCAGTTCCCAGTTCAAGATTTCAGAATCCGAGGCTATGCAGCGGGTGGAATCTGCAAAGGCGAAGCTGAACTCGCACCGAACGCGAGAGCGTCCTCGTCCAGCGCTGGACACCAAAGTCATTACAGCTTTCAATGGCATGGCGATTGCGGTTCTATCCCGGACATATGCTGCTCTCAAGGCCGCTGGTGGGTCTCGCCGTGAGTCGGATTACCTCTCTGCTGCAATTGGAGCAGCTCAATTCATCAAGAAAGAGATGTGGGACCCCAATACGAAGACACTGTACCGCATGTTCTTTGATGGCGGGCGAAGCTCGACCAAGGGGTTCTCAGGAGATTACGCCTTCTTGATTGAGGGCTTGTTGGAGCTCTACGAGGCTACTGCTGATGAATCTTGGCTCGAATGGGCTGATCAGCTGCAAGGTGAGTTTCATGCCATATCCCAGTCTTGGCATCTTTAGCTAACAGGGCTCTTGTAGGGGCTCAAATCGCCAACTTCTATGACAGCACCGATGCCGAACCTGACAGAAACAACGCCCGATGCGGCGCGTTTTATCGAGCGGCCAAGGATGAACCGTACAGCCTGCTACGTATCAAGGACGTTATGGATACCTCTCAGCCATCCGATAACGCCGTCTCTGCTGCCAACTTATTCCGCCTCGGTGCCTTACTCGATAGGGAAGCATACACGCGACTCGCACAGGAGACAGTCGATGCATTTGAGGCCGAGATCCTCCAGTATCCATACCTCTTCCCTGGTATGATGACCTGTGTAGTTGCCTCAAAGCTCGGAGTCAAGCGTCTTGTATCCATTGGGGATCAAGGAGAGTCTGTGAAGAAGTATCATCTCTCTCCCAGAGGAGGATTATCTACACTGCTCTTTTTCAAGCCTGAGAGCAAATTGACATCGCGGGACAGTAAATACTTGGCGCAACTCAGCAAGCAGCAACCCGGAGTTTACTCTATTGAAGCGGGTGGCCAAGTCCAGTCAAGCTAACAAATTCACACCTCATATCTCACTGCTGAGTTTCAATCATTCTCGGATGGTGCTTGGTATAATGATGCAGAGTTGGCACAGGCGTTTATTGAGGATTTATTGCATGGGAATTGGAGTTATGTGGCCTTTGGAGACGGGCTGCAGGAGAGATACCAATTTATCACGAGGCGTTCTACAGGGCTAAAGTCCGTATACGACACAAGCCTGGTTTGTGGTATCAAAGTTGGACAATCTCCAAGTACGTTCGGACGTTTTCGATCCAGGTGTGGCAATTTCATGCCCTGTACTGTTAAAGAAAATCCCGGACTTCCTCAGTTGTTTTAGCTGAATGCCAAGTTTGTACCAGGGCAAGCTTTTCTAGTCACGTTCTGATAAATCATTGAAACGCTGATGCCTTGTGTGAATCACAACATACCTGACCTGGTTATTTGTTCTACATGTCAATTAAAAGAGCTTATGCTCTGGCTAAGCTAGATATGCCAGCTTGCATCAGTTTTCTCCCGTGCCAGGATCCAGTGAACTTGGCTGAGTAGTGTTGTCTGGATCGGTAGTGAACGGCAAGGTTGACTGCAAGTTGTCGATGCGCCCCAGCAGGACCTCGAGCTGACGGTAGGCTGCAGCAGGTTGATAAGCTGGTACCTCGTGGCCACTCAGAGTTAGGGTCGAATAAGTCATGCCACGCTCCGTGTGTGCCGTACCGGCAATGCCAGCGCCGGCAGCGGTACCCAAGTCTGCCGTCTCGTGGTACGGGACGAAGAAGGGCTCCGTCGGACGCTCCTGGAAGCCGAGCTGGCCGCCCCAGGTCATGTTTTGGATGACAAGCAGCGTCTGGTTCATGTACAAGACCATGTCGAGGCGGCCGTGGACCAGGTGTACGTTTTGCGTGCGGTCAATGACCTTGGGAATTTGCACGAGAGAGGAAGGTGGTGAGTTGTCGCCGTAGGGAAAGGTGTTTTCGGTGCAAATTTCCCAGTCCACATCGACGGGCACGTGCAGCGCCTCCTTGACCTCGGTCCGGTTGAAGTAGACAGTTGGGGCTCCTGGCGGAGAGTACATGTTGCCGCCGGCAAAGCCAAGGGGATCATATAGTAGGGGACACTGCTCAACAACCTCGTAAATGTTGAAGCAGGGGTTAAGAAGGGCAATGGCGTCCCAGGTCTCATAGGTGATGGCGCATCCGTCAAGGTAATCTGTCTGGTTTTCGTTCCAACCCGGCTGTGCAGTGGGCTGTACCCCGGCTGGAGGGTACACGAGATACTTTTCCAGGTAGTCGGCATAGCCACAGGTTTCATGCTGTTCGTGGATGAGCTGGCTGAACGACTCGTTGAAGGGGAACACGTTGTGGTGAAAGTCGACAAAGGGAATTGTCACGATATCTCCATTGACGTCGCCAAGAACGCCGTCATACACGATCATGCCCGCCACGTCAAAGTACTCGGTATCGTTCTGGTCCAGCATGCCGCCAGCAATGTACGGGCAGTACAGACCACCGTAACTCTCACCAGTAATGTAGACCTTGTAGTTTTGCATGTCAAATGTGTCGACAAAGTTCTTCCAGAAGCCCCGGAACTGGTCGGCAACCTCGAACTCATCATGATAGGTTGCAACGCCCTGGGAGTAGCCGGTGCCGACGGGCTGGTCAATCCATATCACGTTGCTCAGGTGATGCCAACTCCATGGGTTTGGTTGAGGCCCGTAGGTTCCCGGGATCCAAGTGATCGGGCCGTTCTCCTCCAACAATGCAGACATGGACGAACAACCAGGCTACATTCGTGTCAGAAGTAAAGGCATCAATTGAGAGGCAATTTGCACTTACACCACCAGTAAACCAGAGGACAATTTCCTCCTTGGCAGCCTCATTGGTAGAGGGAAAGAACCAGAAGAACAACTCGGTGTCATTGGAGTTGCCAATGGGAAGAAGACCCGCGTAGGACTCTCCGATATCCCAATAAACATCTGGCAGTAAACTTCCATTGACGGCGAATTCTGCAAGAATTGGTTAGCTCTCGTGATTCCATTGGTATATGGCGTGGAGGACTGCTGCTGCATACGTTGCGTCTTCTCCGTCAAGAACTTGTCACCGGATTGGCGACTGGCGATTTGGGTCTTTTCATCCCGTGCTGCCGCGCGTGCTTGAGCCTTGTCCATCATAATCTCATTGTACTTGGCAATGCGGTGTGCAGGACTGCCAGGCTTGGAGGCCGAGACAGCCGTGGCCGTAGCCAGCGCGGTGAGTATACTAGCCCAACGCATATTTGGGAATGTCCTCACTATGCAGCCTAGGACGGAAAGAATACAAAAGCACGATTGTATAGGGGAAGGTTGAAGTCAAGAATTTTTTCAAACCAAGTTCTTGGTCGCAGCAGGACTATTTATAAGAGCAATAAAGAACTCAGCCTCCCGGGCGTCATACTATATATCGTACTGGATACTAGGTCGGTAGGCATCACATCACACTACATAAGTGCACGAGTCAACCTCGCCCGTCCAGGAAACTAAATATTGATGCCAGGGCCCCATGGACTTTTGGAGTGGTCCAGCGGGTAAGAAGGCCGACGCTATACTATGTATAGCTGCAGCAGAGCGGCGCGGTGTACTATTGTAGTACAAACGGCAGCAAATAATACGTCGAATCGCGAAGAAGCGATTCCTTCAAAGGATTTATCGCTGACGAACATTTCCGGGGTATATCACTGCTGGCAAGGTGATCATAAGACTTGGCGGACATGCTACTGCATAATGTAAGATCCCGCAGTGGTATGGTCCCATTAATTATCGACAAGGGGGGTTCTTTTCCTACTCTACTGGGAGCATTTCTACAACAAAAACAAGGCGTACAATTTGCCCCTTTGGGTCCATGGGCGGGAGAACCGATACAAACCGGTTACCGGCCGCCGTATTTGTCGCAAACGATTAACGGGAAGTCCTTTTGTAATGAATTGTTTTCGAGCTGCGGTTAGAAGAAAGCGGCCGCGTGCAGTTGGGATTGTCTAGATCCGTTCAATCTTCGTTCTTGGCAGGTCACCATGCAGACGGAGATGGTGGAATGCAGCCCTCGTCTATTCCCAACCAGGCTGATGATCTCAACAGTCAATACCACCGCGGAATAGCTTAATTGTCCTGCCTGCATGCGATCGGACTGCCAAGACCGGAAGGTACCGACCGCAACACTACAAGAGCGGGTAGAAAAGCTTCAAAATGATAAACAAATACTCGACGGTCGATTTATACATGCTTAGAAAGTACGAGGAAAGGTCTCGAGTCCATTTCTTGTCGATCATTACAGTGACTTGACCAGAGGAGGGCCGAGCGCCGTTCGTGTTCAATCGGCGCAAGTATAACGTCATTTGGTACCGTAGCTGCCTAATAATGTCCTATAATGTGTGGTAGCACTCAGCGTAACGAACCTTGTGCGACTAATAGCAAGGGCATCGCAAACATGAACCGCGGCAATCCGGAATGATTCAATGTTGCTTGTGTATCCATAGATTCCTGAGATTATCAAACGGACCGTTGGAATGCATATCTTGAGATTTGAATAAGAGAGTAGCACAGTGCCCATATTATACATGAGAGCCAGCAACAAACTTCAATGATGTAGGTCAAGAGAAAACACATGGGTTAGAATTCACCACGAGCTTTGGCACACATCTGCTCTCAATAGCCTCCCCACTAGATCAATTGCCGATGTACTTTACGAGCCAAGATCGACAGCGCAGATCTGCCCCGCGTGCTCTCCGCCGAATCAAAGCGCATCGCTGGCAGATGCTGCGGTTGTCACGGTAGTAGCCGTTGCCGTGAACCCCGACGGTGTAGAGTCCAACACCGATAGGGTAAAGTCGGTCGAGGCCGGCGGCGGCGACGCTGAAAATGTTGCTGCAACCACATCAGAGCCAGAGGCCGCAGTCGAGGACAATGGTGGCGCGGGCGTCAGCTGGATGCGGTCAATCAGGAACGTGTTGCTGTCGGCCCCGTCCAGGTCAAACGCGAACAAGAGCTCGATCCAGTCCATGGTCGGCACGTAAATAGTCTGGATCCTCGTCCATTCGGTTCCGTCCCTGAACGCGACCGCCGTTGCAATATTGCGATCTTGAGAGTTGGCGGACAGCATGATCCTGGCCTCGTTGGCTTCTCGGAATTTGACATAAAACGAGACGAGGTATCTTTGCTGGATCTCAACGTCATAAAGTGGACTGAAGAACTGGAAGCCAGGTCTGTCCTCAGTCTCCCTGCTTCTCTTGAGCGACACCAGGAAAGACGAGCACGAACCGCCAACCCCGTCATTGACTGTTCCATATTTGGCAGTGCGAGGCTCGGCCACATCAAAAGACCACGGCGCCAGACCATCCTCGAGGTCTCCGTTCAGCACGCCGACGTTTTCCTCGAGTCCAGGCACGCAACTTGGGATAAATGTCAACGAAGTAGTAGATGTTGAAGTGACCTCGCTTGTCGTTGTCGTAGAATCAGCATGCGGGTCCATGACGGTTACCGTTGTGGTTGTAGAGGAAGTAGATGATCTTGCAGACATGCGAGGGGGAGGGCCAACAGCCCATGTTACATTCGGCTTTGAACGCGATGCGGTCGAGAGAGTTGTAGAGTTCAACCCAAATGGTATACTCGATGTAGTCCAACAAGACGTTGCCGATGACGTACCCGTTGATGTTGCATTATAGATGGTAAAGATATCACTGGAGTTACTCGTAGTACCTGATATCAGACTGGTCGTCACCGTGGTGGTTGTAAAGGTGCCATCGTCGATCATGGTCTTGTTGGGCTGAAAGGTTTGAGTCACCGTCCACGTGGAACTCGAGAGATCTGTCGACGCTGTTGAGAAAGAGGTTCCGACTGTGGTCGACGTATCAAGCGTGAGTGAAGTGTCAATGGTTGTAGTTTCAATATCCGACATAGTGATAAAGGTGGTCGTATTATCAAAGGAACACATCGGCCCGCAATTGCACGCTGTAGCTAAGTCAGTCTCTGGGATGCCAAGCACACGGCGGTAGTCCGATACTTACCGGATATATATTGAGCTTTGTTGGCACCACCGCATACATCAGTGGCTCTTGTTGGTAATTCAGATGCATAAACATAACGATTGTTCAAAGTGGCACAAAATGCCACCCCGTCGGCAACAACCTCGGGTTCCTGACAGGGAAATATAACTCGATGACACCTATGATCGGTCAGATACCATGGCAATATTGATTGGACACTATCCGCATACTCGTCCTCTGTGCAAGCTGCATGGAGTCCCAAAGGGAATAGCAATATGGCAACGAGCACGCAGTACGCTCTGCCTTTTTCTACTATGGGGCTCATCTTTGCAAAGCACTGGCAGTAACCTGTATATTCGGTGTTCGTCCACATTGGGTTTCATCCCCATTGGAGACCAGCGCTCACTTAAGCATTTATAGCCAAGACCGAGGCAATTCGAACCGCCTTCCGACTGTTCTGCTAGGTCACCATCAACAGAGACATTTGAAGAACAATTTTCTGTTTCTGAATCGAGGCCTACAAGTTATTCGAACACGATAGACACATTGTCGTGTCTTGATGCAGAAAGAGCAACATGAACCTTTAGCGTCGAGAGAGTGTTGACCATTGTCCAATATTGGCGTGAAAGACTCAGTCTGCGCAACTAACCGGAAGCAAAACTTCATGTTTTTAGGTGTACAATTGAGAGGGTCAGAACGTTTCAAGTGGCCGTGGAGAGAACATGTCCGGACCTTTTCGACTTGATAAATCATGTCAGCACATTCTTGAGTTACAGGGACTTGTGTTCCAACAGGAACGAGATTGCTTGTCTTGAAATGCCATACAAGACGGCAACACAGGAGTGAGTATTAATTACTGTTTTCGACTTGTCCAACACTAACTTGCGTGTCTGCCGTACTCTGACAGCCACATTGGAGTTTCTCACGTGGAAACAGAGTGGTACCGGGAACTTGTGCGAGTAATATTACGCATGATTTGTCGCAAAAAACCAACACAATATTATCAGGACTAAGGAACGCTTATGTAGCCTGCGTGTGGTCAATACACTTTGGGTATTGATTACTTGAGCGTGAGGCAATTGGTGGACCTCGAATGTATACTGGTCTTTGAAAGCGGCTATTCGCATGAACAAGCCAATGGGAAAGATATCTACTAACCCGTCTTTTATACAGCGTGAATACACTGCACAAACGAAAGGTCACACTTCAGGTAAATCGTGACAAGCCTATGGCGGGAAGCCTGGTGAGACGCAATCTGACTAAGCTCGTGCAACCTTACCTTGGGATTCGAACCCCGTCTCCATTGGGGAATCCGGTCTCAAAGTCCGGTGCGTGATACAGTTTCAGCTTGTAGGTGAACTATCGAAATAAATGCAATGGACTCGCCATTCTCAACGTGCGCATTGAACTTTCTGCATACCTAAAGCCTACAACTCAACATTCGCCATCATCCTATCAGTTATTGGCATATCTATAAAGATGAACGGACTTTCAGTGTACGAAAAGTTACGACAAAACGCCAAAACGTTTATAGAAGCCTACAGCTTCACACCCGAGGCTGGGCAGCCCAACATTGACGTCTTGACGTCCTTCATGTCGTCCAACTTTACGCTGGCCTGGGGCCACACCTACATGACACAGCGGCAACCAAGACTCTCGAAAGCGTTGGACCAGGCTGGCTTCCGCGAGCACATGGGCGCCATGGTCCCCTTTATAGAGTCGACTCGCATCGTCATACACGATATCATTGTCGACGAGCCAGCAAGAAAGGTCGTAGTGAGGGCCAGTTTCTGCTTGTGTCCAAAGGGGCAGAACGAAGGAGAAAAGGAGGCGCCTGAGAATGAGCTCATGTGGATCCTCAAGTTTGACCAGGAAGGGGAACAGTTGGAAAGTGCCGTTGAGTTTCTTGATGCCACAGCAACGGCGAGAATTGGGGAGCTGGTTGCCCAGGCAAAACAGAAGGTGTGAATGTGATCTTCGAAGAGCGCCAGATAGTATACTTGACGGTAAAATAATTGACGTTACTTCTTGAGATTCTCTACAGTGGGTATGGCCAAGAGTTGATCATCCTATGAATATACTTGCAAGGTCACTCACATACAATAAATTTGTGAACCTGAGTATAGCGCAACAAGGCTGCAAATTTGACATTAGAGACTGCAAGACGTCTACTCAAAAGGCAAGAAGAAATCATCATAACTGCTCAAGTCGGCCGTCCAAAAGTCATCGAGACTGCCCGAGCCGCTGTCTGGAACACTTTCAGGCTCCTCTGAAACGAGGTCGCCAGTATTGACCAGCTGTGTGAGCATGGCCTTTGCTTCAAGACTTGCCTCTAGACCACTTGCTTCAATTGCGTCGCTGATTGGTAGACCCTTAATTTTGGCATCGGCACATCCTAGGACCGCCTTTAGAATAATGTAGTCCTTGACATTGTCCTGTCCAGCCATTATGCGCTGTTTTGCCCATTCCACTCCAACTCGCAGGAGCGAGCTCAACTCCAGAGATCGGATATTTCGTGTTAATGTCGAATCCGAGTAGGAAGTTTCGGGTCTGTCCACAGAGGTCCTGGATAGTTCTCCTCCGATTATCATGACGGCCTGGTATAGTACAGTTCTATAAGGTCCCAAGCCACATAGAGCAAGACGAAAGAAGTCCTCGCAAGGCGCATCTGCGCCTGTTGCCGATCGTATCGACTCTAGAAATGCGTCATGCAGCAGCGGTGAATTTAGAGCCGAGTGGGCAAAGTTCAATGCGGGTTCGATGCAAATATTTCTAGATTGCAAAAACATTGGATTCTGAGCTGAGACGGCAATGTAGGGTATGTGCAGCGTGAAAAGGTACCGGCACATGGTCATCTCACTATAGAGACGTTGAAAGCCAGTCGGCTGCGGGACGAGTCGACGTAATGAATCGTTGAGTAGACGGCAGGTGTTCTTGAAACTCATACTGGAACTCAGGATCTGCGGATACAGCGCTTCAGCTTTGATGCTATTGATCAATTTGGATATCGCCAATCGATCAGGCAGAGTCCGAGCCAGGGCAATTTGCAACGATGCATCAGTACGCATATCATCATCACATGCCACCAGCTCGGTATGAGACCTGAGATCAAGCGCCTCGTCGTTCAGGTTCATTGGCAGCGCGCAATCAAAGTCGTCGAGCGACATGAGAGGAGGGCAGCCAGCATCCATTGAGGAGCTAAGCGTCAATTCAAGCACGGTTGCCCACAGACGACGACGTATCTCGGCTTGTGCGGGAAGCACTCCTGGGAGAGCACCCGGGTCCCGATGCAGACCAATAACCATGGAAGTTCGAATCAGCACTCCGGATCTGATCCAGGAGCGGTCACCGTGTATTTCTAGCATATTCCTCCGGGCGAGCTCTAGTAGACACAAGTTTTGAATGCCTGCAATGGAGAGGCACGACTTTTCTGACGAGTGAACCCAGGTGATTGCCTCCTGAATCCACTGGAGTGCTTGCCCCCGAAGCGAGAATGTGTCGTCGTACAAGCTCGCACCAAGGGCAAGACATAACTGGACTTGAACAATGAAGTGAGGCGATGCAGCAGAGGTCTGGTCCCACATCAGATGGTAGTCACGTCTGAAGGAGGGAATGTGGAGAACTCGGAGCACACTTTCAAACGTCCGCAAATATGAGTCGATGAGTGCGTCGGCCAAATGTCTCGAGGGAAGGTATCGGCCATAATCTCCTGGAGTCCAGGCCATTGACCGCTGCTGCCTCAGCCGCTTGATCAGGGGTTTGCAGTTTTGCCTGACTTGTAAACTTTCGCCTTTGGTGGCATATTCCTTATCGATCCAGGTCAAGACTTCAGGTAACTACAGCATGTGTAAGCAAGTGGTCGGTGTATAATCGACAGCCAGGATGGACATGCAAGCAAGACTGAGTAAATCCAGTTGCTCGGTGAAAACAACCGATATTTAAATATCGCCCCACGCACTGGACCAGACAAACCATCTAATGAGGTTGAAATGGGTATCGTTTGAGATTTGTCTTGACTCATGGCAAGGTCGTTTGGCGAGCCTTCTGTTGGCAACAACAGACTTGCCACGGCGGATGGTGCCCATCTCTCACCGGGGACCGAGCTTGGCGAATCCCAAGTCTTGGTGAAAAGCGTTTCGGGCCGCCTGGATTCTTCCGCCCGGGAGGCCGAGTTGTAGAGATGCCGTGTCTCGATCTCATCGACGGACGACCGACTTGGCCGGGGCTCTGGCGTGGTCGAGTCCTCGGTCGTGGTAGGGGCATAGGTGCACGTCTTGTTCCTCGCCCGCGAGCAGTTACCGCAAGGGTTGCCATGGTCGCATTTGAGTTTCTTTTTCCGGCACTGCAGACATGCCAGGGCTCGTCGTCGATGAGGCCGGGTCACCCTTTCGGATGCGGCCTGCATTATTTAGCCTGGCAACTTATTATAATATGCTCAAATGAAACAAGTTAAAACATGTGTCAAGAGAATCCACAAATTAGGTTGCGAAAAGTAGCATTGCGTCTTCTTTGGATGTAGAGTTGACTCTGTCTAAGCGTTGCCAAGCCTAAACCCGGCGCCGGACTTGTTCTTTGCGCCCGCGCGAGCGGATACTGGCCCCATCTTACTGGGGAAGCTTATACTACGACATTATCTACATAAATAAATCCTCGCTATACAATCGTAGAGCACAAAACAGTCTTTCGATTCGATGAATTGTTTGGAATAATAATCTAGAATACTTGAACCAATTAGATAGTATAAAGATTATGATGTATGTTCCAAATTTCCAAATTAATTGAGAAGAGATATCTAGTCTACCAAAAGCAAATCTATGTCTATTCAACCCAGTCAATGCGCCCCTTGAATGTCAACTTCTATACCTGCTTCTAATGATTGTACAATAACCGTATCAATAACTCAGTCGTTCATAATCTCCTCAATCGAATACATCGATTGCATAACGGACATTTCGTTGCTCGATCCACCAATTCTTGGCTGCTTCCTCGGTGATCGGAATCTTCTTTGAGGCCGCAATCTCCTGCTTGAAACGCAATGCCATATCATCCATAGCGCGACTGATCTCCTTGGATCCGCAGACAAAGACAAATGCGCCCTTTCTCCATAGATTCAGTAAAGACTGTCGATCTGCCCACACTCGGTCTTGTACATATTTGCAACCTGCCGAGAGTCGAGGTTCGCGACTAAACGCCCTCTTTACCCTGACAGCGCCCTGAGACTCCCAGTCTGCCAATTCTTGGGCATACAAATCGTCCTTTCCGGCAGACCGACAACCGTGGTATAATAAGGCTGGTGCTACTTTCTGTCCCGCTGCAATCATGGCAGCGCGTTCCTGTACGAACGCTCGAAAGGGAGCGATGCCAGTTCCTGCTGAGACCATGATGATTGGTGTATTCTCCGGGTCTTTTGGGAGATGAAAAGCCTCGTGTGACGGTCTCACGGCAGCACTAATGAGATCACCAGGTTGTAGGCTTGCAAGGTATGAAGTAGCGACGCCGATGAAATCTCCATGCCCTGATTTTGCTGGACTCCGGACTACCGAATACGTCAATGAGACGACAGATTGGTTGATCGCCGGCGCCGAGGATATTGAACTAATACGAAACTCGTGTTAGAAAGTATCAAGTACAAAATAAAGATGCTGACCTCAAGGCTTTGAGGGTTACTCACTATTGTCGCACACGTATCGAAGGCAGCACGCTCAAGAACTCGCCAAAGGAGATGTCGATGGAGGGATATTGCTCCAAAAGGTCCAGAACGGAGACTCGCTTGAGGGATATCTCGGGCTCGTACTGATCGGAAGAGAGTGTTTCTAGTTTTTCCCTATCGCTCTGAGCTGAAGCTGCAGTGGCCAAGTTCTTGACATCTTTTCGAGTGGCTGTGAGACCAAGTTCGACGTAACCACCAAGGATGCTCTGTATGGGAGTAGGCACACCCGTTGGGAGCTTTTTCCCGGCGCCTTCAATGACGATATTTGCATCTTGCTGTACATCTTAGTTAGCATATGAATATAGAATCCAAAGAGGCCTAGACAGAAATCTTACAGGTAGTTGGAATCTACGTATAGCTCTGAGAACGTTTTCGTGAGGATTGGTTGGCAAAACGGTCAGGTAGTCGCCTGACCTATAAGCTGTTCCAGCGGGTAATTCAACCTCGATATGTTTCTTCATAGATTCACCCTCGGCAGTGAGGGTGCGGTTTGCGAGGACACGGGCGTCTTTCATGTCGAGCTTCAGAATAGAATGGCGGGTCTTGTAGACTTGCGTTTGTAATAATGATGCTGTGGTTCTTCTCGCAGTCGGGCTTGAAGAACCACCGTTCCTCGCCTCCAAGACCGGCCATAATACCTAAATCTGCGTCAGTAAAAGCCCGCGAAGACATATTGTGCTATAGCACTCGCCACGATGGAATGAGTACATAGGCACATGTGTTGTTCACTTACCTGATCTTCCCAATTTTCAAAAGCCACAAAACAATCCTCACTTGCCGCGTTTGCGAGGCCCATGTCTACCAACCTCTCCGCACCGTTTGCGCTCATGGACTCGTTGACTAGCTTCGGTATTCGATGGAAAGTCTGAGGCCACTCACTGTTTCCACAGCCAAAGACAGCAAAGGGGACGCCCTTCAGCTCGTCTTTAGCCTTTTCAGATTCTAGCCATTGGACAAACTTCCCGGCATTATCAGGTGGTTGGCCCTCATAGCTTGCGGTGAAGATAACAGTGGGTTGATCTCGAGCAAGATTGCCCGTCCCGCTATCGAGGGAGTCAAGAAGTGTGACTCTGTATCCATGCGCAGGTGCGTCTGTTGCAAGGCGTTGGGCCATTGATTCGCATGTCCCGCTGTTCGAGCCATAAAGAATGGTCATGGGCTGTAGATCAGCATTGTTGCCAACTGCTATACCGTTCCCGCGATGTCTTTGAATGATCTGATCAGCTTCCTCCAGCTCTTCCTTGGTTCCTTGCAAATGGCGACATAGACTAGTCGACGTGATGCCCTTGCGAAGGGACGCTTTGACGTAAAAGTCTTGGGGCTTGATTGTCAATGTCTGCTTGTTCTCTAATTGGTAATTGGGATCGTCCGATTCAAAATCAAAGTTTTGAAATAGAAGTGCCATGGCAAGAACTGCTTCCTGCCAAGCAAAAGGTCGACCAATGCACTGAAATCAGAGGCCTCAGGTCAGTCAATGGTCACTAGCCAACAATTATCGTGAATACTCACAGCTCGTACGCCATGGCCAAATGGCTTCCAAGCATTCTTGGGTAGCTTGTTGAAGTTCTCTGACAACATTCGCTCTGGACGAAACTCCTTGGGGTCGTCATAGACATTAGGGTCGACGTGAAGCTTGGACAAAAGTACCAGGCATACATCATCTTTGCCGATGGCGTATTTTCCCCTTAGCATTTCGTCTCCTCCATGAGTCTGGCGGGTGAGGACTGGAATTGGTGAATCGAGGCGTAAGGTTTCCCGGAGGACCTATAGCTTTCTGTCAGCTTACATAGACAATATCTCGGTCGAAAAGGATTTGCTTACGGCTTCAATATAGGGCAGCTTTGTCATGTGATCTACAGTGATTGGGCCAGTTCCAATGACTCGATCGACCTCCTCACGCACTTTTCTGTACTCTTCAGGTTTCTGCAAAAGCTCGTACTACGCAAATGAGAATTAGTGGCTTGTTTTAAGGTCAGTAGTGAGATATTTACCATTGCATATGAAAGTGTACCGGATGTCGTCTCGTGCCCAGCGATCAAGAAGGTGATCAGATTGTCAATGATTGACTCATCCGTCATCTTCTTTCCGGTCATGGAGTCACGCCCTCGCAGCATTGCGGTCAAGAGATCCTTGCGCTCATTTTCGCTGTCGGCCACTCTTTCCCTGAGCACTGCCTCGGCCGTCTCACGCAGAATGGAAATGTCTGCAGCGTACTTGTCATTGGCCGTACGAAAGAAGAAATCGGGCAAGGGAGGTCGTTGGCCCCGTCGCCCACACTCGGAGAGAAAGTCGCCCATGGCCTTTACAAAGGAATGCTCGTTCTCGCTGTAAAAGTTGTTGAATCGAAATCCCATGGAGCAGAGTCCCAAAGTGTCCATAGCCAACCGAGTGAAGTCATCAGAGACCAGAATTCTTTGATGCGGTCCTTGACGGGCCCATTTCAGCACCAATTGTGAAGCGATGTCGTGCATTTCGTCAAACATGTCACGGATTCCCTTGGGCCCGAATGCAGGCATTAGAACCCGATGGGCAATGGCCCAGTTTGGTTCCTCGAGATGAGCTGTGAACAGTCCATCGTGAACACCGTTCCGAACCTCGGCCAGGGCATTTTTAGGAGCCTTTCTAAATCTGTTATCGTCGAGTAGATCATCTGCCAAGTCGAAACTTGACACAATAATCGTGTCGGGTTGTCCAGGAAAGCGGAGACGGAATATTTCGCCATACTGATCGGATAGTTGTGTGAAGGACTTCAAGGTTGAGTTGGGATCGACATCTTGAATGTTTCCAAGTAATGGATAGCCTCTTGGACCAGGAATAGGTTTTGGAATCTGGTTATTGTTCATGGCTTACTGGTGAGAATGTGGGTGATGAAAGTATAATTAGTGTAAATTCTAGAACAGAAGAGATATAAATTTGCTTGATCGGTGGTCGTGATTCAATACAAAGTGATTCATTCGAAAACAAAGAAGACTTCCATTTATATATTTCCCAGGCGCATTTGAGCATTACGCACATATACAATGTTCAATGCGGATTCGAACCTATACAGAATACTTTGGTAATAGATCGGACTCGGACTGCTTTCCCTAGCGTAAATCGGGGTCGGGGTCGGACAGGTGGGTATAGATGATACGGCCTAGGCATCTAGCTCGCACTCTGTTTCTTGGTCCAGAACTTGCTCCCAACAAGGATGAATGAATATATTGTTCTCCATTAGCCGTGCTCAAGTCTGCGGGACCATGTTCTAGCCCGATCCCATAAGGCATCTCACATTGTTGTAATAACGCGGAGCCGGACCCTCTGTACCTATCCGAACTCACAATCCACATTCTGAGTTTATATCTCGGGGGAAACTGGGTACCGAAGAGTTGAGTGTTGAGAAAAGTGAAAAGTGCCACAGTACTACCAATTCTGTGAATAGACTTTCCTGGATAACTATTTTGTCTATTCTGAGTCCGGATGTCAACGATGTCCTGTTCAGCTCTGCCAACCCTCAGCCAGCGGGCAAAATGTATGGTCACACACAGCAAGGTATGCCAAGAAGGAGAACATATAATAGCACATCGATATTAACAATTGTACTTGGGTTTTGAAAGATGGATTCGTATGCCTGCGCATGCTCTCGGGGTTTTCCTACATGCCGAACGTCAAACCTTATATAGCTGGGCCACTGTAGACCCTGTTAAGAGTTGACGCAAACCCGACCATGACACAAATCCCGAACCCGATTCCGTGCAGTCAACTTGCAATTCATTCTAGTACTTAGAACCTCGAGATAGACAAACATTGACGGCTCAATGTTCGTCGAGCTGGAGAATGCACTAATTTTGCACGATTGCTGCTTGCCTCTTTAATGCCAATCAGTCATTACGTTGTTATTCGTCTTGGTATCTCGACCATAATGAAGAAATCATTGTGCGCAATGATTCTTCCCCTTCGATTCTAATGAGACACAGTATGCCACGAGCTTAGCAACTCTACCGTGGCCTTGAGGTTCTTCTTGCTTTTTATATTGCACAGCATATTGCTCACGTAATTCGAGTTGTACAACAGTTTATCGCTCGAGAGCATATAGAGCCAGAGATAGAGACAAAAGTGCTTCGGGTCGAAACAGCTGTGTTTCTACGTTTACTTGAAGAAAATTACGAGCAACAAAGGTACCAGATTGGCGATGGACTTGGCAAACAAATAAAATAGCCTTAGGCGGTCGATAATGTACACATCTTTTTGGGGCAGTGTGCTTTTGACAAATGTGCCCCCTTTGCGTCCCTTCTATGCGCTGGTAAATCCAAACCCCGTATCTTCTGGACCTGATTATTCCGAGCATACGATTACCTATTGTTCGACCTGCTCGTATCTATCATCATCCGACTTGTCGCTTCTTGAAATTTTGAGAACCTCTCCATATCCAAGATTTATTGGCCCTTAACGGCGTCCTTGACAGCCTCGACCTTCTCCTTGGCCTCCTCCTTCAGCTCGGCGGCGGCGGGCAGAGGGGCATCCTTCTGCGACTGGTGGTACATGAAGATACGGGAGCACTGGACAATGCCGACCATTCCCAGGAAGAAGTTGACGGCGGCAAGCCTTGACAGTTTCTCGTCAGTTTATGTTTCTCGCAAAGGGGGCCATAACGCCCTCTGTCCTCCGAAATTCGACTTACAGGTAGTTCTTGGGGGTAATAACGAAGCACCATCTCGTCCAGATCAGACCAGTAGCAGTGAGGGCACCGTTCTGGGTGAGAGACAGCTTCTCGGCGGGACGGGCAAAGTCAGAGACACCGGCGAGGACGAGCGCCCACTTCATGACGGGTGCCCAGAAGTGGACGGTCTTGAAGCCAATGGGGCTGTTCCACATGCGCGAGAACCACGACTGCTGGGACTCGGCAGTGGTGCTCTGCCATCTGCGACCGGCGTTTGCGCGCTGAGACTGGAAGGCAGCGCGGTGTGCGCCAAAGGCGGACTGGCGAAAAGCCGGCCGGGCAGCGCGGAACAGGCTCGTGGTAGCAGGCATTATCGTTTTCTTCTGTCTTGGGATCGGATGCGCTTCGTCAGAGGAAGAAGAGGGGAGAGTTCCTGGCAATGGGGGATGGCCGGCGACGGAGGAGCGATTACTGCAACTGAGAGCTGAGTTCAAGAATAGATAGCGCAGCTCCGATATGGCTGAATTTCAATTGGGTTGGAGGGCGGCCGGACATAATCGGCGACTAGAAATTTGGCTGAGGGACCCGGCCCCCACTATCAATTTGCATAAAAAGCGCAGTGACGACGTTTATGTAAGATCGGAAAAACCTTGTGCACAATTCCTCTGATTAATGCAATCCCATGACAACGACCGTCCAATCGACTTCCTGCAATTAGCGAAGCTATCCGCAAGCTCAAGTTCACGATCCCGTCTCTCTTTTGCCCGCGACCGACCGACCAGAAGACCGTCCGGCCCCATTGACGTATCAATTCGCCAAAATGTCTGCCAAATACGCTTTCACACAGTCCCTGAAGGAGGTGCGCTTCCTCTTCTGCCAGACTGGCGAGGGCAGCGCTGCCACAAGGTGAGTGGGCCGTCTTGGATTTGGGAGTGTCTCGATCATCGGCCAGGGACCTTTAAGCACCTTTCATATGCCAATTGGCTACGCATTTACTGATTCCTGTATCTCTAGGTCCTTCCTTACCCGTGCCTACCCTACCATGAAGAAGAACAACCCAACCACACCCATCCTGCTGCGCGAAGCGGCCGGCACGCTACCCAAGGTGTACGCGAGATATGGTGCGTACAAACAGCTTATACTTTCTCAGCGGCGAGCGCATTACTTGGAGGACCATATATAGCTGACAACCAACGACACAGGACTTGGAAAGGAGAAGAGCCAGTCATTAGAAGGCCTGACGGACAAGCAGATCGAGGAGGCAGTAACAACCCTGGTCAAGAACGATACCACGGCATGAGGACATGAGGATTGGGCAGGAGAAGAGACTTGAAGCCAAAAAGAAATCAAGAATAGAGCCGAGATCAGGCATGTACAACATGGTCGGACGGCCCGAGGGCGGCGAAATGATACGACTACGAGACATTCTGTGAATACAATTGCTTGCATTATACGCAATGGCTATGGCCTCTTGCTGGATCGAATTGTTTACAATTATTCACGGATCAAAGTTTCAAGGTAATCTTTCCTTTGGCGATTTCCCTTTACTTTGCACTTTTCCTTCCATCCGAAATGGGACTTTTTGTCTTGGGAATCAAAAATTATTATTATCTAGACAAATCTCAAGCAAAACTTTTCTCGCCCTTCTCTCTCTCTCTCTCTCGAGTGTGTGTGTGTGTGAGAGAGAGAGAGAAGGAAAAAGCGAGAGAAAAACGGGTTAAATAAAGAAACTACAGCCGATCATCGGCAGCGGGCGGCTCCCGAACGGCCTTGGGGATATTGGGCCCCCAAGCCGGAACGGCAGGCACCGGGGCGTCAACCCGGGCCGGGCTGGGCCCGAAGACCTCCTCAAGGCTGAGGGTGGGCATGGTGCCCTCCCTTGGCCTGGCCTTCCCAGGAACCGGACCAGGCGCAGGCGAGCCTGCACGGCGTTCTCCTTGCTATGGAACGGCTCCGTGCAGGTCGCCACCCTTTCCGGCGCGACGACGGTGCCCAGCCGTCGTCGCGTGGGCATCTTCCGTATCGGCGGAATAGCCGGCGTCTGAGTCGCTGGATGAGTCTGTCGACATCCAGGGCATTTGCAGTATATTCGGCCGTGCTTGGTCAGGGCGACGAATTACTGTCGCCGTGCCCTCGGCGACAGCCTCGGCCTCTTGAGGCGTCGGCGACTGTGCAGTGTCCAGCACTTTGGATGCTCTGCGATTCGGAAAGGTGAACGGCGGGAGAGGCTCTGGTTTGGCTACTTGAGCTCGATGTGCGAAAGGGCGAAGATACTGACGTGGCAGCCTCTCAATTCTGGCCAGAAGGGACGGGGATATCTCATTGTTCTCGGACACGGCGTAGTTGTCCTTGGCGCCAAGAACTTGACGTGGTCGACGAGATATGGAGTAGTGTGAGGGCCCTGCAACAGACGGCTGGCGGAAAGTCCATGGAGATGGGTGACTAGAAGATGGGAGATCGCCGACATGCTGTCGCATGCGACGTGGAACAAGCTCGATGCTCGGGTGTCTAGAGACGAATTCTCTTGCTCTGGGATTGAAGTAGGCCAAGTTTGCCGGTGGGATCAGAGTTGATGACGGCAGAGTCGCGTTGCGAGGTGAGTTGTATGCAGTTTCCCTCAGCATGGCGGCATGACTTCTATGAACCATCTGCCGATTATTGCCACTTACTAGTCTTGCTCGTTGCAAGTCACAAGGCTTGGCGAGTCCTGGCCGTGGAATGAAGAAGTGAGAGCCAACAGCATACTGCACATGAAGGGGTTCATCACAGATTTCCCTCACAATCTTTCCATTCATGGACATGGCTGCCAACATTGAATGAACACTGCGGAAACTGAGTAGAAGTACATTAGTAAATTGAATGTACCATTGCGCTTATGCAAGGTCTTGGGCAGGGTATAGATGAACGTACCGAATGTGTACTGCTTTGCCATAGCACTTTGGCCTAGTGGAAAGCACGGTTCCAAACTTGGTGAATAGCATGTGAAGCTTCTCACGGTTTTCGGGTGCTCCGAGATTTCTGTGACCACAAGGCCCAACAAATACCGTGCAGTTCTTTTCATGGCAGTCATCACAGCTGCAGGGCTGATATTGAAAGTGCCAGACTCCCCCTCTGACTTGTCGAATATCTTCATTGACGCACTTTGTTGTGGTAGAGCTTGGAGTGGTTCGACGGATGTGGCGACCGTATTGATTCGAATCAGTTCGCACTCTGGCAGCGTGTGGATCGTTTGTCAAGAGATGGGTGTCCTTTAGGCTCGGTCCTGTGTGAATGGCCAGAGGTCGAGGCATGGATCCTGCCGTAGTCGAACGGAGTGTGGACACTTTTGAGGCACTATGAGCATTCGAAACTCTTTGTTGCCACTCTTGAGCCATCGAAGGGGACATCTGTGCAAAGAATCGTTAGCGTATGAGTTTTATGAATGAGAGTCAAAGGTCAGTGTCGGACCAAGCTGGGTAGTTACCTTGTTTGTTGTGACATTGGTGAGTTCCTTCTTCATTTCTGCAATCAGATTGAAACGTTCCTGCTGAGAGGCAACGCTGGGGAGTGTCTTAGGGGTGAGGTCAATGGAATTGGGCTGCTTGGGTGAATCAGGCTGACCAGGAACAGGTCCGTCAAGCTCGCCTGCGGCAGTCTTTCTTGGACTGTAGAATAGACTGTGGTTAATTGATCCAATCGACAGAGGCATGTCGTAGTAGACTTCACCAAGAGGTGTTGGTCGGAAGGGATGAAGTTTTCGGGTAGTAGTCGCTGCTTTCCTCGAATCAGGGGCCCCAGTGTAAATCTTGACATCGTCGGGATCATTGCAAGTTGGAGCTTGCAAAGCCTGGCATTCCTTCTGGGGTTGGTCCCTCTCAGTGGCTGCCAGAACTTGTTGCTCAAAGTTGTCCTGAAACAATGGTTGTCCATAGTTGGAGATGCCTTGGCTGGTCGTCTTGACTTGGGCGTGGGTGGCTATGCCTCTGAACGCCTGCCGCTCGATATTGTAGATCTCGTCGCGAAGTGTCGGGGTAACTCTCACTGTTATGAGTTAGTTCATCAATCTCAGTGGCGCAATCATAAAAAGCACTTACGGGTTTGAATCGCCAGTGTCTCCGTCTGACGGGGGAGCCAAGCTCCAGATCTCAGCTTGCTGTGAGCTCGCATGAGAACTGTACTTAGGAGCGGCAAATACCAAAAATCGATTCCATCCAGATCTTCGCATTGGCTCTGCTTGAGGAGAAAGAACGGATCAGACTCACGTTCCTTGTTCCAGTAGAAGATGCGCTGTCGGAAAGAGAAGTCGGTTTTGATCATCTTTTCACACCACAGTTCCAGGACAGTAGTTGTCTTGGCAATCAATCCAGGCATGATCTGCTGAGTCTTCCAGTAAACAGCATTCAAGACGTTCCAGGCGTTCTGGACACCCATGTGCCACAAGTCGACGGGGTCAAAAAAGACCCAAAGTAGACTGTAGTTCTGCGGCTCTTCCATTCGCTTGCATGCCTCCCAACACTTCTCCATAATGTGAGTGACAGCTTGCTGAATCTGTGCAGCCGACCAGGGGAAGATGATGCGCTGCTTGGAGAAGTCAATGTTGAAGCGTCGAGACTTGAGGCCGTTCTCGGTAGAGAAATAAGCAGGCTCTTGGGGGCGAGCAGTGGTGAAGAACTCCAAGGGAGGCTCACCGTCGAGGTACGACGTAAAGCCCCAAGTCGGAGGAGTGATAGGCATCTCAATGCCTCGATGGTTGGTGTCAATGTCGGGAGACATTGTGGAACGATGACGAGATGGATGGAATGGGATGGGATGGGATGGAATAACGAACCCTCGTCCATAACACTGAAGAGTGCCACGGACAGAAGGGAGAGTGTTGCTAGATGTGCAATGCCAATGCGTCGGCGACGATAATGAATTTATCAAAAAAGACAAGAGAGGACGTGTGCTTGAAAATGTGTGGCGATTACCACAGGAAGTAGTGGTGCACAGAAGAGAGGTGGGATTGAATCTCACAGTCGACAAGACTTTGTGCGAGAAAGTTTGCACGAAACAAATCGGCAGGGTTGAATGAAAAAGATCAAGAACGTGAAGATGTGAGGATGCGCGTTTACGGTCGTGGATGTTTAATGTCTTCCACGCGTTATTGAAATCTGTAGTTGCCAAACCGCCGAGTCTTGTTCTCTGCCTTGATGGAAGAGTTTCCTAGAGAGTAAACAGCCCTGCTGTAAGGAAACCTGGCTGAGAGACGAATATTGAATGGTGGGAGATTGTGCGTCAGACTACCGACTGTACCTTTGTCTTGAATGATTATTCAAGAATAGACAAAAGTGTGTGGCTTGTCGAAAGTGAGAGGACAAACGCGTTGCCAAGATTGTTTGAAGATGGAATTGAGGAGGGATCATTCATAGACGTCTGGGCCCCGGAATGAATTGTCGGATTGATTTGTTGTCAGATCTTTGAAAAGTGACACCTTGGAAGAAGAATGGCTCAGGCAGAAGAACGAGCTGGTGAGTTACTAAACGTGAAGTATCTGCCGCTCAAGTGGACCAGCTTCTGTGATTGAGGTCAGGTTGTGACAAGGAAAAGTGATGGGGAAGGAAGCCTTCAAGGTTCTTGGACTGGCGATAGGTTTTCAGATAGACCATTATCTGTTGTGAGGACTGAGGAAAATTGCAAACGGCAGATTCAGGTCGTGTTTCGTTGCTGGGGCCACCAACAAGACTGTTTATGAAAAATTAGGAAGACCGTGGAAAATATCAGGCAGCCATGAGACTGGACTGGCATTGAAAGATTTTGTATAGATGAATAGACAATTTCTCTGGTGCAACAACCAACCCTTCTGGTTTTCTCTCCATTCTATACCATCTGCTCTTGTTTACCACTATTGATAACTAACAAGATGGCCGCCGAACCGCAAAGCACACATCAGACTATGGCATGCTAGTCAACAACGAAACGTTTCATTTGTTTCTGAGAGAGAATTCAGATATTTTCTAGCTTGACCTCAGAGAGCAGGACAAATGGTGTCTGGTCAGTGGTATGTTAAAATAAGTAACATTAAATTCGAAATCAAGTGGTATGAGAAATGAGACCTCGTATCAGATTGGACTGGCCAGAGTGAAGGAAAAGGAGAAGAATTCAGTCCACACTGTCTGACCAAGCTTGAGCAATTTATAGACCGGAGTCAAGTCATCATATGACTCTTTGAGAGGATAGTCATGCCAGTATTAGTTGACTCAAAGTGTTACATCATGAGTGTTGATTATATGACTTTGGGAGAAGGGCTGTCAGCGTTTGCTCCATCGGAAATTCTCCTTGTAACTGTGAGAGTCGTCTTTCTTCTTTGTGGCCAGGTAGAGAGCACATAGCTGTGGTTAATTGTGTTGCCACCAACCAGCTACGAAAGGCATATCACCACTTCAATTTGGTATTATGGCTCAGTGGTTTGATGCGCACCACTGTTGAGGAAACTGGGTAGGAAAAAGCAGGGACACTGCCGTCCGTGGGTTCCGGGCAACTGGTTCTGCAATTGATATTCCGAGTACTTCATTCAAGATGATCTGCTTCTTTTTGTCTTTTTCTTCTTCTTTTCATATTCCCTGTCTCCTACTTCTTTCCCTTTCTCAGCCTGTTTTGTTTTGTATCATGATGCTTCAATTTGAGTTTTGATCTCTACATTCCCTTTTTCGCCCACACATGTCTATGTTTCTCCCTTCCAAGTAGGTCACGAGTTATTAGGACAAGGACAGTAAAGAGTAACTCTTCTACTGAGTGTTGGCACAAGATCGATACCTCTGAGCTTCCAAACGTGCCAGCAGCGAATAATCACCGACTACAACTTACCGTGGCCGTTCGAATAGATATTCAAGCAATCATATTGCGCCTACTTACAGGAATCTTGTCAACGTGGACGAGACTGACAAGATTAGACTTTAGAATAAACGGCAATTGCACAAAATATTTAGCTCATCCCTTGCAAGCATAATACAACGGTTAATATCATTCAACATGTCATTCATGGGTATGTTTAGTCTAGACTTGATGACGGAAAAGAGCAGGGATAACTATGTGCACATGGCAAATATCAAAGGTTCGTCATGAATTTTATACAAGTCAGGATGTTTGAAGTCTGAGCCCTGGGAGTTTACTGCTTATTGAGCTGGTTGACCATCTTCAATATCTCGGATTCGCTCTCGCTGGCAACTGCCCTGCCGTTATTCCAGTCCACAATCTATTGAATCATCAGTGTTAGTGTCCTTGATCAAACAAAAACAAAACCATCATGGCAGCAAGGACATTAGCCTATGGGCAAGAGGTGGACGTACAACTGGTCTCTTGAAGTTCTCAGCACCCTCCTTGAACTTCTTCAAAGCATCCTTCTCATTGTTTGCGCCGGGTATAACCGAGCTGATCTTGCTGGCGCCAACGTATTCCAGAATGGACCTCAACTGGTCGCTTGTGGGGGCAGCCTCGGTGATATCAAGGTCAAATTCTGGTCGCTTCGGGTCGCTCTGAGCAGTGTGGTCGCTTGCCTGGTCCTCGGTGGCGGTCTCAGTGGCATTGGCAGAGACCTGCTTCAGCAGAGTAACCACCCTCGTCGAGGCCGGAGAGCTCGCCTTGTGGAAGACGGTGATGATGTCCTTTGGCTTGTGCTAGATGGGTTCAAATTAGCCAATGAATTTCAAGAAAGCTTGGGATAGCTGTATTAAAGAACACATACAAATCGGAACATTGTGACTGCAAATATCAGTTCTCAGGATCGGGATTGCTAATGTTGAGGATGGTGAATTGGTTGTGGTGAAATGGGATAGCTCGGACGTTTGAAGCTCAAGGTCTCTACTAGGTAATGTAGGTACCTATGATGTCGTTCGGCGACCTCTTTAGGTTTAGTGCAATCAAGCTCTATCTTTGATGCGCTGCGCGCGGCGCAACTCAACTTTGGGCTTCCCGTGGCCTGGAGCTGGGGGAATTGGGTCTGTGCACTGTCGGCTCGCGCACATGTGCTGGTTGTTGATCTCCAGTCACAATACGGACGAGGTACGTACTGTTTTTAGTGCACGCCTAACATTAAGCTGAGCACAAGGCACGCTGCACAAGCCAATTTATGCACTGAAGCTTGGGCTCCACTCGTTGCTATGGGCAGGGCTAAAGTTCAAGAAAGTTGCGGCCGTCTTTCAATGCTGATAACTTTTGATCTGCAAACTGTACTCCAGGGTGCGATCTAGTCAATAATTTCTTCAGACAGAATCATTCCCTTCTTTGTCCTGCACGCGAGACTCGACGAACCTCGAGGTTACTGGATACAACCAATCACTCACTCGCCTTGAAACAAAAGAACGATTCAACATTCCTCAGGTCCTCGACTCCCATTCCTTCCTTCTTGCTGCCTCGGGTTTGGCAGAATGCGGCCTCTCATCCTCCATAATGTGCCCGACGATGAGTTGTACACAGGCGAGGATGGAGTTCAAAGACCTTATGCCATGATTTTTCCAGAGTACGCAAACTTTTCATCCTTCTTTCCCCGCAACCATGGCTACCCGCAGGTGTCATTCGTTCAGTGACTTACGAGGCTTCATCAACAGGGGCGACCGCCAACGCGATGCGCCGCGGCGGAGGGTGGTGGCCGAGACTGGCTCCTTTGGCAAATCAACACGAAGATCGCGATCAAGAACTGGCAGTCTTCCCCCTAAGCGCGAAGATGCCACTATGCAATCTGCCGACAGGATTTTCTCAGAGTATCTGTCCAAGCAGGAGCAGACGTCGAACTCGAACGGCAGTCAACGCAAGCCAAGTTACTTATCCCAGACCACCTCTGCCGACGACAACAGTTCCGCTCAGGCACCAAGAATAGTGCGCGAGCCCACCGAAGTCATATTGCGCGGCTACAAGTCTTCGATACAGCAATACGCCGCCATCAACCACTACGAACAGCTGGCTGGTCGAATATGCGAGGACTACCCTCGTGAGCCGCCCATCGAGCAGCGGCGATACAAATCTGAGCTCCGAGACCCTGCATTCACAAGGCGACAGCCTTTGACACCGCAGGAAAAGATCAAGGTCAACCAGGTTGATGGCGGAGAGCACTGGATCAAGGTCACCTTCGAGTCGGCAGATGCTGCCAGCGCCGCCATTTACGCGTCGCCTCAGAAAATCTTGGGCCATCTAGTCTATGCGGAGCTTTACCGCGGACTCCCGCCCATGGAAGATGCAGCCGTGATGGATCTGGTAGGAGACGTTGGTATGCTACACGATGAGCAGCCAGTGTCGCGTGGGCATTCGCTGCGCGGCCGTCTACAAAAGGGAAAGCAGTCCTCTCTTTCCAAGAACTGGCAAAACGGGAGTGCCAATGGACGAAGCAGTGGTGCGGATGTCGGACCGAATGGATCACCATCCGAGTCCAGGACTTCTACTCAAACTATCGATTCTGCCACCATGTCCACGGCTACTGGAACGGCGTCTTCGGCCACCGTGACGGGCACCGCTCTGAATGGCAACGCTTCTTTCAGTGACCCGTCGCGATCCGACAACTTGCCCGAAGAGCCTCAGAATGGCGACTACTGCCGAAGAATCCCGACCGCGCGTCGCGCTAAGCTCTTGACCGCCGAGCAGGCTCTTCTGCCACAACAAGGCTTGATACAACGGATAGGTAGCCGCGTGCCACTCATCGGATGGTTCAGCGGCAGCATGATTGGCAATGAAGTCCCACGATTGGAGAATGGCGAGTTCGACCTAAACCGTGCTAGTCTCTACTGGCGCATCATGTACACCCTGGACTACTGGTTTGGATTATTTGGACATGAGATTGACCACCCAGACAAGGACGACTGAGTTGATGTACTACTACCTAATACCTATGCGTACGAGGCATGGCTGGAACAACGCAGCAAGAAATGATCTCACGTTTGGAACATGACGAAAGAAAATATGGGAGTTGGATGTGTACATTCCCCGGTCAGGCAATGATTGAAACCACTCAGTGGAGAGGAGTTTGAGGAGTAAAAAAAAAAAGCTGGGTACTACAAGTCTGATGATAGGGATCCAATATTGTGCATAATGGGCCGTTAAAAAAGAGGACTGCCCAACCAGTACAGCTGTTGTAACATTATCCATAGAAAGGATGGCAATGAACGTTGCAGATACTACATACACAGTAGATGGTTTCTTCTGTTGAAAGTTTTTTCAATGTTTCACAAATTACCACTGATGGTATCTCGACAGGCAAGGTGCTGAGAAGACGGCATCAACCCCATATATGAACCTGCAAAACGCTTTCATGGCGAATCTGGACCTATCGTTTTGTTCTGTCTGAGCTGTCAGCCAACACATTTTTTTTTTTTTTTTAGACACTACGCTAGGATGATCACGCTGATGGAGGGGGGACCCCTAGCTCAAAGGTCATTCATGCACCTAAGCTATCTTGCAGCCTGCCAGAATAATAAAATCATAAATCATGTTGGCCTGACAGTGTTTCTAGGCGGGGTGGGTGATGGCGCCCATGTGGGCCGACTCCAAGCTCCAGTCACAAGCCAGCCAGCCAAAGGACCCGGACCAGATGAGCAAGAAATCTTGCAAAAACAGACCGACTCTTCTTTGCCCATCTCTTCCATCTCTATCATTCATCGACCTGATTGTCTTGTCTCGTTTGCTTATACTTTGTTGTTTCAGTGAGCGCCATTTGTGTTTATTCATCCTATTTGTTGTGTTGCATCTGTCCAAAACTTCCATCCCAGGAAAAAAGTGAAAAAGGAAAAAAGATTCGACCGAGTGTGCATGCCTGCCGTGTGCTGAAGCTACACTAGAAGGTGGACAACACTAAAAACACCTACCAACCAGACGAACCTAACCTATCTGACCTAGCATATGCGGTAGATATTGAGCCAAAAGTAAACAAAGCCGGCCACTCACAAGAGACAAAAGATCCCCAAGGCCTGCGGTCTTTGATCTTTTCTTGTTGCATTACAATACGTGCTCACCTATCTCATTCTTGCTTCTTGCCCGACCGGCAACGTCGCTCAACATGACCTCGACTCCCGGAGGCTACCATCAAATTCGACCAACGTCACCAACTCCATCTCAGCTACCGCCGATCCCCGGGTCGCCCACCTTCACCTATGCCTCCACAAACCGCCTCTCGACTTATACACTTCCAGTGCCACCCCCACCTCGTCCGCCGCATGCGATTTTGACCAAGGCGGACCTCGAAGCCAGCCATGTCGCATATGGCGATCTTCTGGCTACTGCCAAAAGCTACAGGCAAGCACTTGCCTCGCTATCGGTGGCTGCTTCTGCCTTTGGCGCGTCTCTCGAGGCATGCGCCCGTCTCAAGGAGTCGCGGGCAGATGCCTTGGGGCCGGCCGGCAACTCCAGTCTTAGCAACAGCTACACGAATAAGGGTTCGTGCACGGCAGATCTGCTCATGAGCACCAGTGGCGTGCACCACCTCATCGCCAACCACCAACAGATTTTGAGCGAAACCGTGTACCGAAACTTTGAGGTGCCGCTTCTCCACGAGCTGGACAAGTGGCGCGGCGCCATTGAGGATGAGGACGAATCTTATAAGAGCGAGATTGCCGCCCGATCCAAAGAGATCAGAAAGCTCGAAAAGGAGGGACTTAAGCTGCATAAGCAGCGAAGGAGGGATGTTGGCAAATTCAGGGAGCACCTGGTTGAGCTGACAAATAGGCTGGACGGCTTGACCACTGTCCACGGCGAGCATGCACGAACGTTGCTTAGAGAAAGCCAGGAGACTAGCGTCAAGATTCTGGATGCGAGCTGCAGCTTGGTCAGGGCCGAAGTGGACATATTTGAGAGCCTCGCGAGAAAGGGCTGGAGCGGAGGCGGCCTCGACGAACTTTTGGAAAAGGGCAAGGATCTGTTTGCCAACGACGATGAGAGTCTGGGTGGTGGCGTGGACCCAGCAGTTGTGGCAGTCACGAATGGGGAGGGTGCCAGGCTGTTTAGTATATTGCCCCCCAAGAGCATTCTCGCCGACACGACTCCTGGTGATTCCAGCAGATATCGACCTCATCACCGTGCTGACAGCTTACGAGTGGATACGGACCGATATCAAAGTCTTGCCGGTGCCGTAGATCGCGATGGTGACAGGGGCGATACCGACAGCATATTTAGCGACTTTAACCAGAGTCGCGGTGTACGGTCTTTCAGCCCACAACCGATTCGCAGACACCCTACTGGCGTGATGCTGGATCCTGATTCGCTGCTTGTCGAGGGCGAAGAAAGCGAGGATGGAGGAGCCGGAGATGGCAGCATTCCAGAATTGTCACCAGATGAGCATGAGGAGAAGGACGATGGCCCCGAAGACACGACGGACGACTCACCATGGAAAGATGTCGTTGTTGGGCTAAGAAAGACAAGTGGTGGGACGGCCACGGAGTTCTCGACTGCCAAGGAAAGAGAAGAACGTTGGACAGTCAATGAAGAGGATCAGATCGAAAACGAAGTCGGAAACGAAGAATCATGACCTGCATAAACGCAACACACAAATCACGAGAATGGACGAGTTCAACGACAAGGGCTTAGTTGACCACATAACACGATAGACACAAGATTAGACGAGGACAGCAGATAGACTTTTGGCGCACACTTTTATACCCTACTGATTTCATTTTGTAGACTTGAATATTCGCTCATTTCCATTGTTCATATTGTTCAATGTGTCTCGACGTTGCATGGCTGTGTCTCTATCTAATCTCTGTGTGTATTTATGTAGGTGATACGGAAATCTCACATTGCAGCACAGCAGCATAGTTGGGTGATACAATTTTCAAAAGGTTTCAAGAATGGGTTTGCTTTGTTAAACACTAGGGGCAGGGCATTTGGCTGGTATTCGCAGTCCAAGACCGAGCCAAGACCAGCAGGCTGGTGACCAATGGCAAGTGGATCGCCTGACGTCAGCCTCTTCCGCGAGCAGCCGCAAGTCGTGTACGGACTAAACAAGTACATCATATCGAAGCTTCTCAGCATTCTCTGTGGACACACAGATATTCTTCTTTGACCATCTCAAATATGCCGCTCAAGGTCGTTGTAGTAGGAGGCGGTATTGGAGGTTTGGCCGCTGCCGGATACCTCCGCGCCAACCACAATGTCACGGTCCTCGAGCGCGGTCGTCTGGGTTCGGCGAGTGACGACGACTATGGTCTATCAGTGGTCGCTAATGCGTTTGGACTTCTCCAGAAAGCCGGAGTGAGTTTTGAGAACCTCGATACAGTGATTATGACCCACATCTGGGCCAGAAACCATAAGAATGAGGAAATCAGGACGATGCATTTTGATACCCGCTCGCGGTTCGGCGGAGCGCCTTCCATTCTTGCCAAGAGAGTCAAGATCCAGTCGGAGCTCGTCAGATTTGCAACAAGCGCCGATTTCCCTGGCCAACCTGCAAATATCATCCAAGGTGCCCGAGTTGCCAGCGTTGATGCCGATAATGGCAAGGTCATACTGGAAGACGGCTCAGTCATCGAAGGCGACCTTATTGTTGGCGCAGATGGCATCAGCTCTGTAGTGAGAACAGCTATATATTCAGACCTCAACACTGCCCCGGCGCCACAGACTCACGATCTGCTGCTCTTCATGACAAAGGTGTCCATCGAGGCTGTTCGAAATGATCCAGACCTGGCATTCCTCTCCGAGCCAACCAAACAGGCGGGTCTTACAACTTGTTATCCGCCAAATGGCCCCCAGTCCAAGAGACGCATGCTCATGTACCATGTTTCCCCACGAGAGCTGCAGGTGCTTGGGTATACTACTGAAAAGGAGTTCAGGGACCAGTTTGACATATCCAAATCCAGTATCATCAGAAACGTACCAACCTCTCGAGTCGTGGACGAGTTTTCTGCAGATTTCCCAGAGAGCTTCGTAAACCTCTTCAAGATCGGCCAAAACATTGACGCGTGGAGAATCAGAGATGTACCACCAATCGACAGATGGTCTCGAGGCAAGGCGGTCTTGATCGGTGACGCAGCCCATGCCGTTACCCCTCATGCAGGTCAAGGATGCAACATTACGATCGAGGACGCTGAGGCTTTGGGTTTTATTCTCAGAGATATCGAGACGGCAGATGCCCTGCCGGATGTGCTAGAGAGATTTGTCAAACTTCGCAAGGAGCGTGCCCAGTATGTAGCTCGGCGCTCGAGGGAGCTGGGCAACATTCAGTCCGAAGACGACAAGTCATATGGCCCGATTGGCCAGGAGGCCTTTGCCAAGACGATCTATAGCTATAGAGGAGCAGAGGCAGCCGCTAATGAGTCTCATTCCAGTGAGATCGCAGCAAAGTAGTAGAACGAAGCAGCGAGTCAAGATTACGATGGGTTCTGTAATAGCCAATACTTTGGTGCAACTGTAATCACACATTCACGATATGTCATGGGTGACAACCAAGCTCACGTGGCAATCACTGTCATGATCGAGGCATGTTGACTGCATTGGAGAATGTCAAGCAAGACCGTTCGCGAATTTGGTAAGACGCTCCTTCACGTGTCAGGATTATTCTCATCCATTATCCGCAAATCCTCTGCCCACTTTCGTTTTTCACACTCCACCAAATGAGTTCTACAATTCTCCTTATCAAACTTTCCGAACCACCCGTAGCTAATGTATATTTCAAAGAGGGTCTGCGCACATCGGGTCAGTACTCTGAGTAATTTCATAAGAATGCCAATGTGCACCTTACCGCTGTGTGCTGCCGCCTCCTTGTCCTTTCCAGACGATGTTCCCTGTCGAACACGCTCTCGTTCTGGCAATCTCTGTCTTCATCGTACGAGGGCACCACCCAAATTGCATCTTTCAAAATCTTCTCTTCTTGAGATGTCGTCTCAGCACGGCTGTAAAACGTTCCCGTCGTTGGTTGACCAATGGCATTTGGGACCAACATCCATACCAATCTGTTGTACCTTTGGGTCCAGTTGTCGAAAAATTCCTCAATGGGAAATGTGCGGTATCCTCTCCATCTTTCTGAATAGGGCAGGGCCTCGTACTCCTCCTCGGGCAGAGTAAAGTCGGATCCAGTGTGACAGTACGGTGTAATGGTGCCTTTACTGGTGTCTAGGATGAGATTGATGCCCTCTCTGTCTACACTGTGAGCGAGAAAAACACAGCTCGGCGGAAGCGGCCAAGGCTCTTGCTCGCCTCGACCGTCTGTGTAGCATATTGGAATTGTTTCCCAGTGAAGGAGTAGTTGCTGTGACCGATTGTCTGACCGAAGATAGGGGAGATGACGGAGAAGGTCGAGAACAACATCATCCTTTCCTTCTATGTTGATATCACTCCAACCGTCTACAGGAGGAATGATGAGTGCGCTATCGTCAAGATAGGCTTGGTTCACGACGGCCAAGTAGCACCTCAGGATGGCATCAATCGTGTCCTCGCGGGAATACATCTTCCTTCTGTATAGAGAACAGTGTATCGAAGGACACGGCTGAGATTCGTGGTTGAGTCCTTGTAGCCCGTTCAGAGACAGACTGCGCAAATTCGAGTCCGTCAGTCAGTCCATTTGTGTGATTAACAGAAAAGCAATTATAGCAACAAACAACCCCGCCTATTTCCATGCCAAGCCCCGCCTTTGTCTCAACGAGCTAAGTAACGAGTTCCAGGCATCAAAGTTATCAATGTACAGTGTGTAACCTTGGCAAATTATAAATTTCATGGAACCCCTGCAAGCACTTGGAAACCAGACAACTTGATGCGATTTGAATTCAGAAACTTCAATAACTATCAACTACTACATTAGGTAGCTTAACTATCAAATATCGGTCCATATGCGTGCACTCCACGCGCCTCCAGATCACGAACCAGCTTCTTCGTCACCATGGGATTGCTAATGACACACACTGCCTCGGCGTTGAACTCCTCATACAGACGCAAGACTTCTGGGAGCATGTCGACTCTTCCCGAAGCCCTCGTGTCAATCACAAGCGGATCGGGGTCCATCTTGTGTACCAGGTCGAGGGTTCTCTGAGAGTATGTCTGCAGCGGAGACTTGGTCTGCCACACCACGCGCATCTCTGGGCGGTTGTCGTCGTCAATAAAGGACAGGCAGGGGCCAATTCCCGAGCCAGTCGTGACGACAATGATGCGCTTGAAGACGCGCATGACGTATCCAAAGCCATAGACTGGCACGCCACGAACCCACACGTGGCTCGAGGGCTCGGCAATGATGGAGGATGTCCAGTCTCCTGCCTTGGAGACAAGGCAAGAGAACTTTGTATCGGGAGAATCGAACCGATCAGTGATGGTGGCAAAGCTATGCCAGTCTCGCAGAGGGTGCTTGGAGACGGAAATGCCTTGCCCAAACATGATTGAAGTGTGTGAAAAGTGCAGGCGAATGGCATGTTTTGAGAGATGCTCTGGAGTCACCTTGACCTTTCGGAGCATGGCCCACGGCTGGATAATGGCGGCGGTGACAATGATGATGGCCCAGAACGCCGGCTGCTGCACCAGGAAACCACCCATCGATGGCTTCTCTTGAGACGCAAGAGTCAGAAGAAGTGCCCAGAAGAGCGCCAGGAGGGTCCAGGTCGAGAAGCGGTGCGTCAACTCGAACCAATCATGGTACATCATCCGGAACTTGGGCGTTGCGACTGCAATGATCAAGAGGATGACCGCGAGCACCACATAGCCAAGCACCATCACCGTCGTGCTCACAGGCGAAGGCTTGTATTGCTGCGTGTACACGGAAATGAATCCAAGGTACCATACCAAGGAGGCCACACCAGTGCCACTGTGGACGCCTCCTAGATGGAAGATCTTGCAGGCCAGATGACGAAGCCTAAGTGGTGCCGACCTTGGCACGGCGCATAGCGAGACGAACAAGGAGTTGATGACGAGAGGCTGCCGTGCAAGACCGCAGACGAGCAAGTTTATTGCGCATGCATTGACGCAGTCTATCAAGAGCCTATCTCTTGCCATGACTATAATAAAGGCAATGAGGTTGCCCATGAAGGCTAGCCCAAACAGGCGTCGGTATGTATTGAGGATGACATATCTGATTTTTGCGAATCGCTTCGGTGGCGCAACGGGAGGTAGTTGCTTCTCAAGGTCGCCTGTCAATGGGATTTGGGACTCGGTACGGTTGTGTGAGACTTTCGATCGAACGCTAATTATAGGCTGAGGCTTCTGAGGCAGAATCGCGTCTGGTGCTTGCGAGTCCATGATGAAGAAAGACTATAAAGCACACGCAAAACAGTTAGGTGTTGTGTGTCGATGGGGACTTGTTCACATGTCAGGATGAACAAAGGGCCTATATATGCGGACCTCTATCTCAACACTTACATGAAAGGCTAGTAACAAGACGCTACCGAAGTACCAGGCGACGGAAACTTGGTTCCTGGATTTCCGTCATGTTCGGGCTTGACCCCGGTCCATGGTTGGAAAATATTACACCGTCTGTGAATATCACGCACACGTGCGGTTACGGTACTTACAAGTCTGTGTCTGGTTTGGGGGGTTGTAGACGGACGGACCTAGCGTGGACCTTTCCGACTATACTATTTACACGCTTACGACTGTTGCACCCCATCATCCGCACCCACCAGTATGGTCGAGCACCAGTGAGATAGTTCATCACAACATGCCGCGATCAATAGATTCGAATCATACGATCATCGATGGATGCAAGAGGTGGGTTGGACAGCCTCGAGATGTGAATTCTTCGATGCGGACTGGTCAGCTCCCGAGAAAGATTGACCGTGGCCCCAGCCAGCCATTGCCTCGCCTAAAGGGAGCGAGCATGTCACGATAGGCCCCAGGTATCTGTCGGGTGGGGTTATACAGGCGGTGTCTCAGTGGATCATTGGTCTTGATAGTCTAGCAAGCTGAAGAATTCTCCCAAACGGGCTTCTTTAGTTGATCAGTTACCTATCTCGGAAGGCTTTGCAACTAGCCCTTAGCTCGTCAACAAGCTATACTTTTCGTTGCCTGGGTCCACATTCCTTCGTGCAGCAGCTCGCTCGCGTCTGTGAACATGGCCGGCATGGCTCGGGCCTGATGCGACTCAATGTTTAGGTCCATATATCGTGGACAAGTTGGCTGGGGCAGGCAGTAGTACTTTTTATGGTAGGTAGATGTAACAAGTTTGGGATATAGTACAGGTTAACCGCACCCTCGTTTGGCTTGACTTGGCCATTCTTTCAAACAATTCTCCCGTCTTGACAACAACTCCAAATCAACTCAGACGAAAATGGACTTGGTTTCTTTTGCCCTCGATGCTCAAGCTTCTTACAGCCCCGACAAGCCTCTTTTCATCGATGCCGAGAATCCTTCCATATCGTTAAGTGCAGATCAAACAAGATGTTTGGTCATGGAACTTATCGCCGGACTTCAAGCGGCCGGGCTCCAAAAAGGTGACCCAGTCATGGTCTGCGTACCAAACAATGTAAGTCTCATCGAGTGATGGATTATTACAACATATCCGCTCACCAAGTATAGTGTTTCTATATTCCCCTAGTACTCGCCATCATTGGAGCTGGCGGTGTATTCTGCGGAACTAACCCTGCATATCAACTAGATGAGCTGGTTCACCTGGCCAACATTGCCAGTCCACGCCTCATCATTGCATCGCAGGATGTCCTCACTACGGTGATTAAGATGTGCAAATTCAAAGGCATAGCAAACGAGCGCATTTATGTCCTCGATGACCTTTTCTTGCAGTCATCAACTCCAAAAGACTCCTTCACCGAGGCCATCGATGAACTTGTCAGTGATAGAGATTACTATGCTTCCATCAAGCTGGCAAGCGACCTCAGAACCCACGGCATCGCATCATGGCAGACATTGCCTGATGAAGAGGCAGCAAAGAATACACCTGCCATTTATTTTGCCACCTCTGGCACAACAGGCCTACCGAAACTCGCCAGCCTGTCCCACTATGCCCTGATTGCCCAGCACCAAAGTCTCTACGCCAGCGTACCATATGAAGTGACACGGCTGGCCTGCCTTCCACTATTTCACATTTTCGGAGTCGCCTGGGCTCTCTTATCGCCGCTTCGCTACGGAGAATCATTATACATCATGGCGAGGTTTAACCTCAAGGAATATGTCTCCAACATTCACAAATATGCCATCACAGAGACTTACATGGCCCCTCCCATGGTGCATGCCGTGAACAGATGTGGACTGCCTCTCCAAGCCTTGATGGCTACTGTTCGTTACATCGGCATTGGCGGTGCTCCAATCGACGCGGCCGCCATGAGGCAGATGCGATCATATCTCGACCCCACGGCCACGGTTACGCCAGTCTGGGGCATGACAGAGTTTGGTCCCGCCGTACTTTTCCGTCACGGCGAGTTCGACGATACGGGCTCTATTGGACGGCTCATGGATGACTATGAGATGAAATTGGTCGACGACGAGGGTATACATGTCACGGAAGACGGACAGCCTGGCGAGCTTCTGATTCGCTCGCGAGCCATCATGAGCGGGTATCTTGGCATTCCCATGTGCAACGAGGACGGCTGGTTCCCTACTGGTGATATTGCCCAGGTACAGCAGGAGAAGATCTACATTGTTGGTAGATCAAAGGAGTTGATCAAAGTCAAGGGGTAAGTCATTTGGTCTGTTTAGCTATCAGAATACCAACACGTACTAACACTTATCAGATGGCAAGTTGCCCCGGCCGAGATTGAGGCCATCATCATTCAACATCCAGACGTCTCGGATTGCGCCGTTGTCGGTGTGATATCCGACGACGGGGTGACCGAGGTCCCTCGAGCCTACGTGGTACGAAGAAGCTCTGAGCGAGAACCGGGCCTGGGACAGGAAATCTATGATCTGGTGCGGGGCCGCCTTGTGAGCTACAAGAAGCTGTCCGGGGGTGTCATGTTTGTTGAGAGTATACCCCGGACGCCCAGCGGGAAGGTCCAGCGATTCAAGCTGCTGCAGAACACCAGCGCCAGCGCCAGCAGCACCAGTACCAGCATTCACCAACCACCGAGCCAGACTAGTTCACAGAAGCCATCCTTGTACAGGACCGTGCGCAAGTCGGTTTCCAAGATGGGGAAGAAGCTATCCACAGTCGCGAGCCGAGCTGGCAGGTCACTCAGTGGCCCTGCTTCGGCTACATGGTTGAGGGCCTCCAAAGTGCTTGCATCAAGTAGGATACAGGATGTCTGATTGGTGTGTCTCTATTTCTGGGGGGATGATTCATGAAAATCAATGAGACAAAATAGTGATACCACATAGTATTTGCATATTAATAAGGCGATTTGAATTCTCTTCTATACCCGCTTGGATTAGAACCAATGAATATCAGTGATCAATTTACAATGTTTGTAGGATACCTAGCTTGATTGGCAAAATGTTTTTATTCTACCTCTAGACTGGAAGTCTTGCATGAGCAGACAAGTACGGAAGCAAAATCACGCAGCCCTTGGATAAAGTCCAACTTCTACGGAGTAGTGTCGGGCTCGTCGTTCGACTGTTGGCGCTTGTCATGTACAGAGCTGCTTTCCGTCCAAGACAGTGCAGACATATGGACCAGAGCTAATCAATAGCTTCTAAAGACAGGATAGCAGTAGCAAACGGGGTTCCATTGCCGTGCCAGAATACTAGAGGCCAGAAAAAAAAAACATGTGAAGAAAAAAATCTATAGCTGGCTAAGCCAGCCACTGTCCGAGCGAGTGGATCTTACCTGGGAAGAGGCTGGCTGGTTGTCAGGACATTGTTCCCGTTCAAGGATGTTCGATCATTCGATGATCGTAAGAATGGGCCTACACCCTCTCCACGATCAACTCCAACAGAGTGGCACGCAAAAGTTCCCAAGAACGGCATATCACAAACCTAATGCATGTAATTCAAGCGGTGTAACCTGTCAAAGTCTGACTTGAGCGAATCAGAAGAGAGAGATGATGCAGTTCTCTTGCAGTTCCCTTCAAAGCATCTCTTAGCGAAGGGTAAGTCCTGGCTGTCGACTATTGAAAGTGTAACCACCCTACTATGCAAGATGTATCGGATCTGCACCAGACTATTGATTGGTTGTAAGGCTTTTTTTTCTTCTTCCATTTTTCCCTCGGGGAACATTCTGCGACCCAAGCCAACGGGCACACAGACCATAGGCTAAACCGCAATGGCGCAGTGACATTGACGCGACTAAGGTGCGATATAATCGACTATTACCAGATCGCATGGCCAATCCTGGCAATTGATCTTCCTCTATTCAACACTAGCGCATCGCGTAAGCCCCTGGGGGTATAGTTGGCCTTGCCGACCATCGCAACCTCACCTGAAGGACCGGATCGATCTCCGTACTACCGGTACTCGATTGTCTTTTCCCCCCTCCCCCCTCCCACTCCATGATACACACAAGTTTCCCATCATTCTTTTGAGTTTTCAAAATGAAATTAAACTCCCAACGGTCGTTGATTATCTAAAACATACTACACATTCCAGTTAAAAAAGTCATATGCAGATCATATTAGTATAATTGCGAACAGACGTTTGCAACCGTTGCATGTAATTGCAAGCAGTATTACTTCGGACCGAGCCGCAGGGTTCGTTCGGGCGGCGGCCGGGGACACGACATAGTAGTACCAAGACCCAGGGCCAAGCCATGTGCCTCGCTTGACACCCGTACCTGAGCCTGTACCTGAAGCCTGTGCCTGGTGTCCCATTCCCCTTCCCACCCACTACTTGCCGGGAGTCCGCTTGTCCCTCCCCGGCCATGCAGCAAGATCTGCCGGGAAATCGATCTACTGCCCACTAAAAGATCCTCCCTTTTGCGGTATCTCGCAGCCGCAAGACCCCCCAAAAGACCCAAAAAGAGCTGTTCTGGATCGAGCTGTGGACGGCGAATGAATCCTTGTACACGTGTTCTTGCATGTGGAGTCATGGCCCCCTTCGGTACTACACCTGCACTAGAAGAATAAGAGGCCGCTGTGTGTGTGTGTGTGTTTTTCCGCGTCTTGGCTGTTCGGGATCTGGATCTTTCCCCTTTCAAGACCACATTTTATCCGTGGGTAACTGCGATAACAAAGAAAAAAAAAATAAAACATGTCTCCACGATGTTAGTGTCTACGATCGGGGAGCAAAAGTACTTCCTTTTGTGTCCACGATACCCAAAAGCACATGGCTCCTTTCTGAACTCCCCTGGCTTTCCCGAGCGAGCGGTCAGGCTACGGGAAAGTTGGGGCCGCAAGGTGGATGGTTTTTTCTCTCTCTCTTCCACTTCTCTGTCTCCCTCCTCTTGTGCTTTTCTAGAACGAGAGAACACGAGTCTTTGAGTTGAAGCGCTAGACGAGGGCTCGAAACTACTCTGTACACAGCATGGGTTGGTCATTGGCAAAGCAAACAGCTGATCAAAAATGGTACGGAATAGCCGAGGTCTCTGTTTTGAGAGAGGATTGTCCAGTGAATGACCAACATATCTCTGATCAGAGGGACCTTTGCAGATATCTGTTAGTCATGTTTATTGGCCATCTGGTGAGTTCAAGTGGACAAGGGCAGAGACCAGGAAAGATCTGAGGCGGGAAGAGCAAGGAGAAGGGCGTCGCGGACAGTTCTGTCCATCCAAACATGGGATTGCTGCCTCCTGTTGATGGAATCAGAAAGCTGTTATACGAAGTGACTATATGTTTCTGCAAGAATTCTCGAAGACTTTGTCACGTCGTGAGGTTTATTTCGTCAGCATGCATGTGTTTAATTAACTTGGATACCTTGATGTGTTCGTTAGATTATGATCGGCCAAGTGTATCAGCTATTTCGTAGTTGCTTGACTGGCTGGGACAACACCAAGATCATAACTACCAACTTGGATTTGCGACATCTTATGCCATGTTGCCACATGTGTTACCTCTCATAGAACGTTAGTCGCATACTCGATCATAGGGATCTACTGGCATCCCTTGGAAGACTTCACGATATGTCCAGACAAATGAACAAAATGCCAATCTAGCGCTGTAGGCCTCTCTACCATGATTGATCGTCAACGTGCGCCCGAATATCTGGTTTGAGCTCAGGATCACGACCCAAGGCTGCCTGCATGGCCCTAGTCGTGCCAATAGTTCAGAAACTCTGTTGCTGAGATCTTCTGAGAGAGGTTCTATTAGAGTTCGAAATGGTACTTCCGAGGCTGCTCAATGATACTTCCGCTAGCCATGGCAGCGCCCGAGCGGTAACTTGGTCCCGGAACTCTCGGTATTGCAAGAAACGTAAAAAGCACCATACATTGTACGCAGCCTCATGGAACTATATAGTCCGCCCGCGCAGACATCGACTGTCGATGAAGGCTGTTCTAGCCCAAGCCAGCAGATAAAAAGCCAGTGGGAGGTCATGATGATATCCATCTGACACTTTATGAGTACTTATTTCCTTCACATTCTTCTTCACCCTTCTTGTTCCCCGACTGTGATTTTCATTGCACAGTCGTCTATGAAAGCGAATATGTCGCAAAATTTGTTGTATTATTGTACAGATAAGATCCATGAAGCATCACATCCTCAACGCAGGACGCGAAACTCGTAGAAGGATTTCCTTGCTGCGGATATTGAGGGAATGGCCGGCACTACAGCCTTATTATGGTGTCCTCAGCCAGCCACACATGCGCCTGCATGAGCTCGTTCGTCACACCTTGCTAATATCAAATAGCCAAGACTGGACCGGTGAATCATGAGCGGCCCGAGAGCCAGTTGGCTAAGCCTTGTATGGATTGCACCTTGACGACCTTCTGATCATGGAAGATTCTACTCAACTCGGGATCGAATGGCTGGCTGGGATAGTCGGTCAAGGAGGCGATATTTGCTGCAACCTCGTCGGTCTCAAGGAATATAGGATTCCAGCCTGCTTGCAAGGCTCCTTCGACATCCTTGGCATACTCGTCTCCAACGTACACCTTGTGCCAATGTTGGACTTTTGCCTCGGCTTGAGCGACAAGTCCGTCATCACGGGCACTAATGATTTGCGCAGCCAGGGACTCGGCGGATGCAAAGATGGCGCGGTCTGGCTTTTCCACCCCAACATCGTACGACATGCAATGGAAATCAATGTCAAAGTCCTCCCGGCACAGTTGGGTACGGGGGACCAGTGCGCCCGTACCGTCGTATCCGCCATGGCGCAGCGTGCTGACATGGACGCCGAACGAGGACAATATGTCGGGGACGCGGTCGTCGGAATTAGTAATGACGCCAATCATGACCTTGCCATAGTGTGGGTTGTGCTTTAGTGCCTGCAGGCTGGACGTGAGATCCGGCTCAGCGGCGTATCCATCGCTGGACGAGAACCGATGAAGCAACCTTGGGACAAGCTCACTGGGGAGAGGCTGGTCATTGCTCACGAGCGGCCGGAATGTCTTTCCAATGACCTGATATGGGATGTATCAGCAAGCGTATCACCAGACCATGGGCATATAGGCATTCGATTCAATCATGGCCGTGGCCGGGATGTTCTGCAGGACGCCCATACATTTGTCCACCACTTGGTTGCACCCAGCCCTGAAGACCTCCCATAATTGGGATTCTGCTTCATCTCATCCTTGAAGGCGGCCCGGAATGAAGATTGCAACTGAGCATCGTTGAACCCGCCAATGCCGCACTGCCGCGCAATCTCGCCGTACTGCTGCACGACTGGTCGTTTCGGTCGGAACAGCGTCCCAAACGCGTCAAAGCAGAGCAGCAAGTTTGGCTTGGCCATTGAGCCTCTTGCTGCGACTATCACGCCTTTGCGAGAGATTCGAGTGCGATACAAGAGAAAAGATCTTGGTCAGGTTGGTTGGTGGTTGAAGTAGAATGTTGGAGTTGAGACAGCCAGCTAATTGCCGGTTAGCAGTGGAGAGCCCCGACAATCTGTGGGGCGTATCAACATTGGAATAGATTCAAGACTGGACGTAAAAGGAAAACACCAACCCGCGAAGAGACACGGCTGAAAACGAAAGAAATGAGACAAAATTCTCATCTGTACTGATTGTAAAAAGATTTTCCATCTTCGGATCCCCTCTCCGCTAGTACTAATTGCACCTCTCAAGCTTTGATCAGCAGCCATATTACCATAGATCACCTCGAATCGCCAAATAATACAGGACATGTTCAGATTGGATCAAAAAAGTCATATAGTCATTCATTGTGACTGAGGTCTGTCGTGTCTACTATATGTAGACCGTCGCTAATATCCACGTCGACTTTGGTATAATATATACATGAACGATTTTTCATCTCTTGGAAAAACCGGATAAAGCAAATGCATCCAACTCAAGCGCCCGTCAAGAATGACTTACGCCTCAAAGTTGTCCTGGTTGGCGTTCTCCATCAACATGGTAGAATCAGGCTTGTACTTCTTGGGCAGCAGGCGAATGTCGTACTCGACCTCGAGAACGGCGCCCTTGGGCTCGTTCTGAATGGGCTTGAAGTCGAGGAGCAGATCGTCCTTGACAGCCGAGACGGTGTCGGTCTCGAGGTACTGGTCGGTCCTCGAGTAGAGCTGAGCAGTGACACCGATGAAGTCGTCGTGGGTGACCATGCAGTGGATGTGGCCGGGGCGCCAGGGGTGGCGGCCCATGATCTTGAGCAGATCGGCCGAGGGACCCGAAGTGTCAATGGGGTACTCGGTCGGGTACAGGCAGTAGAACCAGAACTTGCCCTCGGCGTCGGTGCGGAACTTGCCGCGGAGGTTGTGGCGCTCCTGGTTCTCGGGGTCAAAGACGTCGTACTTGCCGTTGGTGCTGGCCTGCCACATGTCGAACACGGCGTTGGGGATACCCTTGCCGGTCTCGGCGTCCCGAATGACACCGTGGAAGTAGGTGAGCTGGCCATCCTTGGGCATGTTCAGGACGACGCTGTCGCCATTCTCCCTGAAGGGAGTCTCGGGCGACCAGAAAGGTCCCAGAATGGTGGAAGATGTGGGCGACAGGTTGTTCTCAGTGACAATCTTGTGGTTGATCTCATCGACGAGGCTAGAATATTGGATTAGCTGCTGCAATTTGCTGACCTTTTTTTCTCTTAGATGCACTTACGACTCAACACCCAAGATATCGCAGACTCTCCATGCCTCATTTCGGTTCTTTCTGTAGGCCTGTCCGATGGCGTTGACGTAGTTGACACCGACAATCCATTCGTCCTGCTTGAGTTCGACCTCTCGGCAGAAGTCGTGCAAATGTGTGATGAGAGAGGTGAGGATTTCACGGTGTCTGGGCTTTGTCTCTGCGCTCATGAGGCCAATGACATGGCTTGTGAAGTTGGGGTCAAATCTGTCGGCGGGCTTGGAGGCGCCGTTAGTGGCACCGTTAGTGCCGTTGGTGCTGGGACTCATGATGATATATGTGTGTTTTTTCTTGGGGTTGGTGATGAATTTGGAGAAGAGAGCGAAGCTTCTTTTATCACACAGGCTGATGGTTCTGATGAGAAAGGCAAGAGAGAAAAAGAAAGATGAGATTGGAGAATTAAAACCTTCATCAAGAGGCGAAACCACTGGGAGGCGATGATTTAAGTATGCATTGTCAGTCACCTACCTGATACCCAGACTAGACTGTCTAGAGCGCATCTACGCATACGCACACGTGCCGGAGAAAGGGTCTCCCCCCTCCTCATACGATGTCGCGACCAGATTTGGCCGGCCGGTAATCACAAAGGGGAGATTCACGATTGGCGCGCTCAAGGTTGGGGCCCCGTCTTTCTGGGGCAGTTGGGGAAACGTAAAGCCGTCGTAGATGGGGAGCGTTTGGTCGAGTCGTTGGTGGGCGCCTGTGCAGCTCCCGTGCTGCCCGCGAGGTGTCGAGCAGTAAGCCCGCTGAGTCCAGTAGGAGCCGGTCTCAAAGCCGACTCCACATCCAGCAATGATCGGCTAACCAGAGAGGTAAGAATGATGCCAGTCTAGGGGAAACTTGATCCCTGTAGACGTTGGATCAACATTTTGCCGGCTAGTTCGTGGCAGAGTCTGGGGAGGGCGAGTCATATTCATGCTAATTCATTAAATGTTTAACCATTATCATTGCGGAGTAGTATACTGGATATATGCCTTACTATAGGATATTCCTGATTTGTTGCAACAAAAGACGAATATATATCCTCGGGGCTGCATGTGAATTGGCGGCGTGCAGGGTAGCTTGGGAATCTCTCGTTGCACGACGTCGGGTCACACAACTTGCCGTCTCCACGAAACTTCGATCCAATGTTTTAGCAAAGAAGAGCTCTCAGTTGTTGCTGAGTTGATTCAATATATATACAAGTCGAAGCGAATGTACATGTCCATGTCAGGAATATCAAAAGCCTGCTTCAGCTTGTCCGTCTAACTGAGGTCCGAGACAATGGCAGTGTATGCATCCTTGGGGTTGTAGCTGGAGTCGAAGAGCAGTGGCGTCGAGCTAGATCTCCACGAATCCGCATCGCTGACTCCCCACACGGTAATGCCGACGCAGCTGTCGACGTTGAGGCAGGCATCGACCACGGCCGTGTAGTCGCTTGCGGCAGCTCCTGCAATGTCAAGCTCGGTGATGGCAACCTCCTCAACGCCAGTGGCAGCGAGAGCAGAAAGGGCGCCAGCGACTCCGCTTCCGCCACCCGCAGACAAGTGCGTTTGCGATCCTTGACACACACGGTTTAGCAAAGTCGACAAACTCTCCAGACTTGAAGAGGCACTCACCAATTCCGTGAATAGGGACACCAGCGGCAATCCACTTCTCCACGTGGGCTACCATGCCAGTGGTCACCTTGGCATAGGAAGCCGTGTCCAAGTTGTAGTCGTTGATGTAGAGCTTTGCATCGGGATCGGCCTCATGGGCGGCATTGAAGGCAATCGAGACGAAGTCCTCGCCCAGCACATCGGAAAAGACAGAGCTACGCAGCGAGCCGTCCTCGTTGAAGATTTCGTTCACAACGTCCTATAGCATAATCAGTCGACGCTCGCAAGAAAAGTTGTGCTGGTTGGTCCATACCCATGCGCGGATCTTTCCCGCATAACGGCCCACAAGAGTGATGATGTGGTTTTGGAGGACCGACGTGAGCTCGTCTGCATCGGTGATGGCCGACACCCAGCTAGGTAATTGTGAGTGCCACACGAGAGTGTGACCGCGAATACTCTTGCTATTGGTCGTGGCAAAATCAACCAGATAATCAGCCGTGTCAAAGGTGAAGCTGCCCTGCGTGGCCTCGGTGGCATCCCATTTCATGCTGTTCTCGGGCGTGACTTGACCAAAGTCCGCCTTGACAATGTCTGAGACGGCAGACTTTGAGAGTGTACCCTCATCGGCAGCTGTGCCAAAGTAAACCTTGCCCTTGGCAACAAAGAGATCGTTGATGCTGTCACTCGCCGCAGCTCTCTTGGTGCATGGCGTAGCGAGAGCACCCAGGGTGGCAAGCAGGAGAGCAATAGAGCCAGTCTTCATTCTGAATAAACCGAGTTGAAACAAAGGGTTGTTGAAAGAGAGACTGCCAGAGTCGGTTAGGCTATGTCGGTGACGGTCAGATCCTGTAGTCTTCAACCAAAATGCTGGGGATGAGAATGGTATTTATGATAAGGCCCTGCTAGACAAAAGTTACATACTTTCTTTGATAGCCTCGGCCAGGTGGTACCATATCTGAGTTAGATGCACCGGAGGGTCTGGGTCCATGAAAGGGTCAGACTGTGTTTCCTTGCGGACTCATTTCTCTATGATCCGATCCATCCACCTCATTCGTATGATCCCAGAAGTACATCCATCCACCAGACAAGCCCATGCAAAACTGAGATTGGATTGATTCCAACGGGAATGATAATTCTTGGCACCTGATAATAGACGGCAGTTGAAACGCACGATTTCGTGTTGGGGGTGGGCAAAGTTGCATTGCAGTGTCCAAGCATGACGTTGGCTTTTGCTCCAAGGGGACCGCGGAGTTGGGTAGCCCTTGGAAGAATAGAAGAAGGACGAATACAAAATAAATCTCCGTCTTGGCAAATGGATGCTCCACCGATTGAGTGGCTGACTCAGGCATTCATCACATCACTCTACTAAGAAGATCGACATGCATTGTACACGTTAATGCTATTCTCTGCGGGACCAGGCCGTTGCAACCCAGGTATTCGATCCCGGTTGGAGCTGGCCAGGGGGTGGGTTGTCAGGCGTATATTCAAGTGGGGAGGCGGCTGTTTGAGACGACGCAGGGATACTAGTACCTCCCAAAGTATCAGGTGCGGCAATGCGCTAGGTAATATAGCAGACACACACGTACGTTGTACAACCTTGACCAGCTTTATGGGATGAAAAGGGATGGTCTGTATGGATCTCTCGGAAGTCGGCCGGTATGACCTAGATCAGCCAACTTAGATTTCCGGAATGACACAGGCGGGGATATGAAGGTACATACACGACAAATCACCAGCCGCAGTATCTAGAGCTCAAAAGCATCGACGAGCTGTATTTGAGTGGCTCTGCAGTTTTTAATAGCGAGGCCTGTAGGGGACTGTGAGTGGCTGTAAGATTCAGGTTTAGATATCAATTGTACTTGCGAGTTGCGCCAACTTTAGTGGCACAGTGCTTGGTTCATCCGAAGACGACTTGAGTCTACTTCAGGTCCAATACACGGATTACCTGGCCTGATCGCTGCTAAATACACTGAAAGGTAGACTAGAACTATGTACACACGAACATTGGTGTTCTGTGCGCACTTGGCTGCACGCCCTTGCTCACCGGCAGTTCAAGGACTAACAAGTCGGATCGGTCAAAGTAATAAAACCCAGCTTCCAAGGGAGCGCATTGTAGTCTCCGCTCGCATTCGGGTCGAGGCCTTGGTATAGATATTCAACAGTACAGGGGTCAATAGTCATGGTCTGGTCAACATTGCTCCGTATGACCTCTCCGTGACTGATGCTCTTGGTCCAAGCCGTTCCAGTAAATACAACGTTTGTTGACCGCGCAAATGGATTCGACTCCGAGTCAGCCAGAGCTGTCCACGTGCCGTCCAATGAGGAGGAGGTCCAGGACCAAAAGTAGCGGTATCCGTCGCTTCCAATGGCCTCGACCAGAAGTAGATACTCATCGCCGACATTGTAGACATTGGATGCCTCAAACAAGGCATAAATGTTGGATTCGTCTTCGAGAGCGATTTCCGGGTCACCGAAGCCACTCGGAAAGCTGCTGACCGACGTCGAAGAGCGATACAAGTGACCATTATCATCCGATGAGTACAAGTAGCAGTTGGAAGAATCGCAAATTGTCCAAAAGTCCTACATATCTGTTAGCATACCGTCCGAGAAATCCTTTTGTCAGGACACCACTCACCAACCAAGCACCGCTGCCCATGTTCTCAGTCACGATGCTGGGAACGCTAGAGTAGAATGTCTTGACCTCACTCCATCCAGAAGGGTCGGCAATATCTGAATTGGTCGAGTACGCGGCATTGTTATTCTGGAAGACCAGGTACCATAGGGACTGCGACTCCATGTAGAAGACCTGAGGAGCCGCGCGATACCCAGTGCCGATTGCAGTCTCATCAAGATAATGAAACTCGGCATCATTGGCCTCGGAAAAGTCGCCAAAGGTAAAATAAACAAGATTATACCCAGCTGACTCGGAAATGGTGCTGGCAAAGACATGATAGGCGTCATTGTAATAAACAATAGAGGGATCTTTAATGGCAGCAAGCGCGCGTGAATCATCCTTGGGGCCTATCAAGGCATCAGACGAGCTCCATGAAAAAGTACTTGGTAGAGACGCCCTAGCTTGCAAAGCCTTGGTTGTAGGAGCACGACTGGCCCATGTCCAAACCAATGGCGCTGCTGCCAGAAGAAGTTTTGTCGGCAACATGATAACTTGTGATGCTAGGTGGAAAATAAATGAATGTTGTTTGGCTTTACCACCTTTGCAGACATCTTCTGTGCTTCTAATGACATTCGAGTATATTTAAACATTGCCATAAATTGAATGCATCTCTCCAGATATTGTCCTTGTTCCCATTGAGGCTCTCCCTACCTCTTCATTAAGCCGCGACATGGCCCTGCTAGCGCTGTCCTGGGCTTTTTGTGCAGCGTCGTTTCGGTAATCCAAAAAGGAAGTGAATTCATTTATGATCCATCGTACAGTCCTGGGCCACTTTTGTACCTAATGATGAAAAATGAGCTTTGGGCACATGGTGATTGGTGGTTCGAGGCCGGAGGATATCCGTCATTGTACCCCAGATTTCCGGGAATCCGGTTATCGAAATGCACTATGGGGACGATGCGCACTCCCGGCGCTAATAGCAAGCGATCGTTTCGTTGTAACTCTATGCGAGTATTTCGTATGTATAGCGCGCAGGGGAAATGTACCATGGTAATTCTTCCACTCCTTTCTTGACCACTACTACAGCCGCCAACCCGTATGCGTCTCTCATGATGATCGACGTTTTCCAAGCGCCCCAATTGCGGCCTTGATGCTGAAGAAATCGCCGGAGCAAGTAGCTCCGTTGCAAGTAAGGGAATGGGGTTCGCGAAAATCAAGTCAATCATCAACAAGCACTTGGTCGTCTTTCATACTCTCCTGTCATGTAGCTGCGTGTTGAAGGCAGCACACGTAATGAACTTCATACTCGAAGCCAGTGGGGTTGATTCCAGAACAAAAGCCAGGCAAGGATACCAGAACTTGGTGCGTGCCGCAGGTGGTAGTGTGTATAGCAGTGTGGTATTTAGCGGTTAGCAGCCCACGGCCAAACCGCCCCCTGAAAGCTTACGAATATTCGGGTCTTGTCGTACTCGGATTCCCTTCGTATACAATAAATCGGTTGCAATGATCTGATATCGTGCTAGAAAATCCATAGAAATTAGGAGAATGTGGCCTGTCCTCGCTGATGATGCCGGCGCGGGAATCATTCCACCGAAATACAAGCGACAGTGAAATTGGAAAGCTTCAGAATGACCCAGAACTGGTGGTGACCATTCCGGGACTCGGGAGAAGTGAAGTAGCCAACGCGACAATAAGCAGCGAATCTATCAATCTCATGCATTTTGTTTCCACATTGTTTAGCTGAGTACAATGCCTGTCACGCGCATACTGTAGCTAATTGTACTCTGAAATTTCAACAGCACGAAGCGAGGCTGAACAAACTATATTAACAGCTCTCTCACCAATTGTATCTGTTCCCAGGGTGGTTTTGAGCACGGAGCCCTTCACTATCTGGGGCCTCAATACCCGTCGCTTGGCCGCTACGGAGGCGAAAAGCTTGGCTTCGTCGGTAGTCGGGTACTATAAGGGCTGAAGATAGAGTCTAACATGACCTTAATCATTGGAGCTGTGGCAACTAAACAATCTATACTCTGCCCGTTAGCGTCAGTCCCCTTTCCATCCCTGGCACTACACTATAACTTCCTATCTATGCGTGATAAATTTCTGGCGCTCGATTGGCGCCTCCACAAGTTGTCGCACCTTGAAACCGAGGCTTCCGCCGTGATGGTGATAATGTGGTATTTTGCATGGTTGACATTGCCAAGTTCACAATGCATATTTCGACTATGTCTCTGCTCGATTTGTTTTGTTTATCTATCTCATATCTGAAGCCATCGTCTGCATTACATGCTCGGTTGTGCAGCAGAGGGCCGTGGGTGGCCGTGAGCCTGGGATAATTCTCGTATTCGACCCCCTGGCCACGGTGATCTCTCCCCACTGAGTGACACTGATGGTGGGCCCTAGTTGCACTCACCTTCCCTTTGGACAGCATCACCACCCGTGTTGTCTTGGCTATTATGACGTCCAATAGATACGACCAACATTGCATGAAGGGGGCGGGGGAATTTCTGTTGTAGTGAATCCGTTTAAAAAACGGCGTCACTCGCTCCTTTTGAGGCCATCATAACACACAAACCAGTACAACACATTCTCTAATCACTTTCATCACCATGCGCTTTTCCTCAGCAATCAGTCTTGCCCTTGGCACCGTTGCGACGGCCTCGCCCGTCCGACGCGACTACACCGAGGATATCTCCATCACCGATTTCTACGTCCACAAGGCCATCGCAAACGGTACCACCAATGCGACCGTGGATGGTGTCTCATTCTTGTTGACTGGAGAAAATGCGACGGATCTCGCCTGCTCGGCGCAAACTGGAATCCCCTCGGCAGTCTTCTCCTGCGGCGACTCCCCATACAGCTTTGCCCTGTGGGAAGAGAGTGAGTCGACTGGAGAGTTTACACTGCGTCTCTATCACGCCTTGGGCGTTGCGTAAGTCTTTTCACCCCTCCCCATTGAGATCCGCATGGATGGAAAAGATCAAACTTGCTGATACTTTCGACATGTGCAGCGTGGGATACTATGGCGCAGGAGTTGTTCCTACCTACTGTCATGCTGGTGGTGGCCCGACTCTGACTTGCGGTCAGGTCGTCACCCCAGTCAACATTACCATCGACAGCCTGCCGGATTCCGCATAATTATATCGTTGGCACAATGACGGGTCGTCACTTGAGAAGGCCTGGACAATGATGGCATTTAGAAAATAAAATGCACACCTAGTAGTTTAAATCAGCTTCTAGACCAGCTGTCTAATATAATGTAATGGAAACTGCGCATCCCACGGTCACAATGCACAAAATGTAAGCCTCGTGTGAAGGGTGGCCACACTCGAACAAACGTGAATCGTTTAGAGCGGTCCCGATAAATTCATAGACCGTCATCGCGTCCGAGTCTTTGTCCGATATTTCGATCTTGATCCTATAGCGAACAAAACAGCGAGGGATAATTTGTTACACATTAGACTATCGCATCATAACGCTTCAATCTTCCATCGAGGATTCTGGCTGCCACAAGTAGTGGATGCCCCTTACTTCAAGGCGCCTATCCGGAGCCTTCCCAGAAGTTGGCAACAGCCTCAAGGTCATCCACATTGAGCAGATCGACTCCGGCGTTCCACAAGGTCCTCCACACAGCATTGCGGGTGCCTACAGGGAAACCTGGCAAATCCCAGTATCTCACGGCAATTCCCTTGGCGTGCGCCGCCGCAACCTGGGCGTCAAGCAGTTCCAGCTGGGTGCTGTTGAACTCCTGATTCCGTACCTCTCCAAACTGCACGGCAAAGTCGGTGCTGGCAATTGGGGAGACTTCCTTGGTGATGTTGTCGGTGGCGAGATCCGCCAATGGACCGTCATAAAAGTAGTCCCGGGGCTCGACACCCTGGACCAGGTCCAGCGGGGTGTTGCCGGTGCCAATGACGGTCACGGGGCCGCTGACGACGGCTGAGCCGTTGTAGGTGGTCAAATAACCAGCGTCGCGGAGCGGTGCCAGGGCCTCGATGACATAGGGCCAGGTAGTCGCTCCATCGGTCTTGAGATCAATAAAGAAGTAGAGCGTCTGGGACGAGGAAGTGTCAAAGACGCCGTTCTTGGTGGGTCCGCTAACGAAGGCGCTGTCGGGATTCTCGGCACGCAGCACACTGAGGATCGGCTGGATATACAGAGAGTCCAGCGTCCGCTCCTCGCTCAGCGCGCTCTGCTCGTGTCCGACATAGAGCGTCTCATTGTACAGCCAGACATCGGCCTCGGTGCTCACGGCACCAATGGCCAGAGCGCTGTAGAAGGGCACCGGCCGCCAGTAATCGTTGTGGCTGTGGACGGGCTTGGGAATGATGCCCTGGGTCAATTGGGTCGGATACTTGTATGCCGGATTGGAGTCGGCACCATCCAAGATCTTTTGCAGAGATCCCGAGATGGGTATGTCAGATTGCGCCGACACCAGCGGTGCTGCTACGGCACAAGCACTTAGGAATCGAGACCACATTGTGTTCATTTGGAGTAGAGACTCTATGCTGTACAAATGAATGTGAGCTAAATCATCAATTGATGCCAAAAAGAATCAAGATAATGATTTTGGGAAAACGTTCAATGATGTAGGTTTTGAATGCTGGACAGGAGCAACCCGCGAACCCGAACAGGGGTCGTAGAAGCTGCCAGGATATGACGACTTCGACCAATTAATTGGGTCCGGTGCGATCTTCCCCGCCAATCGCCGCACACACGTGTTATACAAAAGAGTAAGCGCCACGCAGAAACGAAATGGAGATCGTCTGTAGTATAACGGCTGCTGAGCGAGCACGTGTGCTCACCATGATTCTAATCAAGTTTTCCATGCAGTCCAGAATTCAAATACAATCAACCAATCACACTTCCGTATCTGGCCATCCAGCTAATATGATTCATTATACAGGTATCCAATTATATCGTGAATTGTGTTTGTAAAGAGCGATATGTCTTGCTACGAATAATGTCAAATTTGATTTGCATAGAAAACTATTTCTTCTAGTTATTATAAGCAATTGTTTCCAGACTCGTTTCAAGGTTTCTTCGGCTTGAGATAGCAAATGTATGTGATATTCAGGAGATGTTTCAATAACTAGCTACAGGCCAGTCGACCTCCATGAGTAATTTGGACAAATATAACTAGCTAAAAAAGATGAAGGCGAGGATAAAGGACTCTGAGAGGTCTTGTTCCATAGTATACACTTGCCTCGAATCGCCTCTGCTCTGCTCCAAGACTCTGATGCCCGAGCTGCAAGAAACAGCTCAAACTGGAGTTGGCTACCTAGTTTTAATAAATGTGTCATTTGCCACAAGATTGATGCGAAACCTCTTGAACAATGCAGAACAAAGATTGTTCATCAATGCAGTAAGAGTCGCAAGGACATATGAGCTGTGAATAACTGTGTTCGTCTGAACTTTTCAATGCTGCTTGATTGATCCAAATCAAGGACCTTATATGTAGAACATGGGACGAAAACTTGAACAAATCATATATTTGATCACGCACTCACGTGGACAACTATTTGACGGTGGCCGCCGGTCAAGGCACCGGAACTCTTGTTCCTTGAGATGATTATTTCAACACGCAGCAAGGTTACCACAAAGACGATCTTGATAGCTCATATCAGTCATACATCGTCGTCAGCTTCAAACCTTGAACATGCCCCTCAAGCCTTCACAAGCCGACGACGATAAAGGCGACCTTGATGGCCCAATTCACTGACACATCTTCGCCAGCTTCAGGCTACCATCGTCTCTCTCAAGCCCTTTCAAGCTGGTGACGATGAGCCTGAGTCCACAAACGCAATCGCAGTCAAGCTTCAGCTTCTTGAAAAAAAAAAAAAAAATCTGCATCTTTCCTCTTTTGCGTACCAGCAGCTCTTGCCTAAGCTCTGGTGCCAACCCTTCTTTGTACCCTTTGGAAGCTGTGAAGCTTACCTGTCCCCGACTCTGAATCTCTCTTCAACATTCAACATCACCAGCACCCGCCACAGAGTGTTTTTATTACACTCAAGCAGACATGGATATCATCCGTGTTCCCGGTGACACCAACGTCACTGACTCTGGTCAAAATAACGTTCCCAACCCCTGGCACAGCGACACCCTCCCCGTCAGTTTCTTCGCCCTCGATCGCGATATGGAGCGCGAAAAGCCCCAGGTCATGAAGTTCTGCTTGATGTGCGATAAGGTGGGAATTTTGAATTGCTTCACCTGCGACGCCCCTTACTGCTCTGAGCTCTGCCAGGAGAAGGACTTCAAGATCCACGAGTCCATCTGTTCGCAGCTCACTGGCGAGTTTCACGATTGCCAACGCCCCGACGGCCAGCACTTTCGAGTTCTGTTCTTCCCGCAGAACGAAGACCAGCCGCGCTTCCTCTGGATAAAGCACGAAGCCAGCGATGAAGAGGTTCAAAAGACCATGCACAGAATCATTGTCCGAGACTGCGAATTTCAGCCTCGCCAGCCGACGTTTGCCACCGAGACCCGAGCCATTACTATTAACCATTCCAACGCGATCCGCCGCTGTGGCCATGGCTTGAGACTCAATTCGATGACCCAGATGAAGCACTACAATGCTGAGAATGGCGGACCAGTCATCAACAAGGCACTAGCCAGACTTTCGCCAGCAGGACATGCTTCTGTCTTGTTCGGACCGGCCATTCTCTGGGGCTACCATTACAGAACCGATGCCGAGTTGCATGATCCCAAGTCCCGCCTTCGTCCCATGGACGTTGGAGCCCGCGACATCCGCTCGCTTATGGACTACATGCTGGGAAGGATGACTAACCCTTGCGTGGTCGAGCCTCAGCGGCTCACTATGCAGCGCCGTGTCCCCCTAACCTGGGCTGTCAAGGTTAATTGTGAAGGTGACGTTGCACGTTTCAAACGTGTTCTTCATGATGGAGTGACTGAGCTCCCCATTTTCGAGTCCGTCAAAGTCATCAAGTACACCATGGACCCCTGGATCACGGTCGGCTGGGCCAAAATCCTTGGACGTAAGTAATTTCTGGTGTCACTATTTGCCATGTTCTTAATTGTTCAGCGACCGCTCCATTTCAAATATTGTAGTATAAGACGACAGACTCAGATGCAATGCTCGAAAAAGCTGTCCCCGACTAATTTATCCATTTGGAAAATAATTGCTTACATGGTGTTATTGTAGTGCATTGGGAGTATCGCCAGGTCTGGAGCAATCGCGAATTGAAGGAATCGGGTAGGATGGAACTTCTGCGTAACCCTCATACCCGCTACTTCACCGCCGAAACTCTCCAGCCCGGTGACCATCTCGGACCGGATGCCGAGGACAAGTTCCAGTTGGGAACGGTGGTAGTTCGCCGCAGAGACGGCGGCCTTATCCATCCCTACCACGTCCAGTGGATGGTCGACTTTCTGGACAAGATCCGCAAGGAACGCGGTCAGCGTCGACTCCTGCTTCTGGTCAACAAGTTCCTCAACAACGAGCCGATTCCGCACTACAATCGAGAGGACATGGAATGGGACTGGCGAAATTTTCGCTTCTGGTGCCCGGGCGGTAGAAATGTTGGTACGCCCTGGAATTTGTGATCACGGGATGGGATCGAAGGGGACATGGAACCATAGTGTACAAGGGTACATAAAGGTATCTGCATGTCGATACCGGATATGTTTTTGGCATTTCCTCGCTCTGCGAATGCAAAGAAATTTGCCACGCCGCAGCGTGCTCTTCTCAAGCTATGTACATAACTTGATATGAATCACCATCGTGAATCCCAAAGGGGGCGCAATGCAGTTAAACCAATAAAAAGAGACTCAGTGGTCCGAATCGTTTTACTGCCCTGTCCCGGGAGAATATTGACCCAGTGATCGAACAGCTCTTTTGTCCTTCCTCTAATGATGCCCATCTCCTGCAGTGCTGGGTCGTTCTCGGCGGCGTATTCCAGCCCACGGGGTCCACCAAAGACCAAGAGGAGATGGTTGAACTTGACCGTCTCCCTTCTCCTTGGACCAAATGCTTCTGATATCGGTGATCCACGTTCTGATGTTCCAACGCTGAGATCGTAACCATCTTCGTAGGGGCACTCTTCGAAGATTGACGCCAAAGATTTGCAACGCCGGATGGCATAGCCCCAGTACAGACCTGCCTCAGTCCTCGGTGTTGCAGGATGGACGGCATCTGCGCGGGCCGGATCCTTGGGATCAAATTTGAGAGTGACGCGGTGGTTTGCCGGAATATCGTCATCAATAGTGACTCTCAGGTTCCCACCAACATCAACGACGGTGCCCTTGCCACCACTTGGGCCCTCTGATGTCGTTATACCCTCGCCGTAGGGCAGATATTCTGAAGGGTTGGGGTGATGTGGCATTTCCAAGCTCTCGAGAAGACCGGCCTGCTTGAGATTGGGGTGGACTGGAATCAGTGCCTTGCGCATAAAGGGCGGCACCTCGACATAGTTGAGCAAGTGCTCAATGTAGCCACAGGGATCAATGTCACCCGTGTACATGGAAGGGTCGACATTCCTGACCCGCTTGTCCAGGGGCGTGTCGTCAAAAATGACAACCTCGTCCACGGCAAAAACGGCCAGTGCGCGAGAGATCTGGTTGACGACGGCGGTGCGCTGATCATCTCGACGGCAGCTGCAGGCCAAGGTCAGCAAATAAACTTTATACCAAATGCGATGAGCCACGATAGTGATTCCTTACGTAGACAAGATACTGCCGGGGATGGCTACAGACACCGTCCATGTACGGCCACCTTCAGGCTTGAACATTGCGGTAGGCTTGGTGGTGTCGATAGAATTGCCGTCGCTAGAGGTCTTGCGCTTCTATATGCGGCAGTCAGAATGTGACTAGCTGCTTCCAATGCTATGCAGATATTATTGCAAAATTTGCAAATACAGTCAAAAGGTACAAACCTTTTGCCTATTTTGATCATAGGACATATTGGTGAGAGCCACACTGGTATTATACTTTTTTTTCTGCAGGTTTATCGGCGACCTGCCTACTTCTGGTAATAAATCCAACCTGCCTTGCCGATATTGGCTTGGTGCTGTCGTCTGCTGCAACTCAATTTTTTAGCGGACTGAATTGTTTCTACCGGCCAAACGCAGCAGCGAGGCCACTGACCGCCTGCGCTTTACAGAGTGCTGGCTCCCCACTTACAGAGTACGTACCCATCTTGGCCATTAGCTAATGCAAAGCGGGACCGGGATTGTGGCACAGTGGAGATGTGGACAGCTTTATCGCTTTATCAGCATCGGCGCGGAGGCAATGACCTGAGCGTCCTTTCAACCTACATACCTGCTCACACTGGACTTGCTTACAATTCAGCTCTGCTGTGGTGAAAAAGAACAGGCAGAATCACAAATCACTTCTTATTTGGGCTCGTTGGATCTACCGCGACCATGGCAGTCAGTATTGGTTCTCAAAATGAATGGTCGCGCATTCTCAGCTCGTCGACAATCGTTGTCGCAGACTGTAAGCAGCACCACGGAGCACTTCCCATCTGCCCCTCCGTCTCTTGCGCAATGGCTCGTGTCGCTGACAAACTGAATGAACGTCTTCAGTCTACGCCGACTGGTGTGGTCCCTGCAAGATGATTGCACCGACGTTCGAATCGCTCGCGACCAAATTCTCCAAGCCCGGCAAGATTACCTTTTGCAAGGTGAACACCGATAGCCAGCAGTCCATTGCCTCGGCCCATGGTGTCCGCGCCATGCCCACCTTTCTCATCTTCAAGAATGGCTCCGTTATTGAGACGATCCAGGGTGCGAACCCGCCGGCCCTGACTGCCGCCGTCGAGAAGTCTGTCAAGCTGGCTGGTACATCTGCCCCCGGTGCCTCTTTCAAGACCCCTGGCAGGACCCTCGGCGGTACCGGACCTGCAACGACCTCGAGTCGTTGGGGCGGCGGCGGTGGACGTTCGTTGGGAGGATCATCCAGATTCAGCTCGTTCAACGTGCTTAATGCGTTGTTGACGTTCTTTGGATTATACATCGTCTCTCTCTTTTCGGCAAGTTTTCAGAATGTCCTTTTTCCGCCAAAGCGGTTACTAATATCTCTTACAGTTCGACCCATACAAGGCAGCAGAAAACTCCGATTTCAACGTGCACAAGCCCAGGAGCGAGACATTTGGTAGAGACCAGGGAAGCGGAAGACCGGGAGCAGCAGCAGCAGCGCGCCCTACAAATGGCGTAAAAACCTTGGCTGATCTCGGTGGAAGTTAATATCTATCTCACTACCTTGCTGCGTATTATACCCACAGTTTTTTGTTCTAGTCGGAGCATTTCGTCCTGGATTCTGCCTCTTCAGAACTGCCTAGCCTATAGCATTTTGCTACTTTGAATCTTTGATTAAATCCAATAAAGTAAAACTATCATTGGTGTTTTGAGCAGAGCTTCAAGATTCAGACAAGAAGTCTACATGAAGTGCACTCTTGCCTTTGAGTTCAGTACCATACCTGATCGGAGTATATGCGAATACCTTGAGGTAAACGATGATGAATTCGGACAATTTGGTTGGTTCAAACAGAATCGACGCACCATCCCAGTGCCGCTAGCATGGGTCTTGGGAATTTCTAGCTCTAGCGACGGAGACCCTCCAAAGCTCTAAAATTCCATCAACCGCACGACTGCTGAAATGCAAATTGCCACCAAATCGAGGTCTCTCGTCCTCAATTTGCCAACTCTATTCATCTTCTCTCATTTTTGTATTTGTAAAACATTTCTACCTATATAACCTACCATGCTGTCTGCACGCAAGGCACAGAAGGCCTGCCCTGGCTGCCAGGCGCAGCTTCTCAGTCTTTTCGAGAACAGCTTCAGTAGTACCACGAGCCGCGCACGACGATCCATGCCCAGCAGCATTCGGAATAGACAGTCGCAAACCTTTGCGAAACGAACATTTTCGACTACAAAGAGAAGGTTACAAGAATCGCACCCCGAGACGACGCCCTCTCTCACCCAGACGCCCGAGGAGATTGAGCTGGTTGTGCGACAAGCCAAGCACCAATTTGGCAACACACTGCCCAAAGGGTACCTAAGCGATGCCGAGCTCAAGCTATATACACGATACTATGGCGCTCCTTTACGAGAGACGAGACCGGAAGATGTTGGAGTGCCTATAAGTAAATCAGTGCTGAAGGAGACACACAAATACGTCTTGGTCAATGATAAGAACACTCTACTGCGCGAGAACGAACACGGAGAGCTCGAAGAGGTTACCTATCAGGTGTCCGACTTGGCAGAACCTTTGGACGCTTCAGCGGAAGAAACAGTCAGTGTTGCCAACGCTGTTGAGGATCTGGATCTGCCCTCCGAGGCTGGTATCGATTACATCAAGGCTGTCGCCAAGAACCAACGCGAGTTTGATGCCCTCATGACATTACAACGAGATTTTGAAAAGGCAAGTCTGCGGCCGAGGGAAGAGATTGAAGAGGATGAGGAAGAAATTGAGGAGGAGGAGGAAGAACCTGCTGAAGAAGAAGAAGAAGAAGGCGAGGTGGACGCTGAATTTCTCCCAGAGGTCAGAGAGCGGGATCGCGTGCACAAGTTTAGCGAGGTGGGCCAATGGAGGACGAATCCTACGACTCTTCATCTGCCAAAGGCCGAGTTTGTCGATCCCATCACCTTTCTACTTGGACGTACCGATACCAAACATGTGAGGGAAGCTGCTGAAGCCGCGTTTGGTGGCCCCGGTCTACCTCACTCGGTTGCTACGCCCCAAGGCGGCAAGGTGGCTGGTCAACTAGCCATTCCATTAGAAGCTGGACACGGTCGTATGACTGAGATTGAGGCAGACGCGTACATTGCAACCAATCTACCGGGAATGTATGCGTCGACTATGGGAGTCCTGGTCGAGATCCGGAAGCGCATGGGCCCTCACTGGTTGCAAGGACTACTGAGTCGGAATAATGGCGAAGGCCCACGTGTACTCGATATCGGCACAGGCGGCGCTGCCTTATCTGCTTGGGAGCAGGTTTTGCAAGCCGAATGGGACTTGCTCCATGGATCTACCGCCAACAGCAAGATAATGGGGCCACCTGGAAAAAAGACAACCATAGTTGCTTCTGATCGTCTTCGCAACCGTGTGTCACGTTTCTTGCACAACACGCAGTTCTTGCCACGACTTCCAGATTACTTGCACTCTGGTGATCATCCTGAAAAGATGGATGACTCGGAGCTGCCTGCGCCTCGCAAGGTTTACGACGTTATCATTGCATCCCACCAGCTCATGCCTTTGAAAGAGGAGCACAAACGCAAAACATTCATTGACAACCTGTGGGAGTTTCTTTCACCAGAAGGCGGAATTCTGATTATTCTTGAAAAGGGCCATCCGCGTGGCTTTGAGGCTGTAGCACATGCGCGCCAGCGACTCTTGGACGAGTTCATCGAGTGTCCCACATCGGATCCTCAACCAGATACATTGGAGCCGGAAGCGCGCCGCATTCGTGAGCCTGGTATGATTGTTGCGCCATGCACCAATCACAAGAAATGTCCCATGTATCAGACCCCTGGGCTTGCTCACGGCCGAAAAGACTTTTGCCACTTTAGCCAGCGCTTCATTCGCCCGCCATTCTTGCAAAAGATACTCGAAGCAAGCCATCGTAATCACCAGGATATCGACTTTTCCTTTGTGGCTGTTCAGCGAGGCGTAACGCCCAACTCACCCAGGCGCCTGTCAGTCCGGCAAGGCAAGGATGCCATTCAGTCTGCTTTTCAAGGTTATGAAAAGGCGACTGAAGCCCCCAACGCACTATCGCTGCCCAGAACCATCCTTCCTCCTCTGAAGCGGACTGGCCACGTTACATTTGACATGTGCACACCTGCCGGGACGTTGGAGAGATGGACAGTACCAAAGAGCTTCAGTCGCCAGGCCTACCGTGATGCACGCAAGGCGCAGTGGGGCGATCTCTGGGCACTGGGTGCCAAAACACGCGTTGCTAGACCTGTCAGACTTGGTAAAGGCGGCGTCGCACCAGATGATGGTGGTATCAGAGCAAAACGGGCGGCCAAAGCCGTCAAAGCCAAGACTACAGTCGTCAGTATGGACCTTGATTCGCCATATCAGAGCACCGGAGATAGAGAAAGGAGCAGCCTGCTAGGCGGTCGCGGCAGAACTCCCGAAGTGAGGCGAACCAAGGGCGGCAAGAAGGTCCGTCAAAGGCGAATTCGGGACGTGCTGGGAGATGACGATTAATGACAGAAAGGGAAAATTGTATAAACAGAGCTTGACTGGGACTTGACGACATGGTTTGGGACAAGTATAAAAGTTGTAAAATATGACCAAAAAAATGTCACCGCGTACTAGACGTGGCCTAATAGAGACACTCTCAACCGCGATTTCCATGGCTTTTAATTCATCATCTTCATATCCCATGGTATAATAAACACCTCGCGGCAAGGCGAAAATAGATTCATCGGAATGTGACTGGTATTTCTTTCTTTCTTTTACATCCTCACAGCAATGACTGTCAAGCAAATGATGCCAAATAAGAATGATTGGTGACCGTTCAATGGTCCCGCATCACTTGTCGCCGTGCCAGTTGTGCTTGTCGCCGAGTCTGTTCCTGTCCCCATTCCGGTACCCGTAGCTGTCGCGGTGTTTGAAAGGGAGTCCCCCGTCGTCGTCGCCGTCGCCGTCGCCGTCCCCGCAAGCAGCTCCACGCCCGAAGTGATCAGCATTGGTTGCAATCCAGGAAAAACGTCAAAATTTTGTTGTCCCCGGGACTCGGGCAGGGTGGGAAGGTATGTCACATTCCAGTAAAACGCCTCGTAACTGGTACTTTCGTACGACGTGGAAGAAAAGTCCTCGCACGTGGCCTCGGTGGTGCCGCCGACAAAGGTGCACGACGATTGTACCGACTCCTGCGCGGGATTGCCGTCGTCGTCAGTGTCGTACTCGTCCACGCTGTGGCGGTTGTATTCCTGCCAGCCCGGCCCCGCCGTGATGCGCGCGTACTCTGTGCGCGTGGAAAAGGCGCAGTACTCCCTCTCGCAGTCTAGCACGTAGGTCGTGGCCGTGGCGTCGGCGGCGGCGACGTAGCCGGTCGCGGCCATGGACGACCCGGATACTGGCACGTCCCAGAAGAGGGAGACTATAGTGGTGGATTCGCCGGCGGCGAGAAGGGCCGCGGCCGATAGCAAGAGTTGGTGTTGAAGCAGCATCTTGATGCAAGTTTGCGAGTTGCAAGTTATGGCTCAGCGCAGTACACGATGGATGCCTCGAAAGGAGAGCAGACTTGATTCTTGTTCATACATTGTCGCATTGCGCAGGCTTCCCTTTTTACTTCTGGGTTGAGAAAGATGCTCGAACTTTGCGCGTTGCCCGTTTAATTCTAGTTTCACGAATCCTGCGAGCTGAAATGATGGCCCTTGAATATTGATCCAGTCCGTGCCGCATCGTCACCTTGGATAGGAGATTGGCATGGTCCGAATACGACAATGCCCCTGTACGCCGGGCAGAGTCACGATAATGACTCACGATGCTGTCCTCGTTTGTGGAAACTTGGCTTGGGCTTTTTGCTCAAAGTTGACGTTTAAATTCACTATTCTCAAGTGCTCCACTAACAAGATCAGTAATCACATTTCATCTCATCAAGTAGGTATGTACTCAGGACAAGGGAGTAGGTAGACTAGACGCGATTTAGCGGGACCGCACGTATACCAAGCCTGCATGCTTAAATATAAGCTTAATTGACAATGATAGGATGAGACACTCAAACTTTGCATATCAGATCGACAACACCCCTGGCAATGGAATACTTGCACCATTCATGCATGGGATTAATTCAGCAAGGCCATAGTTTCTGATTTGATTTTATACAGATTTTCATGTTGGCACTGAGCAGAGGCGAATGATGTCTGTGTTTTCGTTCAGGCAGGCGTCAGCTGCAAGAACTGGGAGTTTCCATCGTCCAAGACTGCCGACAGACTTCCTCCAGACTCTACAGTAGTGACGGTACCATTCCATACGTCTGTGACTGCATAGCTTGAGCCATCTAGACCTAGATCCGCCAATGAGACTGTAACAGTCAAATTCCCAGTGCCAACAGTGTCATAACCTCCTCTCCCCTCGTTCTCACCCAAGTTTGTTAGCAGCACGTAGGCGTTTCCGTCACCGTCAGGACCGGAAAGCCAGGCCTATTTAAACAGAGATGTCAGTAATTGCTTCTTTCTAGTCGTATGAGAGCTGATTCAAGAGTCAAATGACAGGTTTTAGGCATAACAGGCAAAGCCGTATCCAAGTCATCACCTCCCAAGACATATCTGTAGGGAAAGGAACAGCGAAGATTACTCACCTGCAGCTGCATCGCCTGGTTGCTCCCTGTACCTGGGTTGCGCGGCTGCATCGGATAGGTTGCGCAAAATTCTGCGGCAGAGATTGATGAGGCTGAAGTAATTAGTTGCAAGCCGAGATCGTCAATGCTTGTCATGTCCGAGCCCAGGATAAGGTTAGCGGATGCGCCAATCCAATGGCTCGCGATAGTTATTCGCTGTCCATCAGTAATGCCCGTCACGTTTTCCCCGTTGCCAATGAACATATTGTCCAAATCAGGGTAAACCACCATGGCTGTGTTAGCCTCGAGTACTTGGTTGATATATTGACGATACTGTTCGATAGTGCCCTGGACCTTCCACATGCTGCCGAGGAATTTGGAAGATCCAGCGGCATTAATGTCCACGGCGACCCGTATACTGTCGGCGTTGGCCTCCCATAGTCCAAGATAGGGCGAATTACGGCAGACGTTTGCCGAAAGATCAAGACGTATCTGCCGACCGCTGTTGATGATAGCCTGATGGTATGCGATAGCGGCGGCGCTGGTATTTGATGGTTCGCCACTATCTCCGATTTGGGAACCTGGCGTGATATAATCGAGTTTGATCATATCAACCCCCCAGTTAGCCCAAAGAGCGATTTGCGTATCATGCCAGGTTTGGGTGTCTGGGTTGGAGTAGTTGAAATAGCAGTTCCCACTCGTGTCCTCCGAGCCGTCAAAGGTAGAGCCAATAAGGATGTCGGTGCCGTAGATGGTCTTGTTGGTGGCATCACAAGGCACGTTGGGTTGACTATAGATACCCAGCAAGAGCCCCATGTCATGGAGCGTGCTGGCCAAGGATGCCATGTCGTCAAAGAGTGTGCTGTTCTGAACAATACGACCATAGTCGTCTGTTGTAGAACTATCCCAACCACCGTCGATACTGCACAGGGTGTAGCCTGCGTTGGCGTAAGCATCGCCGGCCAAGACTGAGCATTGCTGAAGAATAAAGGTTTCGTTAGGGTAGCCGGATAGGGATGATGGATAACTCGGCGTGGTCCTTGGATTATCCTGGATGCCCCACGAGTTCCATCCCCTCGGAGGCGCAGTAAAGCCACCGGGTGTTTCTCCAGTCGTAATGACAGTCAGAGTATCGCCATTCGTGTTTGCCGCTTGCGGATAGCAGCCAGAGGTAGCGCGATGCTCAAGATGGTGCCGAGCTGCGGAGAGGCCGAAAAGGGAGACAAGCAGCGCGCTGTTCAACATTGTAAAGATTGTTCTCAGGGGCTTGACGTGTTTTCAGTGTTGGAGTGCTTCTGGTGCCGAAATCTGTTGTATGGGCGAACATTATTTGCTTTTATATATGGAGAAAAGAACATAATATCACCACTGATGAATATATCACCTTCGTGGTTCGCCTGATCATAGGCCGACTGCCTACCCTCCTGATTTAGGAAATTTAGACGGATCTGCATGGTGTTTCCCCCCCGATGTCTTTAATAAGGAAATGATACGAGAATGTCCTTGCCAAATGTGTTGTCATCAAGAGTGAATAGTCTCTGCGCAGGATTGACTGACTATATCCAGCTTGCCGGGATGTCCCAAAGCTGCGTGTACACAATGCCTCATGCGTGCGTGTCCCACGTGTTACCCAGGTTCGTACCCGTCGAGACCACGTCCATCTCCGGGGGGCCATCGAATATGGAGTGCGGGGAATACCCATGTCAGGCACAGGAATGAGTCTGTACGTAATTCCTTTGAATCTGATTTTCGCGGCTTTCCCGGGCGGCGATTGGTGCGATTACTGAGTACAGAGAAAACTTCTCGAACGGACTCCGGTTTCTGGTGTCAGGGATAATGGTGAAGAATGTAAAGGGGAAGTGCATTATTTCTAGCCAGTTACGTGATCATTGCGGCCCTGGCTTGGTGGTGTACCCTTGCGGGCATGTAGTTACAGGGGACTCTCCAACTGTACAGTGGCAGGTTCCGCCAAACTCGAGAGCAAGAAAGCCAACGCATTTTCATGGTCAATTGCGATCAAAACCTGCTTGAGCCCCTAGACTTTTCCCCTATGATTTTCTTGATTTAGGCGCTCCACCGTTCCAGGCTTTGCATTTTTGCCCTTCCTGTGCGTGCCTCGCTGGACTTTTGGGCGAGCATCCCGTATTTAGCTTTGCTACATTACCTTCAAGCATCAACTTTGCACAAGGAAGGCTCCACGTTGACTGCCCCCCACTATAGTATATAGGTAAACTTTTTTATGTTGATCGAGTTCGCAAGCGACCGTGGCGGATGGGTTTGGAAACATGAGATTTAACCGCAAACAGTCTTCAGCAAATGAGTGGTGTTGAAGATGATACACGAGAACGGGTTGTGGCTTGATTTTGAATTGGGACCATGCGCTGGCCTTGTATATCAAAGAATGTGTTATCAAAAATGTTAGAATTGCCTATAGTCCAGCGACCTTCAAATGTCAAGATTGGCATCAATTGCAACGGCAATAGCCCGGTGTTTGAGGGGTAACTATAGTTGTGGATCCCGCTTTCTCGCGCGAGACTTTCGACATTCAACTTTCTCAATGGTTTGGGGTCTTGTGCGTCACGAGACGTCATGCGCCGCTGCAACAGCTGTGTGCTACAGATGAGCATACTCGAGACCCGGCGGCTCTACTTGGAATCAAATTTCTTACAATATGCGACTCTCAAAGGCCTGTCTGCAGTGTAGGAACGGCAAACGAAGATGCGACCGGGCAGGCAGCTCAGCTTGCACCCAGTGCCTGCAGAGGAATCTGCCATGCTCAGCTGCTACCAACCCAGACAGACATGCTCGCGTCGCTGTGCAGCCCTTACTGCCTCACCAGTCCCGGCCTGATGCCGAAACTTTGCACCTGGTAGATCTGTATTTTCGGTTCTATAATGACAGGCCTTATAGTATTTTCCACGAGCACACTTTTAGGACGAGTCTTGTCGCCGGTGCCATTGCTCCGTCTGTATTGATGGCGATGATGGGTTTATCTGCACGGTACGGAGCGCCATGGGACTACCATCAGTCCTTGCTACCGTCTTTGTCTCATCCTCACAAGATATAACTAACCAACACGATGGTAGGTATTCTCCAGACTCGGAAGTGCGGGCAAAGGGCCCAACGTACACAACGAGAGCCAAGAAGCTTCTTCACGACAACTTTGAAAACATATGCCTGGAAAACGTACAAGCCTGCATTCTCTTGGGAAACATTTGCTACGATGACGACCTTGCAGACGTCGAGTCATTGTACTTTGGTAAGGCTTTTGCACCATGGGATGCGCAGTGGATTGGGCAGCACTTATTGTCGGTCGCATCTAGTTCTTGCCGTTCGCATGGCGCAACTCCTTCGGCTTGCCGTGACAAATGACGCAGACGACGGCGTCACCCGCGAGACAAAGGTCCGGGTGTGGTGGAGTTGCTTCGTCATTGATACTTGGGCCAGTGGTGGTCTGAATCTATCCCGCCAGTTCAAGATGAAGATCAAGCGTCCACGCGTGCCAATGGAGGAAAACATGTTCTACGCGTTGAGGCAGGGGGACGCCGATGCCGACGTCTTGCAGTGGCGGCCGGGCTTTTGGGGCCACATGGTGAGAATGGTGGAAATTTACACACAGATACAAGACTTTCACAAGTATCTTGCCGATGCCGACGTTTGGGACGAAGACTTTATTCTGCTTACAGTGCAAGATCTAGAGGCACAACTGACTCTGTTCGAGCAGAGCATCGAGCCCGGTATGCGCTTTTCACTCGACAACCTAAAAGCTTACATTCACCAGGGCCTAGGCGGCATCTTTATAGCCTTTAACCTGGGCCTTCATCACTACTGGACACTCTTGTTCTATCTATATCTCGATCATCGTCGGCCTCCCACGACGAATGGAAGAGCCTACGCGAGCCGGTGCAAGCAACACGCCACCATAGTCTGCGACATTCTGCGGGCATCGCGAGAGCACGAGACGGCTGAAGCGCTATACAATATTGTCGGCCATGTGACGGTCGTGTCGTCTTCAGTCTTGCTTCATACATATCTATTTGGAGAGCCAGAGGAGCTGCCAGATGCAAAGCATAGATTGGAGTCGAATTTCGAGTCGCTCGTGCAGCTGCGAAAGTATTGGGCCAGTATCGAATTCATGGTAAGTCAGAATTGATCCCACGGCCTCGGTTGCATGCATTCTTCTTGTGCTTACGAGTCGTCACAGATCAATCGACTCGTCATATTCCAGAACAATTGTTTACGATCCTTGAATCGGAATACACACAGGTTCGATAGATGGATGGTCAAGTTCCTCCTCGAGCATGGTCTGGCGCTCGAGGAGAAGGAGGAAGACGCGGACAACTTGCCCATGGACATGGGAAACAGCACCGTCTACGGCAGCTTGCAGTGCGAACGAGGTCGCGTCACGCATGGTATCATAATGGAGTTGCAAAATGGAGATTACTCGTCATAGAATTGAACCGAGAATGTACTTTGTAAATGCGCCACAAGTTATGTTGTAGTTTTACTTGGTCAGACGGTGCTGGTTTCTACTCTCCCAAGTACCTATTCAACTTGTAAGCTCAACCCGACGGTGAGGGGATTCCAAGATTTCTGCAAGGGCTGTGGTACTAGCTCTCTGGGGTGCAGACAGTGCGAGCCGTTTTTGCGGGGATTTGGGGAACCCTAGAAAGCCCCCGCAATCCAGGATCTTGAATCTTGACGAATCGTATAGTCGGAAAGCCGCCCAGCTAACTCACTGTGTCCAATGAGCATCTTGGAAAGGCGGAGATCCGAGATGCGGCTCAAGGGGGGCTAAGAATTACAGTTGGGCTGCGCCGGAAAGCTGGCCAATTAAATCACGGCAAAGCCGGCGCGGGGAGAAGCAAGGGTGGGCGTATTTCGTACACTACGGAATAGACGATCAAGTTTTTACCATGGTCACGTCCCGCGCACATTGTACCTTAGTCAGGGGTTTGTGATACTTGGGGAAAGAGTTTCTTGGAAGCCGGCGTGGAACCCGAAGAGTTGGCCGCAGATGGGCGAGTGAGAAGTTGCCATCAACGGTCACGGAAAGTGAGGAACTTGCACACGATGATTTGGGGGAAAATACCACATGATTTATTACTTCTACCCGTCTTGTAGTCTAAGAGTTCCTGCTCTTTGTACATTCTATGGTGAAATTTCTAGATGATAACTGCCCTGCAACAGTTGGATGGTCTTACCGTCGCGTATCCGCGCCTCGGCATCGCCTCTCTTGATGCTCACAACACTCTCCACTCTCGGCAACTTCAGCTCGCAGACCGTCCCGGTGGGTACATGGACGTCGACCGTTGCCTTGCCGTCCGAGCGCTTTCTGCGATCAAACTTGACCGATATCAGTCCATAAGGTGACTCAATCTTGCCCTCGACAAAGTCGAATTCCGCCTTGAAGCAGGGCCTGAGACTCCAGATTTGATAAGCATCGGTTAATGGTTCGACACCAAGTGCGTAGCTGTAGAACCATTCGTAGATAGTCCCAAGCATATCATGACACTTTGAACGGCAGGCATCCTGCCAAAACTCTGGAAGTGTTGTCTCGCCCCGTCGGAGGAGTCGCATATACGACGGGTGCTCTTCTCTTCTTGCCATGTTGAGTACGATATCTGGCCGGTCCACGTCGGGGTCCGCCAGAGTGTTCCAAAGGTACTTGAGACCAATTTCTCCTGCCCGCATGACATGGCCCGAATCCTCGGCATCAGCGACAAAAGCGGTGATGACATCCTTGCGATACTCTGGTGGAACAAGCCCAAATTGCAGCGCCATTGCCTGCGCAACCATAGTCCGGTCTTGCTTGCCCGGATTATCGCGTGAAGTATAGAAAGCATACGGGTAGGTGCTCTTGTCGGTGATTAGGAGGGCCTTGTTGTAAATCTGGTAAATGCGGTCTGCCCAAGACGTGAACCGCGCTTCGTCGTAAGTATTGCCCAGCTCCTTGGCCATGAGCGCTACATTGCGTAGGCACTTGTAGTACACGGCTGTTTCGATATTGGCTTGATGGTTTCCGAAAGCAATGTCTCGGCCCCAATCTCCGAGTCCGTGTTCAATCAGGCCGCCATCGCGTTCTTTGAGCTTCATGTATTCCATGTATTCTACGCAGGGTTTGTAGATCTTGGCAAACACACCTGTGCTGCCATAGTAGCGCTTTATCAACTCCGGGATCAGGCACACGGCGCAGCCCCAGGTGATAGTATCATGCATGGGGCCACACATGTATCTCATTAGAGGTGCCATGGTGGGCACAAGTCCTGAGGGCTCCTGAGTATCAATAATGTCATCCAGGATCTTGGTGTAGACAGCTTCCATGTTGCGCACATATTGTGTGGCCGGGAAAAGTAAAGATGTCACCTCTAGCCACCCAAACTTTTCTATCTGAGGACAATCAGTGTGGTAACTGAAGATGTTTGAGCTGAATGTCCAATAGCAGGCATTAATCAGTGCATTGACATCGTCCTTGTCAGTTTTGACAAACCCGAGTTTCTCTGCCGCGGAAGAAATGTGTCGTGCAGTGACGGATCGAATGATGGGTAAACCATCTTCTCCGCCGAGCGAAGCGCCTTCAATCTGGATATAGCGGGCACTGGTGAAGCTGAAATCGGGAGTCCACACCTCACTCTCGCCTCGCCCACAGAGGGTGACTTTGGAATAGACATGTGTCTCGAACTCCTTGAATAGGGGATCGGGCATCAAAACCAGGCCATCATCCCCAATGGTCTCGGAATATTTGACGCGATACTCTGCACCCTCGGTTCCGCTCGCTTCTACGCGCACCATGATGGACGAGTTCTGACCGAGGTCATACATCAAGGTACCCGGCTTGACGACCTTGACAGAAACTGGCTCGAAAGTATCGTGCAGGACAACGGGAGGCTGGCTCTGGTATTTCAACTTTCCTCTCGGGCCAGTCAGAGGCTTGGCAGGGTCCCAGTCTCCATCATCAAAGTTGGGACTGTCCCAGCCCACGGGATACGCCCGCCTGTCATGATCCTCAGATGCGTAGATGTTTGCCAAAGTCGTCGCGCTCTTGCGAATTTTCCAGCGCGTGTCTGAGATGATGGACTCGTGCGAGCCGTCCTCCGAGTGGATATGAACCTCGGCGAAGAAGCAAAGCTCGTTGCCATATCGAACATATGTGTTATCCTCATACATTGGCCAGAAGAACCGATCACCTTGATCCCCGGCGTAGAATCCATTGCCCACATGAGCGCCAATGACATTCTCTCCGATGCGCAAAAGATCCGTCACGTCGTAACCAACAAACTGAACAGTCCTGTGGTAATTGACCCAGCCTGGATCCAAGACGTGAGGAGAAGCCGCGTGGCCATTGACTGTCAGATTGAAGTGACCGAGCCCGGAAGCGAATATGACAACACGGTTCGGTTTGTGGTCCAGCTGGAAACTCCGTCGAAGGTAAAAGGGCTTGTCGCTACCGTTGCCAACCCATACAGCCTTCCATCGGTTGGCCTCGTCCTCGAACCATGTGCGGAATATGAGACTCGTGTGTGGCATCTAAGCAGGTTAGCAGATGGCTTTGTCGGGGGATACAAGGTATGCCTACGTAGGTTTGGTTCATGCTGTACGGAGGCAAGAGCCTCGAGCATCTTGTGTAAGATGTGTAGAACTGATTGACTGGACTGACTGCGGTATTCTCATGTTGGTCCCAGACTTGGACAGTCCAGTAGTAGCTCGTTGTCGACTTGAATCCGCCATTTGGCTGACAGAGAACATTGCGCTGCTGGTTGCTCGCTATTCGACCAGAGTCGAAACACGTCTGCTGCTCTGCCTTGAAGTTTGGGTCGGTCGAGACGCGGAGACGGTAATGTGTCTGCCTTGCTTCTTCTTCTGTAAAGGCGAGCTTCCAGAATACGCGGAACTCATCAACATCGATGCCGATAGTTTCAGCAAAGCCGTGAATGCCACAGGCAATAACCTCCATCGTAAGCGGGCGTATCCGGAGGTGGCACTTGGCGACAAACGATCAAGAGGCTTCGAGACAGAGTTGTGCTCGTGGGAAAAAGGCAGTCAAACAGTTTCCACGAAGCTACGTAGTTTCCAGAGGGGATGACTGCCTTGCCCCATCAGAGGTCGGGAGGAACTGACCCGAAAAGACCTGGGCCTTTGCGCTCCATAATATCCTACTGATCTAGGTCGAGTACCTATCTTGTAGCCGGATTCCAGGCATAGTTGTGACAGACTTCAGTCACTGACCTTCTACAGCGTCTCGCGCCTCGTCCCAAATGCTTGCTGCATTGACTCGACAATGCTAGGTCTTCTCCAATTTCCCCACCTCGGGCCATTTGGAGAGAGGATTCCTCATAGTGCCAACCCCTAGCGAGAACACTGTGCATCCACCCAGGTTCAGATCCGCTTCCTTTAGCTTCACACTTTCGGATCTGGGGTACACTTGGGGTACATTGAAAGATGCTGGCTGGCCGCTGGACAGGCTGCGAACAACCGAACTAGGGCCCCTTGATGACAACCAGTATATATACAGATATTTCTTTAAAAGATGCTCGAGTCCCCATCTCCATGTAGCTGTCTTCTCCGTAGCTTTGAATACTACTCTTCAAGTCTGTTGCAACCATGGCCAAGGGTAACGCAATCACCATTGCCTCCTCGGCTTTCCTCGCCGTGGGAGGGTTCTTGTTCGGATATGACAGTGGTATCATCTCATCTACTATTGCTATGCCACATTTTCTCGAATACTTTGGCCATCCCAGCGATGTGGTTACCGGCGGAGTGGTTTCAAGCTTTCAAGGTGGTGCTGTCCTAGGAACTATCATTAACATGGTACGACCTCTCTACCAAGTGCTCGCTATACTCAACATTCCCTCATGTGCTGATCCTTTGTTAGGTCTTTGCCAACATGATTGGTCGCAAGAGAACCATCTTTGCCGGTTCCGTCGTCTCGCTCTTGGGCTCTACCTTGCAGTGCGCTTCAAATTCGATGGCCATGCTTATTGTTGGCCGCTTTATCGGCGGCGTGGCCGTGGGCATGCTTACGAGCACCATTCCCCTATATGCATCCGAGTTATCCATGCCGCAGTGGCGAGGAGCCCTCTCGGGACTCTTGCAATGGTTTCTTAGCTGGGGCTTCTTGTTTGCTCAGTGGATAGGCTACGGTTGCGAGTTTTCTGACTCGGACTTTTCTTGTAAGTTGATCACCTCGTTGATTCTGGATATATGTGTCTGACTTGTATGTTACGCAGGGCGGTTCGCTCTTGGTTTCCAGTGTATCCCTGCCATTATTCTGATATGTGGTGTTTGGTTCCTACAAGAGTCGCCTCGTTGGTTGATGGAGAAAGACAGACACGAAGAGGCAAAAGGGGTACTGAACAAACTCAGAAACGGTCAAAACAACTCCCGTATCGAGCTCGAATTCATCGAAATCCGAGACGTTATTGCTGCCGATCGCGAGATTGCTCAAGTGTCCACCATGTCTATCTTGACCAAACCATCCTGGAGAAGACGCCTTCTTTTGGGATGTGGTGTGCAAGCATTTGGACCTCTTTCCGGTATCAACGTTATCAATTAGTAAGTCGTACATACAATTGTAGTTTGGACGGCTAGGCTGATGCATGAACAGCTACGGACCTAGGATTTATTCCATGCTAGGCATCAACACGCGGACTGCTCTCATGATTACAGGCATTAGCGGTGCGCTCTCTATCGTCTATTGTACGATTGGGCTGTGGCTGTTGGAGAAGGTCGGACGAGTCAAGCCTTTAATCGTTTCGGCTGGACTTCTCGGCGCCTCCCTTCTCGTCAATGCTGTTCAAGCTCAGTACCTCAACCCGGACAATTACAATCAACTTAGATCAATGGTTGCAATGTACTTTGTCTTCAGCTTCGCTTATACACCTCTGGGCATTATATCCTGGGTATACCCAGCCGAAATCTTCCCAGTCGAGGTACGAGCTCTAGGCAATGCCATTACAACCTTTACGAACTGGGTGATCAATCTGGTCTTTGCCCAGTTCACGCCCACCGCCCTCAGCCAGATTGGTTACGCCTATTTCTACGTGTTTTTCGTTTTCAACATCATCGCCATGTTGTGCTATTGGTTCTTTTACCCAGAGACAAAGGGTCGTACTCTCGAGCAAATGGACGTTTTGTTCGGTGATCAGCTTGTCCCACATGCTCTCGAAGATCCCGAAGGTGCCACTGCGGTTCATAAGGATATCGAAGCAGTCACACATGTGGAGAAGAGTTAATAAGTTCTCGGTACGATAGTGTGGTGGGTATTGTCAACACTTTGGATGCAGGTTGATGGTTCACTCGAGCATTTGCTAGTCTCTTTACATTCAGACCTCAATAGTGAAATCATAAAAATCTATTCCGGTACCACAAAGAACGTCCAAATTTAGTACATGCCATGATTGCATCAGACGCGCAAACATGACAAGATTGATTCGTCAATTGGCCGGGACAGCTTTGGCGATGTCGGAGACAAAGTCCCGCAACATGAAAACAGTACAAGACTTGTCGTTTCAGGCGTTATACGCAGTCAGAGATGTCCAACCAATCTAAACCCCATATACCTCAGCCTCGAGCGAGGTTGTGGCCACTTGGGCATGAGTAAGTGGCTCTTCAATGAGAGCCTGGTTGTGTCACTCGAAAAGTTTTCACCCGACCCGTGTAAGCCAAGACAGCAAGCACAAGTGAGAATGAAAGCATCCATACTTTCCGACATCTTTTGAAAGTGGCCAGAATTTTGGTAGTCGCATTGCTTTTCCGTTCTAGAGACTGTCTTGGAACACACGGCACGAACCTCTCTTAGCTGTCAGTCTCAACTAACCATCCCGTTGAGGTCGGCTTGGGTTGCTCGAAGAGAAGCGTTCGAATATGAAAGATTTTACAAGCTACTGTTCATTTAATCACTCATGTTTGCGCTGACATGCTGTCAGGTTTCCAGCATGAATTATTGCCGAGGGAAATCGGGATTAATACGGAAGTATATTATATGCCAGCATTGTACCAGTTAATGGATCGGCGTGGCGTCTGAAATCATAAGAGTCACTTTGATTGCTTTCACTCACCAACGTATCCGAGTTGGCTTGCTTGGTTATCAAAAGCCACATTTGGTGAAATGCAGTGTCGTCATTTCATGCTGACGGGCAATGATTGCTTTTGCTGGGTGAATCATAGTGAGCGGTGTGCCAACAAAGTAAACAGACATGCGTTCATCATCACCAGTCCGAGTGCAAACATGTGCTGAAATTACAGACTATGATTTTTATCATTGAGACTTGCAGGCCGTAACATCCGGTGGTTACCTGAAAACTGGCATCATGTCTGTTTCTTACAGGTAACAGAAAGTACGAGACCAGCAACACGGCGCGGGATCTTTGCCTTGCCAACCTTAAGGTCAAGCGTGGGTCAAAACGTGGCGGGCGTATAGAGAATAATGTGGTACGTAGTATAACGTGGCAAGATTTTGGCTTCCTACTCGTCATTTGTCAACTTCATCGTCTTTCTGTGAGAAAATGCAAACTTGGTGCACCGGGATTCCTAGTATCAGCTAGATTGGCTGTCCGTCATCAATGCATACTCTTTTGCTTCACCAGTACCGAAGGAAGCAGAGATTGCTGCACGTACTTTTGACACTTGAACCATGCATTGACAGCATGGAGATGTATGACCGACTGGGTAAACAGGCATGTCAAAATGGTCAAGATATACAGATCCCAACCAAAAACATGTCTAACAGTTCGTCCGTAAAGCTAGGACACCGTCTTTGCTGCCGTAGTTGCAGCAACTCTTCAGCGCGGTTGAGCTTTTCTGTACATATCGCATGCACCTCGTTGCCAATCTGGCCAAATTGTTTCGTCAGCATGTATCATGATGAGACTTTGCTATTGATGAGTCTCATGCGATGCTGCAATTGGAGTATATATAAAGACCCTGCCTGGGATTCGATGAAAGGCCTTATCTCAGATGAAGACAACAAATTAGAACGCACTTGTTCACTTCTCCTCAATTGAAACCACCAGTCTGACCAAAAGAGTTCACATCCATTGCCATAATGTTCAAATCCATTGCCACTTGGGCCCTGCTAGCCTCTGCAGCTGTCTATGCTGCCCCCGCCGAAGAGATTTCAAGCCGGGCTGTGTTAAAGGGTCTCGCAGACTTTGAAAGAGTGAGCACGACTAGCCAAGGTACCAGCCAGATTGGCTATTATGGAGGCCTACAATACAACGGACTTGGTACTGAAATCTACAAATTTTCATAAATTGGATTATTCCGGCTAATACATGGTCAGGTGCCGTCACTGCTGGAACTTCTAGAAGGACAATTCCTGGTCTTTATCCCCGATCGGGCACCAACGTCGCTGCGTTTGGCAATGCTGCCAGTGGTCTCGGCAACCCAGTCATCACCTCTCAATTTTCTGGGTCCAAGACGGCCAATTTTACCATTGGCTCGTTGTTCTTTGGCTGTGTCGATGCATCCAACCAGCCTGTGGGCTGCAAACTGGCCCTTGCAGGTTATAACAGCCGCGGAGTTCTCATTGCTTACCAAGCCTTCTACTTCACCCCCAGCGGCGGAGCAACCAACAACCTCTCTCCGGCTTACCTCGACGCCTTTGTCGGCGTCTCAACCGTCCGACTTGCTGCCGCCTATGTCGGTGGCGTTACTGGCTCGGTGGCCATTGACGATATAGCCTACTTCATCAACACGATGCCAGCCTCAAGTACTTCTTCGCCAACTCTATCAACTCTATCAACTTTATCAACGACATCGCCAACTCTATCAACGACCTCGCCAACTCTATCAACGACCTCACCAACTCTATCAACGACCTCGCCAACTCTATCAACGACCTCGCCAACTCTATCAACTCTGTCAACTCTATCAACGACCTCGCCAACTCTATCAACTCTGTCAACTCTATCAACGACCTCGCCAACTATCTCAACTGTATCAACTCTTTCGCCAACTATGTCGATAAGCTAGCTTCATCGCCGACTTCATCGCCGACATTGAATAGCTTAACGTCAGACGTCGCTCCTACCCTCTCGTCTATAGCATAGGCAAAGAGGCACAATTCTTGAGTGTAACGTTGATGCAGATGCAGTCTCTAGAAGCCAACTGTTTTGGTGAGAGTCTAGCTATCAGCTACCACAGTAGCTGATTTCTGACGAGTGATGAGAAATGAAAGTTTGATGCTGGCAGACTCGGAGGATCTGAAGGGATAATCGGTTGAGAAGTATTGATGATGAGTGCGATCTCCTTTGTTATCCGACACAGCGATTCGGCGCTATATACCCGACATGACCAAGCCATTATACACTCATTTAATGAATAAAATCTATTTTGAACAAATTAATACGTGTGATCATGAAAATCTCGATGGCTTCCCATGACTTAGTTCCGTCGCTCTGGATATGGTCTCAAGTCATCTACATGGATACCATGAGACCCCGAAGATGAGCGTTCTTACCACCACAAGACTTATATCTCACACGAGCCAGGTTTACCCCTTGGGCTCGACCCAATGTCCGAGACCAGCTAATAAATATAAACTACTCATTTTCTGGAATGAGTCGGCAGACACGGCCCTCTGAGCAGCATATACGCTTCGCGTCGCTCTCGTGTAATGGGCTGCCAGGGAGCATTTCCTCCGGGAAGGAACCCACTTGTCATCCTGCATAACAGTAAACCACCATGCAAGTGTTTGTAAATACTCACGGGCCTCAGGTCCCAGTGCCTCACCATGCCAGTTGGAGGAAACTTGGTACACATGGTACCAAGCCACGCGTCTGTCGAGTGAGAAAGAGCTGTAGGATTGAGCCGAGAGGAATCCATCGGGCTCTATTCGGCAAGCCTATGCGGAACACTTTGGGCTCACTTGGTGGTGTCATGCTTGGGCATGATCGGGAGCCGACATTCCACGACTGGATCCGCATTGCTTTGAACGGAGCTTTACTCGTTTTGTTTTATTGTTATTGCCCCCTCTTGGGCATGCAGATGACTCTAGAACAATGAGTCCATGTTGTAGCTCGAATTGTGACTATGCTTGAGTCACAGTCATGTGGCATATCCGATCAAGGTACACCGTTTGGGCATATTTTGCCATGGTTTCCAGGTCACTCGGGGTATAGAAGAAGCCCTCCATCGGAGCATAGTCTCCTGAGCCCATCATGATCTACCTTGATCATATATTCAAGAGAGCATAGCTAGAATATCTCTAGCATGGCCAGTAGACCAGCCAGGAGACCATCCGAGCCTATTGTTCATGCCCAAACCGCTCACTGACATTCTTTTAGAACCCCTAGATTCGTGGGCGGTGTTTAGTGTCGTTTGGGAGAGACGCCAGTCCACTGGTCTCGGTTAGCGACGCACGAAGAATCCGGGGCAATTCTTTTTGCGTTCAAACCGAATCAAACTAATCAGATCAGCTTCTACTACAAAAAGAAGCATCCGGAGCTTTGTCCGATGGTGAGGGTACTATATTTCTAATAGAGTTCACAAGATCTCAACGCAAAGGACGTTGTTATAAGGCACGACTGACACTAAAGCCGGTCACTAAGCCTTGTGCTATTGCTATTGAGTCATTGAATCCAGAAAGGTTCGTGCCAAGTAGGAGCTTCTCCTCCGAAATGGGGGTCCCCTTACTCTCTACACTTTATTCTACATAGAATGGAGGCTCAAAAGGGACTCCCGCCGCTACTACCAACACCAAGGTTTGGGGGTTGTAAGAAACAGGAAATAAAAGCTGGACTGGTGAAACTACCGAATGTCAATGATTTTCAAGACATGAGATTCCCAAAGAGGTTGATGCATGCAGCCATCGATGTCACTAAATTGCAACAGACTTTGTGTACACGAAACTTGGGTGGTAGTTTTATGTTACTATCTTCTAGTGGCAGCGTTGAGATTTTCCCCCTCTTCTTTCCTAGCTGTCTAATGGGAAGTGACATGAGCCACGCCGTCGTGATAGCTTGTTACCAAGGACACATTGGCAATGATGAATACATTACGAGTTGGAATGTGGCCTTTGCAGCAGATATAGAACCTCGGCATGGTCTGCGGTATGGATTGATGAATTTGATATAAAATGTTTGGGTGGCGAATATCCCCTTATCTGGCAAGCACCCTCCTTTTTGACTTGATCGCCAGAGAGTACTTGCAAAACTACCCAATCACATACCGTAAATTCTCCCTAGATTATATTATCTGAATAACTTCGTAACCACTATTTGAATCCTATTTAAAAATATAAAGAATAATAAATAAATTCCAGAATTAACTTAATATAGCTTTTTAAAAAATTGAAAAAATATCGGCGGTCTTTGAGCACCGGTCGAATGCAGAGATTTCGAGTATTATAGCGGATATGTACTCCATTTTTTTAGGCTCGGCGTACCAAAACTGCCATATAAGGCAAGGAGGGTGCTTGCCAGATAAGGGGATACTTGAATAGGTTCCGAATTTACCAGCCATAACTATGATTTTCGCTACATAACTAGGTAGGGGTACGAGGGTAGGGATTTGGGCCAATCTCACTGCGCCGGCGCGCCTCCGGATAGACACAATCGTGCTGGAAAGCGGAGACCAAAGAGGCGTATTGGACTATTCGACCAATGAGACCATCGATGCGTGGTGCTGGATTGGGTGACGCCGCCACAATAGTGACGATCTATCCTGGAAATAGGCCGTTTCATAGTCCCCTGGTGAACCCAGACCCTGAAGATTGTTTACCAATGTGTAAGTGGCACTGCAACTGGTCGACGGACTTGCTAGGCATCGCCATAAACGCAATCTTGTTGCCACTGCAAAATATTTCAACCCCGAATTTCACATGTAAATCTTTAGGTGAGAAATATAGGCAGATAGGTAAACACGGAAGCCGGGGAAGAGGAATGAAAGGACACCTCTTAAAATGTCAAACAAACCGGGTCTAGCGGAGGAGTGGCATATTGCATAGTACAGATTACTGCTAAAACACAAACCCTTGGTCTGAGCGGGCATCCACAACGAAGACCTGGCAGTTAGGTACAGTGCTATTCCGTACACTAATCTGTACAGAGGCAGCGCCAACATTTGACTTTGTAGCTCTTAATAACGACCGTCCCTTGAGACTGAAGCCTGACATGGGTACTAAGCCCGTCGGATGTTCATGCCGTTGGTATAATGTAGCAAAACTATACGGTACCTACGTCGGCCGGTTAGCCCCTGTGCCAAATATGGTGCTTGCGACGGAAGAGAAAAAAAAAAAAGAAGGGCTGTAGTATCGAGTTGAACTACTATATACTAGCAAATCTACAGATGAAGGTCCATAGCACCATGTACAATATGCCAATATGGGGTAGCACAGCCTTGCTTGAATACCAGATTGGAATAATGTTGGCGCAGATACCCAACCATGCTTATGTCAAGTGCATGATCAGATAATAACATGCTTGAGATCACGGAAACCCGCCGGGGGCCTGGAAGTTCTTCTATTCGGCTAGTCAGTGCCCGGAAAACTTTTCGATCAATTGTATCCACTGAAGGATCGTGGTAGTGGGCGGCGGGATTCTGTGTCCGAGGCTCTGCAAGAATCCACTCTACTCATCAGGAGGATGGATGGGTAAGACAAGAAGCGGTTTCTGCAGTCGGCATGCTCGTTGATGATCTTCTCGAATAAGGGATAATAGCTATAGATGGCGGTGTCGACGCATGCATGACACAAGATGGTGATAGCTAGGTACCTTATTGATGATGGTGGCCATGTTAGCTTGCCTGGAGACATGCCGCCAGATGCGGAATTTGTACCATGGTGCGGGTTCTCAACGGCCTGGACTGAATCATGACTGGGGAGATAGTGAGAAGGACATGTGCCACAAACAGTCAAGTCAAGTCGCGCTATCATGAAGAATGGTCCCTTGAGCATTCTCCTGGGCCTTGTGGTAGTACTATGAGAGCGGCCGACGCCCGGGGTTCATTTGCGCCAAGACCGTTGAAAATGCCATGTGGGTGAGGCTCTCACTAATTTCTCTATCTCTAGTCGGCGTCCTTTTCAGCAGCCCTACCATAGATGCCGAACGGGCTAGTTGTTGTCGACTTTATTAACGTACGTACAGTAGGAAGAGATCGCCCACCATTTATTCGTGTTGAACGGTTAGCTTTTGAGAATAACCGGGAATATGAAGCCAGTAGATCACTTTTACCAATCCACCAGTATAAAGTAGTGGGAGTCATGAGGACGATGGAAATGCGTCCTGATCCCTCGCCGTGGAAGGGCAAAAAGCAAAGTAAAAGCCAATTTGTCATGTGTGTGTGCGCAATCGCGGGGTTCGACGCTTTTTTGTCGGATTTTCTCTGCCCGCTCATAGGTACCTACTTGGGGGGACCTGACCAAAACCCAAAGTTGGATAGCTTGCCCCGGCAGTGGGGTTCCAAAGGGTCGATCATCCAGTCGAGAGGCTGAAGTCAGTATCGCCCGCATAAAAATTTCTAGGATCTTGATGCGAGAGATGCATATCACGGGCCCAGAACCCAAAGCATTTGCTGCTGCTGCTGCGGATGGTATCTGAGCACAGCCATTTTGCCATTCGGATAGGCTGGGAAGACAAAAAGATCAAAGACTTACTATTGCCATAATCTCCATTTTTGCCTCTGAACCGCTTAGTCGTCGGCCAGTGAATAGGACATGGCGCCGAGTAGCCCACACGACCCAGACCCAAACTTCGTGGAATCATTTTAGTGTAGTAGACTGCATGCGGTGACTAGTCGTTGGCTCCGACATATTGTAGATCCTTTTCTCCCCATAGCAGGTCCAATATCCCGATACTTGTGGCCCTGAACAGTGGTAAGTACCACAAATAAAGACCAGGTTTTCAAGCAGGACCAGGTAGGCAGGTATTCCGGAGGTGTAAGTCTGACCTGCAGCCAGACCCGCGACAGAATATCGTAAGTATGACGCAGAGACTGGCGAGAAAGCGGAAGGCCCAGGACAATGCAGATAAATCATCTGATGCAGCAAACCCGGGGAAACAGGAAAGCATGGTAATGGCAGTCCGACCTTGTACAATCCCTGGGTCGCACGCCTGTCTTCAAATCAGAGTTGTGTCTTCGATCGCTAGGTTCCGAAGAAAACACCCTGATCAAGGTGCCTAGTAGCCAGCCGGGCAAGGTAGGGAGGGTCCTGTCTGCTCCTGCGGCAGGATGAAGGAAAAAAAAAAAAAAAAAAAAAAAAGGTCAACTACGTACCCAGCTCGCCCAGGTCTAGGTAGGTCCAATTATACCGACGGCGCAGAGCCCAAATAGTGTGTTTCTATGGTAGCACGACCAAGAAGGCGATGGTTGCGTCTCGAATCACATTATGAGGAAGAATTCTTTGAAATTGCCAAAACTGTGCAAGTCGCTACTATTCGAAAGAGAGCCCCAGTTTCACGCCACTCTATGATAGGCGAAAAAAAATATAGAGAAAGACAATAAATAAATAAAAGAAGGGTCAAGGAAATGAAGGGAGAAAAAAAAAACAAATTCAGAAAAGGAACCACCCCAGGAGCGCACGAACACGGACGGCTATTTGGCTGGGGCCCGCTAAAGTGGTAAGCGCAGTGCAGAGGCGCTACTCAAACACACCCAATCAGGGACCGTAGGGAGCAAAAGCTCCGGCGCATATTCGCAAATACACCAGCTGTGGGAGGCGCAAAAAGTTGAGGATAATCTCTGAACAAGGCGACACTGAGAACTGATGTGTGCCTTGACAGCAATTTGTTGTCACCGTGTTCACTTTTGCCTACCTATATACCACGACGTTGTGACCCCATCGTGACGATATCAAGGTGTTTTCCAGGTCCTTCTAGGGGCTTCATTGCTTGGACTTACCTCAGAATATCGACGCCGAGTGGCTAACCGGCCCTTTTTCTACATATATTTTTTTTTTCTGGCTTCGACTTTCATTCCGTGGCTGTCCGGATTTCCAATGAGAAACGAAGAAAGCCACGCTTGCGGCTAAAATATCAAGCCTCAAAAACTCTACCGCTACTGTTATGCACTTTCAAAGGTTGGTCGCCAACTTTAATACTACATTCAAGGGGTTCATTACCTGTTGTATACGTCCAATCTTACGCATCGCCAGCTCCCATATCTACAGCCAACCACTTTCATGTGCGTGGAGCACACTGCCGAGTGCCCAGTCTGCGGGAAGCAATATCTGTTATACGTCACATTTTGCCCATTCTTTCACCCGCCGCTGCTTTGGTGCCCTGTTGGCGTGACTGAGGTTCGGGATGATATGGCCGAAGGACAGTGTCCAAGTCCTGTTTGTCCTTTTAGTCGGACCGGCGGATGCGAGGTCATATAATCACTCAAGGGCCGGTTCAACCACAAGAGACCAATTTGGGTTGCCTTGAAGCAACCTCAGAGCTTCTGGCCATTGGGACTGATTTCAACAATCTGGTCAAGTCCCTCGTATTTGGGAACCTCAAAGTCATATTTCTTGGCAATTGACGGCGAAACGAATCTGTGTCCGTGTCATTGGAACGTCGAGTGCGGAATTTCGGTACAAGAAGCATCAGGACAAGAAAAACTTACCGACCACCCACGAAATGCCGACCCTTGAAATGCTTCACCAAAGGCTTGGGCGCAGTGAGGCTGACTAAAAAGTCTGGCATGAATGAACTGCCAAGGCCCGATTTTGGGGGACCATCTTCAATATTCCATGAAGACGGCGCATCGACCGAAGTGACCGGAATATTGGTCTCTTCAAGGGCCTTGATGACTGCCGGGAAAGGCTCTCGAACTTCGCCCGAAAAGCTGAAGCCTACGCATCAATTAGTACGAGTATGGGCTGGACCCAGGATATCACGACTGGCCTACCGAATATGGCATCGACAATATGATCCGTGGACTTCACAGCAGACGAAAAGTCTTCGACGAATGGGACTTCGAGATCTTCCAGCTGCTTTGCGAGACGCTATGCGAAAACGATACATTAGGACTCAAAAACAGATCAGGAGCGCTGGATTGTGTACAGATCACGAATGACAAGAACTCGTGCGGGTAGGAAGGGTAAAACGAGTATATGATCAATGGGTAAAGAGATAGAGCTGGCGCTTAGCAACCACTCCCCTCAAATACGCGTTTGATAAGACACGTGCTGCTCCGAGTCCTTTTTTGTGCAATGATCGTGCTCACCTGGTAAAGTTCATTCTTGCTACGTTTCGGGTAGTAAATGGTGGGTTGGTAGCCGTAGTGTCTGAGATGACGGGCAGCGACCAGTCCATCACCACCATTGTTTCCTGGCCCGCAAGCCACGAGCACTCGTGAGCCTTTGTCTAATGGATGAACACGGTAAATAACCTGCGAAACCGATAGTCCTGCCAATTCCATAAGCTGGTCGATGGAAAATGCTCCTGTGCTCATGAGCTCTTTGTCTAGCGCGGCAGCAGCCTTGGCTGAGAGAGTCTCGAGTGGTGTTAGTGAATGATGTATACATGACGAAAGGTTTGACTGACTGACCTTTAGTGCCATCTTTTTGTGATGGAATTGAGCTCTACAAATGCGGTTCAACGCATTAGCAGACAGAATGATCTAGAATTTGTATTGCAGCGCAAGGCAAAAAATACTCAATGGGTTGATGAGCTTCTAGATGAGAATGGAAAGTGTAGAACTACGCCGAGTTGACTGACATCACTGCGGGAGCAGCCGGGGCTGGGCTGGGATTGAATGTTTCTAAACAGGGGCCAGGAAGGTTCTAGCGAGCACTGTTGGGGTGCCCCCTCGTCCTGTCTCACAGCGGCCCCATCCCCGTTCCGCCAGCCTACCTAGGAGGGATGGCGGAGGGGGGGGGGTCACCACCTGGGTCGCGTCGAGTTGCAAGGCCCGGAACAACGTAAAGCCCCCACCGACAAATTTCCTCTAGGCCAGAGCTCCTATCAATTGTACGCGCGAAGCGCATGCGACCCTGCAAGTGGTGATGGCTTCAGCTTGAAACCTCTACCGGAGTATTTGTTTGTCTTTTCTTTTCTTGGCAGCCACAGCATCATGACGATCAAAATCAGACTCGCACGCTTTGGGCGTCGCAATGCCCCCTTCTACAACATTGTAGTTGCACAGGCTCGGTACGTGCAAATCCTGCTGGCATACTCCCCATTGCGCAACTCCAACATTTCCACCAAATGCGCTTGACCCTTACCGAGAACCATTGGGCTAACCATGTGATTTTATTGTTCTTTTAGGTCTGCACGCAACTCAAAGCCCCTCGAGGTCATTGGCACATACGACCCCATGCCAAAGGCTGACCCCTACGATGACTCTGGCCGCCTGCACAAGGACATCAATCTCGATATTTTGAGAGCCAAGTACTGGCTCGGTGTAGGAGCGCAGCCCACGGATACCATGTGGAGGATAATGTCCATGGTAAGCTCTACTCTGAGGAATTCCAGCTGCTGGATGTACCATGGGCAGCGAGAATGTCGATCTGTTTCAGCAATATATAGCTAACGCACGCCAAATCGCAGGTCGGAATTCTCGACCCAAAGCACAGAAACCATCAACCAAGGACGGCGCCGCCGTTGCCAGAATCCATCACAGGAAAGACCATCGAGGCGAGTGGCACGAGCACGACGGTATAGACAGGCCGACCTGTTTGGGTCCGGTGACACCGACAATGTATGATACCAATGTAAACACAGCAGCATGCCAAGGCGTTGGGGATTGCTTTTGAAAAAAGAAAGATCAAACTACGACTGTACTATATCAAGCCGAGATCTGGGGCCGTATCCTTTCAGACGGGAATCTGCACAGACTCTATAGATACGGACCGAGAATGACACTGGGTTCCTCCAAATTCTCGACTGTGCGACGTGAGGTGATGCCAAGAGTGAGAACGGATTGACTTTGCTGGAGGTCAATCTTCTCGGTGGGTAGGGAGTTCTTGATGGAGCGTCATTTGAATGTGGCAAGGCTTTTGCTCGCGGAGAACACGAGACTCTTGGTAGCTATTAATAGGCTAGAGTTGAGCATGTATTCACCAGACTGCAGCGAAAAGCTATCATAGACAGCAGAGCTCATGTGATTGGCATGTCTAGCATATCTATCAAGGTAATCATACGAAATACAAACTCCAGGCGCCTTGACTATAATTCAAACTTTACTGTTGGGCGGCACCATCTTCTTCAAAGACTACTAATACAGTCCCGGCTTTGCACACATCGCCAGCCCTGTGAGCGAGCTTCTTGATGACACCGTCTTGGGGTGATCGAATGACTGTTTCCATCTTCATGGATTCAATGCTGAATATATGGTTAGCAAAGACAGCATAGTATGGGACTTGCAGCAAATTCAACTTACACGACAAGAGGAGCACCCTTTGCCACGACATCACCTTCTTGAACCTCATTCTTCAACACCTTGCAAGGCATCGGTGCAACTACAGAGGCCGTGACCTCCTTGATACCCAGAGCCTTTTCATACCACAACGGCGATACCAATGATAACTCGGTCTTGATGCCATGTTGGAATACTGACACCTTGTTATCATTGTTGGGATCTTGGACGACGGTCGTTTCTACTCTAGCGTCGGGGAAGAATGTGGTCAGATTTGTCTTTTGCAACCCCAGAATGGGCGATGAAACCAGATTTTCAAATTTGACGGGCGCTTCGTCTTTCCTGACGACCTGGGCATCATAGAGTTGGTTGCCCTTTTGAGTAATGACAACCTTGACGACCTCTCCCTCTTTCTGGTCCAGGACATCCAAGTTCTTAAATGTGAAGGTATGTTCCGTGGCTCCTTGTCCAAAACCCAGCGAGCCACCGTGGAGCCCAGCCGTGGATTGCAACGAGGACACAAATAAGCCCAGCGCAGCTTGTGTGTACACTTCAGGCTTTGCAATCTTTGGTGCAAACAGTTCCGATTCCCATTTCTTGATGAAGCCTGTCTCCACATCCCCCTCGATGAAAGCCGGAGAATTGCAGAGCTGTTTCAGGAACTCGATGTTCGTACTGAGTCCCACAACTTCATATTCGCGCAAAGCTCGCTCCATCCGCCTGATGGCCGTTTCTCGGTCATCGCCTCGTACGATAAGTTTCGCAATCATGCCGTCATATGCCTCTGTTACTGTATCGCCTTCGGCAAATCCTGCGTCTATCCTGATGTCCTCATCGGTCTTTGGTGTGGTCAAATGAACAAGCTTGCCGGAATCTGGCAAGAAACCCTTCTCCGGATTCTCGGCATAGATTCTGGCTTCGATAGCTGCGCCTCGCTGCTTGATCTGCTCCTTGATCTCTTCTTGAGTCATGGGCAGCTTTTCGCCAGCAGCCACTCTGAATTGCCATTCGACCAGATCCGTGCCGGTAACCATCTCACTCACGGGATGTTCAACTTGTAATCTGGTGTTCATTTCCATAAAGTAGAACTCGCCCGTGTCCTTGTCCAGGATGAATTCGACGGTACCAGCACCGACGTAGCCAACAGCGAGCGCTGCCGTCCTGGCCTTTTCCCACAAGTCGAGTCTAGTCACATCGTCCAGGTTTGGCGCCGGAGATTCCTCGAGGATCTTTTGGTGCCGTCTCTGCACACTGCAGTCTCGCTCGCCCAAAGCAACGCAGTTGCCCAACTTGTCCGCAAAGACCTGGACTTCGACGTGCCGTGGCCTTATGATGTACTTTTCGACCAGCATGACCTCACCACCCTCACCAAAGCTAGCCCTGGCCTCGGCCCTGGCACTCTTGAGCTGCTGTAGAAACTCGCCCTCCTCCATGACGATACGCATGCCCTTGCCGCCACCACCTTTGACGCTTTTGAGGAGCACCGGGAACTTGATTTCCTTGGCGTGGTTCAAGAGTTCCGTCTCGCCCTGATCGCCGCCGTGATAGCCTGGCACACAGGGCACGCCGGCTTTGGTCATGATCTCTTTACTCCTGGCCTTGTCTCCCATGTCCGCCATGGCTTTGGCAGGCGGACCAACAAATACAATGCCTTCTTGTTCGCATCTTTCCGCAAAGGCAGAGTTCTCTGAAAGAAAGCCATAGCCGGGGTGGAGGGCCTGGATGCCATGTTGCTTCGCCAGCTTGACTATCCGCTCGCCGTCGAGGTATGCATTCGCGGGGCCGAGGCCAATGGCATTGGGTGAGCAGGCTGCATGCTGGGAGGATGCGTCTGGATCTGTGTACAACGTCGTGGTCTGGATCCCGAGACGTTTGGCCGTCTTGTTGATGCGTAGAGCAATCTCTCCACGATTCGCAATCAAGAGCGACGTGATTGGTGTCACGGGTACAGAAGAAGCGGTGCTGGAATTGAAGAGCCGGCGGGGTGCAAAGCGAGGCTTGATGGATCGCATCTTGAAGTATTATTCTTCTGGTCTATTATAGAATCAATGGTGTATAGGTGGGAAGCTGATGAACTGATTATTTGAACCAGAAGTAGACACAATCATTAAACATCGCCAACGTCAAGAAAGAGAAATGTCTCGGGCCTGGTATATTTCATCGTGAGCAAGAAGAGGAAGGTTAATCTGTAATGTAAGAAAAGGCCCCTCGGTATAAGAAGGCCGACGTTATGCGCTGCCGCTCTGCCGCTCAATGCCGTTCAAGTGGTGGCTTATGTTTGGACTCTGGAGGTCAGGTCACAAGGTGCATACCAGCTTACCTTGGCCTGGCGCATTGATCATAAACATGGATTGTTGGAGAGCTCACTCAGGGACCTAGCAGGCTAGCAACTGGGGTAGGTCTAAATCTAGCGCTAAAAGTCCCCAAGCAACCAGAGCTACAGTGAGGTCATGGAGTGGATTTCAGTGGGGTCATAGCTTATCCGGGGGCTGCTGTTCTGCTTCGTAATGCTCCGAGAAAATGGAATTGCCCCTCCATCAGTGCAACTGCCGATCGTGAGACCGGAACGCGACTGTTGAAGATAACTATCGTTGTCACTGTCCGATATCACTTTCGAACTGCCATCCCCTTACTGACGGATCACCAAGACAATGTCGCAAATCCCTCTCAACTACGAAGCCTCTGCGGGCGATAGCCACAAGCAGACTGTCACCAGCCTGCCACCGGAAGTGGTCCAATGTCTCGAGAACGCCCGTTTCGTGAGTTATCCGCCTCGAATATTGCTGCTTTTGATGATGATCTTCTCGTCTTTCCGATAGCTAGGTGACTGACCGAATCTGTTTGAAATAGCTTCACCTGGCTACCTGTACAGATAACCAGCCGCACGTGTCACTCATGAACTATACCTATCTGCCGTCATCCCAGTTCTCCGCCATGCCCGTCATCATCATGACGACGAATCCGTCCTCCAAGAAGATGAATAACGTGGTAGAAAACCCCAACGTATCCCTCTTGGTACACGACTGGGTATCGCACCGGCCGCCGACTCAGCACCGCCGACCGTCGGGTGGCTCGCCGGGCCCCGAGCACAGATCGAGCCTGGCCTCGCTGCTCCTGAACCTCAATACGAGCGCCATGTCGAGCATTAGCGCCACCATCAACGGTACCGCCTCGCTCGTACCGCAGGGTTCCGAAGAGGAGAAGTTCTACAGGGAACAACATTTGGAAAACAACACGTTCGATTCCGAAGGCGGCGTCCCGCCATTCCACCAGCAGGCTCAGGGTAACCAAGAAGATGGGGGAAGGAATTGTTTCGTTGCGGGTGAGGAGGTTAGAGTGATTCTCGTCAAGATCAAAGATATCCGGACGAGTGATTGGAAGGGTGGTGTCCAGGATTGGGTCTTGGCGAGCGAAACGGATTCTACAACTGTTAATGGCATCCGGTAGACAGGAATGTACAAAACAAGATTCCATGACAGGTCCTATAATACATATCATTCTGGCCAAATTCGTTTGTCATGATTGAGTCCACCTAACATGGATGAATATTTTTCTGTCCTCTTCGTGAGGCATATCTGGTCTCGAATTCGGAATCCTAGGAGCGACGTGCACCACTTCTGTATTGATGAAATTCGATTCCAAGTGGACCATCTTCTTTTGAGATACAGGTCTACTCCGAATGATACAGTGCCCTTGATGTGCCGCGTGTAATAGGCGCGTGCTCATTGTAGACTTGCCTGATTGGGCTGGCTGATAGAGCGTGGAGTCAAAGGAATGGTCACTTCTATAGCGACTTCTCTGTTGCACCAACTCGATGTATGCCTCGGCATGCAACCTTTTTGTAAGTGATACTGAGGCTAATACACAGACCATTTCTGTATAGCGGTTGGTCAACTTAGGCCCAGATGCCGACGACTTCTCCTATTCTTAGCACTTTAAGAAGTTGTCATTTTGCGTCTAGATTGCTTGACGGGATAATTCAAGTTGAGAGAAGGGAGTGGGGGGAAACACTACTCTAAAGTAACAATATCGCTTGGTTATGGGGACGTATCGTGAAGCACACGGGCCATCATCAACATGTTGACTATATTGGGATTTTTTGTATCTCCTCAAAAGTTGTCAAAACATTCTATTGAATCGGCGCTGCTGCTAGAGAAACTCGCGCACAGAAATCATCTAAATGCGTGTTACTATCAACGCAGGTTGTATACGGAAAAGTCCCCGTTCGAAGCGACACTTCTCTAGAAGATCATTCAAAGATGGGCCAATCCCATATTATGTGATCTCTTATTCGCTCGCTCGCTCCATGTCCGACATTGACGGTCCTGTGACGGCCGAATGAACCTCTATCCAAGTCGTAGAGCGGTCCAGTTCGGCGGCATTGTAACCACATACCCGGGATGGGAGTCGCATCGGAGAGATGACAGGGGTGCCGAGCTCTCTATGCGAATGATTGACAACCAATCACAGCTCTCTGATTATTCCCTCCACGCGCGTTATGCATCTGCGGAGTTGAGGTTCCTGAAAAGGAAATTATAAAAGTCGTGATATTAGTCGAGCAAACAAAGTGCACGTATTATAAGATGGACTCGATTCTGAGGATCGAAAGACTCTCAAACGAATCAAACCTTGGAAATTTGCCTTACAATACATTGTCTAAGCTCCTAGCAAAATGAAGTTAGTTGGCGCTCTCTCGATCGTGTTGGCTGCGCCAAGCGTTTTGGCCGACTTTGATACTTGGTCACCGCCAGGGCCAGACGATGGTTTGTCGTTACTATATTCACTCGTCTTGATTGTGTTTTCAAGGTCTAGCAGCGCAACTGACTGGCACTACACATTTAGTACGGGCACCTTGCCCCATGCTCAACAGTCTGGCAAATCACGGATTCTTCCCTCACGATGGCAAAGACATTACGGAGGACGTGACCATCGCGGCCCTCGCAGACGCCTTGAATGTCGACAAATCGCTGAGCCAGTTTTTGCACGACAAGGCCGTCAGCACAAACCCGACTCCAGGCGCAACGACCTTTTCGCTTAGCGACTTGAGCAACCATAACATTCTGGAGCACGATGCTAGTCTAAGGTGATTCAAGATATAATATCAACATCATTAGCGTCTCTCGCGGATTGCTGATTTGTGTGTGAAACCAGCCGTGCAGACTACTACTGGGGCGATGACCACACCTTTAACGAGACCGTCTTCAATGAGACACGATCGTACTGGACTGACGAGACGGTGACGGTCGAGATGGCTGCCAATGCACGCCTGGCGCGCGTCCATAGCTCCATTGCCACGAATCCGAGCTACAGCATGAGCGACCTGGGCAACGAGTTCAGCCTGGGAGAGACGGCAGCGTATATCATTGCCCTGGGCGATCGGGACGACGCAACTGTACAAAAGAGCTTTGTAGAGTACCTTTTCGGTGAGTCGTGATGTTCGAGTCGACATGTTGCCTGTAATGGCGACTAACAGCAGTACAGAGAATGAGCGTCTGCCTCTCGAACTAGGATGGGCAAGACCCGGAGAGCTCATTGATATTGGGGATGTCCAGGACATGCTTTTCCGTGTCATTGATGCTACCGGTAGTGATGCTGCAACCGTAGACAAGTTGCGAAAGAGAGGAGGATACCATGCAGGTCTATGATGTGCGGTATGATGGATTTCCGTGGCTTGGTAACATAGTAGATCCAAATGCAAGTAAAACCGGGCCTACTAGCACCTCATAATACAATGTCATTGTAGTATCAATCTGCAAAATGGACTGCCCAAAGAGGTTCCGTGATCCAGATAATTTGAAGTATCTGAATGGTTTTTTTTTTCTCCAATAATCCCGTGCCGTTGTCTTTGTTTCTGCACTACCAAAGGCATTTCAAAGTCACTAGACTCTCTCGCCCATAAATGCATGCGCTCTTTGTGGCAACGGAATCAATCCTCGGCGGACCATTGTAAACATTCCATGGTCATCAGGTTGATGATGCTCAATAACAAAAGTATCGTTGACTTGAGGACAATGTTGGAGAAGATGGGGGCAGTCAAATACAAAAATCGGTTATATGAGCCAGCAGACCCTCATTCCCCCAAATGGTATAGCAGGACTTGAGGTGCTTACCCATGCTACACTAGTGCGGGTTCTCCAGATCGATCGTACTAAAGATTACCATTTAATTGATGGTAATTCGGTGACTTTTAATTTTTCATCTCCATTAAATAAGATGGAGGCAGTCTGCTGTAGTGTATAGTCGACAGGCAAGCGCCGCCAACCCATAACGGATGCGGGGCCGGACTGATGAGTTCTACTGGTGAGTCAAGCAGAGACATGGGGGGTGACTCCCGCCGCTTAGTTTTTTTTCCTCTTATAATGCGCCGCGTACGTACATACAACATTATGCATTGCTGCAAACAACATCGCATCCTCTGGTTGTGTCACCAATGGACTCTACAGAAGAGCCGCCATTCCCATTGCCGCGCAGGCTCAATGGACGCCTAGCAGCGTGCGATCCGTGTAGGCTGCGAAAGGTCGCCTGCGATCATACCCGTCCCATCTGCAACCGATGTCGGAGGAGGGCCAGCGGCTCAGAATGTGTCTATTCAGAGCCCGATCCCAGGACGCGGCCGCTCAAGCCTCCGCGTCGACCAGCGCCCAATGCTTCACCTCTGCAGCCTTCGGGCAGTGATTTTGCGGAAAGGAGTCCCCAGGAGAGGCCACTGTCGTGGTCCAGTCAGTCTGGGTCCAACACGCCCACCCACGACCGTGGCTATCTGGGAGCTACTAGCTTCGGCGCTGTCTTTGAGGAGGCTAGAAACAGCCTGTCGCTGCTCAGCGCGCTTGACTTGAATCAGACTCAGGTTGAGTCCAGGAGGGATGAAGGCAGTGTATTTTCCCGCGAACTGACGCCGCCGCTGCAAGAAATGTGTCTCTATGTGCTCCGCTGTCTGGCAGACCATCTCAGTGAGGACTGCGAACAACCTGACGATTCATCGAGCGACCATCATGGCTGGGAAGATGAAGCCGTGGATAGGATAATCAATTCGCTCCGGCTGGCATTCGCGCACAGCCGCGACCAAGGAGAAAAGGGGCTGAAACTGATTGCCGAGAAGATATCCCACAACACGGAACGACCTCTACGAGACGACGTTTCCACCACAGAGGATTGGCTACGCCAGTTTTGTGGTGAAAACCTTAGATGGGAATCTCTCGGTCTCCTGTGGGCGTACTTGCAGCGAATATCGGATATACTGCACTCCATTACCTGCCATCGATTCGATTGGCTTGCTGCAAAGTACTCGGCCAAGACAGGCCGGACCTGTCTTGACTACTGTGTCACCATATCGCGTCACCTCGCCGAGCAAAACACCCTGTTGCTCGATGTCGCCCGCCGCAAAGCGACCTTGGAGTCTATTATTTGTGGCGAAGCGCGTGAGTCCACCCTGATACCAAAGGTATGTGACTCATTGCTAATCTCACTTTTTAGGTGTACCAAGTTATGTCGCTTTTGGAATTGTGGTGACAATGATGACCTTTTTAGGACTTCACGTGCAACAGAACGATCCCCTTTATAGGCCAACCCTATGTTCTGAGCTACGTAGGCGCATCTTTGCTCAGGTGTTTGTCAGTGACAAGCTCGTGGTGTCATTCACGGGCCGCCCGCCTCTCCTGAGCCGACGTTTCTGCACAACACCACTTCCACTAGATATTCGCGACGAGGACCTGGCATCTGGCCCGGACGTCTTGGATCGTGCTGTGGCTTCACTTGATCAAAATGGCTGGAACACAGATGGTGGTTTGTATTCGGCAACTCTCATCCGTGCTCGAACAATGATTGCCTACGTCCGGGATGAGTTGGTCGAGATTGCCCTCAGCCAAAACACCATCGTCTCGTTGGACCACTTGCAGTAGGTTATCTATTTTGAAATGCAACAACGACCATACTAACATATTCCCGCTCAGAGAGATCAGAGCGCGACAATACCAAATGTTCTCCGAGTTCCCCAAGAGCCTGATGTATCAGCATGAGGAGCTCATCGACCCAGATGTCGATGTTCGCAAGGTCTATGTCAAGGTCCTTCTCCACCTAGAACATCTGAAGAATATTTTCTTTGCTGAAAGATTACTGCTCCTGCACGGCCATGTTGATAGCAGTGATATAATAGTAACGAGTTTTGCTATGCTTAAGATGGTGCTTCTTTTCTGGACGCACCGGGAAAGATTCTCGCTTCCCTCGATACGTCGAGAGTTTGACTGGGATGTAAGTGAATCCACCCACCCCCCGAAATCTTTCTTGTATCACCAGGATCTTAAAAGTCACTTTAGGTTCTCGTGTATGGAGCACCGGCTGCTGGAATTCTCTGCTTGGAGTTACTTCGCCCAACCGTTCCTCGACTTCATCCGAAAAATAATGAGGTGAGCCGTTCCAACATCATACAACAACTGAGTCTTCTAGTTGCTTTATTGGATTGGGTCAACCCTTCAGCTCCGAATCGAGATCTCTGCGTTGACAGTCGCACAATCATTCAACGGGTGCTCGATCATCATCTCAACTTTGGGACGGATGTGACAAGTATGGGGCACACTCCAATGGATTGGGGGCCAGTGTCGGTGCCGGATTTCAGTTTTGACCTTATCAACACATTTGATTGGGTGCGATCGGGTATGCAGTGAGCGACAGATTAGAGTCGTGATTATTTGTTTCCTTGCGTGTTTGAGTATCCGGTATTCACTTCGATACTGGCAAGATTTATCCTGCCCAAGTTCCAGACGTCCCAATGCCGTGATTAAATACAATTAAAGATGGGCACGTTCGAAGGATATACCGGACTTAATTTTAATTTATAATCACATCAGAGAATAAGTAACGTCCTTGAATGTCTAAGCCTAAGAACCAGCTTTGCCGATTACCTGAACGCTATGCCCAAGCGAGGCGATCAAAGCATTCACGGCGAGGCTTATAGATAAGGAGTCGAAGATGCGTACTAGTGTTTTCAGATTATAAAGTTGATAGATTTCATTCAATACTATTGAATCAATTTTAGCACTCAAACTCTTGGGATACTTTCCGCAGTGGCAAATGAGTCGTTCCCCAACACTTTGCCAGATTGCATAAAGCGACTGCGCGCTCTAATCTGTGGTCCCCAAAACAAAAGTGCAATAGGAGTGGCAGCCAAAATTGCTGATATAATGCCCAAAACTGTACTCGCCAGAGGAAACCCCAGCGTCGTGTACATGCTCTGAGCCGCGAGTGGCAGTAGACCAATAAAGGTATTCTCGCCCAAGACAACGGCGCCGATTGCGCTGCCCGCGTATACCGTGTAGGCATCAACGACGTAATGGGAGATGCCCACCACCACAACGGTGGATCCAGCTCCAACCATGACGAGACCGACCACGGGCGCTCCCCAAGTGACGCTCGAAAAGGAAGTCCACGCATAGACAAACATGCCGCCCGAGACTCCGACGAAGCCGCCCAATATGGCCGAGTATAGCCGGGCCTCGGGGATTGGCGTGTTTGGCGACTCGGTGTTGCGCCGGACCGATGAATAATACCAGTGGTCGGTACTCAGGCAGAAGAGCCAACCGAGCACCTCGCCCACGACAAGAGAGACTTGGACGTAGCCTGCTTGAATAGCGTCCCACCCATACAAGCTGGTAAAGACGAGCTCCACCGATTGGGTAAAGAGGTAAATGACGCCAAAGCTAAAGGCCGACCACAGCGTAGCGACAACGAGAACCGGCTCGTTGGCCAGCATGTACAAGGGCCGCTGCACGCTGCGCTTGATGATGTCGAGCACCGGCGTGCGCTGCAGCTCTTCTCTCGTATAGGCATTCTTGCCTTGCCGACGCAACCTCTTTGCGCGCTGTTCCAAAATGACGGATCCTCGTGACTCGGGCATGGCAACGAGGAAGAGTGGGAAAAGCGCCGCCGTCCATATTGTTTCGATATGGCCCGTCCACCTCCAGGGCAGGTACTGCAAGATAACAGCACCAATTACAGGGCCCAGACTGCTCCCACACATGTAAAATACAATGTATGAGCTCATGGGAATCGTCCTCTCTCGATACCCGTCGAACAAATTGGACGCCACGCCAGCGGCCGTGTTGGCGAGCAAGGAGGCACAACCACCGCTAAAGAAGCGACAAATGACCAAGGTCGCAAAGTTGCGGGCAAAGCCAATGGGTATGAGGAAACACGTAAAAATAAAGTACGTCAAGAGAAAAGCCGGTCGTACGCCAAAATCCTCCATCAGGGGCAGCAGGGCCAAAGAGAAGAGGGCGCCGCCCAGAGCCCACGACGTCACGGGCCAGTAGGAATGCGGAAACAGGGACTCGTTGATGTGAAAGTCTGCATCAATCTCCAAATGGGCCGTCGTGATGATGGAGCCATTAATGATGCAACTAAACGTTGCCAATAAAGCGAGACTGGTGGCTAGCCATTTCCGCCTCGTGGGCCAATTAAACGGGTTCTCGGGGTCATCTGGACCTGACCAATCAACAACAACAACGACACCCTCTTCTTCTATACATGATGGTTAGTGGTGGTCACGACAGAGACACGAGGACGTTGAGCTTTTGCAATATTACCATTGGACGGTCCCGAGTGACGAGCTGGATGTTGAACCTCCATGCTGCAACCAGACATTTCCAGCCCGCCTATTCAAGCCCGGTGGCCTCGGATGGATGGATGGAGCTCAAATATCCAGACGATTGGAGGCGACAGGTTCGAATCAAAAAGTTAAACACAACCAATCACTTTGTGCACAGCACTTGATTTCGTAGGCAACAATAACCTACTTGTGCTTGCAGAGTTGACCAGAGTAGGCTCTGACGTAATGTAGGTATTGATTCAGACAGAGAAGAAGACCGCGAAGAAAGGTTCATGAGCAATTACACAGGTCGTTGATCACGAACTGAAAACTTGATTTTCAGGGGACGTCCAAAGGAGTCGAGCACGCCATGGCCACTGCAATAGCGCTGCAATTGTATAATTGATGCATCATGGAGTTTTGTAAAAATTTGCAAGCCCGCAAATCACAGCACCGAGTGCACTGTCTGCCTTCCATGTTCGTGGGTTTTCTTATACGTAAACCGGCAGGCTAGCCGCTGTGGAGAGAAGCTGCTTAGGGCGAATAGCGCCCGCTGTTGGCCACCGCTGGCCATTGCTCACTTGGCGGTGTCGGGGGGTCGAGTTTAGGATCTCCGACTAGAGAATTGAGTCAGTTTAGCAGATGGTCCGGCTTCTCTTCCGGAGGTTTTTCGTGGGCAGGGGTCAAATTTAGTGTGGAGGGGTTAGAATAAAATTTTTACCAGGGGGTCAAAATTAATTGCGCTATAATACTGTATAAATGCATATATAAAATTTATATAGCGCTTATATATATTAATATATATAATTTTAAAATGGTAAATAATATTACAATATTTTAATTTATAGGTATATATTTAAAATATATCGTAAAATCGTGAAAATTTCTATAGAAAATAGGGCTATAGCTAAAGCTTTAGGCAGAAATAAACTAAACGTTAGCTAGGACTAGCTAGCGGCAGCCTAGCTAATAATTTAGCTAGCGCGGTTGCGATTTTATTTTAAATTGCTTTTACGGTTGCTATTATTTTTTTTTAAAAAATTAATAATTACGTATAATAACGTAAATATTCTTTTTCGTTTTTTAGCTATGCGCGCATATACTAAGCTTTTAGCAAAGCGTAGGTTTATTCGTTTTATAAATATATTTTTTATTTACGTTTTATTTATTTTTAATTGCGTTTACGTATATACGTAGGTAAATTTTGCGGTATTCCTCGTAATACTGCTAATTTTTTACATAGGAAGCTGCTATTTAATTAGCTATTACGTACCTGCTAATTCGCGTTATAAAAGCAATTTTTTATAAAAAAGCAAGCGCGTTTTAAATAATTAAATCTAATATAAAATATTAAATATACGCTAAAAATATCCGAATAATTAAATAATATAATAAAATAGCCTATTTATAGCCTGCTTTTTTCGGTAAATTTTTTTTTTTTAAATATTTTAAATATATGCTAAAAAAATTTAAATAACGCAGCTATTCGTATTACTAGTTTTTTAATTAATTACGGTTAGCATTTTAATATAGCTTTAAAATTTATTAGGTATTTATTAAGTATATGCTAAATTGGCTTAAAAATTCTTAGGACTTATCCCGAATAATAATCCCGATTAATAGCTTTTTAATAAATATATTTAGAGTATATATTAAATATAAATTCCTAATATATTATATAAAATAAGCTTAAGCTATTGCTAATAATTAGCGCTTTTTTATTATTATTTCCGCTAAAAACGTCGGTATGCTTTTTATATTTTTATTTTCGATTTAGTATATATTAAAAATAAAGATTTTTCCCGCTTTAACGATCCCGAGATTTTGTTTATTATAAACGCTAGAGTATAAATAATCCGATTTTAATATATTTTAAGCATATGCTAAGAAATAATAGTTATTATATTAATATAAATGGTTCCGGCATTATATACGGTATTATTTTTAGTATTTAGCCCATTATATATTAGAAATATATTAAGAATTATTACGGTTTATATTAATTTGTTTAAAAAAATTGCGTCGTTATATCCGTTTTATTTACTTTAATATAAATAAGTTTATACGAAATTCGATTTCGTTATAATATATGCTAAAAATAATAATTAATAATATTTTAAGATAAAATATTACTTTAGCTAAGCGTATTGCCGGCGATAAATAGGTTTTTAAAAAATTATTAATATATACTAAGTTAATTTTTTATAGCGCTTTAAAGTATATTATTTTATATAAGCTTTAGCGTAATGCTATTTTTATTAATAAGCCCGGGTAAATTTCTTTTTTCGGGATATTTTAAATATATATTTATAATATTTTTAATCGTAGTTTTGCCGGTAATAAAATAAATATATATGCTATTATATTTAAATAAATCGCGTAAATATTTTTAATTTTTATTAAGCTTATACCGGATTAATAATTTTAATGCTAATAATCCTACTTTTCGCTAATAATAAGGCTTTCGTTTTTATTATAAAATAAATTTAGTATATTTTTAAGTTATAATTTAATATAAATAATTTTTATTAGTATTTTCTAAAATATTAAAAAATAGGAAAGGGAAAAGATTTAATATAATCTTTAAAAATATTAGATTTATTTTTAATTTATTCCCTTAAATAAATCTATTTTTTAGAGTTTTTTATTTTTTTAAATTTTAAATTTTTAATTTTATTCCTAATTTTCCTATTTAAAATTCGAAAACTATTTCCGAATTTAGCCTTTTTTTTAGATTTTTAAATTCCGAATCCGATTTCGACTTTTTTTCCCTTTTTCCCGAATCTCCGAAATTATTAAATTCCTTTTTTATAGCTCGGAATATTCCGAATATACTTTCGGCTTTACCTCGATTTATAATATTTCCGTTACGGCGTTCGCGGAAATTAGTATTAATTTACGATTTCTTTTTTAATTTATAAAATTTTTGCTATAATTAGTATATATTTATAATATTTTTAAATTTAGCTTTATATTTCGGCTAGCTAAAAGCGTTTTATAAATATATTTATTTATATATCGTAAATATATGTTAAATAAATTTTTAGCGTTCGCTTTTAAATCACGACGACGACGAGATTTTTACTAAAAAGCGTGCCCGTAAATTTATATAATTTTAGCATATTTTAAACGTAAACTAATAATATAATTAGCCAAATTTAAGATTTTTAGTGCCGGCAAAAAAAAGCCCGCTGCTTTTTCGTTTAAGCGTAAATTCGAAATTTTTAAGTTATTTTAAGTATATTTTTATTATATTTTTAAGCGTTATTCGCTTTATTATTGCTTTTGTTAAAATTTAAATATATTATTGCTAAGCGTGGTCCGAGTATATATTTAATATTATTCGTTTATTACGGAATAGGTTTAAATTAAAGGCAATATAATTAAAACCGCATAAATAAAATATATATTTAGCGGATATTTACGGATTAATAATAAAAATTAGGATAAATTTAATATAATTTTAGCATATGCCTTTATTATAATTAAATTTATAATTTTTATTTTGTATAAAAAATTATATTATTAAAAATAATAAATAATATTTATTTAAAATATTTTTAATATATGTTTTTTATATTTTTAATTTCGTTTTGCAATTTCCGTTTACGCAATTTTAATTTAAATCGGTTTCGTTATTTTTTTAATTTTCGAATTTTTTTACGAAAAAAATCGTTTTTATTATTCCTAAAGTGTCGACGATTAAGTATTGGCGTAATTAAAGAGGAAAAGCGTATATTTAAATTATGCCGGGAAAGTATTTATATGCTTTATAAATTATTTTAAAAAGATATAAAATTTATTTTTCGATTATTTGGCGCTAATATCCCGTTTAAATTTACCCATTTAACGTCGTAAGGATTATATAGGTTAAAAACCCGTTTATTATCCTTTTATTATCGAGCAGCCTATTTTTATAATATACGCTATTAACGCTAAATATCGTTATTAATCCGAATTTAATTTAATTAAATTTAAACGCTTTATCGAATATTAGATTGCCGCTTATTTATTTATTTTAATAATTTATTTTAGCTATAAAGCTTTAACCTAAAATAAAATTAGCATATAATAAATATATATAAATTAAAAAAGCTTATTTTTATATAATTTCGATTAATATAAGCCCCCGGCCTATAGAATAATTATTTTTTATATAGCTGGTTTTTTTAAAATTAGTATTTTTCCGGGTATACCTCTAATATATTCTAAAAACCTTTAAAAATTTTTTATATAAGCTAGCCGTAATTTAAAGTATTTTTTTTTATATAAGCTAGGTTTTAAATCGAGGATAAATCCGGTATATATCGTTAATAATCGATATAAAATCTTTTATATCCGGATATTTTTAAAGGTTTTCGAAAAATAGCTTAGCTTCGTAATTACGGTATTTTTTTTGGAAATTACGCTTAATATAAAGTTTATAAAAAATAAAAATATACTTAAAATATATTTTTTACGAATACCCGGGGTAAAAAATATATAAATATTTATTTAAAGCTATATTATTAGTATATATATTAAAATATATATATAATTTAAATATATTTCGAGCTTATATTAAATCTATATTTATAATAATAAACGCTATTTTAAAATAATATATATATTATTATCGAATAAAAAAATTATAATATTTTTTAATAATTTAAAATATTTTTTAAAAAAATCGAAAAAATATTTTTTTGCTTTAACCTTTAAAAAATATATAAATATACGTTAAAAATCCTAATTTTTAAATTAGAATATTATAAATCCCTTTTAAAAATATACAAAATTTACGTTAAATATTTTCCTCCTAGCTTATAATCGAAAATACTTAAGTTTAACTATAAACTATTTTAAAAAAAACGTTTATTTATAAAAACCGGGCTTTTATAATTTGCTATATTTATTATTTAAATTTATAAATTATTAAAAATTTACCGGGCCGATTATTAATTTAAATAATGCGTCGAATTTATTATTAGTTATTAAAACGGACCCGATTTAAAGCATATTTACGGAGTATATTTATAATATAATTAATATAATTTCGGTATACGCTTAAAAAAAACTTACCTATAAAATAGCAATTATTTAGGTATTGCAAAATGCGTTTTTTTCGGATTATAAGCTATATCGTTTTTTCGACGTTACAAAATTCTATAAACGCAAATATTACCTCTAAACCTTTTTTTTAAAAAAAATACTATATTTAGGGAAAAAAAGTAAGCGTTTTAAAATTAAATTAGCGTATTATTAAAATATATAAAAACTATATTAGGTATATTTAGAATAAATATAAAAATTTTAAAATTTTTTATAATACTTCGGATTTTTTTTTTATAGCTCGGCTAATATTTTATTAGGTAAAAAAGGGTAATAAGAATAATCGCCGGAAAAAACGATTAAAAAAAACGGTAATTGCTATATTTTTTTTAGGATATATATATTAAATTTAATTAAATAGGTTTAAGGTCGAGTTTTAACCGGTAGTCTAGCGTAATCGTATTTTAAGCGTATTATTAATATATGCTTAAAATAAATTAATACGAATATTAAAATATACCGTAATATACTTGTATTTCGTTTATTTTGCTAACTTAAAAACAGGTATTCGTATATTGCTATAATAGGTTATTATATAAATTTTTTAAATAATTAATATTAAATCGTATAATTAATAGCAAAATCGGCTAAGCTATATGCTAAGGCTTTAAAGTATAATTGCGAATATAGCCGATAAAAATATTTTTAAAATACCGTTAATATATATTAATAAAATATTCGCAAAATATTTATATTATTTTTACGGAATATTTTAAGTCGTTATTTTAAGTATAATTTTATTCCTAATCCGACGGCTCCTAATTCCGGCCGTTTATATAATCCTTTTAAATAATAATCGAAAGTTTATATAAATTTATTATAAAAATTATAATATTTTTAGCATATTTTTAAAATATAATAAAAATAAATAAAAATAAAATTTATTTTACGGTTTATTTTAATAATAAATCTAAAATTATGCAAGCAGCCCGACGATAGTTTTAGTTTTTAAAGCCGTCGGTTATATATTAAATATTAATTCGATTATAGCTAGGTATATTTTTAATTATATTTTAATATATATAACCGTAAACCCGGTAATTATTATATTTAAAAGCTAAATATTAGGCACCGTTAATTTTTAAATTATTACTAAAATATAATTAAAAATATTTAATATAATTTTAATATATTTATAGTATATTTTAGGAATTTAAGCTTAATATTCGAATATTAGCTAAACGAATATTTATTCCGAATATAAAAGCTAATTTAAATTATTATTAATATAAATCGAATATAATTTTAAAATATTTTCGATTTATTTAATTTTTAATTTTCGTAAAGGCTTTAATAATTTGCTAAAACGGGGATTTTAAACGTAAACCAAAATTATTATTATAAATAAAATAGCAAATATTAATAAATAAAGTATAAAAATAATCCGGAACGGCGTAATAGTTTTAAAATTTATCGATAATAACTTTAAAACGTAAATTTGCTAAAATAATTATATTTTATTCGCGAATAAAATCCTAAAAATATAATTAGCAAATGCTAAATATACGCTAAACGTAATTTAAATTTAATATTTATTAAATTAAATCCTAATGCTTAAATTAAAACCTTTTATTTTAGCTAATACGTAATTAGGTTAGGTAGCTTATCGATAATGCTAAGCTAATATTAAATATATTAAATATATAATCGATTTTAATGCTTTTGCTATTATTTATAATTTAAAGGAAAAGACGGTAAAGGGGATAAACGAAAAAGCGAATAAGATATTAAAGGCGAAAAATATCTAAAAGATATATATAATATAATATTAGCAGATATTAGGTATAAAATAAATATAAATAAAAATTTTAGCATTAATATAGGTAAATAAATGCAATATAATTAATTCGGAATATTATTTAAATAAAAAAAATAAATAAAATATATATAGTAAATATATATTTATAAAAAATTTAATCGATTAATAATTTAATATATAATTATTTTTTATTTATTTTATTATTATATTAAATATTTTAATCGTTTTCCGCGAATTTGCTTTTATTCCGTATTTTTATTTAATATATTCCTAATATATATTAATATTTATTATATTTCCTTTTATTTTTTTCTAATAAATTTTTAATAACTTATTAGCTTTTTGCGAAATCCTTTTTATTCCGATATTTTATTAAGTATATTCCTAATATTTATTTATAATTTTTAATTTTCCGATTATAGCTAAAATATTTTAAATATATATACGCGATAAATCGAAAATTTTTCTATAAAAATAGTTCGTATTCGGATTTGTTATTATATAATAATTCGGAAGTTTTCCGCGTATGCTAAGCATATTTTTACGGTATTTTAATATATTATTATTAAGGCCTTAAAAAAAATCGCGCATATATATAAAATAAAATAATAATTATATATGCTTACGTATTTTTTATAATATCTGTGGCGCTTATGGCGTTAACTTTTGACCCCCCGGTAAAAAATTTATTTTAACCCTTCCATATTAATTTTGACCCCCGACCGGTCGTGGCCTCTCTCTTCCGTGCAGTACCGAGGATACGGGAGGCCATTCCGAGGTGCGATTGTTGAGGCGGGGGTTCACTATAGGCCAATGCTTTCAACTTGGCATTTATAGATATGGAGGGATTGACCAACGTAGGCAACTTATATACTTGATTTCCTATGCTATGTACACATTGAAGAAGAGAGAGGGAGCTGCGGATCATGAAGTAGTCAAGTCAACGTTGACTGAATAGTCTGTTCAGGTACAGGTCTAGTCAAAGCTCAATTTGACAAGGTTTGGCGACTCGACCGTGCATTTCTTAGGTTGATGACACAGCCTGTCCCTTCATCGTTTGCGTGAATGCCTGGAGTGCAAGCTTGGGCTCTGCATGATTCATATCAGCAATGTTTTCATCCACAATGCAAAAAGAGATAACTCACGGTAGTAAGGAACTTCATGACCAGCTCCGTAAACACGAATAAAGCTGAGGTTGTCAACAGACTTGAACTGACCCATCTCGGTCCCGTCGACGGTGTAGGCCTCAAGCGCCTTGGCCTTGAACTCGGTGGATCCCGAGTAGGTGAGAGCATTCGCAACGTCGAGATTGCCAAACCAGTTGCAAATAAAGTCGGCATCACCAGCCCAAGTCAGGACACGAATACCCGACTGGACAACCGTGGAGAGGGTTGACACTAGCGAGCGAGGGTCTGGTGAAGATAATTAGCGTTATGAATCAGAGCTTGCGTAGATGTTGACTTACAGTCACCAGTAGTAAAGAACTTGGAGTTGACACTGTTAGGACACTCCTGATAAGTCGTGGCGGCTCCGATTGCCTTCTTTACATCGGCACGAGCGAGATATGTCGCATAAGTCTCGGGAGGGTTGGGGTCATTTCTAGCGGCGCGGACATCGTATGGATCAAAGTTGGCGCTGGAGTAGATAACCTCATCAATGTCTGCATCGCAAGTATTGTATGCCTTCTCGCAGTATGCATCGTTGCCAGTGAGTCCAGTGCATTCATCGACCAATGGCTTGCACTTGGACGTGTAGGCCGTGTTGAGCGACTTGTACTGAGCAGCAGTGATGAGTTGGCGGTAGGTGTTGTTGTATGCAAACTCGATATCGGCCTTGTACTGAATTGACTCATCGTAGAGACCATTGTTGATGCCAAGAGCAACAAGGTTGATCTTCTCGCCATCGAGACTGCCGCTGTCAATGGCCTTGTTTTGGGTCTCAATGTAGTTGGCAAACTCGGGGCCGTAATGACCGCCATAGCTTTCAGTGAAGATGCCAAAGTCGCGACTCTCGTATTGAGGGAACTGGGTAAGGAAGGCCTGGAGGAATTTCCAGACAAAGGGAGCTATGGTTGCGGCGTTAGTGCATATTCCCGACTGGCAGATGATTGATGTGACATACCTGCGGTCACAGTCGAGGTGACAGTATCGGTGCCGTACGAGAAGCCTGTGCCGATTGGCTGATCCACGTAGATCATGTTGGCATACTCATTGAAGCTGTATGGGTTGAGCGATGGAGTCGAAGCGCCATTGTAGAATTGGCAAGGTCCATTCTGGGAAGTTTTATCAGTACATGCGTATACTATTGCATAATTTCTTGCTGTTTACCTCTTGGAATAATCCAATCATGGAACTGCAACCTGGTCCACCGTTGAACCAAGTGGCAAGAGGTGCTGTGCTGGCATTGTTGCGAGCCTCGAAGAACCCTGTCAGGATGATTAGCAGCCAGTCATAAAACTTCAAAAGACTGGAGAGAATATCTTGACTCACAGAACCACATGTTCATGTTGGTACCGACGGTAAGATAACCCGAGTACTGATTGACACCAGGCGTGGTCTCACAGATGCCCGAGTTGTTGACAAAGGACATCTTGGTGCCCGTTGCCGCATGCTCAAAGACATTGTACGTGATATCATCGCGCACCTCGACGTATCGCTTGTCAATCTTGAACGACGATGAGGCTGAAGGAGCGGCGAGGGCGATGCCTGCCGAGAGCCCGGCGAGGAGCCATGTTGCAAGTGATTTGACGTTGGCCATGGCTATAATATCGTCTCTCTTATGGATCCTTTGGTTGAAGACAAACAGAGGACAAGAAAGCCAAGCAAGTGCAAACCGACTTGGCGTTCTCAATCGGGGGCGCCAAGAAGCACTCGAGCCTTTTATTAGAACAAGACCCCAGGCAGCGAGGGAAATAAGCTTCTTTTGCATATGACCAACCAGGTATTCCGAGAATAGTCGGACCACGGTAGACCGCCAAAAAAGATGCGGCGAATCCACTGACTCAAATTGGTTGCACCATCAAAGTTTCCCGCGATGTCAGGTAGGTATAGTCCTGCTTACCATTTTAGGCAGGTGGACCGATCCGCAGCGCTACCAGGGCAGGTCTGGCCCTGATTGCGCCCAGTATCAACTGCCGGTTCAGGCGAAGCGCCGCCGTGTCTAGCGGTCATGGTGTACTGCCGCCTTCCTCAAGAGAATATTAATCGATATGACTCGCATCTACGTGGTATTCTGTAGCTAGGTATTAGCTGCGGAAACTGCTTCCATTTTTACGACTCATCAATTGCACTTTCTTCATATCATCATTTGTCCAAAAAGCAGCCCGTTGATCCCTGTATCTTGTCCCCCGCAACTACTACTGTTTGTTGAGACTCTTGGCGCGACTTTCTACCTTGGGCCGTCCGCCCCCACAATTTCCAGTCACCAACTAAACCGAAAGTCAAGTCAATCAAAACGACAATGACGGCATCATAAACAGCGGTCACTATAATAATCTCTATATTCTTTGCCAAGAAACGACAGAGAATAAGAAGATGAAAAGTGATAGACCCATAAGATCCACAAGATGAAACACCCTGTTGTGTACACTACTTGGGCTTCTCAGTTGATACCTAGCTTCCAATCTGCTTGGCCTGATGACTGCCCGCACACCAAAATACAATCGATTTTTTTCACTCTTTTTTTTTTTTTTTTTTTGGGAACTGGTAATGCGAATAAAAGAAAGACCAGATTGCCATATTATGACTGTAATTGATATTCTATCCCAATATGTCGGGCTGATGGAAGTGAATGTCCTGTAGGTTTTTAAGACAGGTGAGTAACAATTTTTTCAGCATTTGTCTGGTGATTATATACTGTTGTTCAGAGGAGAAAAGACAGAAGAGCTCTCAGAAACAATAGCCGACAGGAGATCAAAGGAAATGAAAACCATAATAAAAGACAACTCACCTCCCATGTCTCCTCAAAACCACTATTCCGGACACAGGTCGGCCCAGGGGCCTTAACCGTGTCGGCCACCATATAGGCGAACTTGTTCCAAAGCCCGTCGCCATTGATCAGCAGCCAATCGTAGTCCTCGTACGCGTCGCTAATAGCCGTTGCAATACTCACGGCGCGGAATAACTTGACGGCATGCCCGTCGTCGGCAGAGAGGCGTGCAACCGGGGGAGTACGTCTGTGAACGGAATATTTTGTCAGTTTTTAGGCATTGCCAATTTCACTCTCCAGGCAAAGCCTCCAATCATGGACGGTTAGCGAGCAAGGAAAGGGCGGACTTCATTGTACTCTCTTTCTTTGCAGCATCTTCCCGCATGTGAACTCAAAAGGCCGCTCGAAGAGTCCGCATAGTCCGCTCTGGCCAGAATGGCCATATCAAGTCCCATCATACTGCAATTATGTAGATAAATACTAGTATTCCGACAAAAGTCTGTCCAAGAAAACCATTTGCCCTTTTTCATCGATATCTTGACATTGATATCACCGGTGTTGCAACGTGGGCATATTTTCGGTTCCCTGACGGAGCTTCATTTCGAGATTCAGTTCCCCTTTTCGGTATTTACGTACTCATTGTGGTTTATTGAGATCTCACAAGAGACCGACATTTTGCTTAAATACAAGCCTGCGACTTGCGTACTCAGTTCAACATGAAAGATCAACTCAACCCATACGCTAAGCTATTCAGTGAGCCCAAGGGCCCTGGCGATCAGCGGCCAACAGCGCTTGGAATTGTCAAAGATAATGACCTGCTTGGCACTTGGACTGACAAGGTCGTCCTCCTGACCGGTGGAACATCTGGCATCGGAGTCGAGACCGCCCGAGCCCTCTACGCTACCGGGGCCCACGTCTTTATCACGGCTCGTTCCATGGACAAGGCTGAGGCCACCGTGCAAGACATTACGAGCAGCATTAATGGAAGGGGATCAATAGGGGTCATCGAGATGGACATGGACTCACTGGAGTCTGTGAGAAAAGCTGCTGACGACTTTCTCAGCCGGACCACCCGACTTAATGTGCTCATCAACAACGCAGGTATCATGGCGTGTCCCAGAACGTTGACCATGGACGGATTTGAGCGCCAGTTTGCAGTAAACTATCTCGCGCACTTTGCCCTGACTATTTTGCTACTGCCCAGTCTGATGGCGTCGTCTTCAAGCACTTTCAACTCGCGAGTCGTCAACGTCTCTTCGTCCTCACATCGGTTCTCCTCGGTCGATTTCAGCGATATCAATCTGACTCATAGTTATGACCCGTACCGCGCCTACGGTCAGTCCAAGACAGCTCTGAACTGGCTGTCCAACTACATTGATCGCGCCTATGGCCCCCGCGGCGTGCACGCCCTTTGCCTCAATCCCGGTGGGATCTGGACGGGTCTACAAGGATATGCAACACCACAGCAACTAGAAGAGTGGAAGAAGGACAAGGAAACAATGAAACAGATGCAATCCCCGGCGCAAGGTGCTGCTACTACAGTGTGGGCAGCCGCTGGAAAGGTGTGGGAGGGACATGGTGGCAGATATCTGTCGAGCTGCCGGGTTGCTACCCAGTCTGAAAACGAGACCAACGCTATTGATGATGGATATGCTCCCTACAACTACGATACAGAGAGTGAAGAGAGGTTATGGAAGTTGAGCTTGGAGATGACTGGCTTGTCGGCCCCTTGATGTGCAAACTATCACGGAAACGCCAGGCTTTTGCATCATAAATGTACCAAAAAAAAACATTAGCAATTTCAAATTCAATGAATGTACATTCTTTCAAACTCGCACAACTCTGTTTAACCTCCAAATCAATATCCCATTGATTTTCGTCAGCCAGATCCTATACATATGTACATACCTAGGGCATGTATGTACTCTAATTTGCAACGCCAGGGAGGGACTAGTAGCCCTTGCAGGTGGCTAGGCCTACAAGCCATAGCTCCCGAGCCCCCTCCGTCTACCGTACTGTACTCGGTCACGCAGCATCAATCTACAGAGTACTGTTTTCTGAACCTGCAGACGCACGTACCCCAGAACCCTCGGTGATGCAATCACTTGCCTGCTTCAGGCATTTTTTTTTTCTCAATTTCCAACTCAAATCCCTTGTCGGGTTCCCTCGAATCATCCGCAATTGGGCAATCAGGTGGTAAGCGTAGCTCTGCGTCATTACGCGCAGATCCGTGACAGGCTTGGCCAAGGAGCGGACGAGGAGTGGACGAAGAGCGGACGGCGAGCGGACAATGAGTAGACTTTCAGCGGACTTCCTCGCAGCGCGGGCGGGACCAAATCAAAAGTCAGCTCCACTAGTACTTGATTTGCTGTTACAGTGAAGAGTGGGCACAGACGTGGTACATCGCTTATTATTCACTGCTTGACGTACTTGGTGTGCTTCCATGGCGTAAGAGTTGACTTCCACGAGAATTCCAATTCTGACGAGCTCATTGGCGAATAAGAACATACAGAGACAGAACTCAGATATCAAAAAGACCTTCCCAAACAGAAAATTCAGGATAATGGACGGCACCGGATCCGCGGGAAAAGCACGCTTCTCCTGTAAAATGTGCAGGCAAGTATACCACATCCTTTGTATATTCCATTCCCCCAATTCGAGGCCCGATTCTAATTTCCAAAACATCAGACGCTTGAAACGGAAATGTTTGCGGGAATTGCCATCATGCTCGCTGGTCAGTGATTCTGCGCCTATTGAAGCCATAGAGTCCGCTACAATGTCCGCTGAAATGTCCGCACCAAATGCAGTGTACACGACTTGAAAAGCAATGCGTGTATCCCTCACGAGCCCTGGGTACCAACGATGACGGAGCGGGCGACGTGCCTAGAGGACAAACGGTGCCATCCGGACAAGCCGATGTGAGCGATTCTTTCCAGTCGTTACCATCTGGGGGTTACAGGTCCGGCCTTTCCGAATTTTGCACAGCATCTCCTGATTCCGTTCCTGCCAACAAATTCCCAGTGTTGTATTTCCTGGACCCAGAGGCTTGTATCAGACCACTTCCGCCAACCAGCCGCCTCAGCTTTGACCCAAGGGTATCAGGTCCAGCAAACGTCACACCTATCCTGGAGGATGATAAGATATCGGTCTGCGAGGAATATTTTGCCCGTATTCACCCATGGTTACCAATTCTCAGCAAGAAAGTGGTCAGGCAAAATATTCAGAGACGCAATATCACCCCTCACAGCTCCAACCTTGCCCTTTTGTTTCATTGCATGAGGCTCTTGATTGAATCGCTGTATTTCAGTGACCAAGGGTTAAGTAATCCCATCTGCCCGACATACTTGTTGGTAAAGGAGAATCTTGCTCGGGCAGAGATATTATTCCTGCCGGACATGTCACTCCTCCAATCCGTAATCCTGATTGCAACTTATGAGACTCTCCACGCCATTTACCCTGCTGCATACCTGACCATTGGGCATGCAGCGCGCCTCGGTACCATGATGGGTTTTCACAATCCCAAAGAAGCACCTCAGCTTTTCAAGGACTCTGGAACATGGACGGGTCGAGAGGAAGAGCGCAGGGCATGGTGGGCAGTCATCATGCTTGACCGGCAAGTACTAAACATGATCAACGTCCTATTTATTGCGCCATAATAAGGGCAATACTAATGGTGCGCCAGTTTTGTCAATCAGGAGATGCGATCAGCAGCGCTCGCGACACCCAATCCCCACATGGGAGAGATTCTCCCGTGCACGGGAACGGTGTGGGACGAAGGATCAATTGGTAGCAACGAGTCCGTATTCTCTACCTCGCTGTCCGCCAACATTACACTGGGTTCATTCGCAAACGTGTGCCAAGCAGCCCATTTGTTAGGACGCGTTATCCATCATCGAGATGACCGTGACATGGATACCGTCTCTCGGGTAACTGAAGCCAACCAGCTACACTTGGCTTTATCGGCATTTACTCTGCATGTAACACAGCACGCAGCAGTTACACTTTCACCAGACTCGTCGATATTCACTGCACAATCGTTGGCTTTCAGCGCTCGCCTTGTGCTGTATAATATCTACGCCTGCAACGAGAGGTACGACTCTACTACACACCGGTCAGCCGATGAAGCTGAGCTGCAACGACTTGCCATACAGGGTATCCTAGAAGTTACAGAGAGCGTCTCACGGCTTGTGAGACAGATACTTGACACCACGGAAACATCACAGTCGCCACATTTTCCAAATCCATTCATCAGTCACTGCCTGTTCCAAGCCGCTGGGGAGTGCGAATGGTTCGTGCTTGAGAACCCAGAGTCAGACTCGGGACGGTGGCTTTTGGATATCGTGAGATTATTGAGTCTCATCGGGGAGCGTTGGCAGGTTGCAGGTATGTGCTGTGGAGAGGTCCTATGCGAATTGTGATGGCGGGCTCATTAACTGACAATCCAAAGGGGTTTATGTGGCACGGATACAAGAATGGCCGGGCTTCACACAGATTTCAGAATCCAGAATCAGGTTTCAATAGGGTATGCTACCTTCCTACTCGACTCTTTATCATCAATCTCATTAAGCATTCGGCAGACGTTTTCACTACATGAACAACGTTGAATGCGCGAGGGCAGATTCGCGAGTATATCAATTCGTTTTGAAGCGACATGGAAAAAGTCAAAGCGGAAGAACTTGAAGAAATATTCGCGCAGGCGGCAATAGTGCCATTTTAATACTCTGATGCAATGATTATTCCGACCGAATTACTGGTTGCCATATCTCAACAAGTGATTTTGCGAGATTCAACGGTCGACTCTAAGCTTTGACTTCCAGCTGCACTTGGAGCGTCTCTGTCCGAGTCGAGTTGAATTTCGACTTCCTGCTAATAATCAACGTCTTTCTCTATCATCTATCAAGAGGAAACCTGTGTGACTGATGTCGCTTTCTTTTCTCAGTTTGCTGTGCGACCCGACGCCGGTAGTGCCCGGCCCGCGTACTGTTCAGGACATACTCACGATTATTAGCACGGGATCTTTCATATGCTTATTCGCTTACTGCAGCAAGTGACGCGTTCTAGATGCTCAAGGTTCTGATCCACCAATAGCCATCTCGGTATCTGCCCCAGTGGTTTGCGCTATGGCCTTTCAATCACGTCTTCCAAGTTTACCCGGGTTGCTGTATGCAACCTTCCTGCCCCCCTGTTCTGAACCCCGGATCGCACAATCACAGCACACGGCTGCGAACCCTTTCCCCGCCCGGAGGACCCCTTCGCTTGGGTACGATACACTGAATTGCTACCCGTTGTTGTGCACCGCGGTGTACCCACCTAGAACTCTCGGGGGTCCGAGCAAGCTCGGTCGAAGCAACCGAACCAATGGTTGATTTTTCGACCGGGTAGCGACGAACATGTCAAACTCTTTATGCAGAGATATATATGAGCGCATGAGCACATCGGTTAATCCCAATGACTGCGCGTGCGCCAAATGCGAAGTTGGGAATTAATTGCTTGTGCAGATGGTTCGTTCCAGGACTCCCCAGTGTCCATCTTCTTGGTATATATCAACAATGTTCCATTCTTCACTGCCAAGAATTGTTTTACTCTTGAACTCTGCTTACCCTAAACAATCTGGTGACAATCATCTGTCTAAGTTCCCCTGATGGCTCCGCCAATTACCATACCTGACCCCTCCACGCTGGGCATGGTGGCGCATAACAATCAGGGGTACATTGTCATTGTCACTGTGATAGTTTGCTTCTTGATTGCAACTCCTGCAACGGTGGGCAGGATCTATACTCGCAAGTTCATTATTGGTCAATTATGGATAGATGATTACCTTACAATGTTGGCTTGGGTATGTTTTCTTGGTATCTAACCAAATTATAGCAGCGTTCACTAACTACTCTAATTATAGACCCTCATGTTCGCGCTCGGTATTACAGAGTGCGTGCAAGTGCGATACGGTGCTGGCGCCCATATATGGGACTTGCCTCAACCAGACGGGATTGTTGCGTTTAATAGGGTTCGAGTCCTCTCACAATTGAGTTTTTTTTTTTTTTTTTGGCCATTGGGTCGCTAACAGCTGCTATTCCAGGCAAATTGGGCAGGCGTTTTGCTGTACAACCTTTGCCTGTGTGCGACGAAATCCATGTTCTTTTTTCAGTATTACCGTGTCGTCAAGGATATAACAAAGCTCAAAATTATATACAGTCTTGTCGGCGTCCTCGTGATGGCATGGTCGATAGGTCAAGTCATTCTCATTCTCGTCAATTGCGTCCCTATCGCGGGCAACTGGGACCCAAACATTGATGCCAAATGCATGACTCTCCCCGAAACATATGGAATATGGATGACATCTGCCGGAAATTTGGCAACCGATGTCATCATTTTAATTCTACCGATTCCAGTCGTATGGAACTTGAATTTGAAAAAGAAACCCAAGTTGATTCTACGGGGTGTCTTTTGTCTAGGTTTCTTGTGAGTCTCTCACGACTTGGCTTCCGATTAATATCCCAGGACTGACACATGGCCAGCACCTGCTTGATATCGTCACTGCGCATGTTTGCCTTGAAGAAGACTGCAGACATGACATATGACGCAGCCTCTCTGCTGTGTTGGTCCATAGCAGAGGTCGCGTCTGGCGTCACTTGCGCGTGCATACCCACGCTGCGCCCGCTGGCTTCAAAGTACCTCTCGTCTGCCTTTGGTAGCTCTGGATCTGGGAACCGCCAGTCTTCTCGGGGCTACGAAAATTACGGGTCCAGCGAGAACCGCAAACGGAGGCGCGAGAGTCGCGGGGTATTCGTCAGCGATAACACGCTCGTTGAGGGAGACGATCAGAATTTTGAGCTCGGTGCGGGCAAGTCGGTGCCTGTCCATGTTAGACAAAAGTCGGACGTCGAAAGTCCCACAAAGTGACTTGAAAAGGAACAATCTGAAGCACCTTTGTCAATTCAATCCAAATAAATACTAGTCATTCCATACTTTGACTTGGCATGCTAAGCAAACGTTTCTCTTCTGGTCATAACGCAAGTAACTGGAAATTTGGAGGACGGCCTGTGTCGGCTTGCGTATGCCTCCATCCCAAAGGTGGTCAACTCAAAGTATCCATTTCCATTACTGCCTTTCCTTTTCCCCTTCGTGTGACTTTTGTTCCCAGCAGTACAAAATTTCTTGCATAGTACCTAGGGCAAGTGGTAATTCATATATTGAAGGTCCTGCGGCCTATATCGTAGTCATACACCGCGTCCTTTGGGTCCTGTCGATTCTGTTTGTGCCCAGCGTAAACCATCCATTAGCTGCGCGATGGGATCTTTGTTCCACATCACGACACACGTAGGCCTCTGCTCATTTACCTTCTACATATTCACGTAGTTTCGGGGACATTCATGCTGTTAATATCAACACGTAAACTAATACTCACAGATCTAGTCATACTCATACCTTTGTAAACTCATATGACAGTACAGATCAAGAGTCAGATGAAAGTCACTGTCCCAATTATGATATGAATTGCGCCTGCCACACCTTTGTTCAACACTTTCCCCAGTGAATAGAGGATTGTCGCAAGACAGTCACCGATGACCAATCCAAGTACCATGCATGTTTACACTTGCCAGCTGCAATGGCAGAATCCAGCCAGGCACAAGCAAAAGGTGCAAACGCCCGCTGCCCGTAGTATTTTTAACCAGACCACCTTCGTATAAGGGTAATTAAGTGGGTCAGAACGAGTCGCCAGTGTACAAACTGCGCGGCTGGCCAATTAGGTAAGAGGATCAAGTATACTTGAGATGAAAACGAAGCTATCCCCAAGCTTGCCAGTCAGGCTGACTGCAATCAGTAGACGGTGGTGGACAAAGCACTTATTGCAGTCAATATTGCGGCTTGCCTGACCTTTCTTCCTTTTCTTCAGCTGGTGTACATTCAAATAGTTAGTGAATCACTCAATCGATAATTCACTACCGCCGCCGCGAACATCACCATTTCCATCATCACCACCACCACCACAATGTCTGCCCCCGCCGCCAACCATATTGGCCAGCAGCAAGTGTCGCAGCCTGGTAAGTATATCTCTTTTTCTTTAATCTGCTTCATTTTCTGAAAGACATTCTCTCGTTTTCGAAAGACGTTCTCTTCCTTTCAATTTACCTTTATATGATCTTTACGTGAATATTTTCTCAAAGGATAGTCTTGCTAACCTGTCTCTGACAGCAGAACTAAGCTCTGTGCGCCGCCCGCAGCGGCTTTACCTCAAGGTCACTGTGGCCATGAGGGTCGTGGACAGGATCCTCGATAACCATCAGTACACTGGCATTAAGGAATTCCTCGGCAATGCCGAATACAAGGCGTTCCGCCACGAAGTCCGCGAAATCGTTCGCAAGGACTTGTCAGTTCGCCCTCACTATTTTTCTCCCATGGCTGCAACGATCCACTGGACATCCTGCTGATAGTTTTGGTTGACCGTAGCGACGCCAATATTGACAGTTGGCCAGTCCGCGTCATGCACAACTACGTGCCCGACGCACGTAATGCCATCCTCCAGGCAATGGAGGAGAATTGGCAGCTTTTTGCTGTCACCGAAGGCGACGAGTTCGTGCCGTCGGAACTCATTTACGAGCGGTTCTACGCCGGCCCCTTGTAGACGGCAAGAAATATTGGAGTTTTTGTTCTTGGGCTGGGGGAAGCACCCATGTGGGCAGGCTCTTGGACGACGACGATGAATAAGATGAAAAAATGAATGACAATGATAATGATAATTAGCGCCAGACACGCACATTTCTCGTCCTTCTTAATACTTTTCCCCTCTCAATTGTTTTTGGTGTGTCTTTTCTCTCCCCTTTCCTTTGCGCTTTTACCACAATTGATCTCCCTATTTTCCTCTCGCTTTTTTTTCTTCTCTGCGATATCTGACGAACCATCCGTGTTCTGCCTGCCTCGGTACTTTCCTTTCGCCTTCTTATGCCTCATTCTTCTTGAGGGTTGTACGCAAAGTCCTTGGGATGAAAGGTGTCGGTTTCAGTGAGCATGTAGGGATAATCCCCAAAGACAAAGGCTCGGAATGAATTCTTGAATCCACAGATGCAATTGTATCTTCAATGATTGCAAATGTCCAGACAGCTGCATCATGAAATCGAAAACTTACATCCGCAACTCGGCAGTTGAATCAAGTCGTGATACTAGGTAGTATAATGAGGCATATGGTGGTGGGGCAGAGCTGACCAACGGCCATGGTACATTTTCAAGCTCGGCACTCCCCCACCACTGCGATGGTTCTTCTAAGCATAAAGGGTACACACGTAGGAATCAAGCATGAACAGGATCATTTGGCGGAACCTTTGGGATTGAGACTGTATCCAAGTATTCTTCAATCAAAAGTAACGTTTTCAAGGCCGTGGTATTTTAACAAAAGAATACAAAGATACCAAATTTCTCTACAGTCTGTCATCATCAAAGGCACCTCGGCGGCCCCTTGCAGGAGCATATGAAGCTTGGGCCAAAAAGGGTCAAGCTCACCACACGCAGGCACTAGCGAAAAACCCTGCGGGCTGCGCCAAATGCCAACGGCGGCGGCCAAGCTTGGGAAGACTTGAGATCTGTCCAGTGACTTTTTTGGATTCGGGTTCACTCTGTCTGTCTGTCTGCTCACATTTGTTCTCGCGGATCACCATAATCTCCACAAGGTCATTCAATTCTCATATTTGGACTACCCAACATGTCTGATTCGGCAAACTGGAGAGTTAGGGCCCCTGTGGACCCCGACGCCCAGCCCCGGCGCAACAACTACAACAACCGTGAGAACCGTGATGGACAACGCCCTCAGCGGAACCCTAATGTCTCCCAAGCTGAGCGCAGCCGACCCGATGACCTAAAGGTTCACCGGCCACAGCGCCAGCAGGAGGACTCCCCAGAGACGGCCGCTGCCATTACTGAGGGCCGCCGAATCTATCTCGGCAACCTGCTCTACAGCACTACTCCTGATGATATTGAGCTTTTCCTCACAAACAATGGCTTCCCCAAGTTCGAAAAGGTCCACATCTCCATCGACCCCTTCACCGGTCGCAACCCTGGCTACTGCTTCATCGAGTTTGCTGAAAAGGAGACTGCTGATTCGGCCATGGAGAAGCTCGAGGGTCTGCCCTTGTTTGACCGTGCCGTCAAGTGCCGTCCCTGCCAGCCAAAGGGCAACGTCCGCCGTGCTGCTCAGTGGCCCCGTGAAGAGGGAAACAGCTCAAGCTACAACCGCTGGGGCACTTGGGACAAGTCGGGCTCAGCAGGCGCCTCGGCTGGCAGACTCTCGGGACTGAATGGCCCCAACGACACCATGAAGCACTACCAGGTTTCCAAGGCCCAGGAGGAGGGTCGTCAGCTCTACGTTGGTGGTCTGCCTCGAATGCTGGACCAAGCAGAGAACGAGGTGGAAATCAGGGATATCTTCAAGGACTTTGAAGTGTATGTATCAATTCACAGCCGCGCACCAAATAGTTTGGTCTCACTAACTCGAGTAATAGCGACGGAGTCAGCAAGAGAGTGAGCCCTCGCGAGGAGGGTGAGGGCCGACGCAACTTTTGCTTTGTCGACTTTAGCACTGCTGAGCAGGCACAGGCAGCCAAGCAGGCCATCCATGGCATGTCTTACAGAGATGCTCCTCTCAAGGTTTCGGAGGCAACCCCAAGAGTGGAGAGATATCCTAGACGAGATGACTGGTCGCGAAGGGAAGAGAGATCAACAAATCGCGATATTCGTTTTGAGTAAACAGCTGGACAGGCTCTGAGGGTGCCAGGGATTGAGCATTGAATTCTTGGCATCGATAGGCATACTTGGTAGTATTAAATCCCAAGATGACAACACTTATTCCATGGGATTGGAGTTGCGACTTGCGTTGGCGCAGTCCTCACACCACCCAAAATAAATGACAGCGTTCTTTATGGCTAAAATGAATCATTTCCACCATGCAAACAACTGAATTTGGATACCAAGGAGAGAGTTCATGGACACTGGTCTGCTCTCAGTTGCAAAAGAGTGAATCCATATCAGCCCGATGCTAGAGCTCGACCAACAAGAAGTCCTCCTGGTTGAGCAACATCTGGTTGCTCCGTCGCAATTCCACCCAAGGCCGCAAGTGCTTGGTTGCCGTGGGCATCACCACCACTAGCATTGTAGTCACAACCTCGCGTTTGTCCCGACGCGTTCAAAAATCCGGCCTGAACGACGCTCGATTTCCTCCACCACACTGAATGGTAGGTTTATTTAACAGACGACTGACTCCTGATTGTTCACCTCGAGACGCTCTTCCATCCAACCCATTCAAATCATTCTGCGACGCCGCTTCCATCGGTGCGCTGCGTACCAGCCATCACGTTCAATCTCAACGCCAATACCAATACGTCTCGCAAGTCTAGTAAGTCAACTTACATTTTTTAGGGTGTCTATCTATCCCATTCCTTTCTTTTCACACCCAGATGCGGCTTTGCACGGCGTGACATCCCTCCATACACAACGCCTTTATTTGTCGCAGCTCCTACTTTCACACCCACATCTCCCAGCTCTCAGGTCCTGGCTCTTCTCCCCCCATCCCACCCATCTATCAGTTGATCTTGCCTCAAGTCATTCTGCATCATCCCATATTCATCTTTCCTCCATCGCATCTCGCATTCTCCTGGTGGCTTATTGTTTACTTAAACTTTCCACCCTACCTTGGGTTCGACATACAATTGGCGCTCCCAGGCGGCGCCTCTTTGTTATACTTCATCTTTTACAACCGCTTTGGCAAAACCTAAACCACTCGGTACACCTTCTGCCTTCCCCTTCTTGAAGTTTTTCTTTTCTTTCAGCTGTACCAACTCTACGGGCACCCTTCTTGCGCGTTGCTCTAATCCCACCCAACAGCGATATTTGAACCAGACCTGGCTACAAGCACCTTAAGCACACAGGTGTGGCAAAAGTTCCTCGGCAACACTCAATAAAACCTTGTATCGGACGCAAAACACTTTTTCAACGTCTACAAGAAATCTCGGAGAAAGGTCATCTATCCTCCAAGGTAGCAGGCAAAGTGGCTGCCTTCCAAGTTCAAACACTATTTATACCCGAGCACCCTCAAGGTCAGTTTGGAAGTTTTTCTCTCTCAATTTTTCTTCCATCCTTACCGCACCCTTTATAATTTGAAGTCGTCTTTCTATTTCTCCTTTTCTTCTTCAATATCATCCCGAAAAAATAGATAGAAGACTAATCAAAACACTATATAGATAGATATCTTCCATCACCTTTTCGATTCCTTGGCTTCTTTCCAGTTGATCCAGTATGCCTGGACAACCACTTTCAAACAAATCGTCCGAGAACCACTCCAAGGACTACTTCTCTCTCTTGGGGGGCCATCAGCATCCCTCCGCCAGGCAGTCTGGCTCACGTGCTTCTATAGGATTCCTAATCAACGGATCCATCCAGCCTTACAACAACGAGCCGAGGAGCGATCCATCGCCTGTCATGGTCAGTCAGAATGACAGACAGACTACCATGCACATTCCTAGCCGCCCCTCCTCCCAGCTGCCGGATCGCTCAATTGCTAGACTTGCCGGTCTCAACGGGGTCAATCAGATCGATTCTGCTTCGCAGCCCAAGAGTTGTTCGACTCGTCTAACCTCGTCTGGGAAGTTCCCTCCTATAAACACGCACCGGGCCACCATGTCTTTTTCCTCGTTGGCGGAATCCAACGATGAAAATATGTGGGACCGGGGACATCGCCGTGAGCATAGTCATTCGACCTATGTCACCAGTGTCTTGTCACGAAGAGGGTCTGGAAGTCAAGACCATGAAAATGCTCCAGTCGGCCACAGCCATCAAGAAGGGCTTGTCCATGCTCCCAGTCATGAACTTCCTGGGCTTTATCCTGACCGCAACACTGGCCGCCTTCGACTGACAGAAGTCGAGGAACAGTTTCGTGGGCTGCAAATAAAAAGTCCAGCAGATCCATCGAGCAATTGTCGGCGTTTCGTAATACCAAATCCTGGCTTTCCCGGCTCGAACAAGACTTCCTCTCTGAGGCCACTTGCGGTGGATTTCATCCCGATGAGCCGTCCTCCAGCCATGAAGCTCGCGCAAGGATCGTCTTCGGCCAGCCACTTCCAGCCCCCTGCTGAGATGAATCGCCCGACCTTCTACAACTCGACCAACTACAAGGGCAATCCAAGGCTGCCAGGTAACCAGTCGGCAGACATCCCGGAAGCAAAGTCTTGTGCTCTGTGGATTACAAATCTCAATCTGCAGCCCGAGCTTGAATACAAGCAGCTTCTCAGTGCCATTCACGATTGCGGCAAAGTTTATGCCTGCTACGTAAATCCTCCCGATCCCCAGTCAGGCCATTCCAGCTATGCCGCAAAGCTGGTCTTCTTCGATGCGCGCGGTGCCAGGGAGCTCCACTCCCGCGCAGCCAGGGGCGAGTTCGTGGTCAACGAATATGTTCCCGTGGTCCGTTACAACCGCATCCGCACCGCAAGCCAGCCTCAAGGTCCGGAGTGCCGTGTGCTTCACATCGAGGGTCCATCCGATATCATCTCGCAAAAGGATCTGGACTGGCTCTTTACGGGAAATTTTCAATTCGAGGTTGAGAACGTCAGAGTCTTGAACGAGGAGCATGGCCGCCGACGACTGGAGTGGCGCTTTGGTTCCTACCGCTGTCAGGCCGCATCGGCCAAGAAGCTTATTGAGGAGCGCCGTCGTTCAGCGCGATTGGACCCGGAGTCGCCTCTGGGCAACTGGGCACAGGTCTATGTGTACTACGGCGTCGATCCTTGCGCCCCAGACATGAGGTCCGACAAGCCGTCCCTCTCCTTCGACTAAGGAGGGATCTTTGGCATGGTATCTTCGGGAGCACTTTTTTGGAGTCGACGAGAAAGTATTCTGCATTTGTTCATTTTGTTGATTTGGTTCTTCTCTGTTACTATTTTGCTTTTGGTTGTGAGTCCCCCAATCATTTGCTTCATACATTCATGGTTTGGGTTTACTGACTTCACACTAGAATGGTCGTTATTGTACATGCTTTGAGTCCTTCATCAAAGGATTAGTATATTTATTGGTCTCCAGTCTGTATAAGCGAGTACCATAAAGGGATCATCAAGAAGGGAAGGGATGAAGCGCTCCTGAGAATGGTGTATGGTTTGAGAATTTGGTCCAGGGTGATTGTAATATCGCCACTGAGATGCCGCAGATATGTCGCAGAGATGTAACGGCATATTTCGAGGGATGAGGTGACAGGGTAGCATCAAGAACACGGCGTTTGGCAGGTATTTGTACATTGCTTTTATAGCAAATTGATTTTGATTTAGGAACACATGTCACCAGAGATCAGTGAAATGTGCAAAGCAGAAGTAGGCCCTGTTAGGGTGTACGCAAACTCGATATGATCGACGTGATTGTGAATTGGTGAATGTGTCATAGAATATTAGAGGTATGAAAGAGTCACGTTGTAGCAAGAGCTATTGACCTGACGAATACAGTGTAATAAATGTCTGGCAATAATAGTGGTTGGGGAGTACTTGGGCAATATTAAAGAGATACAAATAACATCAATTAACATGGTCTCTTGGCATGACCGGCACCGTCCAAACCAGTAGCTACCACGCCTTGCTTTGGGATCACCATGCCAATCCCCCTCCATAACATCTCTGCGCGGAAGGTTCCTAGCATCTTCCGATGCTTAGACACCAAATGTACCATAATTGTTTGCACCTTGGAGCAACCCGCGTATGAAATTCTCACGTCGCCTTCGCTTTCGAGTATCTTGGTGCATAAATCGCATCGACAAATTGGGCAATGCCATTTTTTGCCATTCGTAAGTGTGTCTCTGTTTGGTGGATACTCGCTTGGTAAGTCAAGTGGACAATGTTAAGCGATTTTTTTTTTTGGGATTGTTTTCAAGCAAGAATTCCTTCGAAATAAATACAATAAAGAGAATGAAGATTGTCAAGTTCTTCAATGGATGACAGAGAGACAGAGAGAGGGAGGGAGAAACAAGTTCTGGGCAAAGTCCACCCATGCCACATTGTTCTTTTCATCGGGACTTATATCACACACATGCAGACAGGATATCATGAGATGAAAGCCCAGCCGAGTCGATATGGAGTTATGAACATCTGAAACCTGTACTACAAATAGTCTGGTGACTCTGGTCGTCATGATCGAACCTTGACAAAAAAAAAAAAAAAAAAAAAAAAAAAGGGACCGCTGGAGTACATGCACACCTCCTCGACGCTTACATAGATTTGGATTTCATTTATTTTCTCAAAAGAAATATGTCTGTCAAAATTGATATGCCACAATTTGGTTGCAACTGCCGTGTATACTCTAGGGTCTGGATGCTCTGGCGGCACTGCCTGGGATGACAGAAGGTTAATGTATAGATAGTGGGTCCCTTATCGATTGGCCCGCTCAGTGCCCATGTACGTACACTTACAGCTTAGCGCACAGGCCAACGAACCAGCTGTAGGCAGCCTGAGCTTTCGTCGCCTTACTGGGGGGCCAATCCACCGGTGGCAGCTCCATCATCACCCGTCACAAGCTCAACGTCAATACCAACCCAAACATTCACTTTCCCAAGCTCTTACCAACAGTCGCCCTTTTCAGCCTCGGACATTGAAACTCTCTGGGGACGTCATTGAACATCAAAGCGATCAGTACCGTCGACATTAATCACATCATCCACCATGGCGGACGCAGCTTTGAAGCCCGAGAAGGACTTCTCCAAAGAGGCTGACAAACAGATCCCCGAGGCTGAGAAGCTGGCCAAGGTATGCTTCCCATTGCAGCCTACCGCTGTCGCCATAATCGAAACAGTACTGACCCTAGTTTCAGAATGACCTCAACGCCGCTGTTGAGAAACTCACAGTACTGGAGAAGCAGACCCGACAGGTAAGCGCCAGCTCGCCCTGACTCCGCCACTGCCCGTCCAGGAGACTGATTCTCATCTTTACAGGCATCGGATCTCGCATCGACATCTCGAGTACTCATCGCAATATGCACACTATGCAAGGATGCCGGGAACTGGAGTCTGCTGAACGATCAAATCCTGATCCTCTCAAAGAAGCACAGTCAGCTCAAGCAAGCAGTCACCAAAATGGTCCAGACCGTCATGACCTTCCTTGACGACACCCCCAACCTCGAGATCAAGCTTTCCGTTATCGAGACCCTAAGAACAGTTACTGAAGGCAAGATCTTTGTCGAGGTGGAGCGCGCTCGCGTGACCAAGATTCTCTCCGATATCAAGAAGCAACAAGGCGATCTCAAGGCCGCCGCAGACATTCTCTGCGAACTTCAGGTCGAGACCTTTGGATCAATGGACAGACGAGAGAAGACTGAATTCATCCTCGCACAAGTGGCTCTCTGCATCGAGAACGACGACTGGACGCAGGCTGGCATTCTCAGCCGCAAGATCAGCACCAGATTCCTCGCCAGAAAACCCAAGAAGACCCCGGAGCAACTGGAGAAGGAGAAGAAGGCACGAGAGGAGAAGCTGAAGCGTGGTGAGGAGGTGCCTGAAGAGAAGGAGGATGACACGACCGATCTCAAGCTTCGCTACTACGAACAGCAAATCATCCTGGCCAAGCACGACGGCAAGTATCTCGACGTTTGCAAGCACTACAGACAGGTCTTGGACACTGAGGCGGTAGAGGAGGACCCCAAGAAGCTACTTCCTGTAAGTCTGACATTGCGCGCTCTACCAAGAACTCCAATTGACATTGCATCGCAGACCCTCCAAAGAATCATCTACTTTGTTATCCTCGCTCCTCACGATAATGAGCAGCACGATCTGTTGCAACGTATCTGCCGCGACCCCCGCAACGAGAAGATTGACGACGACAACAAGCTATTGAAGCACTTTACTGTACACGAGCTTATGCGCTGGCCCGAAATTGCCAAGCTCTACGGCCCTCACTTGTGCTCAACCGACATCTTTGACAACAAGCCGGGTTCAGGCAATGATAAGGCACACGAGCGATGGCAAGATTTGCGAAAGCGCGTCATTGAGCACAATGTCCGGGTCATTGCCAAGTACTATACCCGCATCGGTATGAAGCGCCTTACACAACTGCTGGATTTGACGGCAGAGGAGACGGAGAAGTACATCTCTGAGCTCGTCTGCTCAAAGACCATTTACGCACGTATCGACCGACCGGCTCAATTGGTCACTTTTGCCAAGCCCCGCGATGTGGATGACGTCTTGAATGAATGGAGCCACAATATGAAGGACCTGCTCGGACTTTTGGAGCGTGTTGATCATCTCATTACAAAGGAGGAGATGATGGCGCGGATCCAGCCCGGCGCCCAAGGCAAGGGTAGCAAAGACAAGAAGAGCAAGAAGATCAAGGCATAATTCAGGCTGCTTGTCACCCAGCGACCCAGGCATTAGGGAGTAATCACGAATGGGAAATGGGTATAATGATGGCGATTTGCAAGTCTGCTCATTGATTGCAGCGTGTATATTACCAGTAGATCATGGGACAAACACCCATGCCATAGAACTGGATTGCATCATCGTGAACCCTACGTTTTTCCAAGTGTTTCCACCGCAGATGACTTGAAAATCTGAAGCTCTTCCTCGGCGAGTATCCTGCGAAACCTACTGTAGTTTCAACGTGGAATTGTATCAATGTTCTGATTCATGGTTGTATTGATAATCAATCCACCTCCGGCGCCGATGACTGGTGGAGCCGGTATTCAAGACCTTTACGAATCGGGCTCGCCGGGGAAATCGCCTCACGGCCGAATCTGGGGCTGTTTGGAACAGAATAATCCAACATTACTCATCTCACATGATTACAATTTCTCCTTCTTCATGTTACTCTTTCAAAGCACATTTCGTCGCTCATTTTCATCGTCCCATTCACTTATTCGCTTCAGATTCCCTTCAGCGCTGAATTACTGCACTAGCCAGATGTCGGCCCCTGTTCAGAATGGCAGCGCGAAAGGCGCAGCCAAGCCAACGGACAAGAAGGAACTCAAGATCTTGATGCTTCACGGTAAGATAAGTACTCAACGCAAAACTCAGGGATGATATAACTGCACGTGACATTTCACATTTCAAGTTTATCATTACTTGCGCAGTCTTTTATCGTAATCATTTAATCCTCTCGTTCCAACACTAGGCCCCATCTCGCGAACTGATTACCAAGCTGCTACGAAATAGAATGGTACACTCTTGAATTGCTAACTCTCATGTGCTAGGTTACACACAATCTGGCCCCCTGTTCCGCAACAAGACGGGAGCCCTAAACAAACTTCTGACCAAGGCGCTGGGCCCGGGTTCTCTCAACTTGCAGCCTAAACTCATCTACCCCACGGGCCCGCATCGCCTCAAGCCGTCTGATATCCCGGGCTACCAGCCGCCCGAGGGCAAGTCCCTCGAGGACATGGACGAGGAGCAGACGGACAACTGGGGCTGGTTCCGCCGCGATGAGGCCACGGGGTCGTACCGCGGGTTCGACGACGGCATGCACCGCGTCGCCGAGACCATCAAGGAAAATGGCGGCGTCGACGGCGTCATTGGTTTCTCCCAGGGCGGCGCCATGGCCGCGCTCGTGGCCGCGGCCCTCGAGGCAGAGGCGCGACCTATTCCGCAGGCTCTGGCGGCCGAGGACTCGTGGGCCACCAAACTGCGCGAGGCCAACGGCGGCCAGGCTCTGCGTTTTGCCGTTGTCTACTCGGGCTTTGTGGCCCGTGACGAGGACCTCGAGTGGATGTACGAGGGTGGCGGATCCGGTGCCGAGGCTGGCATTCAGACCCCCACGCTGCACTTTATCGGCGGCCTCGACACCGTAGTGGACGAGGACCGGAGCCGTGGTCTTGCCGAAAAGTGTCGGCAAGATCGGACAAGAGTCATTGTGCATCCCGGCGGTCACTACGTGCCTGTCTCCAAAGAGTGGACGGCGGCGCTGGTCATGTGGCTGCGAGAGGTTCTTCAGGAGCAGACCAAGAGCACTACTGATACGGAGAAGTTGTAGAATAGGCAGATCATGAATGGTGCCAAAAGGCATGTCTTGGACTGTCACGAAGATTCTTGATAGCTAGATTACCATCGCGCGCTGCAGAGTCGTTGCCTACGGAAAGAGCTGCCAGGTCACAATATGACATATAGATATAGACGTTAGTAGACTCGATAGGCATTTACCTCGAGGAATCAACCAAGCCGATTCTCAAGAACGTCATGCCAGCATTACACCAATATATCATTGCCTCGATAGATTTTGTGAACCTAAATTAGTTTCACCCATTGGTTGGTTTTGTAATCGTCGTTCCTAGGCTGACTTGATCTAAGTCATAGTGACCTGAAAGACATGAAAGCCGTATCCTGGAAAAGCATTTCGTGTCCGGCAGTCCGAGTCAATTAGAGAGAAAGGCCCGATGGAAGAGTATTCATTCATAGCCCATGCGCACGTCAAGTCATCAGATCGCCCAACGAGCGGTCGGCTATAGAGCCTGCAGGTTGGCTGAACGAGGTAGTATGTCGAGTATGCTTGCAATCCTCAATTCAATAGACTGCCTCTATGGTACAGATCGGCCTCGGTATGGCGTCGGGATCTCATCTCTCTATGATGCATGCTCTTGTCGCAAATGCCTTCTCATCGTCCAGCACAATCCCCCATCGTGGTTTTTTGTCTTCCCAAGAGAGATATTTAGTGAGCAGCCTTGCCGGCGTTGGGGTTGCGGGGGTCGTTCTTCCACTCGTCGCCTGGTGATCTCCTGGTTAGTAGACGCAATTGGTTTCGTGGTGCGACGGAACAGTTCATACTCTTCATCATGGCGTTCTGGGCGCTGTTAACTCCGTACAGGATGACGAGGCCTATATTGTTGGTTAGTTTCGTTTATCCTCCAAACCAATTGATCCACCAGATCAGATCCGCGAGAATATCGTCGTACCGGCAGCGAAGAAAGGAGCCAGAGGCTTCACTATATTCGAGGTTAGTAATTGCGCAAGGAACAGTGACTGCCGGAGCAACAGGCAAAGACAATTGACATACGGACTGGCGTCGGGAACTTCTTGAGGGGGGTGACACCGAACCAAGACATGATGACGGGCGGGATAGATACTCGGGGGTGAGTCGGAGATGTGATGTGAGTGGTTCGAATTGAAGGTTGTTCGATTCGGAAGATGCAGAAAAGCCGCGATTGATGCGTTGAGTCCAAAGCTCTGCTTAGCGCTAGCGAGGCTGGACCCGGAATTAATCTGGATGCCTTGAAATCGAGGCGCTACTCAGATAGCCGAAGAGAACCCGCTAATGCCGTAGAATCCAGTTAGATGGGTAAACCTCAATAAGTGCAACTCCTCGCGTCCATGACATCACGCATTCCACCGGCTCAAGTTCTCCATAAAAATAACATGGACAGGCACAACACAGCTGCTGGAGCTGCTGGACCGGGCCCCCCTTCGCCCCAGACGGGTAAACTTCCAGGTGCTGAATGCGGAGAGAGCTACGGCTTAGTGAACTCGTTATACCCATTCCCTGAGCTGCCAATTGCCAATCCAATCCACAAAGCTCAAGGTCCAGCCCCAAAAGTGCGGGGGACAAGCATCCATACGACCAGATCAACCATTGATAAACATCATTTCCCCTTTTCGTTTGCTTTCAATATTTGCGAATTTTTTGTATGGTCGTATTTGTAACTGCATAAGGTATCCTGTCGTTCGATCCAGAGTCCACCAGTCTGCAAGTTGGCGGGACTAAACTCACTAAACGTACCATTATACGTTGACCCGAAACGGGAAACACCACTACTTGTACCTACATTCGCGTCCGCTGAGACAAACGCAGCGAGCTTCTTCCTTCTCTCCGCACCTCCCAAAAACACCAAATTCACACATCCCAAGGTCCTCGGAGCTGGGACTTTGCAGACAACGCGGTCAAGCTTCTGAATCTATTTCATTCCGCTGATTGAGTATTTGAAGCTGTCTGTCTCTACTACAACCCATCTTCACCCATTACGTCACTGTAACCAACAACAGTCACAATGTTGACTCGAAGCTTTGCCCGCGCGGCTGTCGCTGCACCACGCTCCCTACGAGCTTTCAGCGTCTCTGCTGCTCAGCATAAGGTTCCTTCCATGTCAGATATTACCCTCGACCAGGTCGAGTCGTTCAATGCCAAGCAGAAGGTTTTCCGCGAGAAGCTGGTCAAGATGGAGCAGGAAAAGGAAGAGAGTACGTTCAATTTATCTTCTGACTCATCATCAGCTCAATATGAGGGGGACGCTGAGCAAGGCGCCCTCCTTCAAACGTCTCAAGGTCTTGGCTCATTAAGCATTGCACCCACAGGACGTCAAGCCGAAGCCCGCGAGAAAGCCGCCCAGAAAGAACCCCATCGACCCGAGGGCATGCTCACAAACCTGATCTACGGCACCAAGGAGGGTCGCGAGCTCGACGCCCAGCTCGAAGCTTCCTTCTCGGCTGTCCTTGCGAGAGGCAAATATGTCCACTCCATCGTCTTTCACGAAGTCGAGCCCGACAAGGTGGATGAGTATGTCGAGCTCGTTGGGAAGTGGTACCCGCGCATGGCATCTATCGAGGAGAATAAGGTCCACCTCGTGGGCAGCTGGCGCACCGACGTTGGCGACTGCGATACCTTTGTTCACATTTGGGAGTACCAGCGATACCAGGGCTACCACCAGTCCCTGCATTCCATCTCGAGACACCCCGACTTTCCCGAGTTTGACAGAAAGCTCAGGAAGTTGATCAAGAGCAAGAAAACCTCCATCATGCAGGAATTCAGCTTCTGGCCCACTACCTCGCCCCGCCAGCTTGGTGGCGTTTTTGAGCTCAGGTCGTACACTCTACACCCGGGTAACCTGCTGGACTGGGAGACGCACTGGCGCAAGGGCTTGAAGGCCCGTAGAGAAGTCATGGAAGGTGTTGGAGCTTGGTTCGTACAGATTGGCGATCTCAACACTGTTCACCACCTGTGGCAATTCGCCAACCTTGAGGAACGTAAGAGACGTCGCGAGCAGAGCTGGGGACAAGAGGGTTGGGCCGACACGGTCCACAAGACTGTGCCTCTTATTCAGGGCATGAAGTCGAGAATCTTGACCCCCATGCCATGGTCTCCCGTGGCATAAACATGGTCTTGCAATCCCATGGAAACGGACTCGTTACGCAAATTTAGGCTGGCATGGAATCAGTCAATCAGGGTTCATGTGAAGTGTAACAACCACAGTACTATTGTTCATTCGGAAGAGAAACAAGTTGGGGCGAATAGTGTCACTGCTTTGTACTAGGATTGAGGTATTTCGACCGGAAAGGTATCATCACCTAAAGGCGGTTTGCATCCGCCTCGTTTTACGGGGAAAAAATAATTGCTTTGTCACGTCACAAGGATCCGCATGTGAACCGCCGTGAAAATGATTTGGATGATTCTTTGACCAAAAGTGATATTATTTTTTCAACTTAAACAAGGTGAACATTCTCTAATACTCATGAGCCATGCCAATATCTCGTCTCCCACGTCATTTTCGAAACCATGCCTTGGGTGGGCAGCATATACAGGCTGCTGCAATCTCTCCACTCCAAGAATGAAGCCTTTGCCGCCCTGGTTCTTGAGATACACCAACCTGTACGCCGGAAGCAATCCTCCGCGACTGCTCTGAAATTATTTCACTATATCCTTGCAGTGACATTTGCTCGTCCCCAATGCGTATTGCAGCTTCAATAAGAGCACTCTAGGCCCCGATATCTATGTCCTCGCCCATGACGACGGCCAAATTCATCCTCGCAAGTGTCAAAGTGTGGCTCAGGGCACTAAGCTTGGAGCTGAGACTCATGAGGCTCGGGTCTGCACTCTCAACTCTGACTTTTTCTCGCACAAAGACCTGTGTCTCGGTGCCTCGACCTTTGCCCATGCCGCCACCGTGGCCACCGCTTCGGGTGCGGTGGAGATTGCCTCGAATCGAGCCTGATGCCGTGATGGGCGACTGCTCATCCGCACCCTCGGGACAAAAGGCAAAGACTCGGTCTGCCTCGTCGTGCTCCAAGCGCCGGGCTGTGCCGATTGCCAGTGCAAACTTGGTGCCAAACGCCACGGGGGCATCCGCAGGCTCTAGCGCTCGTAGAAACAGAACAAGCGAGGCATCTTGCAGAGTCAGGTAAAAGCTGAGATTGGCGGGTAGTGGAGGGTTGAAGCACGACGGTGGGACGGACGAGCTGGTCCATGCCGTATCCTGTATAGTATTCGTTGGCTGATCAGTCAACTGAGGACCCTTCAGCAGAGCTTGCGATTCGGCAAGGTATTCGGCCAGCAGACGGAGCTGCGAGGACAAGAATTTCGGATCGCTAGCATCACCACGGTTTCCACCCGCCTTGTCTCGCGAGGACTCTGTTACAATAAAGGACAAGATATCCACCGACTGGGTCAGCAGCGTGTTGAGCGTCGTGAGCTCAGGTATATGGATCGGGCTGGCCGGGTCGAGCATCAAGGTCTGCTGCGGTATGGTCTTTAGGCGCAGCTGGATGCTGCCCTTGACGAGGCGAGTGCCCACCCGCGTGACATGACCCTTGATGGCTTCGTGCCGCGGTGTGCTGACCACGAGGGTGCTACCGGGGTCGATTGGCGCCAGAAGAGCATAAGTCTCCTCGAGGGACGACTTGAGCATCTTTAGGGTAGACTGGAGTTCTGATAGAAGCCATGTAAGCTCGCGCGCCTGGACAGACGGGATTAGTCGGGTGGCTTGTCTGGGATAGATGGGAACGAGGAGCCAGTCGTCTTCTTCTCCTTCATGTTGCCATGAATCTTTCAGACAGGAGGAGGCTGGTGGAAGTGACAGAGATTGTGCCATGTTTACTTTGCGACTCAAGACAACTCGTATATCCCATGAGCTGAGCATCGACCTACAAGAGTGGCATCCTCCTCGATTTTAAGCTGCGCCGGCGCAACTGGAGGCCAGATCTCGACAGACATGGCGATGCTATGTTGGTATGCCTACTTTGCAAGATTAATAGTTCTGCCTAACGAGGCACCGGGATATTATGAGCTCATAGCTTCTGCTGATAAATGTGTGCAAACATGGAAAGAATGGATGTTGCTTCGTGTAAAGCCACGGGGCAGAACAAAGCTGGCTGGCGTCGTCACTTGGTGGGGAGCTCAGCGAGAGCTTCAGGCAGCCGATAGAGGGTTATCCGCTAAGCTTTTAGTGTTGCCAGTGCCCCTGGTTAGCGGAATGGTCCCCGCTGTTACCCCACGTCACTTTTTCTGAGATTTTGGTGGTCGCATCGCATTGAACGTTTGGCCATTGAGGTTTTGATGAACAAGTTGAAATACAATCACCACTTTCGAGGCAGACCGGGCTCTGAGCATATATCCGATCGTGTTGCAAATACTTCCTTACCCTAGGCATCAATCAATGAGCAAATGCTAAAACTTTTCTCCTGACAAACCCGTCATAATCAAGCTCGGCAACGCAAAGACACGAGATTCTCACAATCATGGCATCGTCCAAAGCGCATCCAGCACAAACCAAACAGCACATTAAGAAGCTACCGCCGATACCAAAAGGTGTGTATACTACTAGAATCATTTCCAATTCATCTCACGTTGTGTCCCAGGCCAAACTGTTCAACGTGGCGCCTTGCCTCGTCGCGACCCTTCGACGCACGCTGCGCACCTCATCTACGTCAACTCACGCTCGCCTTTCCGCTCCGTCACCACGAGGGTACGCAAACAGCTCAACAAGTCACTGCGAACAGCATCCACACACACACCACAGTCCCTGACCAATACCGTCGCAGGTAAAGGTCATCTCGGCCCGCTGTCGAGCCGGATACAAGCGTTGCACAAGGGACCCGAGGACGGTATTGCCCTGGATCAAGCACGTCAGGTCGTTGTGATTGGCACCGGAAAGGCCATAGAAAAGGTGGTGAATGTTGCCGCCTTCTTCCAGGGCCAAGGAGATGTCGAGGTCAGGCTACAGACTGGCAGTCTAGGCGCCGTGGACGACGTGGTCCCCGAGGAGGAAGAGGAGAATGGACTCGGGGCTGGCGTAGGAGAGAGGGAGCGTATGGTCAGCTGTCTAAGAGCGGTGATCAAGTTGAGGTGAACATATCGAGGTGTTTAAAGTGCACTCCGAGGAAGAGATGTTTGTCATACGGTATGACATGATAGGTTTGGCGTTTGGTCTACGTGATACCCAGGTTTTGGTTTTGCAAAAAGCATATGGAAAATATACGGTTTGCTCACTTTGATTTTTCGACTTGCCGAGAAGCATCAGTCTCCCCATCGATATTTGTGAACTAGGTGGACTCCAACGGGAATACAAAATCCAGAGACTTGCACTTTGCTGCATGGTACATTATCAGTCAAGTCTGCGCTTCTTCGTTTCAATTACAGTCTATCTGTAAGCCGTGAATGAGCAGGCCAAGTATCACGTATAGACTGGCTCATGGCATGTTGCTGTACAAAGAGCGAGACCCGGATAATGCCGAAATCGTATAACTTGCATGTCAGATTATAGTCTCCATCTGAATGTTTGGAGATTTTCAGATACTGGTACTAAAAGCTCTAACGCAATTGCTCTTCACCAGTACTTCATCAACCAAAAGATACACACTCGCATCATGGAAATCGTCAACCTCAGTGGTATCGGTCTTTCCCAAGATGACTGTCGCAAAGCTGCCCCCTGGATGGCAGAAGCCTTTGCCCGAGCTCGTGAGCCAATGTATCTCTATGCCCGTCAAGGACGCAATTTCGACTAATTCTGCTCGGTACAGCCGCCACACCAGCTTTAACCATATTCTTTGGCGCAGCTCCCTACGAGTCCAATGTGGAGATGCACGAGAGGTTCTGGTCCTCCCACTTGAACCGTGTTGCCAAGTCGGGTTCCCTGATTGGAGCTCGGGAGAATGGCGAGTGGCTTGGCTTTCGTGCCTTTTTTGAGCCTGGGAAATCACGTTTGCCTTATGTGACAGACTTTGTAGACTTTCTCTCATGCACGACACGCAAAGGAATCCAACGGCTAATGACTAAGACAGAGGCTGCCCGAAAACGAGGACTGGGATCGCTTCCTCGAATTGACAGGCGAGGCAGACTACATGGCACGGGTCAGGGAATGGGGAGAAAAGACCAGTCACACTAATGATGAATTTGGCTTGACGCCTGGTGACTATTACACAACTTCCATCATTGTAGTAAAGTACGTGTTGTGATGTGGATTTCATGGTCATATCTGCTAAACCAACAACAGCCCAGCGCGTCAGAGGGAAGGGATCGGTCGAGCTTTGGATAACTACACGCAGAAAGTTGTGAGTGATCATAAACACAGGATTACATATGCCAGGCGGTTTTCATTTTCTTGCTCACTAACATGTATCTGAAGGCTCGCGAAGCAAAAAGGCCACTCCATGTCCGCATACATGAGTACATTGTGGGCAAACACCATGGCCTTCTCCATTGTCCAATAATGCTGACTCTCGCATGTACAGCTGCCATTCTATCTCGCACAAGGATATACTTTGACTGCGACGCCTTCATATTCTCTTGGAACCTCGGGTGACTTCAAGGTACATTTCTTGATGTGTCACTTTGGTGTTTAGGGAATGAAGGACACCCAGGGACTTGAGTTACAAGACCATCGGCCAGCATTCACTAAAGTCCAACGTGCATCTAGGCGCCCATCTATTTCTAGGACACTTGGATAGCATGGCTCTGGACATAGATGCTGGCATGTTTGCAAGTGCCAAGTGGTTATAAACCATGCCTATCGCCCCGTGTCCACCAATCAATCTACAGCCTCTTTCAAATTGGTGAGAAGCATATATCCGTACGCTCTAGTCATTGCAAAAAGCAGTAATTATTGAACAAATCCCCATGGCCATGCAAGGGGGCAGTCTGGTGTGATTTCGGCAGACATGCATGCATGTAGCAAACAAATTGAGCTCGTAAAACATATGATCAATCTGTGTTATCTAGTGCACATTGAGTTTCGCCGGCCAAAGCCAAAACAGAGACATATTATCCAAGGTGGATTACGGGCCCAGCATATACTCATTCGATGAGAAACAACCAGAATCGATCTAGATTGAGCAGATGCTAGCGATCTTGACGTCTTGATTGAGACAAGTGGATACAAAAGTCAATGATCTCACCAAAATCCTACAATGTTGCTAGTGCGGCTGGCGGCTTGGTCGGATGTTGGCCTGGCCTATGATCCCTTGCGTCGGGACCAGTAGACTGTTGGACTCGGATTTATTATATTCTTATAACTTTGTTGCTTTCTTTGTCCGTTTTGACTTGATGCTACAGAAAGAAAGATTTATACATTTGACGGGAATATAACTGACATTCTTGCTGTCTTTAATTTTGCGTGTTCCTCACATCTGGCTCGGTTTCCGCCAATATCAAAGATGTCATCGATAGAGGCAGTGCCTCTCGAGGGCCGCCACGGACCACTAGAGCTTCTTCGCAAACTTCCCTTTACAGAAAAATCGAGCAATAAACCGCCTTTACTTTTTCTCCATGGAGCCAAATGTTCAGCGCATGATTATATGAATTTTCTGCCTTATTTTGCTGCTCATGGATACCCAGCGTATGCCCTGTCAATCCGCGGACATGGCGCCTCATGGTCACAGAGCCGGCTAAGGAAGATTCTCTTCACGACTCTCTTCAGCTGGGCACATGATACCCAATCTGCTCTAAACTTGATCGTCGCACATCACCATAATAGTCCACCTCCTGTTCTCGTCGGCCATTCACTCGGTGGTGGTGCGCTGCAATTCATGTTGTCGCATGGTCTGCTGCATATAGGAAGAGACAATGCAAATGGCCAAATCCCAGGGCTCATTCTTCTCGGTTCTGTACCGCTATACGGTGGCGGACAGGAGATTATAGGGAATATCAAGCAAGTGGAAGCTCCCAGTGGGTATCCGCACATATGGAGTGATCGGGGCCTGGTCTCGACGCCGAAACAGGTCAGACAATTATTCTTTACGCAAGAGGCGGAAGAGGAAGCAATCCACGAATGGATACACATGTGCAGAACAGAGTTGGAGAGCGCCATGGCGGGCCTGTTCATCTGCTTTCCCCTCGGCGAGGCCGGCAAGGTCTTGAATGCCCTTGCAGGCGTCGGCACGCCTACCAAGACGAGAAAAGTCTTGTGCGTTGCCGGTGTGGAGGACAAGCTGGTTCCTCCCGCCATGGTACTGAGGAATTCTGGTCTTTACGCAGCTGCTGCAACGCATCTGGAGCTAGATAAAGAGGCCTGCATGGTGGTGACTGTCAATGACTGTGCTCACCATTTAATGATGGATCTGGGGTGGGAACACTGTGCTCAAGTGATGTTGAAATGGCTTGAAGGAGATCAATTATAGATCATATGAGACTAATGATTCATGGTATTTATATAGAGGTAGAGGAAAGCGTCAGCGTTCTGTGGGAGTAAAGATACTCTTCACTGCTTGTTCAAGAGGCACTATTTCTGGCATTAGCGAAGTTGTTACAACGATGTATTTACAGAAGGTCTGGGTCTTTGTCATATTCACATCAAATCTAGGACTACTCGTGCTTGCTCATTACGACTCTCGAGAAGTCACAAGATCTTTCTTCATGTACAGCAGCGTCGAGCTCCACTTCTTTCCAGTCGAGTCTACATCGAACACACCATTCTTGACGACATCATAGATGATATAGCCGCGACGCTGGTACCAATCTACAATTGTCACCTGTGCACTTTGAGAGGCCGGTCGCGATAAGAAGAGGAATATAGGATGTTCATGATACCTTGGGCACTGGTCGACGAAGCGCAACCATTCGAGGACTGTCAATAGATGTGTCTTCGTTGGATAAAGTGTCGAGCGTAATGACTTTGGCATTGTGAACTTGCACAGCAGTCCTGTAACTCAAATCAGCTGCTGATGAAAGTGATTCTGCTCATTCTGTAACCTAAAATCATACTTTTCAAACAGCGACATGGCGATACCCCCAACTCCACTGCCCTGCAGAGCCTCTGAGATGTAAAATGCAGCAAGTGCATAAATACCATCCTTTGGCGATATCAGGAGACGGTTATTAGCGTGATTCTCCACGCAGCCATCGAGACAAATATGACCAATTGGGTGAAAGGTCGAAGCGTCTGGTATATAGTTGCGTCCCATCAGTGAGACACAACTGTCTCGAAGGGGCTCTGACTGGGTTGGAAATTCTTTCAAATGTTTGTCAATGAGGCTATCTCTATCTGTGTGGTCAGAACCAAGTGTCTAATGATTATCAGCGTGTGATAGCCCTGTAGTCATAGGTTTGTCAGTAGGATTGACGCACAATCCAGTAGAACGCCAACTTTCCATCTCTCTGGAATTTCTGCCAATCCGGGACTTTTTCAACCTTCCATCCACATGCTGTACGTTGCTGGCTCATTCTCTCGACATGCCGAGGCGAATTCGGATCCCATGGCACTAGTACAATCGAAGAGGGCGTCATCATAAAATTGAGAAGAAGTAGCAAGACGCAACTGATAGTTATGGCCGCACTTTCATAAAAGATTCCAGGCGTTGCTAGTCAGGTTCGACAGTAGGATAAGAGCACCGCGTCAGACGTACAAGGGTTGAGAAGGACTCGCCTGTTCATACAATAAATCGCCAGCTAGATGACTCATACCACCAAGAATCCATGCTCACTTATCACGTGACAATATTCAGCGCTGTGGTCTTTGTTCTATGGCAACATGAAGTGAATTTCGTAAAGAAATGTTTTGTTCATTATATACAGTGTAAATGGTATATATATCCAATATTCCGTGCCATCAAAAGAGTTCCGCTTTTATACTCCTTAGATTCCAATTTTCACATGAACTCCACTTCTCAGCACATGATTCTAGTTGCTGAATCCAAAGAACTCTTGAAAATTAACCGCAGAAGGAAGGGGAAAACTATGGGATCTGAACTTTGCCGACAGTGGAAGTTGTGAACCTAGCAGCAGCAGAAACAATTTGCTTCCACAGGGCAAACTCCTCTTCATTTCGAGGTCCGTAGATGAGTGTGTAACCCCATTGAAGAATAGGCCCACCACTCAATCGATGCCGCTGGCCCCAGCACTGCTCGATAACCCGGGCCGAGTCAGGGAGACTCAGAACGAGGTGTGTGCTTCCATCTGGCGGGTGGACATGGATGAGTTCGCCCCGGGTCTTTTTGAGACACTCGGGAATGGGCGCGCCCTTTTTGATCTGCACGGCGGGCACGGGACCTTCGAGCAGCGAGTTCTCCCGCTGCAAGAGGTTCGGATTCTCCAAGACCAGCTCGTCCAGATAGGCGTTCATGGCCCTCTTCATGTCTTCGCTGCAGCGGTCCGTCATTTGGCGCTGCGGTGCCACGAAGCCGCAGACCTCGGGACGGCCGCCGGGGCGGGCTTGAAGAGGCCCCTTGAGGAAGGTGTCGGCCGAGTTGGGTCCAAATGCGCGGGCCGCCTCGGCCTGGTCGTATGGCGCCGGCACCGTCGTGTCTTTACGCGCCTTGGGCGCCAGGCTGAGTTGTCTCTTCCAGCCCCAAAAGTTGTCCGGCATGCCGTGGGGCCCGAGGGACACATAAAAGCGGTAGTCGTTGTACGCCACGATGAAGAGAGGTAGGAGTACTGCTCCTGCGGCGATGGCTGCGGCCCGTACTAAATCGTTCCGTCCATAGGACTGAGCTGAGCTCAAGTACTGGCTGACCGATTCCATTGTGAAGACTGACTGCACTTTTTGAACAACAAGGTTTCTGATGGAAGTTTTTTTGTAGATTGCAGGTTGATGGAGTTATTACCCGTTTCATGAGATTATGCTCTTCATCTCCAGAGAAACGTATCGCATGTCTTGGCCGTCTTATATAGAAGACTTGCCTTTGCGCTATACATTATAGTCACACAGCCTTACGTGCGTCCACGCCCAAGATCTGCAAGTCATACTCGCGGGACGTCGAATGAGATGTCGGCATTATGGTTAGTTGCCATTGGGAATAAGGCGGTCCGAAGCTGTCTGTGAGCTTAAAATGCTCCCGGCCGAACCAGCCTTACCCCGGCTTTACGGATTCGGAGCTTACTCTCGGACCTACGATGACACCCTCGGAGAAGCTCGGAGCAAGGATATCCCCTTTCGGAACACACTTTGCGGCACATACACTCATCGAAAACCTTTGTGCGAGCATATACTAAGAGCTAGCCAAGCGATGGACGTCTTTTGCCTTCGATGTGCGTGCTAATGCGCTCATGATGCACTCTGGCTTGCGGCTCAGTATCTCCGAGGAAGTGGACTTTGGCATGTCAGACTCACAACTCCGAGACAGCTGAATCAATTCACGGCAGAAGTCGAACTCAAGGACACGAGCAAATTTCGTTTAGTAGTCGTTCGAGTTGCGGATATTTTGATGGTGCTGATTATGTGTCAATGGTGTTGAAGCAATATTAAAGTCGCCTAATGTGAGTGTACTGGATGATAGGGCCACCATAGTATTGATCAATGGGAGCCATATTAGAATGAATAAATGTCGTTAGATAATTCTAGGATTCGAGTGTCCTTGGGCTCAATAATGAAAATTGAGATCGATGCACTGGGAGTGCTCTGCATATACTCGAGTCGAAACTGGTCATTGGACAGGTTGGATGAGGTTCAACGCGACTTGATATCTGAGCCAACAGAGAACAATTTGAGCACAAGTAATCAATCATGCAGTCTAGACTGGTCCTATAGAGCTTGAAAAAAAAAAAAAAGCGTCGGAAGAGCCTCTTTATAAATCCAGAACAGGGGAGTTGTCGTGGATCCCAACTGCGTCAGTACAGAACAGTGATGCGATGCTCAGTGTTGTCAAATTGTCTTAGCCTCGGTGTTGTCATGACAAGTTCTCCGAGGTTGAGTAGATGTGGTTCAACCATGTTCGTTTCTCGACTCCTCGGGCGTGTATGTGTCGGGACCTTGCATGTCTCGATCAGTCAAAGTCCTTACAAAGGATCTTGTGAAGATCACCAGTTGTTCCCAGAAGAGATTACACGGCTACTCGATGAGACTGATCATAGCCTTGCCGAACTGATCAAGACATTATCATCTGGACAATCAGGAACCCAATCATTCAAAGAGTCAGTGGACAGAATCAAATGTTGCAAGTCATGGAGAGTGGCCTCTGGCCTCCACTCGAGTAAGACCCCAGCATATTCCGAGAGTTCCGACGTGCAGCACCACTTGTGTCATTGGAAAGATATCCACAGTCTTTATCAGAGCAGATAAATTAGTTGGAGGCTACTACATGACTAACAGTGAAATGGATGGATAGTACGGGCAGGTCCAAACAAATGGTATCAAGAAATTTTGCAATAGACGAGCCTGTATACAACAGGCAGCAAGTTGTCTACGTGAACCTCAGAACTTTCCTGCCGGAATGTTGAAATGAGCACCAGGCGTGTGGTCTTGCATGACTATATCTCAAAACCACAGCCATACCACTTGTCCGATCTATAAGTGTTGCCACTGATCATATGAGCTGCAGTTTCCAATACTATTATAATGAACGGTACACATTGTATTTTGTCGCAAAAGCACGCGCCTCCGGGGAAGAGAATTCTGTCAAATATCCGGCAGACGGCTGATTCTGGTGATGCAGTTTCTCATGTTCAACGGCTAAATGCATGGCCACGACACGAGTGGACGGCTGATTTGAAGACAGCCAGCCATGTATGCAAGGACAATGTGACGTATCGAGATTGGCACGGAGCCCAACAATTTTATTAGAAGATATTCCATGAGCAAGACATTTCATTTAGATAAGTGGTAAAAGAGTATGATCTATTCTCAAATGTGCTCATATTATCGTGGTTCCTCAGTAGCACATTATACTGTGCAGTATGTCATGAAGTCAGAAGAAACTCATTCGAGATGGCGATCGTCACAAAAACTTGTGGGTTCAGCCATGCGATCAACGTTGAGCCGCAAGAGATCCAAATGTTGATCTCGAGATCCGGGGGTGGTGTGTGGGAACTGAGAAAGCGCACATCGCTCTGCCCTACGACTTTGTCTGGGATCCTGAGACGCCCCGACGATGGCGCAGCAGGCCGATCATCTGCAAAGCACAGTAGGAGATGTGGCGCGCAAAACTCCTCCCTACGTATATACTACCCGATTTTGGTATGAACATGTATTCTGTGAATGGTCTTATGGTTTGACAGTATGCACGCAATGCGATCGCGAAACATGGGATCTATCTTTTGAAGCTGCATCCATCTGCGTGCGCATTGCGTGGGCACCCGGCGGCCTCGTTTAGTTTTGGTCGCAATGCGCGTGCAAACATCCCAACCATGCCCCTATTAGCACTTTTTTGATACTTGTTTCGCAGGCTGTCAAATCCCTTGGGTAATTTCCCTCTATTTTACGAACAAAGCGCATAAACACATTTTCAGCCCGTGAAAAAAAAGTTCAGACGAGAATATCAAACTGTCCGTGTATCATGTTTGCGCCTGGCCTGGTGGTGGTCAGGCCAGAGGTGGTCGGAGGGGTACAGAGTACTGTGTGTACACGGTCCATTTTACTGGGGCCGTCCATCTAGCCGACCTGCCCTTGGGTGGGCTGCGGGACCGGGTCTTTGACACACGGCCCTCAGTTGGCTGCTGTTGAGCTGCTGGCCAGTAATTATTTCCACAAACGTTTTCATCTGACGTTGACGCCTCCCTCCTCGGCCTCCTTGATGCGAAATTTCCCATTGGAACACTCAATCGCGATCTTCAGCATAGGCTAGTAACATCAAACCCAACGATGGCGGGAGGCGATTGCTCTTTTCTGTTAGGCTGCAGTCCAAAATTGCTAGGTCTGTAGGCTGGCTTATATGACCTACCAAGTATTCAAAGCCAGGCTCGGTCAATAGTTGCAAATGGCTTCCTTTCGAATCTCTGTTCCTTTTGATGAAACAAGTTGCATTTAGATCTTCTAGCGAGCCAGGACTCTCTTCTTCTTTTCTTTTTGGGCGAGCAACGAAAAGAAGATTGTATCTACAAGTTAGTTACAAGAGAGCCGTGCCGTGCCTATGGTAGCGCAGTGTCACCGCAACTGTAACGGTCTGTCTCGCTTCCTAATATATCTCTTTCACGTGGTACGAAGCCGCTTCTCCAAAAAAAAAAAAAAAAAAAAAAGGCGTCAGATTTCAAGGCTGCGTTTTCAGATGAACCCTCATCTGATGAATGAGATATTTTTTTATTGCATACACATACAGTGCAAACAGTAGAATTAGATACCAGATTGGCACACATGTATTCTTGAACAGAATTTCATCATGGGCATCCCCAAGTCGAAAAGTGATCCACGCAGGCATTTCGTCTTTCAAATGGCGCGACAAGTGCTTGTTGGTGCCGCACCGGGGAATGACGAGGAGAGAGGATGGCGTGGACCCATGGCGTTTCTTTCATATAAACCTACGACACAACCATGCACTAATCCCCCCTATGCATTGTAATACAAGAAGCCCGATGAGTGCATGGTTCAAGGCGAATGATGAAAATACTGCGAGTCATCGTGCGACTGGTCATGGATTGTTATACGAAAAGGCATGTAAAGCACGCGATGGCCTTGTTGCATGAGAAGCATGCGAAGGGGGTAGCCGCGTATCGCATTGGAGATCCTAGCCCTCATGTGCTAAGGTTACAAGAATAGCAAGTCCGTGAAAGGTGCACACTGCTTGAAAATTTGGTAATTACCTACCTACGTACGGAATACTGTGTACAGAGTATTATATTTCCCTTGATCGCGACCGATGGGCTACGACATGTCCATGCTGTTCGTCAGTGACACGACGGAATAAACGCCCGGATGGAAATGGGGTCTCTACCAACTCCACCAGCCAAAATTGTCGCAAAGGGCTTCCGAACAAGATGCCGCGCGCGACGTGGGACGTGGTGATAATTTGATGAGATTGCCATAGCTTCATACACAGTAGTAGTAGTATTACTCTGAGGTAGGCAAAATGGAGTATCCATGGGCCTTGGTGCTATCCATCCACAACCCTGCCTGCCCCATTCGCATGGTTCCGAAACCCAGCGGGACGAAGGTTGAGCTGGACCCAAGCTCGTCAATTTAGCAGTCCATCAGAATACATACCCGTTCAATAGACTGCACAAGACCACTGGTGCTACCGTCCAAGTAGATAGGCGTTGTAGGCGGCGTGCAATGTGATAGTGGGATGGAAATTGAGATTCTCGCAAATGGTCAAAATTGGGCAAAATGAGCAGTCAACCTGCCCGTTCTAGAATTTTCATATCTGCAGCATCAATGGAGTAGGCGTCCACACTGCGAAAGGGGTTGGGTGGTACTGTGGCCCGGGACCATTCCCTTCTCGTCTTTGTATCCCCTCTTTCTGTTGGGTCGGCCATCGTGAACGCCGGGACTGATGGTGTTGGGTGCCCGCTGGGACAAGTAGTACTACAACACACAAGAGTCCTTGTCTCTGGCCCTGCATTCTGTTCTGCAGGTGGCATTCCAATAAAATGGGCCAAAGCAGTTTGGAATGTACTTCCGTACTCGCAAGTTGATCGCACGTGCTCCATCCCTAGAGCCCATAAAACATGAACAAGATTGGCCAGCTATTGGTGTTTTGTGTCGTCTCTATCTTCCATTGAGTTTATCTCTCCTGTCTATCCAGAAAACTCCATGCTGAGCACGAACACACTTTGGGCCTATGCTGTAGTAATAGTCTTAGTGTAGCGTGTGTACTCGGCGCTCCGTGCTTTAAATGTTGGCAAGCTTCTCCAAGCACTTGTGACCCGTGCTGAGCCTGCAAGCGTCCTTGTCTGTCGCTTGTATGCTTAATGCTAGCTGACTTGGTACTGGCCACTCACTGGACCTTGCCGATGGACAGACAGACGCTGCCGCTGGCTGCACTGGAACCGTCTGCAGGAACAGCCGTCCTTTGAGGCGTCTGGGGGGTAACAACACTAATCTGACGCAAGCTTAAACGGATCCTTGCCAAGCTCGATCCTAGGGCCAAGGCACCAATCATTTTGTGCATGGCATCGTGACCCTGGTTCATCCGGACTATTATGAGATTGTGCAATCTCATCTGGCCTCGACGACATGTTTATGAACGACGGCCTCGACTCAATTCGATCTCCGACCCCTCGAGCGCGCTGGAGCGTTTCTGGGCAACTACCAGCAAATCGTCCCGCAAGTGCAGTGTGTAGTCGCTGTAGCGCTCGCAACGCCAAGCAACGAGGGATGAAAATGGTAAACTGATGCGCGCAAATCGTGGGACAAATCCCTCGCTGGCGGGCAATTTTTTACATCTTCCTTGCCTCTGTCGGGGTTAGCGACTGAGCAGTATGGATTTAGCTGACGACGACACCGATGACCGACTCCTTTTGCGATTGATGAGTTATGAGCCAGATCTTGTTTGCGCAATAAAAACATTTCTCAGATTCTTCTTGATGCTACAAATGATGATGGTGGCGCAAAGACAAATAAATCATGATCATCTGCCCCGCGTTGAGTAGCCTCCCATAAGAATTGCACAAATAGAATAAATTTATTCATGAAAGCGCATGTCAGCTCAGTAGCATAATAGTAGAGAGAAAAAGAATCACCACACAACTCATGGACTGAAAACACTCCCTTTTCTCGCTTGGTCTCAGGTTGCCCGCACGAGGTAGTAATGCCAAGAGAGAAAATAAAAAATCGACCACGTCGAGAAACGTCGGCGGTGCCCAGTTAGGCTAGTCCAGTTCAGTCACTTACAAAGGCTCACGATGCAATTTCCGGTCCTGCATCATGAGACAACCCATAGGTACCCTGTACCGTCCAGGCGCCTTCAAATACCACCACCTCCATGTACAATGGACTCGTAGAACGGGGCAACGATGAAGCCAGGCCCTGCGTCCAATGCCTTAGCCAGAACAAGCAGCAAAGCAGCCCGACTACGGCTGTTTGTGCGGTCGGTTGAAGCGCGCGCGCAACAGCGTTGTGGTGAATGGTGAATCTATGGTGTGGTTTGCTTTTGGCTGAGCCACGTTTCTGCTGTGTCACTGCGGGAAAGTTGGATGTGCATTGTAGGCTGTCTGCGTGTGTCTAGATCTATCAGGTTTCCACTTGATGCTTATTACTATGACGAGAGTAGTAGAAAGTCATGATTTGAGAATATCAAAATACAAATCCTTCAGGTAGCGGTATGGAGTAGTAAGTGTCCCATGGAGCCTAGTGGTCGGCAACGTACCATACATGGAATTACCTAAGGCTTGTGGGCTCTATTGCCCAGACTGAAAGGCAGCTTAAAGCACGCGCCAGACCAAAAGACTCGGGGCCGGCCTGTGCTGTCAGGTGCCATTGAGTTTAGAATCTCAGGCCCGACCGGGGGGGCTCAAAGGGCCCCTAAATCCACTAATCCACAAGGGAGAGAGCCCACTGAGTCTGTTCCCCAGAAGGACTCAAGGCCCTAGCAGGCATTGGACGCCCACCCCTGGTTCGCCAACCCCAACCCAGGCACAACGAACTTGACGATCGCTTGCCTTTGGCCAATCGTTAGCCGAGCCATTCCATTCATTAATCTCATTATGCCGCCGTCCATTCATTGTCTGCCGCCGACCTGCCTTTGGTGACCCCCCAGACGCAAGATCGTGGCTTTCCTCTTCTACTACTACCCTCGCCCCCCCTCCACCCTCTCTGCATTTACTTGTACACTCGATTTCGATTCTTCCTTCGCCGTAGATTCATTCGTGCAACATATCGAAACTCAACCCACAGGACTTCGTTGGCAAAGTCTACTCAAGCATTCTGCGAACGCACACATTGACAATCGTTCATTCGATCATACAAACAAACAACAAATCTTGAATATCGACTATTCAAACCGACATTCATTGACTTATACACGCTTCTTGTCACGAGCGCATCCAAAGATACAATCTTCTATCGCCCGATATCGTGTTAGAGCTTGGAAAAGGATTTTCCTATCTGCAATTAAAAGGTCCAGCATTTTGTTGACCCGACTTTACACATCTATCAATTCGATATATATCGAATCATCTTGGGAAACTACCCGTCACGGATCAACTAGAGACCCAGTATTTCTGTCAAAATGCAGATCTCTTCGATACTCTCTTTGGCGCTTCTGCCCTTGTTGGCCGTCGCTGATGGCGCTACAAGCACCACAACCTCCACCACCATCTTGTACAAGACCATCACCATCCAAAGGGCTGTTTCCACTTCTACCGCCTTCAACTCGACCTCGAGCTACTCGGCTACTGGCACCGGAGTCACCAAGATCACTGCCTCCGCCACTACTGGCTCCAGCATTACTGCAACATCTCCCATTGCCTCTGCTACCTCGACGCCCGACAACAGCGCTGGATCTCTCGGCGCTGCCAAGGTTGCTGCTGCTGGACTGGTGGGAGTTGTCGTTGCTGCTTTCCTATAAGTCGCGCCGCAATTGGTGTCGACTTGACATGGGGCGTTGCATTTTTAAGTTTGAGTCAAGAGGTGGATTATACGACTATGCTTTGGTGGTTTATTAAGGTTGCGGCTTGAACGCCGCACCTTGATCATTCTTATTTCTGCCCAAATGGCGACTACGAATCCGTTGATGCGTACCATCACTTCTATTCTTTTCCTTTGTCAAAAACCAGCATGATTTCCCACAAACCCACACGACATATTTTATACGCATTGGACGACGTTGAAGATATTCAATTGACAACGATACCCCCCCGAAAAAGGAGTTGGTGCACCCCGCCCTCTCTTCTCTTCTCGAGATACCCCGTCAAGGAGCAAGAGTACATGACGCTTCAAGACCAGATGCCTGCATCTGCTGCATACTGAGAGAGAGAGGATGGGATGCTATCATCGAGCATACAACAGCAAAGAGCTTTTTATCTGCTTCTTTTACCACCCGGCGCGACAGTGTTTGGTGTCTTTTCTTCTAGATTACCACTCATAATGTTTCAATGGCCCGGCAAACACTCTCAGGAGACGAAAGTCTTTGGGCAGAGTCCGCGAGAGTGTCTTGTCGGCTGGCACTTCTCTTTTCAGTTCAAAAGCAAACCCCTTTTTTCTTCCCTCCTTTTTCGTTTCATGAGTCGCACAGTTGGAGATGAGTGCGACGAGTTCGGTGTACACGAAGGCATTTTTCACGATTATTTGAAACTTTTATTTTTATGCCGACCACCTTTCAACGCCTTCGTGTTGTTGAGATACCCCAAAACCCAATCTTGCTTTTTGTTGTTGTGTGCTCGCCGGCGAGGACAGAATTGGTTTGCGTGCTGGTTTTTGGCTTTTACCTACCTTACCTACCTTACCCGCGATGAGTTTCGAAGCCGCTTTGGATTTATGTAATGGTTCTTCGTTGTTTGAAGGAGAGGAGGGGAGAACCAATATGGATTGGTGAATCTAGTTCCGTGCACTGATACTGGTCGTGCTGGAAGAAGATGAAGCGGGCTGAGGATGGATTCAGTTGATGTGTTCTGAGTAGATGAAATGAACGAGGTTACAACAAATGATTCGAGTCTGTTCCAAGTGAATGATAATCTCCTGGTCCCAAGTCTACTACTCTAAAAAGAAGCCTTGCATCATTACTGGTCGAGTCTAGATAGGTTGTTCTACCGTGCAACAATCATATCCTGGGAACCTGATAGTGAACTTTGGGTTGTGTCGACATGAAAGCATTTTCAGCCCGCAGAGGTCTCTCATCTCTGAACATGTCGAAGAATCCTGGCCTTTACTTTTTATCCATATCGCCAACACTGGTCCAAAGGAGCGAGGTCTGTCGACATTCCTACTATGACTATTTTCAGCTTGAGAAACATTTCATGTAGCACAAAGGCTAGCGAAACATTCCGACAAGTCCTATCTAGCATGCGCACAACTCGAAGTGTCTACTCCTTAGCTATGGGCGTCTCAGATCACGAGCGCATCTTCAAAAATTGGCTCCCACGTCAGGCTTGCTACCGTCATGGTTCCTCGTACGCGTGAATCGAGGGTGAATGCACAAAGGATGGTATTGCAGCTGTATGAGAATTCACGAGTTGGCTGCCATCGGTCAGGGCGTTGGTTCGTACAGCCCCGGGCTGACGCACAGTCGGTATTGCATGTCTTCCACGTGGGGTTCAAACGAATGCACAACCTATTTCCTGGCATTCAGCGATCTGCTTCTTGTTTGTGAAGCGATAGTGTGGCGATGAATTTTGGATATCGAAAGCCTGCTAGGCACCTATGATAAGTAGGCTCTGGCCATCCTCCAAGCGACTCGTTAATCCCCAGGCTCTGCACGACATGGGGGGCACCAAGAACTAGGCGGAGAACAGTATCTACCACCAGAAATGAATTGGCCGACCGCTAGCTAAAATGGAGGGTGCAGCGCGCAGTGGCGAAGTCCAGATGCATGCAAGTGCGCCTCGCGAATACTCTGATGCCACTGGCTGTTGGGGGCACAGCCATGGGTCAAGTGATAAGACCCATCGAAATCTGACCTGCAGTTGGAGAAACGTAAATACACGCCGCCTTTGACGAAGAAGCCAGCCTTACCACCCGTCTAGAAGTCTGTGTTGTTAAATGGCGTTCTGCCCATCATCACTTTTGCGCCGTGAGATACGACTTGCAATACTCACTCGGCCCCACAATGTGTCAACACCAGGACCGTCATGGATCCTTTATCTGCCCTTAGCCTCACGTGCAATATATTGGCCGTGGTCGAGTTCACTTGGAAGCTGCTGACTGGGGCAGATGAAATCTACAAGTCCAAGTCGGGCGGTAGTGCCAAGACTGTGTTTATTGAAGATCTCACCGTTAAGATCATTGGCCTCAATGATGTATTGAGCAAATCACGCGTGAAGACTCCTGATTTGGAGGCGCTGGTGACACAGACTCGGGATTTGGCGTCAGAACTACTCCGCGCCTTGGTTTCGGTCAAAGTGAATGGACAGCACTCTAAATGGGAGAGCTTTGCAGCCGCGTTAAGGGAGGTCTGGGGTAAGGGTGAGATCAGAGACCTCACCGATAGGCTCGAAAGTCTCCAGAGACAAATCACGAGGCATATTCTTGTTTCCACCAGGTTGGTGTTCCACTCAAATATAGCTATAGCTGATACGGGAATCTAATTCCGTTAGCCAACAAGTTCACGACACTCAGGAAAAAGTCTGCGAGATTGCCGAAGCTATTAGGAAGATCGAATCCAATCTGGTCAAATATAGAGTCAAGGACACAAAAGAATTCAAAACTTCCAAGGAACAGCTCCTTCAGACAGTCCAGCGGTGTGTTTCACTCAATGACCAGCATGTTGCAGACTTGAGAGCAGCCATTCTGGGACATGGCAGTCGTCCCGAAGAAAGATCCATAGAGACTGGCTTAACGAGTTCTCAGCTTGTCCTCGCGGCCGCCAAGCAGTTCACTGGTGCTGCGAACCCGGAGCGGATTTACGACCAGTTTCTCCAGGCTATACGCTTCAGCAGGATCTTATCTCGATATCATAATATCAGTGACGCATACCGCCAGACATTTGATTGGATCTTCGAGGACTCATCATCATCAGATACTCTAACCAACATCAAATCAACATTACGAGAATGGCTGGAGACTGACAGCAAAATATACTGGCTTTATGGAAAGCCGGGGAGTGGGAAATCGACATTGATGAAGTATCTCTGCGATAATCCCAAGACGAAGCAACACCTCCAGGTATGGTCTGGTGGGAATAAAGTCGTCATAGCTAAGTTCTACTTCTGGAATTCGGGTGACACTCTTCAGAAGTCTCAGGAGGGCCTTTTGCGCTCCATCATCTTCGAGATGCTGTCTCAAAGTCAAGATTTGATCCCATTAGTTTGCGACGCTGTCGACGGCTTCACTCACTTTGATCAAGACGACAATTCCTGGAAGTCAGACACACTTTTGGACATGTTCAGGGTCATAGCAAACTCCATAAGGGTCAACTTTTGCCTATTCATCGATGGACTGGACGAATTCTTGGATAAGACAGCAACACACCACGATCTGTTGAAGACACTTGAAATGATGAGTTCCTCGCCACATATCAAAATTTGTGTCTCAAGCCGGCCATGGACGGTCTTCCGTGATGAATATGGGGACGAAGCTCATCTTAAATTGGAGGACGCAACACACGATGACATCGAACATTACGTGACGGACAAGTTCAATCAGCATGCACAGTTTCAAGTACTGATGTCTCGAGATCCAGAGTATGCTCAAATAATCACTCAAGTTGTAGACCGAGCTCAAGGGGTTTTCCTCTGGGTATATCTGGTTGTTCGTACACTTCTCGAGGGGATTACGTACCACGACTCACTTTCCACACTACAACACCGACTAGAGGCCATTCCGCCAGATTTGGAGCCGTTCTTCCAGGTCCTCATAGATTCTGTCTCTCCGATATACCACAGGCACATGTCTCGTTACTTTGCGATCGCTACATCATCCAGTCAGCCTCAGTCTGCTATGATGTACTCTTTCTTGGATGACGTTGGGGAAAATCCAGCATTTTCAATGAATCTCAGATGCAAAGAAATGGAGAACGAAGACTTTATGGACCGAATAGATGAGTTGCGGCGGAGGCTTGACGGTCGATCTCGAGGCCTCTTGGAGTTGGGAACTTCCACACGATCCATCGTACAGGATGGCTTTTTCATATGCGAAGTGAACTTTTTGCATCGAACGCTCCGCGATTTCCTGTTAGACTACCACGGCATCCACGAGACGTTCAAAAAACGGCTGGGAAAAGAAAACCCTGCACTGACGGCCTGTTATGCTATCCTTGCTCTAATGAAGACGGCGCCTTTTCCCGGCGTTGGAGAGATGAGTGGTCGGTCAAGGAAGCATCCAATGTATGACTACACACATAACCTGTTCTTTTTTGCGTCAGCGTCTACCATGATTTCAAACTCAGAAATGGAGCTGCTGAGTATTATTATCAAAGCAGACAGGGTGTTTCGCGCCGAAGCGGTCAAGCACGTCTGGATGGATAAAGACTCCTGGTTTCTCGGCCTGGCTTCTGCATTCGACTTCCTCCCTTACGTGAAGTGGAGGTTGGAAGTAAGGAATCACTTACCTGAAGCGAAACATGAACCCAGCTCTTATCTCACTGAGGCGCTGGACGTGGCGTTGAATTTCGAGATCCAGCAGCCTCTGAAAACAGCATACACGCAACAGGCGCAGAAAGACCGCCTAGACGCAGCAGACAGTGTTCCTTGCCACTGCATCTCTCTTCTACTGCAAGCCGGCGCGAAACCCAATGAAATCCCGCAAAGATCTTACAGTAGACTCGAAGGGACTGTGTGGAGCGCCTTCATCTCGCAGCTCGAGTCAACATCGGTGACCGATCGCGACCATGTGTACAAAGTCGCAGAATTATTACTCAGCCATGGTGCAGACTGGAACGCCTCTTTCGACGGCCAAACCGTGGGAATGAAACTCGTCGGGATACTTGGTCAGGAGTTGACCGCGCAGCTTCAAGGTCAATTTGGGAGAAGAACTTTGAGGAATAATAACACCCAAGCAGTCTCGGATAATAGCATCCAAGAAGTCCCGGAAAACACGAAAGATAGTCGGCGCAGAGCCTGTGATATATGTTGTTTGATGTAGAATGATGGGGAGCTATTCATTGTCACAACATTCATCTACTTGGAAGCTGAGGTAGCCTTTTCGAATATAGGGACATGTCGACACATAGACGGAGGACATGATTTCATTGCAATTACGATACTTTACTGCGACCATTTATAACCATAAATCTCCCCGACTCTTGATAGCGGAATAGTTGAAACTTTTACTAATACGCATTTAATTATTTCCGTAGCAGTGCAAGCTCCAACAGCGGTCACACCGCTTCATAGCAGAGTCGTGAAGAAGGACAGTTTGAGGTCTGGGGTGGAGTTAACCCACTGGTGTTGTGCAACAGCTTCTGACCCCACGGTGTTTGGATCTTATGATGTCCGTTGTCAAAGCATGGTTGGCAGCTTCATGCCTACCTAGTCAGATTCAATACCTCACTTTTACCGATAAACAACAAAAACCCGAATATTTTCTTTTCTTCTTATTTCGTGTGAGGACGTCAAGGTACCATTATTATATGTGGTTTTTCTCCATTATCTTTGATGTCATATCCCTTGGTTCGTGTTTCGCGGATCGTGGATGTGCCGCAAGGTTTCACGCACAGATCTGCGTTTGAAACACGATCAACTCCCACTAGTCGACAGAATCAAGCTTTTCCGGCACGGGAATCTTACATCGTACTATCATCTGATTTCCCGATTGGATTGCGTCGGATGCAAACCCGGATACCGGAAGGGAGCGTTGTGGGCAGATGCTGCTGCGGCGCTTCGACTGATCTCGCCCCCTTCCATATTCGGACGTGCATCGCGAGAATGGCACCTAGAGAACATGAAGCATCTATCCGGACTGGATGGCTACCGAAACCTTTCTGTTTCGCCATAACTTACATTTCATGGTGGCGACGATGGACATCAGACGTAGTTGATTGATGAGTGTGTTCTTATACTGAGCCTTTCGCTCGCCAAGTCCTCCAAGACCTGTCGTCTGGTGCTCGCATACCTTCAAGGATTCTTACATTAACTAGAGCAGCGCTCAGTTACCATCCGCATCGATTTACTCTAAGTCTCTTGTAATTCATCTTTATATAATCTCTTTCATTCACCATGCGTTCCGCCGTCATTCTTCTCACCTTGGCGACCGCGTCGCTGGGTCTCAACATTGCCAAGGAGCGCCGACAGGACGATCTAGCCTCCATCCTGGCCGCCCTGGAGCAGACCTCTCCCGAGGATGCAGCAGCGGCCAAGACCAGCAGCAGCTCTACAAAGAGACAAGATGACTTGGCGTCGATTCTGGCCGCTCTCGAGCAGTCGTCGCCAGAGGACGCCGCCGCGGCCAAGAGCGCCTCCTCCTCCTCCCAGGCCGACAAGCGCCAGGACGACCTCACCTCCATCATTGCCGCGCTCCAGGAAACAAGCCCCGAGGATGCTGCTGCGGCTTCAAGCGGCAAAGAATCATCATCCGAGAAGCGACAGGATGACCTTGCTTCTATCCTCGCTGCACTAGAGCAGACGTCTCCAGACGATGCCGCTGCCGCCAAGTCTAACAGCAGCAAGTCGCAAAAGCGCAACGACATTGGCGACATCTTGGTGAGTTCAACATTCAACCAATGCGTACTTGTGCTGATATGGTTCACTATAGGATGCCCTGGGTGAGACCAGCCCCGATGATGCTGCGGCTGCTGATGCCGGTATCCCCGAGTAGGGAAGTTGAATCATCATCCCGGCGATGACGGGTTAAGGAGTTAGGGATGGGCACTCGCAATATTGTACATACCTTTTTGGCTCAGTTCCCTGACCCTTGCCCTCTTTTTCTTCTTCTATCCTACCATGATGCTTCGTGGGGTACTTGCGTTCATTTCTTCATGTATATACAGACCCTACGTTGTGTACATATGCCAAGCGGCCCGAGAAAGACATGCTCCATAGCCATAGGGCTCATCTTTTTGAGTGGAACAAATCTTATCTCGCATCTGCAAAGGCACCACATTTTGATCCGTGATGGCAAAAGTTTCGCCCCCTTCTCCAGCTCAGTAGGGATTGTAATGCTGCTCATCATTGGGCCCGTTTCCCCCCATCTCCACTGCTCGTCTTTGCCCACCATTTTGCCATGACAGGAACTTTCATCGTTCGCACTCCGATGCCAGGCAGGTCCCAGCCGTGGCCCACATGGGTAGATTTTGGACATGAGCGAAGCAAAGTGACAGGATGGGGGAGGGAGGAGGCCCAGAGGCCTTCAGTTAGTCAGGACATTACGCCTATGAGTGGATACCTGTGAAAATGTCGTGTAGTGTACGTACTTCTAGTATGTACGTTCTGGGTATAGACGCAGCTCGAGGGACTGGCTGTATACTAGGGTAGATTACAGATGCGTAAAGATGGAGCCCGAATCCACCAGAGTCGATCATCAAGAGCAGTACTATGTATGTGCTGCAAAAGTACTATGATCAATTCTATAATAAAAGTAAACAGGTTTTTGTTTGATTGTATTGTGATAATACACGTAAGATTTGAGTGTACACAGTTACCTGATAAGCCTGATTGGTGTGTTGATCGCTGCCCACTTTGTTGACTCGCGAGCTGCACAGCTGCTCTGCTCAGTGCTCGTGGTGGCGGTCGACCAGTCAAAGCAGACTTCTAGAATCACGTACACTACTCAGGGGCTGCTAAGACATGCACTGCGGGAATGCGCAAGATCTGTCAGAGAAACCTTAGATCGTCCGGACTGCAATGGATGTGGGATCCGGCAACCGAAGAACCGTGCTGCTTGGCACTATTGACCTTTCCATGTACGGATTTGAATATGGCTTCCAATACCGGCAGTTCTTTGCTGTCAACTGTTTTACACTTTAAGGCTGGATGCCGTCCAAAGTATATTTTGCAAAGTCCCGTATGCCTCTATGCCTTTTTGCTCAAGTTCGGGCACTTTTGCCTTAATCAGCTGTAGCTCCAGCCCGCGATATCGGCAACTGATAACCGCGGTGGCGCCAAAGTTTTTCTACGCCCTGGGCTAGTACAATGTCAACCACGCTGCCCGCCAGCAGTAGTCGACGTTGTGGGCCGCCTCATGAAATGATGGCCGAGAAAACGTCCATCTCTAGTTTTTATACCAAGTCCGGCGGATTTGTGACGAATCTGCACTGGTGGGTAGATAGATTACAGATAGGCAGGCTTAGATAAATATTCTATCTGGAATCGCGTTCATCTAGGCAACGTGTACCGGAATGACTTCCGTACGGGCAGTAACTGTCATTCTGGACATGCTATTGCGCGGCAGAGAGGCGTAATCCTCAATCAATCTGAAAAGTCCCCAGACTGGAGTCCAAAGAACGCGTGGCTAGTTAGCATCTTGATCATAAACGTATGGATGGGATTGAAGAACATTGTCAAGCAATAAAGTCTGTCTATAAAGCCAGGAACATACTTCCTTCTGCGGCAATCAACCCGGCAACTAAAGGAATAGCGTTGCGCCTCTTTGTCCATAGTTTTTGCCATCCCGTGAAGAGTGCGCTCGCTCTTGGAGTTTTGGCAGCGAACAGCGAACACTGCTAAATGGAAGAGAAGCTGTTTTTTTTAGTGCTTATTCCTAGGGGATTTGTTCTGTTTTGCTGCAATCCCTACTTGCAAAAGGTCCGGGCGTTGAGGGGCAAGCAATGACTAGAAGCTACATAGCTCCTCTCAGCCTCTTGTTCGTATGGTCAAATAGCTTGGGGGAACATTCAGTCTAGTATCTGTTGAGGAGGCAAATGATAATATCTAAAAACGGCTTACGCTACCTAGATGAAAATGTCAGCCTCCTCGAGACGGAGTACGGCTCAACTGCCAATGCACGTATCTGTCAGTCGGATATAGAGCGGCAACAGGAGGTAGCGCAATCATCTTATCTGCCGTGGATAGACTGCTCGCGATGACTCGACGTCACTGCGATGCCTCTGATGAAGTGGGAAACATGCAGCCGGGAGTAGCGGCGATTTGACCATAGTTCATTGTCGTAGTGCATCGCGACCATGATGGCTTCTTTTTGCTGCTCGCACGGTCAATGGTGATCGTCTCTTTCACAACAGCTCGACATGTCCACATGATGACTGTACCAGACATGACGGGAGAAGGGAGAAGTGCTTCCCGACATGTTGGACAGACTATGAGTAATGGGTGGCCCAAAGTCCAATAGGTCTAGCAATTTTTCTCCTCGGACCGGGAACGATTTTAAAATTGCCCGGGAACCGTCCAAGAGCTGGGCCGAGGACTAGGTCAGCAAAAGTCGGACTACCGCTCTCTCTGCCTGCTGTGTCCGCTTGTGAAGGAAGGAAAAAGGGAATTTGACCCAATCAACTGATCTGCCGATCGACAAGCAGCTACTATAGTAAATTGTTCTCTTGACCACTCGGCTGAACCCCTCCGTAGCTGGGCACGCAATGACCATATGGCGCTGGACACTAACGTAGTGAATTCCCCAATAGGGAAATCCTTGTGAGTGGCCTGTCTAGGCAGTGTGTGTGGGTAGCCGTCTTCTTTGGCCATGCTACAGTACTATGTATGCCCGTGGAAGCCAACAGCCTGGGACTAGATGTCAATCCGGCATTAGCTGGGAAGTGATAGTCAAGGATCTAGAAGAACCCGACTATTCGGGACAGGTCTGAGCCAATTCGAGCCGTCAAACGAGTCGACGTAGTTGTGGTTCCAGGCTCTCGAGATGCATGTAGACTCGCTGGGTATTAGAGGGGGAAAGCATCATGATGTATTACAGGCGAAAATGACAGAGGCTCTGTTTTTATGAAACAGGCTTTCACTGCACAACGGCCCTGCAGAATGGCACATGGGTATGGTTTCAGATGCAGCCATCATACTCAGCCATATGGGGTACCAAGGGTACGAGCAGGGTTTTCTCGAACCTGTTCAGCTTCGCTTCGCTAAACCCACCATGGAAGATGTTCTGGCGCCGTATCGAGAAAATGATAGTCGGTAGATCTTCACACACACCTTTCTTTGATCTTGCGACCCTGAAGCTATGCAAGCTATGCAAGCCAGCTCAACGGGAAAGATAGATCTTCACAGCTCTTGGCAAACGATGTGCTGGATAGGCAGACTGCCGTTCTGCTGGTCTCGGTACGCTAACCTTTAGAAAGATGCGCCCCTGAACTACCCTTTTTTCTCTCCCAAGGTGGCTTCTGAACAATGGCTAAAGGAGGACCAAAAAGCCCAGCACGACACGCGTGTCATGGATCTGCAGAGCGCTGAAGAAAAAAAAGGGACCTTGCCGGACTTTGATCTAGTCGATGCTTGGACCGGTCCTTGATTGGCCGGACGTAAAGATTCTGAGGATAAGGATCGAGATGGACTAGTCCTTAGTGTTGAACTCAAAAAACCGACGACGGGGACGATCACTGCTCCTACTAGATTGCCTGAGACTGCCGCGGTCTCCAAATTGTACATACCCAGTAGGCCAGCTAACCAGCTAACTTGGCAAGCTTGGGTACTGCTCAATGCTCAGTTCAGGTCGAGGTCAGAAATCAGGTGCTCGGGTCCCCTGTTCTCGAACAATTGTCCACCCAAGCTGACAATCTTCTGGCCCAGCCACAATGCTTGTAGTTCCGTCCCCGGCTTGCAAGCTATCGCCGCTTGGGTCCTAGTCAACGGGTCTCTCACCATGTTAGTAGCAGGCTCACGTCTGTCCTAGACGAGATGGCGTCTCTTGTCTTGGATATTCTCTGTCGAAGCCGCTCGCACGTACCAAAAGCCTGGAGCCGCAACCCTAAGGTTCTGTCACCGTCGTGTTGTGGCAAAAGAGACCCATGGGGACAGGGCAGAGGGACCCACGATCCTTGCTTTTGCCTTGATATACATAGTCCCTTCTCCTCCCCCCTCCCTCTGGCTTTAGAGTTTGTGTTCCCGTTCCCGTGTTGTTCCATTAGAGAGACTAGGACCAATCGTGGCATTGCACCGCATTCCATTCATTTGATCTTTTGTTTTTTTATTGCTCCTGTTCACTCGGGGACAACACCTCTTTGCAATATGGCAGAGGAAAACCGCGGAGAGCAGATTGCTGCCATCACCTACACCTTTCTGTTCGTTTCAACCATTGCGTGTCTGCTCCGGATATACTGTCGTGGATGGGTCATCAAGGCGTTTGCGGCCGATGACTGGCTGGCCGTGATTGCTCAGGTAAGTCATTCAATCCCGAAGAGTCCGTGATACAATGCTAACGATACAATAGTTCTTGTTCATCATCTTCTGCTCCTACGAGATTACTGGTGTTCACTATGGAACTGGTCGCCACGTTAAGGATATCCCCGATGGAGGTACACCCAAGGCCATGCAAGTAAGTGGTACACTGATTCCAGTTCCTCATGTGAGGTTTTCTAACATTTCTATAGATGTGGTGGACTTGCGAACCTCTCTACGTCTTGACAAACATGGCCATCAAACTTAGTATCGCCATTTTCTTGCTACGAATTTGTGTCACCAGAATGCACAGAATAATCATTTACGTCGTTATTGGCGTTACCGAGGTTTACAGTCTGTTCTTCTTCCTGCTCTTCGTCCTGCAGTGCAAGCCCACGTCCTATTTCTGGACGCGTGCCTCGGCGGTCCCGCCAGAGGGACACTGCCTGGACGCATCAGTTGTCGCCAACGCCTTTTACGGATACTCGGCCATCTCTTGCTGGACAGATTGGACCTACTCCATTCTGCCAGTCTTCCTTGTCTGGAATTTGCAGATGAACAAGCAAGTCAAGATTTCGGTTGTTGCCATTCTGGCTGCTGGTTGCATGTGAGTTCTACGTTTTATTCTGGCTATTATTCTCGGATTGCCTTGCTGACAGACATGAAATATAGTGCATCTAGTGCAACCATTGTCCGTTTCCCCTATCTCTACTCTTTGACCGATATCGATGACTTCCTGTACTCTACCTCGGATGTTGCCATCTGGTCGACCGTCGAGACCGGTCTCGGTATCACGGCCGCTTGTGTGGCTACTCTCCGACCTCTTCTCAAGACCTTCTTCGGTGGCTCCTCAGCCCGCGGAAACGGCACCTCGGCGCGCGCCGCAGGATGGCACAGGACCGGCAGCGACCACCACACCAAGGGTGGCGACGCCTTTGACATGCACGACGTGACCAACAACAAGTTTGGCGTCACGACTGTTATCGATTACGGCAAGCAGAACGGCAACGGCAACATCGACCTCGAGGGCCAGAAGAACAAGGGCGACGCCGGCTCCGAGGGCTCGGGCTCCATCCACGACAATGACTGGAACAGCAGCGAGTCCAACCTGGCCGACAAGGCCGCCAACGAGGATCTCCGCCACGGCGCCCACTCGCAACAAGGTGGTGCTGGTGCCTGGAACATTACCGTTAAGAAGTCCATTGTTCAGACGAGAAATTAGAAAGGTCCAGGGGGCGAGGAAAGAAAACCCGGTGGTTGCGGTAATGATGAGACACAACTATAGTACCATGATGTAACGATACTTTTCATGGGGGGAAGACGAGACTCCCTTCTAGGTTGGGTTGGCCTTGAAGTGGTAGCACAGTTTCCTGTACAATCTTCGACACACATACTTTTTTTATTATTGTTAAACTCCAGCAGAGAGCGGGATTTGGGATACCCTTTCTAATAACAACCATAAATCAATAAATACAAAGAATTTACATGAACCCTTCTCTTTCCCTTTTCGTGGCCTGGAACGTGGTGTTTCTGTAAACTTTGGGGGCCATATCCACACATACCCCAGATTGACCCATGTCTTGCCATTTCCCGAATAATAGGGGAAAGACAAGGAGCAACGACAAAGACACGTCAGATCAATGCAATTCAGGTCAGTCAGCTTGACCCATGTTCCATTGGGCCGAGAACAAACGAGTCAAATATCTGCATCTGATTTGTCCCCCCACACAGGCAATGCAATTTTGAATTCTCCTTCCCCGTGAATTCCAGGACCGCGGAATGGATCATGCACGACACCGCCGACTCGCATCCCTGTAGCACATCATGGCACCAAGAGCAGGGGGAGTCGGCATGGGTCTTTTTCATTGGACCTTGGCAGGGGGCGAGGGAATAGTTGTTAAGCTTATCGGGGAAGAGGCATCCTCACTGGGCTGAGGAATCTGGAGAAGAAGAAAAAAGTCATACGATTTAGAAATGGGACCATCTACTGCCGCTTGACTGAATTCAGATTAATCGACTACATTATGATATACTGTTAGTTTGAGCTTGTAAACGTCAAATTCAGCTTTCCACGTGGTGGTTTGGGCCAAGCAAAAGTCCGGCAAAGGTTGAAATCCGGCGTTGGAGCCCTACCTATTCTCACCCTTCTCGGCCGACCAATTTACCAGGGCTCGTCGCAAGCCCAGAAGGTCAAGACCAAAGTTGCCTGCCGGGCTCTCAGTAACCGGTGCACGAATTGACGATCACAATTTTTCTAGAAGATGGCTAGCCAGGTATCACACATGGTACATTGAGTAGATTTTTAGGCCAACGGTCTTTGCTGATAGTAATTGCGCTTTCCATTGGCCTTGTCACGAATAACAGAGCATTCATACCAATACTAGATCTTGAAGGGGTCATTTTCGTATTGTTGCCCATTCTATTGTTTATTGCGCAGCCCTTTAAGGCAAACTAACGTAGGTAGTTTAGTTGGGTACCATCACGAAGGAACAGAAGGCATTTTTCACTGTCTCTCCCGCATCCAATCAACCATGACTCGCACGTCAGATATCCTCAAATAGGGCCATTCAATAGCACAACGGGCAGATTCGGGTAAGGCAGATTGGACAAAATTCATGTCAGAAGTAGTGATAGTAGTTGCTGTGAGCAAGAGGTGCGTGGCAATGTCCTCATGGCGGTCCTTTTTGGCGCAGTCGGGCTTGATGCCGGCGACCATGCTGGTAGGGGCATAGCGCGACTATTCTGTGCGCTGAAAGACGAACAAAGTTGGTGGCGATAGGGGATCCTCTGCAAGAACCATCACTGTCAATGATTACATGACCCATTGCCGCGTGGTGCGACATGTCACTCAGTTTCTTTCACTCAGAGAAGTTGCATGTTTCCTCTTCTTCATAGACTTTAGGAGCCTCCGATGTGCTTTCGGACATCGAGACACGTCGAGGTGAGGTCTAGAACTTGACTAGCTGCGGCCGTACAGGTTTAGCCATGTACAGCGCGGCAAACACTGCGACGTCGTGTCGCTGGTTGTGTGTGTCTGCATTAGTGAGCCCGACGCGAAACATTCTTGTCAGTCAGTCGGCCGAACCCCTACGTTAGCGTACCCGAACACTCGATCGTTGCAATGGATGGGATGTATGGGCTGGATGAATTGGTGGGCAGTAATGCTCTAGCAAAGATTACAGGTTTGTTTTCTCAGTACTTTGCCCCCCTTGATGGGCAATGCTCTTCCATGCGCATGGGCTCTTCACAGGCCACTCGGTCAGTAGCCCCAGCGGCCGCTTAGGGGGCTCTAGGCGCCCTACCAGTCGCACCCACTCAGGCAATGCTCCTAACGGGTCCTATATGGGTAGTACCTAGGCACATTTATACGGACTATAATCAAGACCGACACAGATACATGAGCGCAGACCCTCTCATTAGTAAGCTTGAGGGCCTTTGGGAGTTTCATCAACAGATGGAGAACATTGCGACACTTCAATGCTTGATTGCACGTCAATAGAATCTTCATGGCTTACTTACAGGGCACCCATGACTCCAAATGTATGCCAAGCATATCGCAGCCTGTGATTGGAACCCACGTATGTCCAATGTGGCTGGACACAATAGCAACATAGCCTCAATGCCTACCTGCGAGCGGCGGAATGTGTATCTTGCTGCTGTCGCCTTTGAAGTAATTCTCGCTGTTCTTCCCAGCAACAAATGCCCGGGTAGATAGTAAAGATGCAGAACTCTGGCAATGTCGCAAGGAGGGATATCGCCGCGGAGAGCTATGCTGCTGCCCTGAAATACCTTGAAAATGAGTTTGAGGGCAATTCCAAAGCCTTGACATGGCTTCAAAATGCAAAATCGACGTCGCTTGATGATCTCCTCGGGATTTCAAGGCAGGCCGAAGCAAAATATGATCAGGCGGCACAAGGAAAACGCAGCGTGAAAGCATGGATCCGGGGCTTGTCCAAGCGAATACTATATTATGGACAGGTGCTCGACACGCTGTCTCAACACCATCCTGAATACGTCTCGCTGGTCTGGGGTATGGTAAAGTTTGTTCTCATGGTATGAAAATCAAAGCGTTATATAACAACCACGATAATATTGGCTAATCTCGCACATATAGGGCATCCTCAATCATGCCAATCTTGTGACGCAATTTGCGCAGGCACTATCCATAATTGCGCAGGTCCTTCCGAGGACTGAAATTAACGCAGAATTATACCAGACTGACGAAATGAAAGAAGCCATCGCAAGCCTATACGCCCATATCCTGCTCTTCCTCCAGCAGGCTACAAAGTGGTACAATGTCGGACCGGCAGGCCGAGCGCTCACAGCCCTGTTCAAGCCTTTTGAGCTTAGTTACAAGGATACCGTTGAGCAAATCATGCTCTGTGCCCAGACGATTGATGACATTTCGAGCCTGGCCTCGAGGGTAGAAATCCGGGAGATCAAGACGTTTCTTCAAGGAGAAAGCAAGCGACTCGAGGAACGAGAGACAAAGCTGCACGAAATGCAAGCCCGATTTCATCAGGCTCAGGCAGAGCTTTCCGAAACCGTCGACAAGGTTCTTCAAATAATCACGAGTAAGCGGATTGTTTCTCACCTCACAAAGTTCTAGAATACAGCTAATGGCATGCCCAGGCGAGAACAGGAAAATCGATCAAGTCCACCTCAACGTGATGGACATGAAGCCTAGACTTGTTGACATGCACTTCAACCATGTTCTGGGAGTCTTGAAACCAAAGCGGTCGCCTGAAGATGCTCTTCAGAAGCACAGATCCTTGATACGGCGCTCATCTCCATGGCGGAGTCAGAATCGAGACACCTTTGAGATATTTCAACGCCTTGGCCAGTGGATCTCGGCACCAAAGACGTCCCTGCTCGTGCTGCAGGCACAACCTAGGGCACAGTCTCGAGTCAAGGAGATTGCAACGCAGTTGATTGGCACTCTCCAGCCCACCTCAAAGAGGGTCATCTGGTACCTCTCAAGTATCAGCTTTGCGGATCTGGACGCGGTTTCCGCCATCGAGGTCTTGCGGACTCTCGTGTATCAGTCTATGAAGCTGGAGCCAGGTCTGGTCATCTCTCAACCCGAGAACTTCAACACGGCCAAGCTTCACGCCTCGCACACCGAGTCTGAGTGGTTTGACCTGCTGTGCTCCATCCTGCGGCGACTGGCCACGTGTTTCATCATTGTCGAGGCCGAGGATGTGTTTAGAGATGAGGAGGAAGCCAACAAACTCGTCCAAGCTTTCGAGATGCTAGCAGATCGCTTTCAGAGCGCGGGCATGGCCATCAAGCTACTCCTGGTCAGCTACGGGCCGGTTCGGAGCAGAAAAGCCACGGAACAGCAATCAAACTCGGGAGTCTTGGTCGTGGGTAAAGACTCGCCCGTACCTCCACGCCTCCGAAAACCTGGATCTCGATCACCCCATCAAAGTGTAGGCTGGAACGGACTGGGCAGAAGGCTGTGACCGTTCAATGGGTCCTCTTCACATCTTCACGGAGAAATTCGACATTAGCAAGGGATGTCCAATTACTGTGAGATGAGTCAAGGTCGTGATGGCGTTATTTAGAAACCATATTCCTTGCTGCACAGCTTAGCACGAGAAATGAAAGCTATAACCAGGCAGTTGAAAGTCATTATGGGGGTCTCGAAGCGTAAAGTCTACACGGCGCATAGCAGTTCTGCTTCAAGCACAATCTTGCCCTCCTTATATCTTTCGCTTTTTTCCTTGGCTTTGTCGTACTTCCAGCCCATGACCTCGCCGCATCCGAGGCATCTGGCATCGCGCAAAGTATGCATCCCAGTCGTCATGGACTTCTCCTGTGGCATTCCAAAGTCCACATTCTCGACGTTGGAGAAAAGATAAGCCTTGCCGTGCTGACCACGAAAATTCTAGTTGTCTAGTCAGTAAAGAAAAAAGCCATTGGGGGTAGTTGTGACGGACTCTACTAATGATACTCTCATATAGTGCGAGGAATGTCTTGCAACTTTTACAGCCAAATTTTCTCAGATCAGACTTGGATCCGGGCGTCTGCGAAGTCTGCACGGTGGCGGACAGCGGGGCATATTTCGATTTTGGAGTAGTAACAGGAGATTGGCCGACTTCGACGTGCAGCCGCTGCGCAAGGCAAACCAGCTTCTTTCTGCGACTCTCGTTCTCGCTCGAGAGATCCTCCGAAATGGTACGTTTCAGAGAGGCTGCTGGCTGACTTGTTGCTGTTGCGAGTCCGTTCTGATTTAATGGCGATCGACGTTCGCTACCAATGAATCCTGCCTGTAAACTAGGCGTCCTTGGCCCCGACTGGCGAAGCGATACCAACTTGTCAGATGTAGACATTGTTGGTGGCCCGGTTCGCCCATTGTCAACTCTTGAAATCATTTTCCCCATCGGATGGTGTTGATATCGATTTCGAGGCATCTGAATTCACATCATCTTTCCTCCACCCTCTTTCCTCCCCCCCTGCTGCACCTGTACCAGTATGCAACTACACTGTACTGGAACGCCTGACCGCAGCGTGCTCAGCCTCCCCCAACACAGATAAGCCTGCTAGTGACATCCTATCAGCGCCTGCCACATAGCAACGGGGCGACGCTCACTCGCATTTGCGACGTCAGTCCTGCACCAATCATTGCTTAATCCATGAATCTCTTCTTTTCATTCACTTTTGCTTCTTTCTTTCATACGCGGGAATAGCCCACTTATGTCCAACAGCTGCGCCCGCCCAGCAGCTAGTGGAGAAAACATCTACATACTTCATAGAAAGATCACCAAAATTGAGTGAATTTTGAAGACTACGAGGTACCTCTACTGTCCTACGCTACTTTGGTGATTTGAGGACTCAAGGCCTCCCCCAAATTTTTCCAGCACCCTTTCGCAGACGTGTGCTCAATTGATGTAAATATCTAGTGTATACAATCAGGATCCGGATCGCGTCAAAAGGCTGTAGTGGCCCGAGCCTCGCGACAGACGGGCATATATATCAAGTTACGGCTTGACCACTGCCCCGAAACATTCATAGTTGTTTCTGACGGCACAATTTCAATCATTCTGGCGGCCCAGCCTGCAACAAGTGGCTGCAACCATGGAATCATCTCTTGCGGCCATGGCAGAAGCTCGTGCGAGGTCCAAACGTGCCAGCAGCGCCCTTTTGCTGCCCTCTGGGAAACCTTTCAAACGTCGGCGAAAATGCTCAACAGATTCCAATCAAAACAACGTTAGATCGTTGATTGTGCACAGAGTCCACTGCTCACAGTCCATGCCTGGGCACGATCGGCACGATCCCAAATTGTATCTGGACCAGCCTCGCCTCTTTGCGGGAGATACCAAGGCGAGCGCTCTGAGAGGCCAAGAGTGTATACAAAACAGTCTGGAAGACTACTTGGCTGTCCAATTTGACATTGGACTGGTAGTTCTTCGCACGTATGAGTGCACCGTCTATGCAACCGTCATCGACGATGAGTTTACCCTGTCGCATCTCCCCGATGCGGATTCAGAGACGGCCGCTGCATTGCGCCCATACTTTTACAGGTTGCAGGATAACCCGGTCGAGCCAGCACAGCCGTATGACGAGTCCATTGTACTGTCTAGCGATACCCAGTCTGCCATGAATGAACTCAGAGCGGCTCTGCCGCTTCTACTGTCCGGATGGAAAGCCAACTTGCAGCCGCCCTATTTGCAAATTTTCCATGTACGAGATCGGATCCGGGCTCTTGCGCCGGAAGTCTTGAGCGAACACCACCAGGCTCTTGTGCTTGGCCTTCTCGACTACGTGGAGGACTCATTTGGCGCCGAATACCGCGAGGCAGACGCATTGTTCGCGCAGGGCATGGTAACCAGAGGCCACATGAGCAAGCTCTTTGGTCCAAATGAGATTATTATTACTACCGATGGCGGCGAGCCGACTGCATATGTTTCAGAAGTCATTCCTGTTTGGGATCGAGACGAAAAGCTCTTACGTCTTCGATGTTATCATTGGATCTTTGATGGCGTTTTTCACCAAGAGCAGAAGACAATCATAATTACCTGGCCAGCCACCAACGAACCGATTCCCATCACAGATCTCGCAGCTTATCCCTTGCGATTTGATACGACCGGACAGATAGAACAGCATCTGCGAAGCCGAGGAAACATGTTCTGGTCATGTCGAAAAAGGAACCTTGTTGCATCTGTCGCTCAGTCAGCCCCATTCCAAATCCGCGTGGTGATATAGCCCCTCCCCGCTTCAGCCTTTGTATATTTTGGCTAATGCGGATCATACATGTAGTCTAATCCTCGCTATATGATTGATACTGTTACGTATCACGAGCTGCATGAAAAAGCGGCGAGTCAAAGAGCCGAGAACAGCACAACTCGGCTCAGTCAAGAGCTTATGGATTCCGAGACGCCTCCAGAGGGATCTTTTGTCCTGCTTCTCCCACCCAGAATTCTAGGTTTTGGGATGCATGACAAAAAATGGAGTAAGCAGGCTATGGCCTTTTACAACCCTCAATGATTGACTCGTACGATTAAATGATGAATTCTTTCTAGGAACTCTGCTGGTCAAGGATCTCCGTCCGCCCGAATGGAACAAGCGGGCCTTTCGTCAACTCGTTCTGGATCCGCAAAAGAAGGAGCTCATGGAAGCCATGGTCAAAATACACATATCTTCGACCATGTCAACGGATGTGATTGAAGGCAAAGGAAACGGGCTTATCATTCTTCTCCACGGCGGGCCCGGCACGGGAAAGACCTTGACTGCAGAGAGCGTTGCAGAGCTGGCGGAGAAGCCTCTATATCGAGTCACCTGCGGAGACATTGGCACGAACCCTGAAAGCGTGGAGCAGTACCTTGAAAGCGTACTCTATATTGGAACCACGTGGAAAGCAGGTGAGCAGGAGGGTCGCTCGTTGTGCGGCAAAGCAAGCTAATGGCCTTAAGTCGTGCTCTTGGATGAGAGTGATGTCTTTCTTGAAGAACGTGAAAAGACCGATCTCCAACGAAACGCTCTAGTATCTGTCTTCCTCCGGGCACTCGAGTATTACGAGGGGATCTTGATTCTGACATCCAACAGAGGTGAGACCTGATCTCATATTTCAATTCGCGGATATACTGATAATATAAACCATCAAGTCGGCATATTTGACGAAGCCTTCAAATCACGAGTCCAGTTGGCTCTGCACTACCCACCCCTCGACTACAAGGGACGGTGGGAGATTTGGAACAACTTCTTCAGCCTGCTCCGACGACAGCAAGAGAACAAGCAGTCCGTCGCGGATGGCTTCAGCAACGTTACCCTTGCGGATGGCGAGAGTATTTCCCAAGAAGAACTGTGCGATAAAATTGACGTGCTGGCCAAGGAAGAACTTAACGGCCGGCAGATTCGCAACGCCATCACCACGGCTCGTCAGCTCGCCCGCTTTCGTGGCCAGCCCCTGGGCTTTGCTCATCTGGCCCAGACCATTCGCATTGCCAATGAGTTTGAAGAGTATGTTGAAAAGACGCATGGCCACAAGGCTGGCGACTATGCAAAAGCGGCGGGGATGAGGCTGGAGTGAGTCGACAGGCCATGCCTGCCACCCATATGTTGCTGTTAGAGGCTATCAGACTATAGGCAGTGTTTGAGGTGTTGAGATAGTCCATGATGAATCATGGCCAAGTAGAACAGATCCCGATACTCAGTGGAGTCGCATCCCGGCATCCATGATTGCTTAAAAAGCTGCCAATAGGCGGAGAATTTCGCTAAAAAAGATTGACTAATGAAACGGCTAAAGTATAAATTTTGAAAATGCTATGACGCTGGGTATCTGAAGTGCAACAACGCTCGCTTAATACAGATGTTTGAAGTTGGTAGAAATTGAGTATACTCTTTATCCCTCAAGCGAAAGGCCTCGTGGTCGTTGCGACAATGTGAGTCTGGGTGCCCAAGTCGAGGTTCCCCACGTTGGCTAGCTCTATGTCTTCTTCCCAGCATCGTTCATTGGTGCATTCTCTTTTGAGTCTGTCGGTCGACTTTTGGAATCCTCCTGCAGCCACCACTCGGAACGGCGAGACCTGAATATCGTCATCGATGTCGGCCACACTGCCGCTCTTGCTCTTGTCCAGGGCGCCGCCAGTTCGGCTCGAGGTGGTTGTATGAATGTGGATGGACCGCTCGACGGCGACTGATGTTTTGCTTCTGTCTGAAAAGTTGCCTCGGGTGCCACTGTTATCGCGAGATGTGACATATTGGACAATGATCGTATCGGCAAGGACTATTGTTCGGGTCATGTGAGCTTGGAGTCGACACATTTGATCGGGCCAGTGTAAGAAGACTTACGATCCAAGTTGCAAGATAATAGACAGATCCATCCTGGCTCGCCGTTCAGGGCCATCATGATGGCAACGTTACTGTGTTCACATTAGACACAACCTGCCAACCCGGGACTGTTGGATGGCAACTTACAGAACACAGGTGAGTGTGGATGTGACTGCGCCAATGAAGGTCCGCTTGACCAAATCGCGCAGCTTCTCGTTCCCCGAAGTCTTGTCCATGTTGAAGGAATATGAGCGCCTCAGGGGAATCAGGAATAAGATAGTCAAATAGACGTTTACGCCCAGGTCAAAGGACACCAATGGGACCAAGACAGGTCTTTGCATCCCAATTACACATTTTCCATTGTCGAGATACGTGATTCGGAAGACAAAGTTGAGAATTCCAATGATGATGAAAATGGCTATGGACTGTTAGTTGATGATTTTTCTGGATTTGCGCCCGGGATACGATGGAGTAAGGACTTACTCAACATGCCGAATGAGTTGAAAATGTACAGTTTGGACTCGAGTCTCGAATTTCTGCCACCTCCCCAGACAACAAACTGCATTATATCAGCACAATGGTCAATGGTTCAACCGGGAGAAATACTTACAGCCTTTTCGACTAGGAAAAAGTAAATCAACTAGACAAGTTAGATTGATTCAGATATTATGTCCCGGAGCAATTCAACGTACCACCTGTCGAAATGATCAGTACGGCGCACTTGCCAAAAGCTCAATGTAGTACTCACCTTGGTCGAAATGTAACAAGCCAAACACAGGAAAATGGCCGTGGAGCACATGTCAAAGTTGTTATTGATACCAGGTCCCCAGCGTAGGATCATCGATATCGCCACAAATAACCAAGAGTCGATGTAAATGGCCAAGATGACTGCGACGATATCAGCTACTGTTTGACTCCCAATGTAACCCATGCATTTAACCTACCCCAGCTGGTCAATGGTGCCTTTTTCCATGATGTGATGAATGTGAAACGGAGGGCTATCATTCATTAGATTACAACAGTCGACTGCTTTCGTAGCAATGATGACGAACCAAAGAATGCCGACAATAGAGTCAGGGAGATGATGGCCACAATCATGCTACAAACGGTAGCAGCCAAGGGCACCACAAACAGTCCCTGGCCCTCTGGAGTTTCATGACCTGCAGCCCGTGCACCAAGAGAGTCCTGCGGTGTTGCCATGTTGTATAGTCGAGATGCCGCGCTCCATGAACGGGCGGCACGGGAAGAGCCAGACACGGAATGATGTCGTGTTAACCCTCCGAGTAAGAAACGGGGATCGGAATTTTGAAAACGTGGTGCTCAAGAATAGCAATTCGACATGGGCAATTTTGCAAAGAAAAACGATGTCCCGTCAAAGGCAAGGAGGGCGCATGAACTCTATTTAGGGACAAGGCCTGCCCACGCACCAGTGACCCCCATTCTCCCATCCACTTGATGCCATTGTCCATTTTCTGCATCCATCAGGACGGGCCAGAGGGAGGGCTAGGCAATCCCCGAGGACGCTAATCGCGAGGGCCGCACGGGGTGGATGGGTGCTAGAGGCCTGGCGGTTCTCGACCCCAAGCGTAAAAAGACGGCTTAGTTACGATCTAACAGTGTTCAGCTCTCCAATCACGACGTAACTCTAATTCCCAATGGCCAGTTCAGCCTGCTTTTCTTCCTCCTCCCAGCGTCTTGACCCAAAATGGGTGTGCCCGAGTATAGCTTGCATGCTGCAAACCAATGGCACTAATGCGGCTCTTTTGTGTAATCATTGCAATCCGTCCAATCCCCTTGGACCAGAGAGCCGGTGTAGTGGACTTGAGCCCTACGATCGTACAAGCCAGCACGTGCGTGGCGTTGCAGGCACAGAGACCGTTGAAACTCTGTGTGGTTCCCCCCTTCTGGCTATGATGTCGAGTCAGTGGACACTCTGGGGCTTTTTTGGAAGATAGTTGGGTTCAGAGGGCTCTCTCCCCGTTGACCGATTCCTCAATGTGATGGGCGATCTGTACTGATTTGCAAGTGCAGGATCGGGGGCAGTCTCACTTTGGCTGCAGAACGCAGAGAGCAAGTCAATGTTTTGTCCCCCGTGTCGCGTTACTGAGTTGCTCAGAGACCGGTCCCGAGACAAAAAAAAGCCACTTTCATAATACTGCATTCACAGGGGGCGACAAGAGCGTTGCCAAGGAGTTTTCCCCTTTTCAGACTCGACAATATCGTGAGCTCAGCCAAAATGGTGTCTTACTCTTGGACGGACAAGAATATATCCAGTCCGGACTTTTATTCTTCTTCTACACCAAAGGCGGGTAAGAAAAACGGACTAAAGAAATTGTCGATTTTGAAATATAGATCTGGGCCGTGACGGGACCGAATAAAGAGACAGCCGCCGTCTGTTCAAGGCTGTCCAGTTCCAGAGTCGAGACCGATGACTCGATGACTTGGAATGGATAGCACCGATTTTAGGGTGCTCGGACCCTCAACCTCGAGGTTGAACGATAAGGTGAACACATGTAGGTTCGCTGAAATGTTTTTTTAGACTGCCCTTGTCAAAAATTGTCATCTTTTGGTCTACGACGCCGGTATGCAAAAATTCCAGCTGGATGGTTAGCAGTGGGTCGCTGGATGCCAATGGTGCTGATGAGAGATGTGTGGGGAACTTGCCAAGGTGAAATCATGGTATTGTAATTTGTGCTCATTAATGGCAACTGAAACATAACCTACGCAAAGAATAGGTAATAATGGGAAAGATCTCAGACACGGATAGAAGCGCATAGATTTTCAAGATCCATCAAGAGAATGTCTTGAATGGCCATCGTTTCGGCAGGCAAAGACATTCCCCGAAGCCGTCCGTGTCTCGGAAACCAATTCAATTGCTCGTTGCCCTGAAGCGTTGCAAGAGTCTCTCGATGAAACAAGCTTCAAGTCGACATACTGATCGAAGACGACAGGCTGTAGGGCGAGACCACGTGCGGTCTGGCCGGCGCGGGTGCTAAGGGTTAGAACATGCGCAGACCAAGTCCTCGTAGTAAGTAGCGCTGCTCGTCCATTGCGCGGAGGGTCGGATAAAGTTTTGACTGTCACTGACTGTTGATTATGGGCACGTTTTTTGCTTGTAGCTAGTTGGCCACCAGCGCTGCCAGCCAACTATCTAGGCTAACCCTTTGTGCGAATGATTTGCTCATCAACTTGTGTTGAGGTTGCTTCCCAGGTGTTTACCGTCTGTTGTTTACCCAGACCGACTCTTGCCCTCTACTCTAAATTCCACGTGTTTGGGTATTGGGGTAAACTCAAACAGTCAGATAAGCAGCCATTAGCTGCACATGACGGATTTTGCAATGGCATACCTGTTTTGGGATGGCTGCTCGTGATTTGGGCCTGCATTAGCAGACCAAGTTCAGGAGGCAGCTGGTGGACAGTAATTCATAGCCTTGATATTTCAAGGGCCAGGTGGTGGTCAAGGCCTTCACATGTCCGAATAGAACTGGCAGCTGTCTCCGTGTCACTCATCAGTAGCTCTTCTTTTCATCGTTGCACTTTCACTTCCGGGGATATTGATGCACCCCGACGGCTACCATATATATATTTGTTGTAATGTGGTTTGCATCTTCTTGTCGCATATCCCTGTTTGCAAACTAGATGGTTCAAATCCAAGGAGGCGTTCTTTCTTTGGCCTAGTAGCCAACTCGGTCTGCACCGGCCGTAATCCACGGTATTTGAAGTTTGAACTCCTCTATTAGTCTTGTAAGCAAGCCCGGGTAGCTTCATTCTCTGTACCGGAACCAAAGATGTCTAGGGTGAAGGCTTATCCACCAACCGTGCCGTGTCGCCGAACCTGCAACGGATCCATCGTTTGCACGATGCCTGTAGCCACATCTGGTATAAACGGTAGCTTGGATTCCTGCGTCATCAGACACAAGTCCGGAGACCTGTTAGTTGGAACTGTTCAATCGAAAGAAATTGGCAGTAATGTTTGCCAACAGTTGTTAATCAGGCAATGGGACCGCCCCCTCCGAAAGGATTATGTCTGCACAGTCTATGTAAACTTATATATATTGCAAACAGCTAATTCTCTCAAAGATTCTCAAGCTTTGAGTGACCAGGTCAGCTTTCTGAAAAAGAATTGCCAGGGCCATCCAGCGCTGAAGATGAGTCAAAAGATAGGTCAAGCAGTATGACATAACTTCTGAGCCCGCTCAGTTACACACCATGGTGAAGAATCACCATGGCACTCATGCAGAAATATGCTTGCAGTTCCAGGAATAAGTAGAAAAAAGGTTCGTACTAGAGCCTGGAGTCAGTGCGTCGTTGAAAAATGTCTAAATTTCCTTTATTACCTAAATACTTTCCAGGAAAACTGCCGGAAGGGTCACACTCTAGGCGGCGGAATACAAAGACAGCCACTATATCCTGACCAATCAACCTTTTCTGAAGCGCTACCTATATTGTACCATGAGAGCGACCAATATAATTCTTTCTACAAGCAAGCGCAGGCAGCAGAACACATTTCAGTCGTAGGTGCATCTAATCTCTCACGGATTCCCGCCACCATGAGGCTGAGCATAATTTTCAAGGGCGCCGAAATCCAAATTCTCCTTTTCCGATGCAGAAACCTTATTATGGTACCTTGCAGGCACCCGCCAACGAGACGCCGAGCTCTCGCCTTTCTAACAAGTAATTCGCACTACCCTTTTTTTTTTTTTTTTTTTTTTTTTCCAGCACCGAGAACGGACCAGGTTCACCAGACATCATGCAACTCAAACATATATATTACCCTGTAACTGTGGAGAAGGATTGCCCCTTCAAGAGAATTGCAACAATTTCCTCGGCTCATCTCGAGCTAGAACCATCATCGACAAGTATTCAACAAATTTAACGTTATCCACTCCTCGGTCTGTGGTAGCTACAATGCGTCTGCTTTCCCTGGCTACGATAGTAATGGGCATTGCTCTTTCGCTCGGTGTTCTTGTGCCCTTGGTTGGAGCCATTCCTCTAAAAGGCGCGCCTCTGCAGCTGTTGCGCGCCCTGGAGCGTCGTGAACCGCCCTCAGCACTTCCGGAAAAGGCCACGGATGATCAGAAGAAATTCCAGCCAATTATGGATTTTGATCAAGATGGCTGCTACAACACACCTGCAATCGACTCCAACAATAAAACCGCCGGCGGTCTGAGACATGACTTCACAGGTGGCGAAGGTAAGAGAGCATACTTCATTCCGTGCTTCTATCATTCACCATGATAATTTGGTCTATATGCTGATTCTGGGACTTTCAAGCCGCCTGCCGCGACGCCTCGGATCTCCTCAACAATAACGTCTACGTGCGCACCCGCTGCAACGGAGGCTGGTGTGGCCACGTGTACGATTACTACTTTGAAAAGGACGTGGCGGTCCAGCACTTCTTCGACGTTGGTGGCCATCGCCACGAGTGGGAGCATATTGTGGTCTTTGTCAAGAACGACGTTGCCGAAGTGGTTGCGGTGTCGCAGCACGGGGACTATGATACCTGGCTGGCCAGCGACGCCACCTTTCAGGACGGTACCCACCCGATGGTCGTATATCACAAAGAAGGCGGATCGACGCACGCTTTTCGCATGGCCGACAGGGACGACTGGTGGGCCGAGAACCACAGTAGTGCTTGGTATCTTGGGCCACTTATTGATTATGACACTGGGTTTCCCGATGGCGTTCGGGATGTGCTGGTGAATCATGACTTTGGCCGCGCGACCATGGCGATCAAGGATGGCGAGTTCAAGAAGAACTTGGATTATGCCCGCAACAACCTCGTCGAGGGCTTTGACAGTGGTTAAGACATTTCGCACGGATAGGGATGGGGGACAAGTCCGAGGCCATACGCTGTACTAAGAAGTGGTGGTTTCCCTGGAATTGCAGGACAGCATGGCCTCGTTCAGTGGCACAGTTATCAGTCATATTAATATAAATATCGTTCATGGCACAAAAGATACATGGTTATGAGCAGTTGACCTTCAAGAAGCCCTCAGCTTGTAATCTACATGAATGGGCCTCTTTTCTACAAGTAGAAACGTCCGAAGATCTTCCCATTGAAGCTGCTTACCTTGTGAAGCCTGAAAATCAAAATTCCAGAGCAGCTTTGACATGATGAGCCTCATTTCAGCCCAGGCAATGTGTTGTCCCATGCAATTGCGTGGACCAACACTAAACGGCTGCATTGCTTGGCGCTGGTCCTTGTAAAACGGACTGCTCGTGTCCGTAGTCGATTCTGGTAGCCAGCGTTCGGGGATAAACTCTAGGGCTCTGTGGAACATGCCCTCATCGCGGTTCATGGTGTACACTTGTATAGAAACCTGAGTCTGCAGGGCCAAATGATTAGTATTCTCAATCACAACCTCGAGAATGAAAAGGATGCAACTTACCCCTTCAGGGAGCCAAACTCCACAAACCTTTTCCCCATTCTTGGGCACAACCCTAGGCAGCATCCATGGAATTGGCGGGCATAGACGAAGGCCTTCATTGAGCACAGCTGTGAGATATGTAAGATCATTGAGTTTAGCCACGGTAATCTTGTCCTCGCTTTGGAATGCACTGCGGACTTCGTTGACCAGAATGGCAAGCTTTGATGGGTTGTTGACAAGATAATTGAATGTGCCACCGAGAACCGTTGCAGTCGTCTCACTCCCCGCCGTCGTCAATACCATGAAAGTTGCATTGATCTCGTCCTCTGATATGGTCTTGTCAATCTCCGCTTCAATCGCATGGTGCATGAGATCCGGGCGCTGCAATTCAAAATTGCGACGCCTGTTGGCCTTGTCCACAATCTGTAGATAGTGGTTCTCTGCCTTTTTCTTGAGAGAAGATGGGATGCACTTCATCAGTGCGTATTCGATTGCCGGATAGAACCGTGCTGCGGCAACCATGGAGGCAGCCTTGACGCTGTTGAACAAGAGCTCGATCCAAGCATGATATCGTGAGTTCTGCAGGCAGTCAAATGACTCTCCAAAGCCGAGATTCCCAAAGACGTCAAATGTAGTGAACATGAACCAAACAGAAATGTCAACCGTCTTGACTTGGCCAGCTTTCACCGTGTCCAAACCCTCCCGAAGCCGCTGGACTAACAAATTGACATATCTCTGTATCATGGGTTCCTGCGACCGCAATGCACGGGCAGTGAAACCTGGAGCAATGGTCTTGCGGATGCGGGCGTGATTATCCACGTCAAGGGCATTAATGATGGACAGTGGCTGTCCCGGCTGACGATTCCACCACACCGGATCTTTGAGGAATTGAGGGCGGTCAGGCCGGAACTGAAAGATGTCGTTCCAAGCTGCAGGGTGCGCAAATGTCACCTCATTCGGTGCGATGCGCAAAACCGGTCCATACCTCGCATGGAGCTTCTGGATATCATGGACTATTGTTCCTCGCAGGAGAGATGCCACAAAGGGAAGACGCGATGCCGACCATGGACGCGGGCCAGGCACTTGAGATAATGGATGTAGGTAGAGGTTGTAGATCCATTGAAACGCAAGATACTACAAGATTCTGTTTTAGTCAATCTTGGGCGACAGAGGTAGTGTTGCTGCACAAGACTGCTTACCGTTGGCAGTACAGCTATCAGGGCCGTTAGCAAAGTCGAGGGTGCAAGAATGGCAGTCATGGCAACGAGAGATGATATCCGAGGTTTTGCAATGGGGTTTTACATGCTGCCAGATCCAGCGCGCTGTCAAGACCAAACAATTCAAAAATAAAGGTCAGCAACACTCTTTATTTGACGGTCTCGACAGACCCGTGAGATCAAAGTCGATCCTACAAGCAGACGGCACTAACATCTTGCATACAGTAGCGGGCTACACCCGGCAAGGGACCCCGCTCTAAATAGGAACCTTCCCTACAGGGGGTCTGGCAACAAAATGAAATCGCGACAAGGTCAGGAAATAGAACGAAGCGAAATCTAGATTACTGCTATCTTTGGTCACATCAATGATAACGGTAGCTCATAAGTGCATTGATTTCTGCTACCATTTCCCTGAGAATCGACATCATAATTTTGATGGAAGCCCAGTGGTTATAGGTCTCTCCTACCCGAACCTTTCCTTTACAATCGCTCAATTCCTGAAGCACTTGAGCCTGGAATCCTGGGAGGGATCACCTCATGCTTGCTCTTGGTTTACATTTCCCTTAACACTGGCTTACGTATGCACGATAGCAATCAAATAAATCACGAAGTTATTCAAAAATGAGTTGACGTGCTCAAGTATAGAGTGTTGTGCATCTGACAATTTCGTGGCGAGATGTTGAATCTATACTTGAAGAGTTCGTACCGCGCGTCGGCCTTTTAGTCCTTTGTTGTTACGATAGTCTCTCCCAACACTACAATGCCGCTCTTGGTCTTGTCCATAACCTCGTCTTCTGCTTCGGCAATCCTCTTGGCATTGTCGGGTTCCTGCATGAGTGCGATGAATTTCCCAAAAGCAGCCTGGTCAGCAAAGGTGAGTTCCGCAATGGCATCATAATCAAAGTCCGCCTGTGAGCCTCGCGGGACTGTAGCTGGGGTTGTTGGATTGCGCTCAGTTTCACCCTTGCCTTCCTGAACAGAAACAAGACAAAATTCAAGTCAGCTTATGCTCATAGTTGTCGCTAACAACAAAACTTACGGTGCGGAGGAGGTATCGGCGGGTATGTGCAAGAGGAAAGTGTTGGCCGGTGATTTCCTTGATGAGAGGGATAAGGGCTTCACACTTGGCGCGGAACTCTGCTGGAGTCACGCCAGGCTTGCGATAATTGAAAAGTAGAATGCTAAAGGTCATGGTGGATTGGGTGATATCGGAATTAAAACAAGATGACCTGTACTAGGAGTAATTGTCTGTAGAGCAGCTAGGAAATAATGATCAATTTCTCCTGACGAGTGGTCGTGTAAAAAGATGCAAAGAGTTTGAGAAGACTATTTTCTCACTTCCACCTGGATGCTTATCTAGTACTAACTATGTTGAGTTTTGCTTGGTGTTTTAACGATTATTCGATAATCCTATCATCTCATAACGGGAATACCTCAACGTCCATAACGCCCTACGCATGCCCTGGCGATTACAACATTTTGGGCTCCCAATCATTACACGTTGGCTCCCTTGAACAACCCGTTATGCTGCATGGTTCATTGCAAGGTGCTGGAAACTCCCCACCGAACCATGTTGCCTCCCCACATAACTTCCAAGGTTGGCCTATTTCACCCTTGAAAGCCCCTTGAAAGCTGCTCCGTAGGGCAGCTGTGCCGCACAATAATCAATTGACATATGTACTCTGTAGCCCCGAGATCAGAGATCCTTCGTTTCTTGTTCCAACGTGATACACAGTCTCATTCTGACACGATAGGCATTTTGATCCGTTCAAGACCGACATCACCGAGGTCACCAAATACTGGTAATTAATAGGTGGGTTTCGATAATCACATATATAAGGTAGACTGGGGAATGTGTACTTGATATACTAGCAGCGATTATCATGTTGGCGAGATGCGGCACGGAGATGGACTGGGGCATCGGCAGCCCCCTGACACCCGTAAGACACCGGGTCACAAGAATTAGCGCTCAAGGCCCTGTACCCGAACTCGCAATTTTGCACCGGATCGAAAACTTTCAACGACTACATCCTGTTGCTCTTTTCTCTTCTATTATAACTACCGTGACAATCATTAACACTGACTGTCTGGTCGAGTCCTCTAGATTTCTCTTGGAACAGCATCCACCAAATCGTAACGATTGAAACGATCATATCACCCAGAAAATGCCATTCTCCCAATACATTCCCCACATCGCCGCCTTCCTGGCCTCCGTCCCGGGCCTAATTGGTGTAAAGGGCCTGTTGCGGCCTCAGGAGCTCCTCGCCCAAGTCGAATTTCCCGCTCCCACAACACCCGAGGCCGAGCTGCTCTCTGATGCGCTCGTGCGCCTCACGGGGGCACGCAACATTACCATTAGCTTGCTGATCCTGGCGGCTTGGTACCGAGGCGACCGCAAGCTTCAAGGGTGGTCCATGATCATTTTGAGTCTCGTACCAGCCGTCGATAGTTATGTCAGCTATCAGCTCACCGGAGGCGGCCACGAGAACCACCTGCCCGTGGTTTTCGCTAGCATTGGGCTTGGCTTGGCGCTGTTGCGATAGATTTCCGGCGTTGATTCGCAGTGCGGTGTTGGTGATCATGGTATGAGATGTCCCATAGAAAATGACAGCGTCCGCGGGCTTTCAAGGGGCATGATGAAGGATTGGCATCGCCGATAAGCTCGGATGGAGGGATGTCACTAACCTAAATGGTTTCTACAACTCTTGTACAAAAAATCTTGGGGTAGCTCAGTCCACCACCTTTCGGATGGGCAGTAAATACACCGACGCGCAAGTACTTGTTTTGCTTTTTAGATAGGCAAAAGATGACATCATATGCGATCCTTTGGCTTAGATGTTCTTCTGAAGGAGAGTCAACAATCGACGTACCATACAATCTATCCACCGTGCTCGCACGTCTAAATGCTTGGCTGTGGGTGGAGTCCCAGCAATCATTCAGCTGCGTTCATCAAAGTTAAAAAAAAAAAAAAAGCATCGAATAATACAAAATACCTGGCAATTGTCTATTTATGAATCATCTTATTGCAGCATGGCAACTGACAGCGTGGAATAAGCGAACGGACCGGGTTATCAAGGTCGCCAGAGTTCATCGCGATCTTCCAGTCCGATAGGAGCTTGACTTTGCAATTGGTAGTGCTTGTCTCATTCAGACGAACGTCAAGATTACCAATCAATCAGGTCATCACTGCTAACAGTGGCATAGAGAATGACACTACGTGTCAAGTAATGCTTTGAAACACAACCTACAATTCCATAACATGATGTGAGGGGCTTTATACGAACAAGTCTGTCCAATCGCTCCATAACACTGAAGCTGTACTTTCAGCTGGTTTATGAGGAGGCCGGCATGTCATTGCTGTCCGAACGAGAGCGGGATACAGATGCCCTAGCTTGTCAATGAGATAACCGAAGCCACATTGCAGACTGCAAGTCTAGGATATCAAAAGGAGCACAAAACATTAGTTTGCTATTCGGCCACTCTTGTCAAATACAGCCTCATATCTGCATTGTTCCCAAGGCGACACTGGGCAAGTCCTAAGCCAATATCCCTGTCCATGCCAGTCACCGAGAGGCCCGTATTATGGCATGCTGGCCCTGTATCCCTTCAGCCTGCGATGGGCAGTCCAAACCGTACTCTGTTTATTTTCGTGACAGGAATCTAAGAAAAGTGTGGCAGGAACTGAGCCCAATCCAGATCCTGATATGCGCTAGCTGGCATAGAAGTAAAACAATAAAATGTGAGTACGATTAATGCCAGTCGAGCGATCATATTAATAACAAGCGTGCCAAAAAAGAGATTTACCAAAATGATAACGACAATATCAGGACCGTCGTAGTTGGTTCTTAATTTTGAAAATAATCCCCCAAAGACGAGAGGCAATATGGCTGAGCCGAACGCTGCAGCACAAAAGGACTGCCAGATCGTTTGTAGTACGGGCAGAGGAAAGACCCAGTTCCAGGCGGCAAAATGGATACTGGAGAAGACGGCACCAAAGACATAAAAGGCCACTGTACCGATTATGTGGTATGATTCTTCTTCACCTGAGTCCAGGCCAAAACTAGTAGTCACGGCTTCAAAGGTGTCCCAATCGAGGTCGACAATACGTTGGCTCCACTGGAAATGGTCCCATTGAGAGAGGCTCCGCTGGAAATGGTCCCATTGAGATGGCCAACTTGGCTTTTTCCACTCTGGCTCCTTTTCAAGCACTCGAATGCATGATTCTGGTAAAAGGACGACAATGCTACGCTCGACATCAAAAGGCTTGTGCCACCACAGGATGTAAGTGAACAGCGCGCATACGGTGAAAGCCAGGGTCATGAGTTCTAGCTCTGTGATTTGTAGGCCAGCTGCTTTGCGCGCGCAGCTCTGCAACACTAACCAGCTGGCCTGTACCAGCGCAAACACCTTGGTAAACGGGTCGGCCTTGGACCGATCCTTGATATCGGCTTCGTCAACGTTGAATGAGCCGATACTCTCGAGTTTCGCTGGAAGATTCATTTGTGTTAGTCTCGGTACAAGTAGCTCAATGACATAACGTACCAACTTGTGACAGATCTAGAATTTGGGCCTTCTTAATAAACATCTTGCCCTTATCAAATTTTGCGACCGCCTTCATCCGGCGTGCAAAATCGTCGTTGCCAGCCTCGTCGATGATGGAAGTATCAGCACCAAGCTCTTGAGGAGTCTCTCCGTAGAAATGTACCACAAAGCCGCCCATTTCGGCAAACATGGCATGTGCCAGGGTGTACTTTTTGTTTTTGCTGTTAGTGTTGTTGACTCTTTGCATCTCTTGTCGGGCTTTAAAGTGCTGTTTCGCGGCTAGCGACACCACCATTTCGGGCGCGATGGCGCTGAGACCCATGAAGAACAGCTTGCGGTCCCATTTGCGAAGCAGTGGCTTTTCGGGGAAGACTGGGATGCACCACACATGATGCCAGCCCGCCTCGCTCTCTTCGACGGTGGGAATATTGAGATGCGTGCACTTCCAAGAGCAGAGTAGAAATATGGTCAGGCAGCTCCAAATGATTCCCCAGGTGCTGCGTCCAGCGTTGGGCGGCGAAACCCAGCCAACACTGGCCGTTTCAGTAGCGTCCCCGGTGCCGTTGGTGCTGTTCATCTTAGCACTCAGTCAGACGTTACCGATTTGCGGGGACTAAATCGTGGAGATTGTTAGATGCTGATTAATGCAACGATCAGAATAGTCGGACGGGGAACAAGAGATTTTAAATCCACGCGCGACACCAGCTTTGACTACGTGTAATATGTGGCTTGGTTATCGGGCAATTAGGTAGGTACATTGCGTTGAGATTTTCATCTCTTATTGGGCGCCTTATTCTGGAATGTAGGTGTCCCCCTGCACGTTCGGATTCTGAAAGTACTCAGTGGAAAATGGGGGACTCCTCGTCTTGCAGACTGAATTATTGACGATACGATGTCTCGATTTTTGCCCAGACACTCACCCCACCAAAGAACTTCAAGAAGACCGTGTGCCTGTACTTATTTCCGTCGCTTGCACAGTAATAAGAGTAATGACATCTGCAAAAAAACCTCTGAAAGGTAGGAAATCGGGAAGAGAGCTACATACAGTTCGTCTACATAGGTATTTATCGAACGAAGCAGGCTGTGATTATGCACTGCATAGCCCCCCATGAAATAACCAGTTGCAGGCTCAAGTCGTGAAGCATTTGCTTGTTGCAGACTCGCTAAGCTCTAAACAGGCTGCGCCAGGGCATTCTGGGTGTACAAAGTACATTGTAGGTACGCTTCAGGCTTGCCGCCGCCAATCCATTCAGCCATGTACTACATGAGTGAGGCAGTGCATTCAGCCTCTGGCATGCTTTTTCAAAAGGAATTGGTGCAATTTGGGAACTAGCTGAACATGACTGGAAACGAGGCTCGGCCTCTTGCGACCGCAGACTGTGCCGGAATTATCAATGTTTTGTTTACAAAATTCCTTGACCAGGGTGTAGTCAGCCTTCCTTGCCCACGTAGTTTGATGGGAAAAGCTTCACAATCGAAATGCCTAGGGTCGCCGTTCTTGACTTTAAACAAGACAATTTTCCCTCTCGACTCCCGTTTGCAGAGCCTTCACTCAGGTTTTGTTTTGAATCTTGTGAGGTAATCGCTCTCAGCTGGGAAGCCAGTGTAGAGCACTCTACACCTAGCCCTGAGATCTTTTGGGACGGAGTTTTGATTCCATGTGATGACCCCTTACTCCATTACCTCTCTATGGACGCTGGACTCGGATATTGATAAAAGCTGACTACAACGAGAAATCTCAGACTTGATGCCTCCTTGTTTACCATTATTCGTCGAGGGATGTCATACAATCCAGCAATGACACAAATTACACGACTGCCGGCAAAACTACCTACATATATAGGTCTCCAGGCGTTGCATGCAGTTACACAGCGTCATAGAGTCACAAGGATGCATGGACAGCCGAACATCAACCGGGCAGCGAGCTATTGACGCGATATGTCACTCACTTTACTTGCCTTGAATGTCATGATTTCAAGCTTCGCCAAGGGAGCACCGTCGTGACCGGACAGATATCCACGTTTTGCGGGGATATCCGCTCCAATGCGACTTTGATGGGCAGTCTGTCCCCAGATGTGAATGCCCGTGGGGTAACAGACCGGGAGAGCTAGGGTGTCCCGGAAAGAAAGACTCCACACCTTTGAGTTTATTTCCGGATCGCCGTATTGGGTAAAAAGAGATGAGTATACATGTCCTATTCTGGCAAACAGGGTTCCACAACTCTGTCTAGCCTCAGCAGTTCAAGATTGTAAAAGAATGGGACCATGCATTCCCCGGGTGAATATAAGAACAATGTACGTCACAAGATGCCAGCGATAGCCGGTGTTTCGCCGAAATATCAGAAGGTTTTCAATACTTACTCGATGAAAATATTTGCCGTCTAGGGTTTGGTCGGCCTGACGGAACAATTAGACGAAATAGTTCATGGCCCCTTTCGTACTTGCAGATCGGAGCAGACCAATTTCCATGGAAGCGTAGCACTATACAAAACACACATGGACCTCGGCAAGAACTTTCGGGACTTGAACGAATCAACCGCATCATGGGACTCGGAATGACGAAAACTCAATGAGAGATCAGCGCATGCGGCGGTCAAGGTAGAAATTATTGAATAATGGCCAGTGCAAGACCTTGTCGACTGCACATCTGTATTCTCCTTCCAAATATCCCTCATGATGCTGAGGCTTTTTGAAACTACAAAAGCCGGGCAGAAATCCAGTGAAAAATCTCATGGCAGTATTTGAGAATATTCCCCTCAAGTCTCCGACTAGGGTCCAAGGCAGTTGAGTGGTGACCACCTCGATTATCTTGTGTCTGTACAAGCTTGCCGCCCACACTTGCCCCTCATGTTGTCTCGCATCCCCTTGGCCAGTGTGTTGGGCCTTGCCTTGACGGGCATCCACACCGCGGCCGCCTACAACATTACAGATGACACTGTCTTTTATGGCCAGTCACCAGCCGTTTATCCTTCACGTATGTCACTCTTTGATAATTATGAGAGGGGTGAGATATTGACCTTGTCTAGCCAATGGCACCGGCGCCGATGGATGGGCTGATGCCTATCAAAAAGCCAGAGCAATGGTTTCTCAGTTGACAGTCGAGGAAAAGGTAACAACTTGCCTCAAGCCACAACATTAGTGGATTTAAAACTCATTACCCACACAATGTGTTTATAGGTAAACATTACGATCAGCATTCCACAGTATGAGGACAAGGAAACTGGATGTGAGGGTAGAGTCGTCGGTATCCCGCGTGTTGGATTCCCTGGTCTCTGTCTCGCCGATGCCGGCCATGGTCTACGGAATGCCGAGTTTGTGAGTGGCTGGCCCATTGGGCTAAGTCTCGGAGCCAGGTATGAGTCCATAAACAAACCTTCTTGAAACTTGTGCCATTCGCTGACAGTCAAGTATAGTTGGAACCGGGAGTTGGTCCGTCAGAAATCCGTTGGCATGGCTGCCGAGTTCAAGAAAAAGGGCATCAATGTCATCTTTGGTCCTGTCATTGGTCCTCAGGGCAAAATCGCCAAGGGAGGACGAAACTGGGAAGGTAAGCTTTTAATTGATATTATACCTCATTGTATCATGGTTACATGCTCATCACTTGTTGCAGGTTTCAGCAGTGACCCTTGGCATACTGGCCAGTTGGCATATGAATCTGTCCAGGGAATTCATGAGGCTGGTGTCATTGCCAGCGTCAAGGTATTATTGATTCATTTCATCTTTCTACCAAGATACAGTCTAATGCAAGGGTGCAGCACTTTGTCGCCAACGAACAGGAAACGCGGCGTAGTACGAGCACCTTCTTTTATGAGGACTCGACCACTACGCAGGCCATCTCCTCCAATGTCGACGACAAGACAATGCATGAATTATATGTTTGGTTAGTTGCACATCTATGTACCTTTTTCAATGCATGACTGACTCCTTTCAGGCCTTTTGTAGACGCTCTCCATGCTGGGGCAGCTAACATCATGTGCTCGTACAATCGTCTCAACAACTCGTATGGGTGTCAGAACAGCAAAATGATGAATGGTGTCCTCAAGACAGAACTTGGCTTCCAAGGCTTTGTCATTACTGATTGGGGCGCTCAACATGCTGGTGTTGCTACTGCCTTGGCCGGTATGGATAGTGCTGCATTGCCTGAAGGCGGAGATTATGGTACCATGTTGTGGGGTCAGAACCTCACGCTTGCGGTCCAGAATGGATCAGTTCCAGAGACTCGTCTCGATGATATGGTGACTAGGTGAGTCTAGAGCGTGCATTAAAAAAAATTCAACATCAACTGACAGCTGCATAGAACACTCGCTGCGTGGTACAAACTAGGCCAAGATCAAGACTTTCCTGCACCAGGCAGCGGATTCCCTGCTGATCACACCCTGCCGCATGTGTCCATTGACGCTCGCGACCCGGCTTACGATGACGTCCTGCTCCAGGGTGCTGTCGAGGGACATGTTCTGGTCAAGAACATTGGAAATGCCCTTCCTCTGAAAAAGCCCAAAATGCTCGGTATCTATGGCTACTCTGCCAGAAGTCGACCTTACTTTCAACCCAATGATGTCCTCGGGCCGCTTTTGACCGACGACCATGCTCTAGACGGTGTTGTAATTGATGTCAATGGAACAATCTACTCGGGTGGCGGATCCGGTGCTACATCGCCTTGGCTCGCCGTCTCTCCCTGGGATACTCTGCTGCAACGGGCACGCCATGATCGCACAGCGCTCTACTGGGATTTCGAGAGCGCCAACCCACAAATCAATGCCAACATTGACGCTTGCCTGGTCATGGTAAATGCCTATGCCACGGAGGGCACCGACCGGGACGCCTTGCGGGACGACTATACCGACTCGCTCATTCTGAATGTCGCCAAGAACTGCACCAACACGATCGTCGTGTTCCATAACCTGGGGGCACGTCTTGTCGACACGTTTGTAGATCACCCCAACGTCACGGCCATCATATTTGCCCACGGGCCCGGTCAAGAGAGTGGCAATGCGCTCGTCTCTCTCTTGTACGGCGATGTCAACTTTAGCGGCAAGATGCCCTACACTGTCGCCAAGAATGAGAGTGACTACGGCGACTTGTTGAACCCCAGACAAGGCGTGGAGCCATACTATATCTATCCTCAGGATAACTTTACTGAAGGCGTCTTTATCGATTACAAAGCGTTTGACAAGGACAATATCGAACCACGCTACGAATTTGGCTTTGGCCTCAGTTACACCACATTCAACTATACTGGCCTCACAATTACAAAGAAAGATAGCACTGATTTGAGTCAATACCCGACCGGCGAGGTTCTTCAAGGCGGTCCGTCTGACCTGTGGGACATTGTAGCCACGGTTACTGCCACCGTCACCAACACTGGCGGCGTTTCAGGAGCCGAGGTCGCCCAGCTCTACTTGGGGCTGCCAGGCGACGAGGACGTGACCCCCGTACGCCAGTTGCGGGGGTTTGAAAAGCCCTTCTTGTATGCAAATCAGAGCGTCATCGTCTCGTTCCCGCTCACTCGACGTGACTTGAGCTTCTGGGACGTGGTGGCTCAAAAGTGGTCCCTTGTCAGCGGTGATGTGGCCGTCGAGGTTGGCTCTAGTAGTAGGAAGCTGCCTCTGACAGGTACTCTGACTTTGTAATTATGAAAGCTTGTCATGGGTGTATGCCGCGGCAAGAAGTTCTCATCCATTGGGAACGTCCACGGCGGCGAGGTAGTTCCAGGGTTGAAGGATATTATCTTATAACAGAGTCGTAGGCCTAGGAGGGACTTTGCCCGGTGTAGGGGAAAAGCTACATCAGCCTGCATGTATAAATAGTAATTTGTTTCATATCAAATCCCAAAGCACGAATAACCCCTGGAAAGGTTCATATGGTTGCGCAAGACAAGAGAGCTGCCAGGCGAATCTCGTCATGCAAGATCGAAACAGGAATACATCAAGCAGAGCTCAGAATCCTTCGACAGCTCCCTAGTAATAGCGCATGGAGTGACATTACCCAAATTTTATCCAGGCGCTCTTTAAAAATCTTGTCATATGCAGCAGTGCCTTCTCGTCATCAACGGGAATCAGCTGGGTCGCGAACAACGTCGCGATGCCTCTTTCCCTGTTCATTGTCCATATCAAGTTCGGCCACCCATTCCACGTCAGAGTCTTGGCAGGCAAACAAGTCGCCCACACTGGCTCCTCAGTAACAAGACCTCCCGCGCAGGTGAAATTGATGGCCGGCCTCTTGTCTACCGCGAGTCCAATTGTCTTAGCAAACGTATCCTCATCCTTGAGGATAGTCTGTAGTGCCGCACTAGAGTGTTCGAACGCCGGCTCGAATAACAGATTCACGTGCTTCTGCGTTAGCAGTTTGGACTTGGGCCCGATAAGGTCAACCAAAACGGCCTTCATATCGGTCACGCTCATCACCAAGCCTTGAAGCGCCTTTTCGGGCTCGGGGATACCCAGGCTGCCGTCTTCTTTGCGCTCGACGCACTGCAACAGCTTGCCACTGACGTCTGGGCGTAAGCGTGAGGTATAGGTAGTATGATTCAGACCCAAAGGGTCAAAGATGAGCTCCTGCATGCATTGTACGAATGGGATACCACAGGCGCGTGCTATTAAGAGCTGTAACCAGTGGATGCTGTGCCCGTAATGCCAACCCTCCCCTGGATCGGACAGTAGCGGCGTCGAGAACAATTTGACGATCGGAGGCGTTCCTTCTGGGAATTCCTGAGCTGGTATCGCCTGCCGCCAAAGTTCTGTCAGCGAATCTTCCCCTGAACCGATGCCACTGGAGTGTGTGAGCATATGACGGAGGGTGATAATGGTTTGCGCGGGGCGTAAGGTGAACTTGGCTGCTTCGTCAGTACTTGGTGATATGACCCGCAGCTTCTCCAGTTCCGGTAGAAGTCTGTACACTGACTCATCAATGCCGATGTGTTCGCGCTCCACAAGGACGAGAGCTGCGATATGGGTGAGAAATTTACCAGCCGAAGCCATGAAAAGAGTACTGTCAGGATCCAGGGGTGCCGCATCAAGCGCCAGGTTCTGGTAACCAGCGACATGCTGATAGAGTGTCTCTCCTATTCTCAGATAAACCATGTGTCCCTCAAGCTTCTGTTGATTATCGTACCTTTGCTATTCACCACGAGGCCCAATGCCCCGAGAAGATCACGTTGCCTCGGGTCTGTAGCTAGCGCCAGCTTGACTTCAAAGTCATCCATTTTCTTCTGGTGAATAAAGTATAATGAAGGTAAGAAATAAGTGCACTTGTGTCTAGTAAATGGCGAGGCAGAGAAGAGTGAGGGGCAGCTGGTTGGCGGCCTTCAGTAATAAGCGGTTCTTATTTGGCTGCCTAAATCACTATCGAGGTGAAATGGTGCGACGTTAGCAAGCATGCATGCACCCTTTTCGTACCCTGTAGGATCGTTCCTGTCACGGTCTGGATTATGATTAACCAGAATATCGGAAAGCATATGGTTCGAACGGGTGGTGGATTCCATCATCTCACAGACGATGAAATGCTGTGATGGTGCTTGTTGAGAATGTCAAATCGGCTATAGGAGTAGTGGCGCGTTAGCTGCACGGAGGCTTTGTCTATGCGCGTTACCTTTGAACCACCTAAAGCAATGACATCTTGAACCATTCTCGATGGCCCTGATGTTAATTTCTATAGGCTACGGGTATAAATACTATGGTGGCATTAATGCGGGGTGCTAGGGTATGATGGCACTAGATTGCCAATGGCTCAAACATTTTGATTGACAAATATCGCTACGCTGTGCCGCGCTTTGGGGGCAAGTGCGCTGCTGTCGCATGAGATTTTCTCGTTGGCCGCTTTCTGAGAAAAGAGTGTATACGCATATGGAACTGTCAAGCCTTTGCCTCAATTATCTGCATGCCGACATTTGAACGGCTAGCCAGACTGAATGAGACTCACAGCAGCGCGAAAGTACACCGAGCTGGAATGTCGGCGACTTAGGCACGGTTGGACCCATTATCTCTTTGCAGACTTGCTATGGTAATCCCAACAACTCGCATTTCTTACCGTGCAAATGATCAGTTTTCTGAAGGACTCATATGATCACCGACTTCCGAGCTGTCGAGCCACGATATGCATCCACCGTTGTAATTTTCGTTGTTAATGGTCCATGGAAATTGATAGCGAAGATTTCGAATATCTTGACAAATACTGCAGCCCTGATTTGGTCTCCGTAGGGCTGATCGCCGCTTTAAAAGATGGCCGAACCGAGCTAGCCCAGGCAGTTTCAGTTGCAGATCCAGCTGCAAGTCTTACCAAACGTACATCCACCGATTGCTGTGATGTACTAGGCTGTGGAGATGGTGGGCTCACTGCAAGACCCTTTCATTTTGGCAAGTCATCCAAACCTGAAGCCAAATGCACAAGTATGTCAATTGCCCCAACCCAGCGCTTCGGTTGGTGCACAGGTTTGGTCATGCTTGGCACTGCCCGCTGGCAAGAGTCATATAGCAATCCAGATATTTTTAAGGCTCTCGCTTCCTATTGCCACTGTAAATGCGGTCACACTATATGCACTCAATTAGGCAATAGTTGGGCGAACCGGCAGGATTGGCTCTCATGAGAAGGTTACAGCGAAAGACCTGCACATGTTCCAACAGCTTCGACTTATATATCCAAAATCCGCAAGCCGAAGGTACGTGGGACCTTAGCTCCGGCTTTCCGGACGTAGATTGTGGAGTCTGCGGCTCCTAGGACAGGTAGGAGTCGCAATAGCAACCGGGGTTGATTCGACCGATGCGGGTCTTATGACCGTGTCCGGCTGCATCACTTTCCGTCGGGTCCATAGATCTAGTTTGCCAGTCTGCTACCCCAAAGATATAGATACAGTACACCGTAAGGCTACGTGACGCGCAGAAAACCTCAAGCCTGAAAGGCCGTGCATGTGTCTGGCAGGGGCACAGCGCTTAGCCGATGGCAGATGATGCACTGAACAAAGGAGCACGAAGCACGGTGCTAGAGACGAGCTCCTGAGCCACCATTTCTTGCATAATGCATGATCCTGTTTGGGATCACACTAAATGGTAGGTGTCTTTGCATGAACGGGAAGGATTGCTCAACAGCAAGCTCGTCACATATCACGCCCTCTCAGCCCATCTTTGGCGGTCGGCGGTAAGTCATGCCTTGTAATAAGGCTGACTTGGCCTTTTGTTTTCGTTACATTCCCCTTTCCCTGCCTTTTACAATTCGGTGATTATGTGTTTGCTTGCTGGTTTAATATGCTATTATTGACTGTGTATCGTAATAACCACGCGAGAGATAGAAAGCAGTGATTATCTCGCTTCCAGCGGAAAGCTTTTCTAAAACAGAAAGGGAAGGAAGCCAGAAGGGAACTTGAAATAAAGAACATAACGTCATTGTAAGAGACTGGTATGGAAAGCGATGCATTCCTGTCTTTCGGTAGTCTGGTACTTTAACCCTGTCCGTGTTCACTCGCATGACCCTACTGCATCAAAAGTCGTAAAAGAACGTGGTATTTGGCTAGAATGATGCATAGGCCGGATGTCAAGATAGTGGGTGTATTGTCCTGTTGTCAACATGAAATTGTAAATGAACCCACCATTATGCACGTTCAATCCATGCATTGGCCTCATCGGAGGGTATTTCCATTGCGCTTCATTTTAACGAGGCCTCCGGCAATCCATTTAGGTAAATGTATAGTCTCGCAACTAGAGGTCTCTAGGTGGAAGACGCCCGCTTGGCTATTAGTCAGGATCACTGAAGTCGAAATTAAGATCCGCCTAGTCGTCGAAAATTACTTCCATTAAGAGCACTGTGCGTCCAAGAACAGTATGCTATTGGGCCCCGTTCTGCCATTCTAGACGTGGCTATATAGTTCTGGCAACGCTTCTTCAATTCTAACCCGCTCGATTAAGCGGACCGTGATCACGATACTATATGCAGTTGAACATATCGCCAATCGTCCAGGCAGTGACCGTACAACGCGGTGGTGTTCACAAGCAGCAACAAAAATACCTTTTACAGATTTTTCCCACGCTGCTGGCGCCACATCACCAGACTATGACTTCAGAAGCGAACATCCACAATTATGTCGCTATCAGAAATACCGCACTTCATCACAAATGGCTCCGAGATTGTCTGTGGTACATTGGTGGCCAATATTCATATTTCTACACGGAGACTGATCCTGGTGACGAGCGTGATATAATCGATGCAACAAGAGTTCAGGCTGACGAACCGACAAAGCGCTGCATACTCGGGCCTGCTCTCAGCTTGGACCACGATCAATCTCTCCCTCAGAATTTGAGTGAGGCAATTGATGCTCTGGCAAGAGTTTACCCTTTGAATGAGAATGACACTAAAACCCGTGAAAAACTTGAAACCAAAGCGTTTGGGAAAGGATGGAGCGCTGAGGCGCTTGAACTGAGGGAGAAAAGATTGGAATTTCAGGTCATTCTGAGAGATGGACCAAAGGATCTCGGCAACTTATTGGCAGCATGGGCCAAGGAGGAAAGGGATGATATCTATTACAATCTCGAAGAGTCGACCCCTTTGCCATCGGCGGCCCGGCGATACTTCAGCTCCAGCATCAAAAATACGCGAGCTCAGGAACAAAACTGGAAAGAAGGAGTATCAAAGAGCGGTCTCAAAGGTGTTCGCTACTATGTTTGGTTCCTCATCGGGTTACCTAATGTAGTAGCCTTGGATATCATCTCTTTCAACATAGATTCCGTGCTTGCAGCACTTCGTGGTGTGCCTCTGAGAGCGTTGACTTTCATCAACATCCTCAGCATTCTCGACTACCAATTTTCTGACGAGAGGTTGATCCGATCCTATCTCATGACAAATGGATTCGGCACTTTACCAGCAATGGCCTTTGGCGCAATGAAAGCTGCCTCACCAGATCGATACGGCAACGCCCTGAACACGGTCACGACCTTTCTCTGGAAGGCGACGTTGTGCAGCGTTTGGCAGATAGCCATGCACAATCCGAAGAACATACGCAATTTTCTATACTCTATACTTGTGAAACGGCAGAAGATACAAGGGCAGAGGAAGCAGGATCTGCTCACACATCAGCGGGCACTCAAGCAGAAAAATGCCTACCTGTTTGCATGGCTGGACACATGGAAACCTAGCAGCCGTTGTCGACAACAGTTGAGCCTCTACAAGCGAGATCAAGAAGATGCTGTCAATGTGCTGGGATGGATCGTCGGGGAAGATGATACTCCGAATACAGACGTGGCAGACAAGCTCCCGATATTCCTTCTAGCGATTATTCTCGGTGCTGCAGTCGTGGGTTCTACAGTCCCGATTGATAAATTCGCCGGGCTGCTGATGGTGACCTTCGCCGTCCCATTCTGTCTGAGAGTAGCCAACGACGTCCTCAAAGGTTCCCAGAGTTACCAGGATCTTGAGGATCTACTGGCCCGCACCACAGCACCGACCACGCCATCCACGATCGCATATCTTGTCAATGTGTTTTACTGGTTATCCACGGGTAATCCGCTGTTTCCAAGTTTTAAAAGCCCTGCATTCATATGCGGGTTTGTCATTGTCTTTGTCACCACCTTGTACGTAAGGCTTTGGATCAGGGCATTCAGTCGATTCTGTCAAGGCATCAAACGAGCACTGCAGAAACTCAAACCAAAAAGCCGGGATACTGGAAATTCCGAGGTCTAGATATAAGAAATTCATTGGTACTATTCGGCAGAACTAGCAAGTGTGTCTCCATTCTTCTTCAAAGTTGTGCTCTCCATGTTCGATAACTTTCGTAACTCTTATGGAAATTTGCTGCCTTTTTCCACTCCGGTTTTGGCATGGTCTGTCCGTAGATTGTCCATATTTTATCGTTGCCCCTCATTTCGGGATCGGAGCTGGTGATAGGCATCAACCCCTGGTCCATCATGATGCAAGTGTTGCCGAACAATGCATGTATTGGTCCTCCGCTTTCATCCATGCCTATGATGGGAGGCTGGTAGGTGATTGCGAAACCGAGGGGAATGACGGATCGATTCCCCATTATTATGGAGCCTGGAGCATGGACGGGGAGGTTAATGCCGTGGCCGATCCGTCGCCGTGAAATCTTGAAGCCACGCGCACTCGCATAGGAGTTGCTATCGTTGTACATCTCATCGAATGTAATGTTGGGCTTGTATTGATCAGACAGCCTGACCTGCATAGCCAGCCCAAGCTTCATGGCAATAGACTGTTTCCTCGGCATCCCGTTACCGCCCGTGTAGAGGAATTCGATCCTTGTGCCGTTGACGGTGATGAGAATGGTAAGCGTCCAGGGCTCGCCAGGCCTCAACACCTCGTCCACCGACTCCTCATACGGACGATTGTAACCTTGCACGATGTTGATATCGCACCCATTCAGATTGATATCATTCCGTGCACCAACGCCGGCAAGACTGACTGAGGGATAGTAGTAGCTTCTGTATGTCTCCAACGCTGCATGCGCGAACCAGCTGGCTTCTGTAGCGGTTGCATGAAAGCTGATTGCTTGCAGGGCGTGACGAAAAGCGACATGCACAAGCTCAGCTCCGATGATATTGTTTCGATAACTGTATTCGTCCAATACGCTTTTGCACTTGTCGACCTCGTTTGTGAAGTCGATGAATTCAGCGCCCGGAAACGCTGCTTCGGCCTCCTCAATCTTCTGCCCGAGAGTATACTTTCTGTCGTAGCCAATTTTCAAGCCAGCCAGATCAGCGACTTCCGAATGCTCCAGAAGAGTCTGGAGGGCTGGCTGAAACCTTGAGAAATCCACGGCTACAAGCATGTGTTGGTGAATGGCTTCCCATAGGTTTGAACAGCCGTTCCTATTCGGGGCGCCAAACACCACTACCCTCAAATCAGGCGCTAATTTATCTTCAGCTGCCAGCAGCTCGGCTCTGCGCCGAATGTATTCCACAAAAAGAAATGAGGTTCCATTTGGGAACAAGACAAGACAGGTATCGTGTGTCGTGAAAAGCGGGTTGAACCTCGAGATACTGATGTTGTTGGCACTGTCAAAGATAATGAGAATATCCAGCTTGCGTTCCATACGAGCGGCATGAAGACGCGATAATTGCGGGATTTTGAAGTCAAGCAAATGGCAAGATTGTGCAAAATTCATTTTGTCAAGCAAAGTGATTGAAGGTGATTGAAAAGGTGTCCAGTGCTGTCGCAGCCTGTTAAATAAGCCTACGATATTTAACCTTTGGGGAAGGTACCTCACAGGTACCTCTCACTACATAGTTTTCCGTCTGAGGACGGTTTACAGTCCTTATACTGAATATACCCACCGTTCCCTGAACAGTCCTTTTCTACGATCACTCGATGGAGACTAGACCGGATTCGTACCCTAGCGTGAGCTCGGGGAGATTGCTTGCCAAGAGCGCAACGTTCGATCATGTTGAAAGTGTGTGTACAGTGACTTACGTACTATACTGGGCATAGGGGATACTTATCCCATAGCCGAGTAATCCTTGTACTAGGTACATTGCTTGTATGCAAACAGCCAACAGATCAGCTATAATAGGCCACGTGCCTCGTAAACTCTGATTGTCTTTCCCAAAGCTCAATTCGACTGATATTAACATCATGGATGATGACATTGAAGCCTCGAGGACTATTCTCTACTTGTCTCGCAGCGCTCTGCGGAAACTGGGCATTGCATTTGAACCTCAAATTGTGACGGCGGCAGTCGAACATGCGCTGGCTGACGTTGCTTCCAACAATGCCGTGAGCACGAAGTTCGCTCTACGACGAGACGACACCAAGCTATCTGCGCTTGGTGCCATGGACAAAGATGACGGAATTTTCAAAATTATTAGTTCTTCAGAAGGAAACCGAGCCCGAGGACTCCCGAGGTCGAACATACTGTTGATCATCGCTCGGCCGCCAAGTTTCATCCCGAGCCACATCATCGATGGAACTGAAATCAGTCTTGCGAGAACCGCTTCATTTCCCATCATCTCCGTCCGCCGTCTGCTACCTGATGGATGCGATCTCAACATCTTTATATTCGGTGCAAGCGCCCTCGCTGACATGTGCATCCGTTATCTAGTCGCGCTATGTCCCAATCGCATCAGACGCCTGGCCATCAAAGGTCGGGGCAGCGAGACGAGCGCGAAACTGGCGGCCAAATATCGAGAAGCGCCATTTCTGGTTGAAGCTGTGAACGATTTGAAGCAACTGCCAACATCAAATTTGGTTATCACCGCAACAAGCTCCGTCAAGCAGCCCCTGTTTCAAGATCACCAGATCGCGTCCGCGCCTGTACTGGTCGTGATGACGAGCGAGGGTGATGAAATTCCAGATCAATATTGTGAACAGGCCATTCGGAACCGCTCGGCTGTTTGTGACGACTGGGCGGCAGTCCGCGCGCGAAGGAGACAAAGCATTGCCAAGTACATCGAGAAGAAGTTTGGTAGCCAGCTCCCCTCGGAGCAACCTGAAAATTATGGGATCAAGAACCTCGAAGAGATGAAATATCTGAAGAATGAGGAACGCAGGAAACGATGGATTATGACATCCGTCGGCTCTGCAACCACTGACCTCGCTGTGGTGAAGAAGTGCTGTTGGCACGTACTTGATAGCAGTAATTTCAGTGGGGCTCCGCGCCTATGATGAGGATCGGTCACTGTTGTTGGATACAATGCATATACGTCGGTAATATCAGATATCGCTGTCCAAGGCAGCACGTATGTTATTTCGATCTCGAGCCTCAAATGCCTCTCTAACTTCGGATGACTCTCATCTTCCCGTATTGTGTTCGATGACTTTGAGCGAACATTCATGTTTGTAACTACTACCATAGCTTGGCGGTTGGTTTCTTGATCCCAGCCCGTAAGGCCGCCGAGCGAGTTATTAACACAGAAGGGCACAGACATCGAAAGGGGCAAAAAGACCGCAGATTAGTGAACGCTATGTCTAATCACTTTAAGCCAAAGGGCGTGTGCCTTTCGGCAGGAGACCGGTTCTGATCATTTCATCGATCGCCTCCAAGGATTTCGTAGAATATAGAATTGGGCAGCTTCTGTAACTCTAGTCTCATATTCGAGTATCTCTAAACTGAAGCGTTGGCAGGAAGCAATTCCAACGGAGACAACTACTCTAATCTGAGCAGATATATGAAGGGGGAACTGAAGACAAGATGATCGAGGAAGCATTGAAAGATGTTTCTAAGAGAGAAGTCCTAAAGAGCGACTATATACCCACGCAGGTGATCTGCGGTGGGTACTGACTACGTCCGTACGACAACTACATAGTTACCATATATTAAAACTTCATGAAAGAAGTGCGCTGTAGTTTCCCAACCGTCTTCACTTCCCACGCGTCTCGGTCCCGTACATAAATATGCTTCTTGGCTTTGACAGAGATCAAGCCATAACGCCAAGGCTCAAGACAATAGGTTACCTTCCCACTGACCAGCTCCAGCATCTTGTCCATGGTTTCTTGACATCTCCTGTGTTCATCACCGGCCCAGCGGCCATTCGAGCACTCCAAAGCCCACTTCATTCGCAGTTCGTTCAGCTTTGATACGTCACGTTGTCGCAACGTAGCATTATCAAGTAGATCACCAGCGGCGTAGATCAACGTGGCTGCAGGCGCTTCACGAAACTCTGTGACAGTGCTTTCGGTTGGCAGGTCGACATGGATATGCTCAAGACCGTAGTAGCGGCCGATGCCGAACTTGCCAGCCTTCACATTCAGACAGGAGAGAGCGTCTCTGAAGGCTATCGCGTCGCCATCGATTGCTTTGTCGTCAATTGAGACGAGATGGCCTCTCTTGAACTCCAACGTAACCTCCTCGGTCGGCCGATCGGCTTTGACGTCTTTCGTCCAACGGTAAAGCTCGTCCTTTAGTTCGATCGGGCCTTCTGGATCATCCAGAAGGGGGCCACCCTCGAATTCAGATACGAGCATGTTGTCGTCGCAGCTCACATCACGTTCCTCTCTAAATTTGAGGCCAGCCCTATTCAGGGCCTTGATCTTGTCGCAGCGAGGGATGACAGAATGAGCGTATGGACTGCCATGTATTCCTGAAAAGTCGGCAATCTTGATACCATTGTTGATACGGGGCAGGCTGTTTTGGGATTGGTTCGCCGTGTGGAGTATAATGTGCGCGCCGGTCCGCTTGGCAGCTTGGCTGACTTTCGCCGCTATAACGGGACGGCTGAGGGAGCTGCTGATTGGATGGCCTCCGAGATATCTTGGCCTATAGCGACAAGCTGAACGCACAACTTCAACAAATTCATCTCGGCCGTCGAGAGATTGAAAGCTGGCGCCCAGGGCTTTTGCACGTTCTGCCAGCGTTTCGAGGCCGTCATTGTGACTTGGTCCGCCCACGTTCACGTTGAGGGCATGGACGTTCGTATAGCCCTTCTCAAGGAGCAGTAAAAGGAGATAACAGCTGTCCACACCGCCGCTGAATAAAGTTTCGATGCGAGCCTCTTTGTCTGGGATATGCTTCTCAATATCTTCGATGCTTTGGATCAGAGGCTTGCCGGAATCGGGGGAGACCATGACGTTGGTAATTGTCGGCGCGGTTGAGAGATCAGCCAGCGAGTTCATTGCCGGCAGCATGTTTTGAATTCGTGCCTGGTGATTCAGATTATCTTCTCAAAAGTGGAACTAGAAGTGCAGCGTAGAGTTTTGCCACAAAAGTGCAAAGCTGATGGCCAAGCAAGCAATTATGCAACCTTTTAATGACACACCTTCCAGCAACGGCCCTCTTGTCAGCCTCTTGGGCTTTTCTTGAACTTCTTCCCACTTGACTGATGTATCTGTCGCTGTGGCGGAGATTCTGCTGTCTCTGGTTGGGGGCTATCTCTAGCAATTGGCTCTATTGCGTCGTTGCAGTTTCATGGTGATCAACGGAGCTGCCACGCCACAGAGGGACTCCTCTTATTTTTGCGCTAGCGATGCACCCTGAGATCCTTGCCGACCTAATGCACCGACTTTATAGTCAAATTTGAATAGTTGTCAATTGTCACATTCTGAGCTCACAATAAGTCCACAACGGATTAGGTGACATTCTTCGATTGATTATTCCAAGGCGTCGGATGTTGCTCTGTTGAGTCTTCAGCCCTAAATGACCCCAATGTTACTTCTGTAACCAATAGCGGGAGACAACAGGTTGTCTGTCGACCCCAAATCGCCCCTAACCACAACGGAGGAATCAACTCTCAATACAACGCACCTTGATATAATGCCCAGCCACTTCCAGGCTGTACATCATCACTATGCTACTTTAATTGGCTCAAAGCTACTAGAAATCGAAGCACAAGAGATTAATTGACCGTGCCACATCAGGCTGCTGCAGTCTCTTCGCATAAAAATATGGTACTTTTGAACCGAACCTTCTCTTCATGCCTGTAAGCAAATACAGCCTGTTCAAGGTACATGATTCAGATTGAGGATACATATATGTTATATGCTGAAGGTGAGGTAGGTGAGAAAAAGCTATCAACGGAAGTTTATCTGTCCAGGTCTACCCATCCTTGAGTAGATTACTGCATAGTGTTATTTGCCTTCCTTGGTCAAAGCTGGCAGAGGTCTTATTTTTTATTGTTACCTTATGCTAACAATACTGATGTGGGGGCGCTGGAGATACCCACTAAAAGAGGCTGTGGAGGCTTAGCTTAGAGTGGCTCAATACCTGCTCAATAGTCCGGATGGGACTTATAAGCCTTTCTTTTTCGTTGCGTTTAGCATACTGGAGGAGGATCTATCGTTTTCTCAATTGATACAGTTCTTATATACTTTAAGATTTTATATGCTATTTGACCAAAAAACCATACAAAGACTACAGCCTTATGGCTGTCCGTCTTAGGTGGGGGTTGGTTTGGTTTGGTTTTTGTTCCCCATCTCAATACCTAATGGATATTATTGATTTTCATTTGCCGAAAGGCTCGGTGCGGGGTTAGGAGTGACTGCTCCAGCACAAAGAATAACGTATGACCATTGGTAGGTCATTCGACTGCAACGGCGGTTGGTAATGGTAATGCGTGCCATTTGGTCTATCGACTCAAGGATCGTTCGTGCGCGGGTGCGTCGCCATCGAGGGCTCGTGATGAGGATGATTGCCACGTCAAGCTACAGCAGCCGACGACTTGACACATTCGCATCACAGGGCTCTAATTTTCGCAAAGAACTACCTGGGGATTTATGCTTGGGTGATTGATTTTATTTTCTCGAATATAATGCCTTGATCGAGATGATATTCTCCCAAATCTTCAACTTTCTAGCATTTCGAGGAACAGCTGCCTCTCCCGCCACAAACCCGCATGGAAGCTGTCGAACCAGGTACACCCAAGAAAAGAGACAGGAGTAACGATAATCTGACTAAGAGATGGCAAACTCAAACGAATATCGGGAATGCAATTCACGCTCAATACGAAGCAAGGGTGTATATCTCCATGTCTATGCCGTCAAGAGGCAAGGAATTTCCCTTCGATCAAGGGAGCATGTTACACGTTTATGGAAAGATGATATTGTTCGTCAGCAATGTTGCAGACGTGGATATCAACAGCTGACGTGTTTGAGAAGGAGCGCCAGTACCCAGTCCCTATGTTGGTTACAGGCACTGATCGCCGGCCTGCTACCTCACGAAAGTCCTTTCGATGAGACGACTTACAACACGAGAAACGATATAAAAAAGCTTTCAGTGTCTGAGAGACGAGTCAAGAATGATCAATTGAAAAATTGAAAATAAAGATCAAAGGCGTCCACTGTCATAATTGCATAAAACTCATACATGTGCGAATGATGTTTCGTGTGAAATCAAGCACCTGATCGCAACTGCACTTATAGTGACGCTGGTATATCCAGCAAGGAATGGTCCGCAGGCACTCTGGGCAAATTCCACTAGGACATCTGCTGCTATAAGCAGAGTTGAACCAGATGATCTATTTCGCTTTCGACTTCCTCGGATACGCAACTCATTGGCTTGAAATGTTTCGATTCACAAAGACTTCCAGCATTTCCCAATGCAGAAATTGTAATTAGAAAATCCCCGGGTTAGTCTCTCATGATTCCGAGTGGCTCGCTTCAAATGAGATGAATCCTGTTGCTTGTCAAGCACCAAGTACGGGAATTGCCATTTTGGGCGAGGCATACTCGATCATAATGCCTTCAACGGCCTGCTCGTGGTCAGCCGGTCCATAGACACAGATGTACTCCGTTCTGGCCAACTCGACACCCGGCAGAGCTCTTGTTGGAAGCAGCATGAAGCGGAAGTTACGGAGGCGAGATACTGGCATCACAATTGCATCACGCCTTCCTGCGGTGGAGGACGATCTCCCAGGTATCAAGCTGTTCCGGCGTGCCTTTCTCGGTGCGTATCAGCGAAGGTGGGTTTCAATCTTGGCCTTTGGCTGTCGGCACCTCTTTTATGACGTAGAGACGAAGCCGACGGTAAACGACAAATACACCTGATCATGCGGTTCCACAGCGGCGACAGCTTGACTCGTGGCTTACTGTGGGAGCAGACCCATCCAGCAAAGAGGGCCAGGATCGAAGTGTTTCCCACTTGGTCATAGCTATCGATTGCCAGCATAGTGGAGGATACCCAGATTCAATCTCGCGGGCATAATTTTTTCGGCTTTATAATTCAGTGTGCTGACGGGCTCTACCCAAAAGAGAAAAAAAAAAAACGGGGACCTCTGTAGTTTGGGACAGCATATCCACATTCACAAGAAGGGGAAACATTGGAAACCTTGCTTTAATGCCACTGACTACTCGTCCGACAACATTTACAGTAACGACAACCGCTTCACAGTCCTCCCAATAAACGGATAAGTCCTCTGTTATTTTATTAAAAGCACCTTGAATAATAAGGAGGATATTAGCGTAGCCGCCTATATGACAGCATATAATCCGGACTCTAGGCGTAAAATATGGCAATACGTGAGCTTGGCATCTCGCCCGTGGACCAGCGCCGGCTGGGCATCCATATAAAGTCCTGCAGATAATAATATCTTGCCGGTCTTATCCTATTACTCGTTCGTAGTACCCAAATTCGTAGAGATCTCTAGAGGTTATGGATTTGGAAGATTATCAGGGAGCCATGTGGCCTTTGAGGTTTACTTCTTAGAAGAAAGGATGACCTTATGCATGATCACTGTTACGAGAGAAGCGGCGTTGGCAGATCATTTGGCAACACAATGGACTCGGGAAATCTCGGCGGTTGATATTAATTTAGTACAATAGCCCTTATAGGGCATGCTATCGGAAATAAGGAACAGGCCAATAGCCAAATTAAGCGGAGGGCTTGTAAGTCGTGTTTGTGGTTGCTTCCTATGGACTGCGACAATGGTCTTTGCCACCATTATACAGCTGTGCAGTCCGCGCCAAACTTTCGTATATTTATTTTGTAGGAGGGTATGAGGCTCTGCGGACGGTCTTTTGTCCGGGTAGGTCGCCTCTCGAGTGGGGAACCGCACGTGTTCTACAGAGAAGCCCGAATTGGTTCAAGAACCGCAAAAGTGCCACTTCTTTGCATACGCATTATCCTGTTCCTGGACCTCAGCCTTATAGAACTCAAGCATGTTCGTGCATTCGTGATTTTGAAATTGACTCGCTGCATGGTCCCGCCGGGTTCATTCTTGGCGGTGGCTGTTCGCATCTGCCGGCCCTCTCTCCAAATCTCGCAACCTATTTCGTTGGTGACCACCGGTGACGGTGGGGCACAGTCATAGTAAACTGTCGTAAATCAATAGGTACATAACTTTCATTCTAGGTAACCGTACCAAGATTGTATTTGCAAGCTGCGATCCTGGGAAACCTTGATGAAGCCTGACCAACATGTCACGCATTACATGCCTATTCCAGTATTGATTCGTACAAAATGACCCAATATTATATGCAGGATGAATGTGACTACTTCCCCTTTCTGGTTATATTATTATTGCTAAGAATGTACTCTCGAGCCGCCCCCGGGAAGCAGGCTTGAAAAGTGTACCTCCAGGTGATTTGACGATGTAGCTCCAACCATTGATTCACTCCAGCACCACTTTCCTACGAGCACGTCGCCGCTTTAGCAAAACCCTGTTCTATCGAGGAGGCCTGTTTCAACCATGCGAGGCACTTTATGGCACGCGTTAGATTAGAATTTCGTAACCTGAAAAAGCTAAGAGTACCTCTGTGTGATGTAACGTGTGATGGTAATTCGGCATTTCACAGAAGTTCTGAAGTATGACGAGAGAGAAACACGACAGGGGTCCCGAATGGCGACGGACACTTGGCCTGTCGCCAATCGGCTTATGGGGTGAAAAAGAAGGCAATATCATGCGATGGGTAATGACTGGTCTTTTTCTGAAGCCTCACCGTTTTTGAACGGACAGCATTATAGTCCGTTTTATCACATGGAAATATGCCAGGTACGAGACAAACACACCGGCCATTCCCAAGCTAGAAGAAAAGACAGTAGAAGAAAAGGAGGAAAAGGACAGTCGCGCTACGGTTGTGACGCCGGGTTGCGAGGTGAAGAATGAGCCAGCGTATGAGCAACATGCGCACGTGTTGATGATTACTTGCACGACCATACTGAAGCATTTCGCACCATTAAATGATTCATCTCCTATTCATCTAACTCTGCAACAGCGGCTCATACGACTAGCAGTATATTTCCAGGAGTATCTGTCGGATTCATTTGTGGATAATTGAGAATGGATGCAGTATGACGGGTCGAAAAGACAAACTGAAAGAAGGACTTCCCGAGTGTTCCCAGCACGGTCTAATGAAACAGGTAGAAACTTTGCCGTGTTCAATCCTCATATCATAGATACACAGCGAGTTATGTAAAGACATCATTTTAAACACTGACATACAACTGTATCATGGTATTATTGAATCCTGCGATATTGCCTCCGAAGAAAGATGAGAGTTGCGAACGCATGCAAAGCTATGATCAAACCTCCACTGTGTAGGCCGCAAGATCAGAACTGCATTGTTTCTCCATCGCTGCGTTGTTTAGACTTGATACCATTTGCAGACGTAATCATTTTGCCTGTGTTGACTATCGTGATAGTATGTCGTTGCTTGGCATGTATCCTCGTGGTAAGTGTGTCGAGCGAAGTAGAAAAGAAGCCTGCTATCACTACATCGTGGTGATCCGACGGAACTTGTTCGTGGTGCCCATGTATCTACATGCCCGATCAAATTTCCGAGTACTTCCCGTCCACCCTTCCAATTATAATTTCAACATGCGGCGTATCTTTCGCCGTCTTCCTTTTGCCTCATGGGACAATAGCTCCCAGAGCCTGATCCGTGGATCGCGAGGTCTTACGTTCCTGGGCACTGGGATTGGCGATGGTGATCGTAATATCCGCACCTGCGATTGAGAGGGCCGGGGAAGTTGAGGAGTAGGTTTCGAGAGTATGTGCATCAGATCTGGGTATCCTGACCTAGGTAAAGTAACTTCATGACTAGGTAATGGCCCGTATACTTGGTGATGAAAATGTATAACAACGTCGAACTCAATATCACATTACGGTTAGCTACAAGGTGTTGCTGTAATCATGAAAAATCTGTAGCAGAGATCGTGTTGGATAAATCTTGCGTGGATCCATCAAGAATGTAGACTGTAGAGGGTGAATATCTATGTAAAATATGTATAGACGGCCTTGCTACCGCACATTTCGACAACACGACAGACTCAGATGAATACCGTCATCGCGAGCATATCAAAGAGCTAATCATACAGTAGTTGGGGACTTCATTGAGTTTTGAACTCCCTCAGTGTCTGCTAAACCACTCGATGATCTGAGCCTCAGTATCCTGTCTCTTCAGGGCCTTCTGTTCATCAGAGATGCGCTTGAGCATCATTTCGTTGCCCAGAGCGAATGGACACAGCAGCGTCTCGAGCTCCCGCAGCGCTAGGATCTTGTCCATTTTTTCAATAGAACTCGGTCGAGCAGCTCCCGTGCTGGCCACAGCCTCGTTCCAGGCCTTGGCGATTCCGAATGCTTCGAGCCCCTTATCATCCAAGTTTGGTGGCATCTCCTCAAAGTCACCCTGGAGGATGTTGGAGGTCATGTGCGCTGTTCTATCGTCAAAACCGCCTCCCAAGTCCCACAGACCGGTGAAGAACTCATCGGCGGGATGAGTCACCGCTGCCCAGTCGAAATCCAGAATGGCCGTGATGCGTTTGGATGTAACATCAAAGAGGAAATTGTTCATAGCTGGCGGCTGTGTCAGCACTACAGTCAGTCCCTGCTCATTCGATCGAACTTACTAAGATCCCCATGGACTAGAACTCGAGCATTATTATTCACGCCATTGAGTAGTCTGGGCACTCCACCGTCCTCAATCCATGCGTTAATCTGCTCTCGCAACCCTCCAAGAGACCAGCCTTGGAGTAGCGGGCTCTTATCTGCGTCTTCCAGTTGAAGGCGCAACTTGGCGACCCAGACGTCTGCATATGCATCCCATGGGCCACCGCTGAGCAAGGGCATCTGACCGTTAACGATCTGGCCCTCATCGTCAATGGTCAATGCACCAAACTGTGTGATGCTCTGCGGAAGTTGAGCCTGCTGTATAGCTGCGAAGATGTCCGCAATCTGCTTCATGACTTGTTTCTTCTCATCCACTGCGAGGGTCGGAAACTCCCCGTCCAAATCGGATCCGGGCTTGAACTCGCCAATCGTCCACCCGAAACCTGTCTCGTCAGGGGCCTCTTCGTAGCGGCAACGCTCCCATGCATACACGGCTGGCACGAGAGAAGGCAATCCGGCCGCATGGAGAGCCTCCCGGACGAGATGTTGCGCTGCCACGTCATTCTCCACGCGATTCGCATTGTTGAGCCCCTCGGCTAAGGGGTTGCTCATGCGCACAATGACCGTAGATACACCCTCTTCAGGCGGAGGCAGCGTGCAAGGCTGATTGTCTGCAAAAGATGCAGGTACCGCGGGCGTATGAAGCTCCACTTTATAGATAAAGTTGTTGAAAGGAAATGGGCAGTGCTCGACGTAGGCAATGGTCGAAATTTGGGCGGACTGATGTCGTTAGTGTCTTGACATCGTAGACTGTTGATCACAACCACTCACTTTCAAGCCAAATCTCTGCAAGATCCGCTGTACGGTGTCTAGTCGGCGACTGTACCCCTCATGATTGACATTAACCGGTTTGGTAGCCATGTTAGAAGCAGGCGATGATGAGATTCCTTCCTGACTTCTCGTATCAAGGTCTGGACTTTTTATGCGTCTGTGTGAACTGCAAAGATAGCTGAGGAATTGCACCAAACGAGCACTAACGAATGCAAGCTTTCCTTGTCAGCTTCTTCTCGTTAGTGGCGTCGAACTTGTCGGTGATGATGCAGGAGGAAGTAAGGGATGCTCTCAAGCTATCAGAAGCGATTGGCACGGGAACGAGGTCCGGGCACCTAGGGTATCTACCAAGAGATAACACTATATCCAAGTTGAGGCGAAGTATGGCTACAAAGTCCATGTGTTCGCAACTACATGAGAGTCGCAGACCCGAGATGCAAGGAGGTGCAAGGAGATGCAAGGAGATGCAAGGAGTTGCAGGAGGTGATTTAGCCTGATCGCATTGGTTACCAATGGTGCGGGCCGACCTGACCAACCTTATTTGAGGAGATGACCCCGAGGTCATCCTTGCCTTCGGCCCGGAGCGGGGGCCAGGGCCAAGGGAGAGGGTGGGAGTTGGGGGCGAGATCCGTGGCAGGGTGGGAGCGGAATATATTGCCGATAATAGATCGCGTCCGTAAGTATGCAATCTTGCGGAACTGTGCCAGCCGTGGACAAAAAGAATGTGGAGCGGCTGTCCTTGCTGTCCTAGTACACCTCTCCAGCCTTTCAAAAGTTAGATCGTTGCATGAGCTTTAAATCTTCAACGATGACTATATGCTGCACACGAGAAACAAGTTTTACACTAGGAACAAAAATCAAACTTGACATAAGTATTGCGCCCTATCTACTATATCCACTCTATGAGCCTGGCTACCAGTGTGGAGCTTCACATTTTGGTCTGCTGGCGAAGTGGCCAGATACGATAATAAGATTGAGCGTCATCTCGAACGCATGGAATCTATTGAGGAGCCAGCCAGTAGACTCGTAATGATGGCCTTATCATCCAGGAAACGATTCTTATGGCTCATATCGCACCAGATGAATTCGCATCGGAGCAAATTGACAATAGCGCCCTTCGTTGCGGCTTTGCCGGCTATGCCAAAAGACCACGCTCATACATTTTATCCCTTCCTTCTTCATCATTGACCGTAACACTCCCTAGCCACCCTCCTCTTTCGAGCTCAGCTTAATCCAACCGTGACTCATCTAGCGACTTTACTACACAACAACACTCCTACGCGTGCAACCTCGCTCACATTGTGCAGATTGTTTGAGTAAGATGATGGTATAAATTTCCAGCTAGCCTCGCTGCTAGAAGGAGACACTTGAAGTCATGCAGAGATGGATAAGTGGAGTGATCTAACATGGGGTGAGATGATTGTGCCTGTTCCACTTCTTAAATGTGCCGAGCTGAGTCAGGAATTCGGACCCAGTATTAGTTTATTTTGCTAGCTATAATAAATCTCCAGTATTTTACATTACTGGATTGTACATGTATGTAGTAACAGTAGTCTTCATAATCAAAAATGGTAGAAGATGGATTTTTGGGCGTCATGGACAACATGCAAATTGAGAGCAGCAGTTGTTACTGTGTAGAAAGTGCTCACTCTGTTTGCATGGGCTGTGTACAAAACCAATGTTGGTGATAATCTCAGATGGATAATACCACCTGTCTCAAGTTTGACAGGTCGGCATCTGGCGCATATTCGGAGTTTTACAATTTTGCCTTCTCAAGACGTACATATCATCTAGTCAAACATCGGTACTTATATACAGGAATCTTCACCAAGCAACTAAATGTCAGATAATACTTATTACATTCCCGAACCATAGTGACATATCTCTCTTAGCTTTTATAGTACAATAGGACTTATCCAACATGTAAGATGGTGGATTGTAGTTTCCATACACTGGGGTGTGCTTGAGCACACTGATCAACACCAGGGTGTTCGACTAAATGTACGGGACCTCTCGGGGATAAGCCGGGGCCACCCAAATACGCGTACACCTCATTAAAACTAAGAGGCGCAGAACATACATCAATACATTATACAATTAACACACATATCAGACCATTTTAAACTCCAATAGGAAAGCACAACCTTGCTCAACACTTATAAACCTTTAAATTGCAATATAATGTGAAAGACAATTAAGCCAATGTGTGAAGGGGGAATTAAAGACGAGATGATCGAGGAAGCATTAAAAGATATCTGAGTTGATCTCTAGTCTACAAAAGAGAGGTACTGAAGAGCGAACTATACACCCACGCAGGTGATCTGCGGTGGGTACTGACTACGTCAGTACGACAGAAAGGCCACTTGGGCCATCCATGATCTCAATTCTGACTCCGATCGGGGTTTTCCTGAAGCGGTTAACCCGACCCATCACGGGCATCACCCGCGAGCAAGGGATATGTATGTCCAGCAATATCCAGCAACCCATTTTAAAATCCTCCACAGTATTCTCGAAAGAGTACGTCTGGATCTACCATACTTGCACAATCAATACCAGCCAACAATATGATGCTTCAATCCCTTCGGTCAGGTCCACTCACAAAGGCCAGAAACTATGCGACGGCCACTAAGCCGGTTGTAAAGAAGGAGGGAAGCATAGCCGATGCTTTCAACTCTCTATCGGGTGGCAATGCGCCACCCCTACCACTGCGTTTTCGGCAGCTCAAGCAACAAATAGCACAAGGTCGAGAAGATCGCATGATTGCCAGCTGGCATCGCTTGCTCGATGAGTTGCGCCTCGAATGCGACATTATTGCCCGAAAGGGTCCACGGGCCATACCTGAGATTGAGTTCAAGGACCTCGCCGGTGACCTCAGATCTATAAGAGGAGAGATCAAGAAGCGCGGCGCTCTGGTCGTCCGAAATGTCATTCCTGAAGCTGAAGCGCGTGGCTACAAATATGATCTCGAAGAATATATTCGGCTCAATCCAAGCACTCGCAGTAAGTACAAAAGATCAACTACACGGAATCCCTCCATGCTGAAAAACATCTATATAGATTTTGAGGGTCAAGTATTTGAGCTCTACTGGTCACTCCCGCAGCTCAAAGCACGGTCGCACCCAAACATGGTCGCTGCCCAATCGACCTTGATGAGCCTGTGGAACAAGTCGGACGCAAAGGCACCGATATCGACAAGTCAAACCTTGATGTATGCCGATAGATTGCGCATACGACAACCAGGCGATGCCAAGTTTGCTCTGGGACCGCACCAAGATGGTGGAAGTGTTGAGCGTTGGCAGCCAGAAGGTTCAGCTGGTGTCTACGAGAGAATCTTGCAAGGTGACTGGGAGAACCATGATCCTTGGGATGCCAGTACTCGAGTCCACGCCAACATCAACCTCTACGATGGCCTGGGAGCTTGTTCCATGTTTCGCATGTTTCAGGGCTGGCTGAGCATGAGCACCGTGAGCCCGTATGAGGGAACACTTCTGGTGCAGCCGTTACTCAAGCATAGCACGGCGTATACTCTCTTGAGACCATTCTTTCGCCCAGTCGCCCAGTATGGCGATATTGCGACAGAAGAGTACCTGAAACCCAGTAACTGGCAATTCATCGCCGGCGAGGACATGACGAGCGAGTTACAAGGAGCGACTCCCGGACAGGGCCAAGAGTATACTGAATTCAATCATCCACACTTGGAATTGAACCGAACAATGGTTCATGTGCCCAAAGTTCGCCCTGGCGACTATGTCGTATGGCATTGTGATAGTAAGTAATAGTGCAATATGAATTGAACAAGTTGCTAAGTCGCAAGTAGCAATCCACGCCGTTGACAAGACCCACAAGGGTAATTTCGACTCGAGCGTCCTATACATACCAGTCTGCCCTCTCACAGAAGCCAACGCAAGATATGCAGCTACTCAAAGACAAGCGTTCCTGGACGGAACTCCTGGGCCAGATTTCCCGGGCGGGCTTGGAGAAAGTCAACATGTACAACGTCCAGATGTGCAGGATCTGCGAAGAGTCACTGATGAAAATGGCCTTCGTGCCGCTGGCTTTGAAAAGTTGCCGATTTTGGGTGGTGATTCACCAGGAACGATCAGTGTGACTCAAACGGCCAACAGCATTCTAGGGTTCTAATTTCCTGGTTTATGTGCACTGAGGTAAACGTTAGCTGCGAGGGAAAGGAAAATAATTCATTATAATCAAATAACCCTAAAAATCTCAAAATAGATGTTCTGTCATTTCTCTTATTGCGTGAATAACCTGCTTCTGATCTTTTTTTTTTATATCAATGCGGGCTGCCTGGCTGCCACGATAGGCCGGCCGCACTACAATCAAGGCTTACAAAAAGCGGTAGCATTATATGCTCTTTTCTGACCCAAATTACCCTAACATAAATCTAGTGATAAATTCGGAAAGATAGTAATGATTGCTTAGCAGTAGCAGATTTTTGGCAACAATAATCTTTCCAGAGAGTCAGGAGTACAAAGGCGCAGCCGAGTACAGGATTAAAGCTAACTGTAAATGGATAACCCGCCCGCCCGGAGACGGGCAGTCCGAAGTCGCCGCTGACCAATTTGGATGTAGTGCGATCGGAGCCCGACAGTGTAACTGAAAGTCGGCGGCCCTGACTTGTGACCTTTGCTCGTGCAATTACCTAGTTGTCTTCTATTGTTAATGTACTCCAGCATAGTAATAACTACCTACGCATTGACTGTTGTATCTCATCTTTCTCGCCTTCTCTTGTTTCTGCTTCTCAAGCGTGAGCTACTGTGCGAAAGCCCTGACGCGCAGTAAATAAAATTTAAAGCTCGTGAGTGAAAATACCGGTGCTTCTCGGTTCAAATCCAATGATATTTGTCGTATTCAGTCAATATGTGATAGTCGAATTGCTCCCCCAGGTTCAATCTGACATATTGAACCATGTTGTTAGTGAACTTTATTTGGCGGGTGGTACCTCGAGTCAGCAAGTCATGGTGCCTAACCCCAGTGCCCACATCTCTGAACGAGGAAGATTGGACCGCGGGTGCGGGGAATGAAAATACCCTGACAGCCAGGCCTCTTTTCGTGGTTGAAGCACACAAATGTGTGGCCGACGGTATCTAAAACAGCTAGAGCGTCGTCAATGACCGTCTTTAAATTTCATTTGTTATGCTCAAGTTTGTCGAGGACAATGTCGGCGGCGTAGGGACGAAGCGCGCGTCAGGTCACAAAGCCTGCTCAACCTGCAAGAAACGCCACGTTTGTAGCCCATGAGACCGATGCACGACACATGTTGAAGCAAGGAAAAGGTACTGATGCACATGTTATAGAAACGGTGCCACCACAATGACTCCGTCTCCAAAGTACCAGCTGTCTCAACACGCTCTCAAGGGGCAAATGTTTCTCGGGGAGATTCCCCTCAAGAGGAACGGGCAAGCCATGCTCTGTCGTCGCCGCAAATAGATCTAGGACAGCACGACGAAGCCACACAACCACAAGATACCACTGAAGACACAAGACGTGGGCAAGATCCAGATGAACTAGCTGAAGGCGCTTATCTACGCTTCATTGGAGATCTCAACCCCGAAGCATCCTTTCTCAGACGGTATCCTCAGGATTCTACCGCCGCGTCTCCAACCATTCATGAAATTGGTGTTTGGCAAGACAGAAAGTCACAAGAGCGGAGCCGCCCAGAACACACTATCAGTGCCTCTGATATCGACGTTGAAGCCCCGGAAGGATGCAGCATTCGACGATCAGGCCTGGTCAGTCTACAGGCATTGTCACCATATCTACGCAAGGAGTGTATTTCCGTCATGCCACCCGAGTACGAGTACGAAACCATATCCAAGGTCTTTTATTCAAAGTTCGACACACTATTTCCAATCTTGCACGGTCAAAATATCTCGGAACTTGATGTTATGGATAGCACCGCAATTAAACAGTGCATCTGTCTGACCGCAGCACCAGACCCTTCATTGAGGCCTCACCTTCGACTGCCACACACGGAGGCTATCTTGTCGCCGTTGGAATTTCGAAGCTACCTCGCTGCGGCAGTCAAGCAATCGCTAGACATGGGATTCATCCGCGACAAGATAGTTTTACTACAAGTCCACGCGTTGATGGCATTCTCCTCGAGCGAAGCCAATGGTAGCGAGATATCCTCAATTTATTGCGCCCAGGCCGTGCTTTTCTCGCAGACACTGGGGCTTCATCTGAGCTGGCCTGAAGCGGCCAAGGCAAAACGATCGCGATGCCTTTACTGGTGTGTCAGGGTTCTTGATCGCTTGAATGCGGCTACCAATGGTCGACCCATACTCATGCATGATAGAGACGTGGATAAGTATGTAAACGAGTCCATCGAGGAGCAGGTTTTGCCTTTTAGGCTTCTCATACGCATTTCCGGCATCTTGGATGCTGTCATTGCCCAGTATCGTCCTCACCCATCTGGAGAGACACAAGTGCCTCCTGAAGTCTCGTTTGAGGAGCTGGTTCGTGACACGCAAGCGTCGGGCATAGGGGATGGATTGCTTGGTAAGTCAACATGAATCTACTTGTCGGGGGGCTTTTGATCATTACATATTCTACCCCATCTTTTATGACACCTCACCGATCTATCTGACCAAACACGACTGACTCTCACTTAGCCTCCTTGGAGGTGTTTTTCTCGGCTGTCATGATTTTACGCGATCGACCCAACAGACAGGGCAACGCCCAGGAACAAATATCTCAGTCTCCAACTCAAGTCTTCCATGCCATGAACATCGTTTCATTGCTGACAGAGGATCTCCAAAGCACCATAACCTATTGGGCGATTGTTCCTTACGGCATAGCGCTAGCTACCTCTGTGGCCTATCGTCTGATGCGAAACAGCAGTATCCTATACAAGCGAAAGCGGGCACGTCTCCTGCTTTGCTCGGGATGTGATGCCCTAGACGAGCTTACCGCATCGTTCCCTTCAGCGCTCAAAATGGCAAAACTTGCAAAGAGCGCGCTTCGAGAATTTGATCGTGCTGGAACCAGCACAACGTCAACAACGATACGTGGCCAGCGACTCCGAGAAGGAAATCCTCCAGTCAATCTGGAAAACAGGACACCGGGTGGAGAAACCCCTCTAATCGGATCAGCAGTCTCACAGGGTCCGAACAATGGCTTAAACCTTGATTCAGGGTTGTTCTGCGAGAGCGGCTGCGATTTTGCAATGCCTACTCTCGACACCATCTGGAGCAATGCTCTCGATATTCCCGTCACGTCGGATATATTTGATAATTTTAGTCTTGGCAACATGGATTCGGCAGAATGGCTACAGCCGATTTAGTGGAAAATGCGAAATGCATAGAAAACAATACGACAGTGTGGTCCTGGATAGTGCATCTGGCAACGCTATGGACACATACACAAAGATCTGGTCGGAAGATGCAATACGTCCGCTGCGGCACGACAGGGGTCTGCTGACTCATCCCAGTCCTCCAAAAGACGTCCCACCCTTTATGGCCTTTAGCGCCGAGCTGAAGCTCCGTCTTGAGAGCTCCGTTCAATCGCCCTGACCGTTTGAGAAGTAGAAAATAGACCAATTGATTCCTGGGCTATGCGCCGCAAATTCTCGGTGGTCTACTTTGTCCGCACGCCCACCTGTTTTAAGCGCACTCCTATCTTACCATAATGTTACAACAGCTTAGCCGCTGAAGGATCATGGCAAAGGCGGTAGGACGGGTAATTCTAGCGTGTATATATTAGTATCTTGTATATATAGTAAAATAATACAGAAAAGAGAAAAAGAGGGGTGCCATAGTGGCGTGGGGCGGATCTATAGGCCTCCCCTTTGTAACCTCTATTTCATTTGGCTTTTGTACAAGGCGCTCTCATAATACTTCGGGAAAGTGGGGGAGGAGCGCCCTATAATAGCTAGAAGCCGCCCTTAGCGTCGTCGACGAGGAGCTCCAGAGGCAACAGGCCTGATCGGTTATTGGACGGGCCCCTGTGTGCTCCATCCGAAAGCGTTCATCCGTGCACGCAGGCGGCGTATACGGGCGTGCCGAGCATAGACTGGCACAGTGTCTTTGCGTGATCTCGATTTTCTTATAGGTGATTGTGGCGTAGCTGAAATCCATATACCTGGGTCGCGCTGCAGGCCTATTGCGCACGCAATAGGCAGGGGAGCAAGCATTTCCTCCCGTGGCGTAGCTGAGACTGTCGGGAAGATATACCGCCTGTCATACTTACTATACAACGCAATAGCAAGTGCATCTTCATGGCGTAGCTGAGATACACTATAGAGGGTGCGCTTGACCGTGCATATAACCTGATGTTTCGGCTGGGCCGAGACCGCTGAACATGTATCATACGCTGGACGCGAGCCCTCAAAGCGATGCGTCGCTTGGAATTCCGTGTATATAACGACGGCGTCTCTCGCGATATCGACCCTCATCTCCATCGCTCTCATATCCAAAGCTCCATTCCAAACAAATCCCAAACACATCAAGATGACTACCTTCCAGAACGTCACCCAGCAGGTGAATCTGAACAACGCGGTCATAGCTATCGCTCTGTGGAATTCTGGCTATGTTACCGGCAATCCCGGCGTGCAGACTGGAATTAATGCGACGTTCCCGGCCGTCATCCTTATCCCCAATCCCAACCCATACTGGGGCGCCGGTGGAGTCATCGCAAACAGGAGAGTGGGATGGTCGGGCCCGGTTGGTAGTAAGTTACTGGGAATTGTCTCTGGTCTGCTTGTTCGCTGATTCGCATCTAGACCACGTCACCCTTTCCGATCTTGGCCCTCTCCCGCTAGCAGGAGCAGCGGATTCGGCTACGGCGGAGCCTAACACGGCGCCCACGAATTTCACAGCTGGCAAGTGGTCGGACGCAGATACTGCGACTCTCAGAGAGGGCGCAGATGCGCTTCGCAAGGCGCTGGACGACCGGGATGCGGGCTTTTCGGATGAGGTGAGTTTATACGGCTCCGCTGGTGTTTGGTTGGGCAGTCTTGCTGATGCACCGCAGATCCGAAGTGGAATTCACAAGGTCCTCGATGCGGTTGATGAGGAGCTCGCGAAGCGATAGAGTTGATCGAGGGTTACTCTGAGGCACTGTCGCGGTGGGGCAGGGAACCGGGATCGATGTCGGGGGGAAGGGGAGCTGGATATGCAAGATAGATATGCATCGGCGTGTTATAGCTAAAGACTACGGAAAACCTATCTACGAGGCAAGCTCTCGTCTAGCCCTATTGACAGCGCTGGAAGGCTGCGTTGAAGGGCACCAGTCCCTGCGGAAAGCCGGCTTCCTGCATAGGGATATCTCCATTAACAATATAATGATAAACGAAGACGCCAGCAACCTATTTTGGCCTTCGTTCTTAATTGACCTTGATCTAGCAGTCCGAGAGCAGCGTGAAATGTCTTCCGGAGCCAAGGTGAAAACCGGCACTCTGGCCTTTATGGCGATCGGGGCACTTTTGGGGGAACAGCATTCGTATATGCACGATCTTGAGTCATTCTTCTGGGTCTTGTTTTGGATGTGTATCCATTATAGCGGCCCAGGACAGAGTAGGACAGTTGCGAGATTTGACAGTTGGAATTATATGAACACGGTCGAGCTGACCAGTTTCAAGAAGGGAATTATTGACGACGAGGATGACTTTTAAAAGATTGCAGAAGAGGATTTCACACCATATTTCCAACTATTGACGCCTTGGGTCAACCGACTGCAGAAGACGATATTCCCGAATGACCAGAGGTGGAAGAAGCCGAATCCGGAGCTCTATGCGTTTATGAAAGATATTCTGCATTAGGCAAGGGAAGATCCGAAGGTGAATGCATATAATATATAATATACGCGCCTAGAATAGCAAGTAGAAGCGCTGATGTTGGCGACCTGTCGCAATATATCCGCTGCGGTACGACAGGAATTTACTGGCTCATCCCAGTCCAAGGCTTTATATTCTACTAATATAACTGGGATCTAGTCCTCGAATAACTGGGCTCTGCCCACAGACTTTGATATAACTCCTCTCGAAGCGTTTGATCATGTCATGTTGAATGATTTTAACGCTGGAACAAATTTTGGTTTCCCGATGCAATTTTGAGATGTCGCGTGGTCCGCCCTGCAAAATCCATACGTCCGAAGTTTCAATCAATAAACAATTCTAATTTAGAGAATCTGGGTATCATCGTAGCCATGTCCACCTGGGTAATATGTACAGTTCGAATAAAATCTACGCAGTGGGCCACAATTCCTAACATCTATATTGCCAGACTGGCAACCGAGCAGATCTAGTCGCCGTATATCATATAGGTAACATTGCACCCATTTCCCTGCTCCATTTGACTATCGAGCTTCGTCTATCTTTCGACGATGCGCTCCAATCATTACCAGATACAGATTGTCGCTGTGAGATCTCGTATCTACTATGTCGCTAAGGTCGACAAAGGTTAGTACCGCCGATATGTGAATCTTGGGCGAAAAAAAGACTTACAAGTTGCGCAAGTAATTCTCGCCCGAGTTTGGTAATTCGTCATCGAGCCATTCCAATCGTTTGCGTCCCTCTGCGTCATTGCCGAATTGGATGAACTGGATGGTAACAGCTGTTCGGTTTCGCTTCCCGTCGTTCAAAGATGAAATCAAGTTTTTGATCGGATTTTCTACACCGCCGCCAGGCTCATCGGATTCTTGCCACACTCCATCCGTCAGCACGTACACGCTTGTCTGCTTCTCATTTCGCGCAATACGCTCCAGGACAGTGCCGAGCCTGTCTTCCATGTGGGTGTTTTTGGGAAGCGTTTTGTTTCGGAATCTGGCATTGATGCGATCAACAAGATGGCGTGTTTCGCTTTGAAAGCTAAATCTGCTTTTCTTTTTGACGTCATCTGGAGCTGATGTGAAAATCAATTCGACTCCATTGGGGTCGGCCTTTTTGGCCAGACTGATCATGGCCCCCGCCATGTGTATGATGTCGGATAGATGAGCCTTCATCGGTTCTGCGTCATCAATGACGAAGACTTGATCGCGGCCTTGGAGCTGATCAATAATCTCGACGACTCCTTGTGGAGGGTCGGCGCTTTGCTTCTTGTTCATCCTCCAAAGCTCGACATCATTGGCAGTCACCACGGGGAACTTGAATGTGTGCGACTCCCTCTCTCGAGGGAGGTTCTGGTCTGGTTTTGCCGTCAAGCCCTCGTCGTCGAGGGACAAAGGTTCTTCCCGTAATACACTGGTGATCTCGAGCTCTTCTTGGAGTACGCCATCGGCCTGATCCACAACTGTGTCGAAAGTCTTGATGGTAGGCGAAGATGGAGAGCCTTTGATCTCTCGCGGAGATGTATTCCCTCGCCCTGTCAGAAGGTCTCGAACCCCAGGAATTGCACCTGGTTCTGTCTGCGCATGATCCAATTGTTTTTGCGGTCTTTGTGGCAATGCGACAGAATCTCTTCGAATTCGGTCCAGCAATTGGGCGAATTTGACGGACAGCATCTTTGGGCCTAGGCGAGCGTCGTGCGGCACTAGCATATGATCTTCAATCAGAGCTACCAGCGGCTCCGAGATCCTATCAAACGCTTTCCGTCCGTCAAGCGCTTCCTGGTGGAATTCCTGTATGCATGCAAGCCTTTTTTCGCCATCGTGAAAACAAATTTCTAGTCCGCTGTTTTCAAGATTTCGAAAGGAACTTGTCTCTTCCCGTCTCTTCTTTTCGTATGCGCTCAATGACCTATGGTCCCAAAGGATACATATAAGGGCCTCGCTGAAAACAGTGCCAAGTTGCCATATGTCGGAAGTCAAAGGAGTCATCTCTGACTTGGGCTCGGTGTGATCCAGGATACGTGATGCCTCAGGCGCACCTACTCAGACGTTAGCAGTTTTGTATAGCACAGTAAGAAAGGCATATGTACTGCGTGTCCTGCTGCCATCGTTGTCTTGATGGTTGAATCCGTTCTGAGTGTTCTGAAGAGAGGTGCTGGTATCGAAATCCGTGAGCTTGAACTCAAACTCGTAATCGTCTGCTGAGCCATTTTTGAAGAATAAGATATTTTCAAATTTGAGGTCTCTATGGGTGCTGTAAAGCAATGAGAAATTGATCGTGATAGTAGTGTTACGTAGGGGGAAATATTACATGCCAACCGTGGCTCTTCCGGGATGGTGAAGGTGGTTGATTGCTTCTACCAACTTGAACAACTTCGTCCAAAGATAGATGAGCTCTTGATTGTTCCTGGGTACGCGATGGGTTTTAAAGAAGTCCCAGAGGTTACCGCCGTTGGCATGTTCCAAAACAATGACGCTTTTTTCATGCTGAATGAATGATCCTAGGTACTGGACAATGACGCCCTCGCAACTTCGACCAAGTGTTTCGAAGATGTCAGCCTCCTTTGTGAAAGCCAGGCTTGCCGCAGGGTCTGTCTTGGTATTGTAGATCTTGAAGACGACCTTTTTCTAGTAAGAGATGAGCATCCTCGAGCGCAGGATCCAAAGCAGGTGTCTACTCACATTGCTGACTTCGCAGCACTCGGGATCCAAATCAACTTCGTAGATCGTAGTCCTAGACGTGGACTCTGATTGACTGAGTCGGCGCCAACAAGTCACTGGTAGCACTCTTTCAGAGTCAAGATTCCTCTTGTGAATCACGTGTGATGTAAATCGGACCGGCCAAAATTTACACCAGTGTTGACCAAACTTCTTAAGCATGGCCTGTCTCTGTGGGTCGTGGCCGTGATACAAGCCCTCCGTAAAGCCGCTCGAATAGAAGAACTCGTCGTCGCGGTCATGTCGACGGAACCAAGTGATGAAATGAGGGTATCCAATATAAACCAAGGTGGACCAAACCCGGAGATAGTGCTCCAGAATCAATTCGGCGGCAATGGGTATAGGTGGGGAGCCCCTGTCCAGTTCACGGGAGACTGTTATCTCTGTCCAGTATCTGGTGAGTGTGTCTTTTGAGGCGTACTCCGAGGACTTTTGGTCGATGTCGGTTCCTTTCTTCCAGTTCTTTTCGACGTACTCGGAGAAATGGTCATTCCAATGGCTTCGGACCTCTCCGTCGTTGTCATTGTGGGGTTGCATTGCCACCGCGAAAGAGGATTGAATAGGCTCTTCCCTGGATGCTAGCCCTGGGCGACCAGTGGTGTTACTGGCAGAGAGATTCCTGCAGGTAAATACATGAGTTGGACAATAATGCGTTGTGACCAGATGTGACTATATGTTAGTGAATGTGCAACGATGTGCGTGCGACAAAGGCCATTTATGAGACAGCAATGAAGACGAGTCATAGTGAGTATTGGGGAAAAAGCCAGGGGTGCTTGCCTCGAGTATGGTCGTACAAGGATTCGAAGGGGGCTGATGACAGACAGATCGGGCGTTCGGCTCGAAGGATTTCTTTAGTAGTTGGCCTTCTTCTGCCTTACGCATCCTGAGCGCCTGGGGCAGACATGCCAGGGGCATCTCCTCTTGACGTCAAAGTGGCTGCAATCTGCCAAGGGAAGTGCAGCTGCTCTGCTGCTCGGGGATTTAGAAGTGCTGGTGGTGGCGAATAGTTGTGCATCTGTAAAATGACGAGCGCGTTCCCGTAGTTTTGGTTATCTTACCTGCATGTAGAAGATGGGGAGAAGCTGCAAAGGTCTTCCAATGCGTCCAATCCCAAGCCTTCGAGGCGCCATTCGAGGCCCCCCTTCCACCCTTGCGCCTCAATTCTACACATTATTTTGTGCATATAACGTAGTAACGTGATTGAATAAGCCCAATCAGCCGCAGCCGAGCCCAAGAGTAGTGAAAAGGTCCTTGCTGCCTGGACGTGTTTGCCTTACTGCGGTGCCTTTCATGGTGGGCGCACCAAATTATGGCTGAAAACGCAAGACCAGAGGCCTTCCGGTTTCTACTGCGTACACGTGGAAACAACGGGAGAAGTAGTTCGGAAAGTAAACGAGTGTAATTCTAGCTACGGGCAACAAGAGTGATAATCTTTGGGTTCGGACCTCTCAATCTATGCGTGGCAACGAGTAGCTGAAGTGTGGTGAACTAGAGAGGGCGGAAAGCTGCTGCAGCTGTGGGGGAAAATGGGTACTAACCTTAGCACCTAACAGAAAATCTCACTCCGCGCAAACCACAAACATAGACATTTCTATTTCTCCCATGTCGGTATATTAGTCTGGGCCAGCCCGTGTTTCTATGACTAAAGTAGGAAAAGACTCAAATGGAATCCGATCATCCCCCACGTACCATGGTCCTGCTCAATACCGCATCATGCCATCTTCGAAATGTCCTTCTCACCAACAGTGACAGCCTGACCCTGCGCCCGCCCTCTCAGATACCTGAGCACGAAAAACCACACTACAAAAGAGAGAAACATCATGACCAAACAGATCGCAATAAACATTTCAAAGACAGGCAACCGGAACTGCCATGCATTCTCCAGTGATTCCTGGTCCTTCCATTGAAAAACACCGCTCTGGAGAAAGCTCTGCGAAGATGTTGTTAGATACTCTACCGACCGTGATAGACTTGGCACTGCAAGCATTGCAAGTCTTACAGCAATGAATGTGCCAGGGAGAAAGACTAGCGTGACAAGGGTGATGATGTGCATCGATGCTGTTTCTTTCTCTGTGATCCCAGCGATTTCCTCCATCCGCTTAGCTGACGCCTGAGCGCTTTGGGCATAGATCGTGCTGATCTGTACATTTCGATATTGGGACACTCCATCATACTGCGGGGTGAGGAACACACAAGTCAGCACAATATTCTTGGCGTTGAGGCCAGGGGTCATTCTTACCAAGACTTTTGCTTCTTTGACGAATTTTTCCAGGCTTTCAAGTTGCTGTTGTTTGATACACAGCGAATTCTCCAAGGATTTCAATCCCTCAATAAACGTGTCCAGGCGATACAAGTCAGGATGGTTCTCATCCTTGAACACTGATTTGCGCAGCCTTTCGCGCTGATAAAATTCACTCATCGCATGAACAACATTGGCATCCAGCTTAATGGTCAGAATTGCTTCCTGCATGGCTTCTCCGTATCGATGTAACTTTTGGTTGTCTCCGAACGAGTAGTGATCCAACCTCAGATACTTGTCCAGCTCTTCTTGAATTTCATTCTCCTTATCTGGTAAAGTCGTATTATTGGAACCCGAGAAGACACCTTTCCACCACGGGTCATTGTTCTTCGGTCGAGTCAAATCCGCATCGGTGTCGTTCAATTTGCGCTTGCTGAAACTTCTTCGGAATCCCGATGTAACACTTTGCAAGAAGCTAGACTGTCTGCGTTCTTGGCTCATGTTATTTGTGTCTGTTCGAGTCATTTGCTGCCTGATCTCGTCCTGCAATTTTTCGAATCGAAGGCCAAAGTCAAGTTGACCATTGCTGGCTTTGTCGACTGCTTCACGAGCTTCGTGGTCCAGCTCGTTGATATACAATTGCCAATTTTCATCCACTGTCTCCAAGATTGAAAGATGAATCGCAAGAGTAGCAACGAAGGCACTTGCAGGCGTATTGGATCCAGAAATCGATCCAGAGTGCAATTGGTCTTCAAACACATCGCAGATTTGCTCTCTCGTGCTGCTATTACCTTTTACCGTAACCCATACCGTTCGCCCGGTTTGTACATCAAAGGAGTGATATACAGCCAGTGGCCGTATAATGAAACTCCAGGGTGGCCGAGACTCGGATTTCTCGACAACACGCAAGAGAAATGACATTTGAAATCCGGATCCTGATCGGCCAACGGACCTAATCCGCATCTGATTTGAGGGCGGTAAAGCCAGGCTGTCATCTCCCTCGAAAAAGGCTAGACAGACATCTTTTGGTTCCAGCATTACGCCAAATGAGCAGACTGCTGGGATGAAGGCTGTGGGAATTTGATGATGGGAGCTGAGATACGTGAACATTGCATGCGAACAACTCAACGGCTTTCGTGAGTTTGGTGCCTCGATTGCACTCGGGATTGATTAGTCCCCATGTAATCCCAGATGGCATATGTGTCTTACATGTATCTGAGTGATGGATCTTCCGTGCCCTTCTGGAAGAGTGTTTCAAGCTCAGCCTGAGTGCTGGCTTCAGAGTCTGGCACTATAACCAATCAATCTCTCAGCTGGGCATTCTCTATTGATGATCGAATTCGTAAGGATGACTTACATCATTCCGTGCAACACAAGGTCCTGCCGCATGTGGCCCGCCACTGCCACTCATTCATCCCACCAGACATCCTTTCCACAAATCTCGTTCAATAATTGCAGTCTTCCTCCTAAAAGATTCGTTACAAGACGACTGGGCCACGTTCTCCATTTATCTCAGTGTTGCAGCCCAGTGATCGCAAGCAATTCAGCCTTTTAGTGCGCGATCAAGTCAGCCAATCTTACGTCGTATACTTAACACCGTCATAGATGTGTTACAGGGGGGGTCTTTACCGAGTTCAGCTTTCGCGAAAGGTAGAACACGTATTTATCGCCAGATACCTATTGACGCCTGATTAGAAATTGTTGCACAAATTCGTCGCATCGTGTCTCTCATAGCGTTAGACGTACAGTTACGGACACGCTACCAAACTTCAGGCGTAGATAATTCTCAAGCTTGTCTTTTCGGAGCCTGTACATCGAGACAGAGTTGTACACCTCCCCCATTGTGTCTCTACCAGGATGTGAAATAAAGGTGTCTGATGTCCAATTTCGATATAGTCGATGTCTTAGTAGATGCGACACTATACGTGATCTGTTGCTTTTCGAAATGCGCCTAGAGATGGGGCGATGAACTTTGCATGCCCGGCTGGGTTGCCAACCAGCGGTCGGGCACTTAAATGCTGCCGCGGCATCATGGCTGGGGGCACCTCCAAAACCCTGTAGAATTGAGGCTCAAAATCTCAAACATGGTTTGTTATCTGGCGGAGTCTGAGTGAGTATGTCTGAGTATCTGCTGGGATGGTGGGCGGCAATCAAGCCGTGATCGAAGAGCATGGCCAGTCTGAGGGCCGCGCCGTCCCAGGTCATCGGCACCTCATTTCTGTGTCAGCCAATCAGAATTACAGCACAAACGCCAATCGGCTTTCTTAATGCGACCCAATCTGAGAGCCGGCGATGATTAGCTGGCCCGGTCCGCACTGACGGCATGAATGCTACGTCCAAGTATGGAATCTCCGTTGTTTGGGAAAACATTGCCCGAAGTTGTGTTACATGCAACAGGCGCGATATGCCTTGTAGGGCAAACCCGCCTCCACCGGCTCATAGAAATCGCCGATCATGTATCCAAACATATGACCTTTCTCTGACCGAGGTAGTATAAAACTGTATTCACAGCCCGGATCTGCCCTTTATGGGCGGAATCAAGATGAGAGAAATATTCGGTGTCGATATTCGGGCACAGCCGTACGCATCTCGAACTTTACCTTCTACCTACCGATTTCAACTGAGTATGCCTGGCATGGATACCGGCAAGAAAACGAGTAGAACAACAAGATACCGACATATTGGTGGTACAATCTAGTGAATGTTGTTTGCTAGATGCCATCAGTCTTTGTTGAACTGCCGACTAATTATACCGCGGCCGATTCGCGCTTCTAGAACTCTTCCACCAATGCAAGCAGCCTTGGTACATATCTCTGAGCCAATTCCAGCGCCGTCTCCTCTTGACGCAATATTCAAAGTCTTGCTACCAGTGCGTGCGTTTCGGTGAGGCAGCTCTTCGGCCAAGCTCTCTCTGCTTTTCGACAGGGCTATATTGAGACCAGATTCCCAGTCGAAGCCGCTCGCATAGCCACGGTCATTGTGACCCCATTTCTGAGCCTCCGTATCGGCGCCTTTGTCAAGGAGGAAGCGCAGCACTGCCAGATTGCGACCGTCCGGTCTACCCTCAATTTCGTCCGCAAAGTCTGTGCCGGGTCCGGAATGGTCGACCGCTGAGCGGACCAAAGGGATTGCGTTGACTGGATTGCGTCCAGCCTCGAGCAAGAGTTCGATTGTTATCATTTCCTTGATCCCACGAAAGCACGTGAGCGTACCCTCTAGACCACACTTCGCATTTTCTCTCCCCATACAATGGATTTTTTTTTTTAATTATCAATGCGAGAATACCACGTTTCTAAATTTAATTAAAGCAGATCGATGCTTACGCAACTCTATGGAGCGTGTTCAAAAGTATTATATAGCGCTCGAATACTCATATTACCCCATGGAATGCGCAGCGTTAAGGACGGAAAGCTACCTCACCACTAGCGCGGTAAAAAGAGCTATAGGTTAATATATTCCAGGCTATCAAGAAAAACGGTCCATTTTCGCCAGGTAGATATGTCCTATGACTGCCCGCCTAATGATAAGGATCGGCGACGATTTGATGACTACACAAGTCTTTGATTTTTCCGGTCACTTTTGCGTGTTTCCTTGCGTGTTCAAGTCGGTGGTTGTAGCATTGGACAGAAGTGTAGAAATGAGTGTGGTTGTGGCGGGAGCTGCTGAAGCTATAATAGCTCGATTGGAAATAGTCTTGGTCGTTCCCCACCGCTGCGGGGGTCTGTGGTGGCTCACAAGTCTTCTGTAGTATATTATTACTTTTACTACAGATAGGTATCTTGTGAAATGGAGATTTCTTGTGAGCCACACAGTTCTTGTGGAATGACCCACTATGACGCCCACTGTAAGCCCCTTGTAGCGTCACTGTAACCATCCACTAAGTCAAGTTGGCAAAAAGTCAAAATTATAGTTTTTTCTTTCCTTTTTTCTTAATAACAACTCAAGTTGAACGTTCGACCTATATAATGATTACGGAATTGCAATCTTTCAGTTATACTACGACGGATTTACGGATTTGCAAGGAACGAAAACAGGACGATTTAAATTGGTATTTGTATCGCAGTGGTAGCTTATAATGGGCTTCCAGGAGAGCCACAAGAATTGTGTTTTATACAAGAAATCTTCATTTCACAAGATATCTTTGCTGTACAAGGCTTGTAGCGCTTGTATGAGCATTACAACTCTTGCTAAGCCCCACAATCTCCCACTATTAGGCATTAAGTCGTTTCACTTGGCTCTCTGAACTATTCGATGGGATGAACTTTTCGGTTAATCGGCATAAATACATCCCAATGTATTTGATGGGCCATCAACATGTGTCATGTATTATTTTCCCATTACAATCTTTTGGACTGGGCTTTGGTTTATTCATTGTTATATTACTCAATCAGCCGTGCTCAAATTCAGTCTATCCCCCATATCCTAGACAAGTCCCAAAATGGCATTAGAGTAACCTCAAGATTTCCAGACCTTTGCAACATATTCCTCGACGTCTGCCAACAACTCGTCTGGTCTTTCCATGGACTATGAGAATGTTAGTGTCGAATACCATGATAACTGAAAAGGTGGAACAACATACCGCGAAATGGCCTCCATGCTGGTGCTCATTAAAAGTCACGAGATTGACGCTCTTTTCAGCCCAGCTTCTCGGGACGGGCACGACCTCTTGCGGAAACAGGGAGTATCCGCAGGGTTTGGCGACGTATGGAAGGCGAAGTACTGCCTTGTCCGCCACCTAGAGCCAAAACATCAGTAACTTGCACGTAGCTGGAGGTGAGGGATGAGCACATACCACACTATATCTCGCAATACCTGGAACGTCTTTCGGGTCTCCCATCTGTGGTTTGTTGTGTTAGTTATCAAGCTCAATAGAGAAAAGAAAAGGGAAGATGGACGGATAACTTACCCCACGGTTGTGATACAGAGCACGCGGATACGTGTCAGTCAGCCAGTAGAGCATGACGCTCTCGAGGATCTTGTCCAGCGGGGGATCTTGGTCCGAAAACTCGAGGAATTTCTCCCCAATCCTAATTTCCACGGTCAGACTTTGATCATATTTTTGAATTTGGGAGATATTTGAACAAACTCACCATGCCAGCAGCGCGAGCGGGCTCGCGCTCAAAGCTAGACCCATTGTTGCGCCGCGCGTCCCCTGCTGCATCGCAAAGGCCAAACCGGTATCAATCGCCTCGGAGGCTCGCTGAAACGCGTGGTCCTCGGCCGCATCGCGCGTGTCGATATCGACACCGGGCGGCGGCAGGCCCATTTGGTTGACGTGCATCCCCCGACATTCCGGGAAACTCAGCGCCATGATGCGGGCGACAAAGCTGCCCAAGTCGCCACCCTGCGCAAGATACCCCGAGGCGCCAAAGCCCAGACCGAGCATCAACTTGTGCATGGTCTTGGCGACCTGCACGACTCCGTAGTCTGAATCGACTGGCGGACCGCCCGAGAAGCCATAGCCTGGCAGCGAGGGCACAATGATGTGGTACGGCAGCGTCTCTGAGGTATACTTGGCGCGGAGCAGGTCGAGCATGTCCAGAAACTCGTAGACGGACGCCGGCCAGCCGTGCATGAACACAATGGGGACGGCATCTGCCCGTGCGGAGAAGAGCGCCAGGAAGTGCACGTCGGTTGTGTAACCCGTTTCATCATCGCGGACTGGGGCCCGGAAGCTTGGGAAGGAGTTGATTCGGGCCTCGGAACGGCGCCAGTCAAAGTCGTGCAGCCAGGCGTGCTTGGCCGCCGCGAGCCAGTCGCGAGTCATGCCATAGCGGCGTCCGGCGTTGGTGTTTTCAAAAGTGGTCGGGCCAATTGGGGAGAGCTCGAGCAAGGCGCGAAAGTGCTGCAGCGTGGCCTCGTCGACGTGGACTTGGAAGGGTTTGACGTCGAGGGTCGAGCCAGACGGGATCTGAGCAAAGTCGGCCATATTTGCACCTTGTTATTGAAGAAATGGGGAAGACACAAGACAAGACTGTAATTGTTGATTATATTACGTGGATTAAGCAAGATGAGCTCTACATTATATAGTTCTCATCTGACTGCAGGAGATCTTGAAGTTTGTGTAACACACTTGTTTCCCCTATAAGCAGTAGTGGTTGCCTTGATCATTCAATCTGGGATCAGCATCAAAAGTGGTTGATTCTTGAAATTTCTGGTTGCTTCTTGAATCTTCGCTTGAAATAATGACTAGTTGATTCTCGAAAGTTCTTTTCAGTCTCAGCAACTCGAACTGCTCATTAGTCCATTCGTTTAAGATTGATTATCTGACATAGGGACGGGCCGGCTTATTTCCCACGTCAGCATGGCGCACACCTAGTGAGATGGTGGCTCCACCACTGCTATCATACTCTAAGAGTCTGGTGCCAATTATTTTATTACTGGCGCGCTGCCCTGCACAATCAGACAATCCAGGTATAATTTGGACGTGTGTAACTGTACAAGTATAAGCAGGTCTCTTGTAAATCATATTGAATGAATGCTCGTCATGTGTTATTATATCTAGACAGATTAGGTAAAAGTCCCCCGGTCATGAAAACCGGGGGCTGTCCCTGTATTTAATCAGTTTAGCTTCAAACCCGTCCTGTCCTTGATTGTGCTTCTGATCAATGAGCCTGGTAATCGGTATATGAATATGGTTATAAGATAACTCTATATATCAACCTGGTATCATGTTCTAGAAGTATTCTGCGGTACGCATTTCCGATTGAAGAGTGGGCAATTACGAGAAAAGAGTTACAGCGGCCCCGCAGCCCCAAGGTCCCAAGTAGCAGCTAGTCCGTACAAAGCATGCCCCGCGCCATAGCGGCCAGGTTCTGGTGGTTTGTGCCTCCAGGGCTGTCTCAGATTTCCGACACGACCAACCGACCATACGGCCAGTGAATCTGGCATTGGCCGACTGAACCACGGTTGAAGCAACAACTTTTGACTCGTATTAAGCCGAAGCCTTCAGATCAGGTGGCAGCTCGATCCACTGTTACCAATCTTTGCCCATGTTGCATGAGCTGGACAGGGCAGGTGGGTCCCCACGACGGGCGTTACACTGGTAAGATCAACGCTTCAGGAGGTGTCGCCGCATCGTTGTCTCGAGATGCACAATCTGTGGCATTGTGAGGCATTCCATGCTCTAAGTTGGCAGTGGAAACTACACAAAGTGTTGAACATCGTGACATGTTCAAGACAAGAATCAACCAATATGCATATATATACCGACAGCCACACGTCTCGATAACAGGAAGAATGTCTTTTGCAAGCCGGTCTTCTTACAGCACTCCGATACCTCTTTGAAGCTTCATATTCGCTCATTTTCCGCCGTGCGGTCATCAATCATAATACATCTTTTTCACAAATATCTATATCACCTTGTCAAGATGCAAATCTCATTCATTAGCGTAATCCTCGGCCTAGCTGCCATCTCTTCTGCAGCGATTGCCGACGTCGAGGGTGTTCGGCATGCTCCCCGAGACTCGATCATCATGACCCGCCAGAGCGGGAGCGCCAACGGCAATCGGCCTACGCCATCTGGGGCCTGCTGCGTCGCCAATACCTCGCTAAAGCAGGACACCTGCACTGCTACCGATGGCACCCAGGGGCGATGCGTACCTGGAGGCAACGACTGTAAGTACCCAGCAACCACGAACATGACATTATATTTGTAAGACCAGCGACTGACATGGACTTTTCTTCTTTTTGCAGGTGGAGGCTCTCTGAGTTGCGTCGCCCAGTCCAAGCTGACCTGCGACGCGGCCATCATTGAGCGCGGCAAGAGTTTGTGTCGTGCCAATGCCGGCAATGGGCAGTTTATCGATGGTGCCAAGACGATTTCCAGCTTGAGCCAGGCCTCTGTCAATTAGATGGGGTGCATGATGTGAAACAGGGATCGGATAAGAATCCGGTGGATTGTGGGGGCCGGACTTGTAGGAATCACGGAGTCCGGCACACTAATCTTGTTAATCCAATATCGAACGAGTGTCAAATTGTCCTCTTGGATCACGTCCTTGAGACGAAAGTCTTATGATACAAATCATATCCGATCTCTTCATCCGTTCTTGTTCTTGTTTATGGTCATTGTGAACCAGGTAGTCTGGCCCGATACATGTACAATGTCAGACTCAAATGACCTGCCATCTACTACAGTCACCTCATCGGAGACATTCTTAGCCAAGCATGAACTGCATGACTTGAGGATTTATTTACATGAAGCTAAGATAACATGATGGGCTAAGAATCAGACATTGCAATCTGGGCTCTGTCTCCAAACGACATCCACCTGTAGATTGCACACAGATGCTCCAATCATTAGTTGGAGACAGTCTGCTGCGCAGAACCTGCACCATTCCAGCTCTCTACAGCAATGACCTGAAAGTTCATGGTGCCTAGGTCAAGGCCAACATTCTTCCAGGCATTGAAGTGATTCTCAATTGTGACCGTGCCGCTCGTACGGCCACTCTCGCGCACCGAAATATACTGGTTAAAGGTGCTCGTGCCCACAATGGACGGCTCATTGACGCGCTGGTTCTCCCAAATCACATAGGTGCCGCCGTCGCTGGTGACGGTGCCCTTTTGGGTGCCCGTCTGCGAGTAGCCGCTCGAGTCTTCAATGACATAGTATTCCACGAGCGGGTTCTCGGTCCACCCATACACGGACAAGGTGCCCAGGCCACTGCTGACGCTGAAGGAGCCGCTATAGGTGATGGGACTGTGTGCAATAGTCTGTTAGTCATACAGGGGGATAAGTCAGAAGGAGAAGAGTATGACGCTCACGAAGTGCTACCAGGGTTCCAGCCAACACCGACGACAAAGTCCTCGGTAGTGTCAAAGGTAAGAGAGAACCCTCCGCTGGAAGGAGTAAAGTCTACAGTACCGCCAGTGGTGTAGTCCTGAACGTAGTTGGTACTACGAGATTCGAGTCCAGAAACGTTGCGGCGGGCTAGCATGAGTGGGTGGTCAGGCCCCAGGAAGAAATTATGAGGACCGCGTCTTTCGACATGCGGAGGCAGCACCTCGGCAGTTCCCGCGGTGGGAGCCGCCAAGGTACCCGCCGCAGCCAAGAGGCCGAGTGCCACGGTGTAAAGTGTCATGATGGAGGATGCAGTTTGGTCAATGGAATCAGAGTGGTATTGGAGTATGGCTTGGCTTGTCTTGGAACGTCTTGGCATTCCTAAAACAGGCGAATTCTGTCTACTTATACTCTCAAGAGGGCCATCATGATCATGAAGCTAGTCTTGTCCTTGAATGACTCTCACGGAACCACTCGCGCGAAAGGAAACACAACATCATCAAGTTGAGATCAACCGTGACTTCCTATCTCAACTAAAGCATCATTTCTTTGCGACCTTGAAGCACCTTCGCTGAATTTTCCACCATTGAGGCCAAGACCTGGAGTGTTCAACATGATCAACCCCGGGTGACCCCCAGCATTATAGGACCCGCCCGTACCATTATGCGCGTCGCCGGGCACCTAGCTGCACCCCACATTTGGTGATGAGCCTCCTTCTGCTTTACGGTTCCGTCTTTAGGCTAAATGGAAGGTGACGCGGAGGTCACACAAAACCAGCCGACCATTCTCCTAGTCTTTTTCTGGATGAAGCATCATACCACATTGAAAGATAGGGCGGATGCACCGCTGCCGTTGTAGCTGAGAGCAGTGCTAGGAGGCACAGCCCAGAAGCGTCAAGTTGCTCACAAGAAAGAATCTCAGTCGGTTCGACGTGCAGGTGACGGGAGCGTAGTCACCCATCACCTACGCTCACCTTATACACATGAAAGTCCGATAACTCACTGCTGGAATGTTGATCTTGCCGCCGAGTACTTTGCAGAGGTGCTCCAAGCGGATGATCATGTTACAGTGCCACATCTACTCCAATCCCTCTACTCTGTCACCTACCTGTTCTCTGATTTCCACAGCTCCTTGAATTTTGAACCCTCTTGCTGAATCAATTCCTTTGGCTTGCCCGACTCCACGACCCTACCACTGTCTAATACAACCACAGTATCTAAGTCCATGACCATTTCCAGACGATGACTGATCATCACCACCGTATAAGCCGCAAACTCTTGGCGAATGACCTTGTGCATTATCCTTTCCGTCTCCCGATCTACACTGGAACTGAGTTCGTCAAGTAGCAGGATCCCTCCGTCATGATTGACACTTCCATTCCCCAAAGCAGCCTCTCTCGCACGACTTTGGGCTCTTCGTCGCAGGGCGGCACGTGCGAGACTAAAGAGCTGCTTCTGGCCTTGTGACAAGTCATCAGCATTCATTGCTGCCGTGAGACCGCCGCGTTCGTCAATGACAACGTCGAGACCGACAAGTTCTAACACAGCAGTGCAGTCTGCCTCAGTTGCGGCACCTTGTGGGTCGAGATTTGTCTGGAAAGACGTTCTATTGGGCAGAAAGACAGGCTCTTGGGGTACTGCGATGATGCGTTGGCGCAGCACAGAACGGTCAACACGATACAAGGGCGTCCCATCAATGGTGATATTCTCACTGCAGGACGCGAGAGGATCGACAAGACGTAGTAAAAGTAAAATGATAGAGGATTTCCCACTTTGTGAAGCACCAGTTAGCTGCGAATAGCAACATGTTCATAGGCGATATCAGGACACTTGCCTGCCGGTTCGACCGCAAATGGCGACCTTTTCGCCAGATCCTATCGACAGATGTATATCGTCCAACGCCAGTGGGCGAGACTGTTCGCCAACCGTACCCTCACTTTCCCTGTTGGACCATGAGTAGGTATCAATGTATCGATATCTCGTTTTGAAAACTTACCCGTAGCTTGCTGAGACGCCTCGTATATCGATTGCGCCTTTCATAGGCCATTGCGGTGGCGGAACCACGTCCTCCCCAGGCAGGTTCTCGGGCACGACCGACTCGCTAAAAGTTTTCAGGCGACTCACTGAGCCAATAGAAGTTTCGACCACGGTATAGACACGAATCAAAAACGAAAGAGAATTTCCAAAGGTCATGAGCGTCACCAGGCTGGCGCCGGCAAATGCACTGTTGGAACGCAATTGTGTCGCCAGCGCAACCACGATTGTTGCCAATAATGCTACGAGGAGCTGCAATACGAATTGCAGCCAGCGCTGTATCATGGCTAAAAGGTAGGCGGGACGCTGCGAGCGATCCAGAAATTTGTCGTTTGTCGCAATTACGTTCTTGGCCCAGCCCAGGGCACGAATGGTCGCAACCCCCTTGATCGTGTCGATGAATTGTGAGCTGCAGGTATTTGTCAACAAAGCTGCAGATCATGGTGCTATTCAAACTTACTATAGTGGACTCTTGGCTTCAAGATCCAGCAATCGCAATTGTCGTGATGTGCGGAGGTAAAACTTTTGCAGTCCGTACAAGAAGATGGCCATGATGGGAAATGTAATGACAAGGTACGCAGAAGAAGTGGCAACAACGGCAGCCATTCCTAGGGTAGTAAAGAGTCTATTGCTGAGATTTATCAAGGCCAGAGGAAGTTCTCCATCAATAAGATTCATGTCTTGAGAGAAAAGGTTCGTCACCACGCCCGTATCGGTAGTCGAGAAGAATTTGAGCGGTGCTGTCATGACCGTACTGAGCGCTTCCTTGTGTAACTTGGCGCCCGAGACCTGAATCATGGATCGGAAGCAGACGAGACAAACACCGAGGAGGCATGCAAGTGTCGAAATTTGAAACAGAGCGTATAGGGCAATGTAAAAGATACCGGAATGGTTGGGAAATGTCGACGTGATATCTTCCGACCAGAATTTGAGCCAGATGGTGGTAAAGTTGGAAAAAAAACCCCAACCAGCGCCAAAAGCAATAAATAATACAATCGAAACGGTGTTTATGCGAGAAAAGTAGTGACGATATACAGAAAAATCGCCCGTCATTCGCTTCTTTTCTTCATCAAATTTGGTTGGAAGGTTTTTAGCCGTCCTGGGCATGGTGGGCTTTGGAGCGTCCTGAATTGATTCTAAAGAAGGGCCCCCATTATCGCGGGGGTGAGCGTCTTTGCTGTTGGAAGCTATGAGACCATATATGTAGCCTTTATTCGAAACGAGCTCGGAGTACGAGCCCTGTTCCTCGATAGTTCCGTCCGCTCGCAAGGCTATGATGTGGTCGGCTGACAGCAAACGTTGGGTGGCATGCGTGCAGAGGACTACGGTTGCCTCTCTTTGCCTAAGTATTCCATGATTGGAAAAGACATTTCGAAAGACGTGTTCACTGGTAATGGCGTCCAAACTGCTGAGTATGTCGTCGAAAACGAGCAAGTCTGCGTCAAGAAACAGCGCCCTAGCCAGAGCCACCCGTTGCTTCTGTCCTCCACTCAGAGTGATTCCATTGCTTCCAATTTTTGACTCATCACCCATTGGGAGGGATGCAAGGTCTTGTTGCAACAGGGTCGCGTCAAGAACCTGCTGGTACCGACTTTCGTTCATTGTCGCAAAGGCAGTAATGTTTTCCCGAATCGTAGAGTTGAAAAGCAATGGTGTTTGATCACAGTATCCCACTTTCAAGTTGCTGACATCAATCTCCACACTCCCTTGCGCAATGGGAACTTCGCCAATCAGTGCTTTGCATAGTGTTGACTTGCCCGAAGCAACAGGCCCAACAATGATTGTCAGTTTCGAGGAGGGAATTTCAATATTGATGTTCGAGACACAAGGTTTCCCAATTTCCCATCCGAAACTTCCGTCTGAGACCTTGATCAACGGTGCTGTGCCGTCTCCAGCCCTCGTCTGTTCTTGGGTATAAGTCGGGGTTTTCTGGTCCAATTTCAAAGGCGATTTTCGAAAATCGATCTGGGACTCCTTCTCCAAGAACTCCTGGATCCTGCTCAAACACGTAAACGTAGATAGAAATGCAGGCATCGTTTGGAGAAGCATGCCAAGGGGTGTCGCCAAAAGCAAAACATACGAAACAGCCGTAAATATTGTTGTAACATCCAGGGTGTGGGAGGCGAAAACAAACATCAGGATAGGAGAAATGCAGAGAGGAACGTTGGCAATAATGGCCGCCACGGTAATGACCATGCGAAACTTTGATGCGCTCTCGAGCTCATCCACTCGCAGCTTTTGGATGGATTCCTCCATCATCGCTGCAAGTCCCGAGACCTTGATCTGCTTGATCTGTCCCACCGCACTCGCTATCACGCCAACTCTTTTCTGGATCTTTTCCATCCACGTCTTTTGCCTTGGTACGGTCACTTTCGACAGAATGCTCGAAGATACAAAACAGCAAAATACCACAATGAGTGGTGCAATTGCTGATGGTCCAATATCGCGGGAAAGAAGCCAACTGGCCAATCCGACCTGTATTGCGTTTGCCCAGAACTCATGAAGATTCAATCCGCCGCTAATGATGCGTTCGATATCAGCGCTCATCAGAGTCAGAGCGGACGAATCTTGAGTAGCTGACAGCTTGGCCGCGACAACCTTTCTATAAACCACACCAGCCAACGCACCCCGAGCCATGTACATGACACGTTCTTGGAGATACCAGTATATCGCTCCCGAGAATGCCAGGCCAAGATAGACTAGAAAGGTGGCGCCAATCAAGCCGTATCCAATGTTCTTTGTCGATGCGTCTGATGGCCTTTGCAAATAATCTAGCAGCAAACTGATCAGAAATGGTTGACAGAATTGTAGCGCCGTCATGGCGAGTCGGGGTCCAATCGGGAGTAAAAGAGGAATGGCCAAGGATCTCGCAAGAGCTTTCGCCAGACCATGTTTCTGACCTGGCTGTGGAATCTGCCCAAGATGATGAGATAAGCTTGCCTGCAATGGCTCCGAAGCTACATTTTTATCAAGTGGGAAAAGCTCATCCAGTGTCAGTGTCTTTCGATAGCCAGTGGAGAATAAACGGTTCAACCAGGCAAATGCGCCGAGTTCAAACAGTCCGCTGGTCTCTTCCGGGCTGTGCTCCTTTTCGTTCCACCGGATCCATTTCGTCTTTTGTCGCGTTTCAAGAACCGCCAAAAGAAATTTGACGCCCAGTGCAGCAGTAAAAATCGTAGTAAAAAGTCGTTCATCGCGGCCAGTAGAGGCCAGCCAAAGTGTTCGCGTCTGGGCAACGTCCAGTAACACGGAGAGTGCCAGGTATGCGTTGAGCACGATCGAAGGCCGAGGTGATCGTGAATGTTCTAAATATGAGGCAGCAATCATACAGAGTGCGGCTGCCAAAGACACAGCGGACGACGAGACGAAGAAACTCTTGAATCGTCCTTCTCTAGTGCCGCTCAAGGCAAGTAACGCCAGTTGGAGGGCAGCCCATGCGCATGCTGAGACCTAGAAAGAAGCCAGGTTACTTTCTCTAGGATTGGCTTGACGGGGCACAAGAGCATACCAATTTGGCAGATTGTAGAATAGCACCGCCAATGATTGCTTGCTTGGAGAAGAGACAGGCAATGCGCGCAAGAGCAACTGCGACAAAGATGGAAGCAGGAAGAATGGAGAAAAAGACGAGTTCAAACTTGATGGTAAAGTCAAAACCATCTCGGCAATGCTGAACGCTAGGACCTAAAGACTGATCGTCGGAGCACTCGGAGAAGTCCATGACGTGAGTCAAGAAACATCAGTAACAGAGCCAAATTAAAGATATGACCATGGAATCATTGCAGAATACCAAGATACAATAAGTAAGGGATTGTTTAAAGCACTAGAAGAGGACATATGTCAATGTTGTATCTACCCTGCGCCGCAGATTGAACAGTCATAACAGGCCCTAGTAATGTTGTTTACCGGGAAGACGAGCCAGGGCGCAGCCAATCAAGATGGTTGAAACAAAGTCGTCACTATCCCTGTCGGTGGTGCGACTGTTTTTTATCTGACCATGGGGGCGGCAGAGGTGACACAAACCAGTCGACAACGATTTAGGAGAAATCACCTCCATAAGCTGGTTTAATATGTCCCATTAACTGACGAACACTTTGATTCTGTGCAAAGACATAATGCATCAAGGCTTTTGGTCTCCTATTCGATTATGAGTACGAACACCAAAGAAGTTGTCTGATACACATACCTTTTGTTCTTGGATAAACCAATTCGTGCCAAAGCCTGTATATTATACATTCTTCCGCCTCATTACAGTAAGGACCACGAAAACTCTAAAGAAATCCAATAGAGAGTATGCCGTGTCTTCTTTGCGCTTTATATCACCTTTTGGAATCCAAAGTAAAGGTTTCTTGATACCGAATGTAGATAGCGGACATCATTGTAAGGCACTCGCCAAGTTACTTGCCCAAGTTCGCGACAAGACAGCGTATGGATTGTGATGGAATATTGCAAACCAGTCCATGTGTAAATGACACTCGCCCGTTCTGTTCAGGAGAAAGAAAGCGCACTTCAGAGCAACATCCGCTGAATTATTACATGCGTTTCGTCACAAGTCCAGCAGCACTACGTGGACGAGGCCTAATCAATTTAAGAACTCGGACGAAATGATCCACGGCACAGCTCTTCATACTTCATCACGCGGTGGCAGCTCAAGTCGTGAATCATCCCGATCAATTGTTGCTAATAATTATTGCAATGACTTGAGCCTCTATGAGGGACATGTCTTCTTTTCACAAGGCCGGAATCAATGGCGAATTGTCCTCCTGTAAATAGCTGTTCTACATTAGTCATGAGCAGGGCAATACGTCCTCCCCATCGTGAGTGAATATTCGTACTGGTTTATATGGGTCTTGAGAACTCTGCTTCGAGCACGCAGAGAGCATTTCAAGACTTTCGTACAGGATCATTGGTGATGTGCCTACCTGAGGGTCGTGGACTTCTGGAGAGATCCAGACGTTGAGCCGTAGGTAGGCTTTGCCTTACTGACACAGAAATACGTGACGAATTTCTTCCCGGGCGGGCTCTACGTTGCAACCATGCAGAGCTTTCTGAGACTGGTCATTGCAGCCCGCTGCCTGACGAGAAAGACTCTCCGTATCCAAGTAGTTTATTAAAAAAAAGAAGAAGAAAAAAAAACCATTCGATCTCGTCTCTGGCGGCGGTCACCACTGCTTCGCTTTCTGCCTGTTGTGGATACTTATCCACTGCCGGGGCCATCCTCCAACCAAAGGGACTGGACCCTTGCTCGGTTATGCTGCATCTCCGTCGTTGGGTCGATTGTGCAGATCGTACATCTCTGGTGTGGGGATCCATGAGCCAAAGGCATTGCTGCTCCGTTATGGCCATAGGTAGAAGACTGCTAGGGAGGTGTTGCTTACCAAAAAAGGCAGTTGGAACTGCAGCTACTAACCCACAGTCAGCTGCTCTAGTATATCGGCGTGTCCGGTGGCCATCTCGAGCGGCAGAGCAGCATCATGCCCACGTACTCGTCAACATATAAGGCCAATACTTCCAGCCTCAAAGCAGCCAGAAGAAGCATACGAAACAAAAACTCAAGTTTGATTCAATCAAATTAAGCTCAACTCAATCGTCCATCATGCCTGAAGACAACCCAACAGTGTATTACAATTACACAGTTGATCCCAACACAAATCCATCCACTTGGCCTACCCCTGGCGACTCATCTGGTCACATTGACATTAACAAAGTCGATGTCATCTTCATCAACATTAGTGGTGAATCCGACTTCAACATGCTTCGAACCGGCACCAACAAGGACATTCACCACGCAGTCATGCAGGTGACTAAACATATCAGTCGGGGCCTCTACCGCCTCGTGAGCTTGAATGCCTCTACCTACTCTTGCGTAGTGGTTATGCAGGCTCTAAAGTCGAGAGATGAGTTGATGTGGAAGAACGGCTTCCCGTGGGACCGTGATGACGATGTGCAGCCGGATGTTGTGCTCAAGTAGCGAGTATGATTTTAGGCAGTGGTGAGAGAGTAGAAGAGGGAAAAGGCAACGATGTTAAACATCATATACATATAGGAGCTTAATCGCAATTGTTCGGCGGCAACTGGTACATGTTGGTATTTATGATTTACTGCGCCGGTGAAACTTCCTGAGCGCATCCAACTGGCCCACGATGACGCTTGTAACAAACTCTCTGGGGTTTCCATCCGATGCATTGCTAATCATCCGTAAATGATCATAGCGGTCCAGGTGTGGTATGATGGCTGGTAGGTAGCCTTGACGAGTCATGTAGTCATGACTGATCATTCTGCTCACCCGTCCATTTCCATCCAAGAATGGATGAACATGAACGAAATAAACTTGTGCCTGACATGCGAGCACCAGTGGATGGAGTATTCCTTCGGTATGTGCCTTGTCACGCCAAGCAAAGAATCGCTTAATACATGCCGGAACCTCTTGTGGATATGGAAATACACGCAATGGGTTACTTCGGACTTGTATTGGTGTGACACGATAATCACCCAAGGCGATGCGTTTTCCCCAGCTCAGCAAATGTGCTTGCTCTGCAGTTGTTCCCTTGCACGTGATGGTTTGCAAGATCTGTACCTCTCGCTCGTTCAGTCCTGGGGTACCGGGATGTCGAATAGCATTTTCCGCGATCCACCTGGATGCCACGATGTGGTTCTCGAGTTCAACCATGTCAGGTGAACTTGGTTCAGCTCGTGGTATTTCGATATTGAGGAGGTCTTCTTCGCAGAACTTGTGGAGACCATACGTTTCGACGTTGAACAGGCGTGCAGTCAAGTGCCTTTCTGCTTTGATCATATCTATGGTAGTTGATTGGTTGTTTTCATACTTGACAGACTGGAGTGCGTATGCTGCGGCGAGGGTTTTGGCTATATCCGGTATCGTACGTTTCATTTGTTCAGACAGATGATTTATCTCTCGTAATAAACTCAAGTTTTCCTAAGAGATAATGAGACTCATTCAGTTGCTGGAAGATCAAAAGTACAGAGAAAAAGAAATCGCTCACGCGTTGAACATCGAGATATCCTAGTCGAACACTATCGTAGGGTCGATGATAGTCTTCCCATACTCTTCCAGAATACGCCAGTTTCCAATAATCAGCGGAATCTTTGCGCAAGGCCTGAAAAGGTTGATAAATTTTGAGCAAAAGTTTCTTCCGCGAATCTTCCGCTCCGCTTTGCGATGAAAACATGAGGAATTGTCTGGGCCTGATTGAGCGCCATGTCTTCATTGAGATGCAATGCATCTTGTCGACGTGATCTGATTTCAAGTGATCAGCTTGGTGAATTGAATGTTGACAGAGGCCAAAAGTGAAATACTGGGGCGTTTTATGCCGGAGAAAGTTTTATCAACACTTGATGAGTACCTGTCTGGCCTGCGCGACGCCTTGCTCATGCTGGTTGCCACCGCCAAAGCATAAATAAGCTCACTGCTGTTGACCTTGAAATTGGGTACAGTTCCAGAACATTGGGGAATATTATGAGTCTATCGATTATTATAATATTCCAATTTTCTCTTCCTTCTTAGTTTCAAGTCAAAAAAGCAGCACAAGCTGTGACGCAGACGTAGAGCTCAATATTCGAGGACTGAGCATTGAAGGCGATTGAGTACTACGATGGCGATGGTGCCATACTCCGGGCGCTGTGCGCTAAATCCACCCACCAAGGTTATCAGAGCGCCCTGTGGAAGAGCCAACCAGCCGCCCGCCAGCCGACCCCACAGGCTGTACCCAACAAACAGCCAGTGACCATGCCAGCTGCCCTTTTGCCTTGGGAACGAATGTTGCAAATTATTTCCATGCGGCGTCTCGGCCAGGAGTAAGTCATTTTTTAGTCTATATCTCAAAAGATCAAACCCGCTCTCCTGAAAGCTTCGAAAGCCTCCAGCCAGCCCTCGATTGGGTCCTTCTCCTCATTGAAACCAGTCTCTCTGAGGCTCTCCAGGCTCAGTTGCCGGTCGAATGTCAGCCAAGTTCCCACGCTGTCCAGCTGTGAGCTGCCAGCGCCCACTCCGGCCTTTACAGCCCTAGAGAGTCCGTTTTGATCAAACAAGCCTTGGTACTTGGCTATGTACTGGCCGGGCATCAACCGAGCCTCTACCTCGACAGACGATTCTCCAGAAGAAGTCACGGGCGGTCCGCCTTCCATCCCAAACCATGCTGCCAGCCTCGGCCATATTTCTCCGAAAGTGGCCGGCGTCGCGCTGTCCCCTACGTTGAACAAGCGGCCACCGCCACAGGCGTCTGGGTTGATCGAGGCATAGATCGCAAAGCGGGAGAGTGTTTTTGCAGACACTGGCGTGAATTTGGAGTTGTAGGCTGCGTCAACGCCGGGAAAAGGTACTGTGATTTTGGTATGCGACGCTTCTCCGTCTCCAGGTAGGATTCCATGATTATACGCATATAGTGAAAGGTATTGCGCCCAGTGAAGAGCAAGAGAAAACTGCGAGCCATTCGGTGTAAAGCCAATCTAGACAGTGTCAGCATGCAGTCTCAAGACGTCTTCAAACTATTTGAAAGGATCCAGAGTTAGTCGATAAAGATAGCAAACGACAACACCTACAATTGCGTCTGGGCATATTTCGCACCAAGTCCAAGTCTTGCTCTCACATGCCTTGGCCAGTAGTTGGCGATATACGGGATAGACAACGGTCTTGGCGTATTCTGGCGACAAGTTTCCGACCATGTCTTCTTGCAAAGGCGGCGTAAACATGCCACCTGGTGTATATATACCGTAGCCCTGAGCGCCTTGTTAGTTTGGTGCGTCCCGTATCTTGACCGCATTCCGACTGGCTCGGCCATGTGACGTACCCTCGTTCCACCAGGAAAGACAACAAACTTCAATGGAGCATTTAGAATCTCCAATGCGCCAATGACGTTCTCAAGCATTCGCTTGTTGACTGCCACCTCTTCAATAGGGTCCTCGATTGATGTGAATACTAATTCGTGATTGGGATGAGTAAAGTCCCATATGAACCGGCAGCTAATGCATCTCCAGGCTGACCTACCAAAGTAATACACGTGGGTGACAGTTTGTACATCGTCGACTCGCTCTGCAAAAGCTCTTGATAGCTCTTGAGCCCCGGTAAGCTCGTCCTCAGAGCTTGCGCCCTTGAGATCAATACCGGAAACCAATTGAAGTGTCGGCCGGCCTTTGTATGAATCATCAGCTGGCCAGCCAGATTCATCAAGGTTGATGGGCCTATTGGTGAGTGCGGTGACCTTGGTGACCATGCCCGTGTGCGGGTAGTTGGATAGTAGCTGGTTCACGGCGGCCCAGCCGATGAGCCCGGAAGCCCCTAGGATGAGTGCATGATGAGATTTGGGCGAGGCCATAACGATGTACGATTCCGGGTTACAGTCGGCGAGTTTGCAGTCCACTTTGGTACCGGTCGACGGTTATATGAGTATCGAGGAGCCGGGGGGATGTCGAGATTGAGAAGTAGTTGGCAATTGATTGAAATATATAACAACTTTGGACCCAAGCTAATGCCATCCTCAGTGTCCTACACATTCTGAATGAAAATGAATCATTGTGGGGGTGTAGTACTAGCCATGCGCTAATCACCTGCATACAGGTACTAGGTAGTGGTAATCTACGAACTCGCCTTGGTAACTTTGTTGGCTGAAACTCACGCGAGTATCTACATCGACACAGGTCAGTGCGTATCTTGTGATAGAAAATCTAGTGTTGTGACGTATGGTTGAATGCTTGTAATTCGACATCGATATATTGCCTACGTAAGTTCATATATATGCCCGCCAAAAGATGTTGTCCAGTGATACGACCTGCATCCAAAACAAATAGTAAAATCAAAGATAGTCTACATCTACGAAATTGGTTTATGTCACCTAAAGGGTGCCACACAACACAGCCACGCTGTGGCGCATCGACCAGCTATTCAATAATTATATACTTTGTATTATTGAGACAGGTCCTCGCGCTGCTTGCTACAGCCATTGTCAACATAGGAATGAATGCAGAACAAGGACAACTGCGATGTGTGCTTTACAGCGTTCAGGGGAATTAGCAAATCACTGTGCAGCTGCTGCTGGCATCTGCAGGTCTTCGCCCAACTTCAGTTCAAGCAGCATCACTCAGCACAGCAAGCATTTACATCATTGTTTGGATACAGGAGAAAAAAAGGGCTGCACATGGAGAGATCCTCATCGAAAGGCTATGCATCGAAAGGCTCTTCTATCCCGGGCTTGTAGCCGATTCCACACATCTCTCCTCGAAAAACAAGCTGAAAGTGCCCTGCCGCTCAACCCACCTGAATGAGGAAGAGAGGCGTGAGAATTCCGAAATGCATGGATTTAGGGTCCTCGAGCGAAATGAAAATTCGCAGATGCAACCTAGAGATGCTGTATCCTACATCTGGTCCAACTAGCGTGTGTAAATCTTTCTCAGCCTCAACGATGAGAAGGGTATCGAGCTTATAATTGTGTGAAGCCACTCCCCGCATCTTGCTTGCCGAGCTAGAGTCGAATTTGGTATAGTCCGTCGGAGTCCGCGTGTGTTTGCCGCTAGCGATCATCAGATCGATTGGCTCCAGCGCCATTTGCCCTTTTGTTCACAGGTTCAACTCCACGCCAAGCACCAATCCGAAAGCCCAATAGCTCAAAATATGCCCAAATCCATCCTCCTCCTACACGTCCCCCCACCCCAAATGGCATTTTGCTTATCCTTTGCTACAGGGCCGTACATTTCTCGGCTCAAGGTAGAGCAAGCCCAGTCTCTGCATTAGCTTGCGGCGTTCAGTGTCATGACTGACCATATATAATGGCACATAGCAATGCCAAACAAGATGCCAGACAGAATTCTCCGTGATACAGTTTCTTCTCTTATAACTACATCATGTCCGCCCACCGAAAATCATAACCAGATTCCACTTTGTCTTCAAAATCTCAAATGATGAGTTATGCTTGCTGCCAATTCTCTATCCCCAGAAGTGGTCGTCGGCATTGCTGTAGGGCTGCCGTCTCTTCTTATGGCCTTGGTCACTCTCTGGTTGGCATACCTCACCTTCGTACACACAAGATCGCTAGGCCGGCGAGCGCAAAACTCGACATCTATACTGCCATCATATCATAGACCTTGGACTCAATCCTACAGCCCCTACGCCGAAGTACCTTTGCGTAGTTGGCCACCACTTCCATCAACTGCTGCACGGGTATCCCATCTCTATAGTGCGTCGTCGTAGAGAGGGGAATACAGGGCGCTCTCATGCATTTCGTCAATGAGTAAGTTGTACTTTAGAATATGGTGCAACAGCTTGTCTAATGTGTCACAGTACCTATAGAAATGAACCAAATATGGACCCCGAATGCTTGCAAGCCATTTTCATCGTTACGACGACCACGATCATCCCCATCGAACCATCTGCCACTCACCACGATACCCTAGCTCTTTCTAGGTGTAAAGGCGAAACAAAACACCCGTCAAAAGGTACGACCGTAACCGAAGCAGTGGAGGTAAGAGAGTATGGTTTGATTGGACATGGGAATTGGGGCCTTCGAAGAGACGAAAGCTAGCATTGGCCATTGTTATATGATAAAACGTGTATGTCCGCACTAGCATTCATATAATTGTTGATATCTCATCACATTGAAGGATGTGAGACGAGGAAACTGCCGAAGCCATCCTGCGGAAGTTTCTTCTCCTGCGTGTGTAAATTACAGTCTCGTAAGCTCTAGTCCTCACCAACCACACGTTTCAACCAATCTTGGGTGGATTTGATCCAAAGCCTGTAGCTCTGTATGCAAAAATATTCGTGCTAACCCAGCTTCATGCGAACAGGTTCGGGCTGCCTGCATCCACCAACGAACCATTTCTTGAGCGGGGCGCAACCGTGGTCAAGCGCCGCCTTGTGCCCTTTGCTGTCAATATTGGGAACCATCCAAAGGCGAGTGCCTGTTGAACTGATGTCACGTTCCTCTCAAGTAAAAAGCTCTTCGATTAACGTATAGTTCACCGTGACGTTTAACCTAAAAATTCCATCCTTGGCAATCAAGAACCGCCCGCACTGCTAGATCAGACGATTCTCTCCAAATCCTCAGGACCGCGACCTTACACAGAAAGTCATGTCATCTGTTGAAGCTATCTCCCCAGCAGTGGTGGTTGGAATTGCCGTCGGCGTGCCGTCCCTGATCATGACCCTCATCTCGCTTTGGCTGGCATACCTTACATTTGCCTACACACAATCATCCCATGGAAGAAACAGACGTGGTTCAACGTCTCTTCTACCATACCACCATGCGAATCGGAACTCGTCGTACGGCCCGTATATCGAATTGCCCACCCGCAGTCAGCCACTGCTACCACCTACCGTGAGGGTACTCCCTTCCCTACCCATGTCGACATAGTAGTGCGAAATCTATGCATGCATTGCTCAGAAGTAAGTACCGCAAATCCCAGTGGACGTCGCATACAATCTAATTTGTACCATTGCATGCAGACCACAGGCTGCGTATTGGACATGGCACATATCAACATCAAATCCGGCTGTTAGAGGATGGGTCCGAACCCCCCAGATCGCCTCGACTATACATGTCATGACCCACGACGCTACTTTAGCCCCGCCAAAGACCCTTGGTCAGAGTACACAATATAGCCACTTAAAAAGAGTTGAGAACTGAAGAGTCGGTATTGCATGGTTAGACAGGGATAGAGCGTTGAGAATAGACAAGAATTCGTGCATTTTTCGCCCGTAAATCTGCTTGTTGATTTCCATTCAACTTGATCTCTGGTACGGTATTATAATCTCCTACAAGCAGGTTGGATGCGTGGTGCTGCAAATAGGGTTTCCAAAGGCAGCAGCAGCACTGAGGCCAAGCATGCATATATGCACAACATAGAGAGTATGAATTCGTCATTCGAATTAAAATCGCCGCAATGAATAAATGGCCGCTGTTCTATCAATGAAGCGTCCTGCTACTGAAAAAACCACCAACACAACGAGGTATCTCCACAACAAACTTTCCATTACTTCGTGCCAGACATTAAACCACAGCTGTTTTTCTGCCCAGCACAAGCTCTGATATTGTACATTACATCTTGATTCATCCACTTCCCCAACAGAAACGAATTTGTGCCCCTTGATCCTCGTTCACAATCATTGAGCACAAGAAAGGTAAGAAGAGAAAAAGTAAACAATTTTGATCCTGAGAATCGAGTCCCACCCAATCAACTCCAGGAACGGCCATGTGTCAACATGGACTGTATCTTTGAAAGTGTAAAAGACAACCCGTCGGCGTAGTCGGTGAGCACCCGACGGTTGCATTAAAATACAAGGGCGCGGGAAGGAAAAATGGAGAATGAACTCCAAGAGTGGTCGTAAAGCAAAGTGTAGTCGTTTTGATCATAGTGTATGTGATCCGGCCAAGTACAGCTTTCGGAACAAACAACGCCGATCGAGTCGTAAATGCATGGAAAGCATGGCGATGAGTACCCGCATGCGCCACGCCAAAAGTGTATATACAGCTTCAAAGAAGCAATTTCGCTCAAATCCGTCTTGCACTCTGACCATCGTGTTCGTCAGAGTCAAGTCGCTTGCGCCAGTCTGCAAGACTCTCACTGAGCCCGAGACCGACGCCGACGCTCTCATCGTGCTTTTTGCCGTTATTGTTGTTGGCACCATCAAAGTCAAAAGCCGTCGACAGACGGTAGTTCTCGTTGGTAGCTTCCCACTTTGATCTCAGCTGGTCAAGTTCGTCAGCCAGATTGTCTAGCGCAGTGCTGTTTCTAGCATCACCGAGTCCGCCATACATGCTACCCGCTTCGGAGCTTTCTTGGCGCTGATGGCCAGCGGTGTGCGCGCTGGGTGTCGCTATCGCTGTCGCTGTTGCGTCAGAGCCAATAATACTGGGCGCCTGGCGACTTTGCCTGCGATAGTGATCGACCGAGTTCTCAACTTGGTCCAAGAGCATGCCAACCTTTTGCTCCGCATCCTGAGCACGCTTCTCCAGGAGCGCGTTCTCTTGCTGCATCTGCTCAAGCCCCTTCTCCATCACCACAAGCCGCTGTGTAGCATCACCAGTCGCCTGCGTGGCATGGTCACGTTCAAGCTTGGCAGTCTGGAGCTCCTGGCGTACCACGGCCAGCTGTGTCTCCAGATCAGTGGAAGAATTCTTGACCTGCTCCTGCAGAACCTCAATCTTCTCCTCCAAAAGAGAGCGTTGGCTATCCCAGTCCGCGGGGGCAGAAGCGCCACTGGGCTCAGCGCTCAAGGACCTTTCTTCGAGCTCGAGGTTTTCATTCTTGAGCCGAGCATTGTCGGACTTGTACTTGGATAGTTCCTCCTTCATCCGCTTGAGCATTTTTTCAGTACCCTTGACGTAGTGAACGGCTGATTGGTAATCGCTTTCGAGTTGGGTGATCCTTTCCCTGTATGTAGCCTCATTCTGCTGGACTTGCAAGTCAAAATTTTGTCTCAACTCATCATTCGCAGCACGGGCCTCAATCAGCTGCTGTTCGAGGTCACCTCCGGCGGGAGAGTCATTTCTAGAGTTGATGCCTCTGACGCGAGCAAGTCCGGTAGGGCTGATACCTCTCTCGGTCAAAATGTCCTTGAGCGTGTTGTGTTGGACGGTCATGGCATTGGTCTCGAGTTGTTGGTTGGCGAGCTGGTGCTTCAAGTCAGAGTTCATGGCTTGAAGTGTTTGCGTGTCCTTGAGCGCAGCCTGAAGCTGTCTGCGAATCGTGACACCCTCTCGACTGGACTGCTCTTGGTATGCCTCCAAGCCTGCAATACGCTCTTCAGCACTGCGAAGCTTGTCGGATGCCGAATCAGCTTCCTGCTGGTACTTCTTGACCAAGTTATTGGCAGCAGTGATCTGGTTCTGAAGCGCGGCAATGCGATCAGCGTCAACCTGCTTGGACTTGATGCCATTCTGTGAGATCTTGTCGAGACCGGAAATAACAGCCTGGCGGTGGGTCTTGGCCTCATTTGCATGCCTCTCAGCAAGCTCTTCTGCATCGCGCAGTCGTTGGCTGACGGCAACCAGCTCAGCAGTCTGCGCCTCGTATTCAGCCTTGAACTTTGTCAGTCTCGACTCAATCGTTTCCTTCAAGGCCCGCTCTTCATCCAGCTTCGACTCGAGATGTGTCCTCATGTCCTCGGACGCTGCCACAGCTGCCCGAAGAGACTCCAGGTCTGCACCATTGTCCCTTTCAGCAAGGTCACTGTCTTCAAACTTGCTGCGAAGGTCGGAATGCTCTACTCGAAGAGCATCGAGAGCTGCAGCCGCTTCAGCGCCAGTGGTCGCATGGTCACGAGATTCTCGTTGAGCAATATGCAACTCTGCCCTTAAAGACTGCAACTCGAGAGACGTCTGCTGCTTATACATCTCCAGGTCCGACATGCGTTTCTGTGCAGCATTTGCAGTCTCATCAGCCAGTTGACGTGCACGCTTTTCGGCGGCGAGGTCGGAATTGGTGCGCTCCAGTGTGTTTTGCAAATCCCTCTGGAGATTCAAGGCTGCAGCCAGCTTCCGGTTGGTCTCAACAGTGCGGAAGCTTTCATCGCGATCACTGTCCATTTGCGGAGTGCTCGAAGCACTGCCTGTATGCGCCGCCATCTTGGCCTTTGCATAGATTGCTTCTTGGACCGCAGCGTCGCGCTGGCGTTCTGCTTCAGCAATTTGCTTTGCAGCGATGATGGCCTGCTTGTCGACCGAGTTCTGTACATTGGTCAATTCTTGCCTCATGGCAAGAAGAGCTTCGATCAAAGGTCTGTCTTCGTCGTCAAAGCTTTCTGCGCGGCTCTCTAGTGTCGGACTCATGGCGGCACTCGGTGTGTAGCCTGACTTGCGTGCCAGCTCTAGCTCAGATGCGTACCAAGCATTGCGGTTTCTGGCAGCGTCAAGCTCTTTAAGCAGGACCACGGTTTGCGAGTTGCGACCCGAGCTTCTTCGGTTCAGCGGATTGCTGTTTTGTCTGGTAGGTGGCGGTGGAGAGGCAGGGCGATTAGCCATGATCTTTTGACTGGGCTCTGTAATGCTGTCCACTGAGCCCTGGCCTCTGGTCTGTCGAGTTGACCTGTTCTTGCTCGCTTCCATGGCAGTGGGGGGATTTTCTGGCTTGCGACCCTGGTTAGGGGTACGACGGCCATTGGTCGCAGCCGTGGTAGCCGTGGCAGTCTCCTCCTTGATAACATCGCGCAGGATCGGCGACTGGTTTCTTAGATTGGGGCTGGACGACCCAGACCCAGCAGCGTCTCTCTCAATGCGCTCGATAGAAGCATTACGCACTCTTCCGTTAGCAGTGTTGACATTAGGTCTGGGCGGTTGCCCTGAGGGTGGAGGTCCAACAGGCCCTGGAGGAGGTGCCATCCTGGGGAGTTTTGAACCACCAGCAGGGCCATCCATTTGAGAACCATTGGGCCCCTTTGACGGGCTTGATGGTCGACCCGCTTCCTGGGGGCGCCTCTGACCTGGACCATTCGAGCCATCACGAGCAGGAAGAGCACGTTGATTACTGACAACCTCTTCACTGCCGCTTGGTCTCCTTTGCTGCTGCATCTTCTGAGTATTTGACTGGATTTGCGCATCGTTGGGATATCGAATTTTGGTTGTGTCGAGTACATAGACGATGGATAGGTCATTGACTTGAGTTGTCGCTGAGCTCGGTTCTCCACCAACCACGACCACGGATTTGCCAACAGTCGTCATACTATGACCAGATCGGGCGGAAGGGGTCGGTCCCATGTTTTGAAATGTGTACCAGCGTCGAGAAGAAATGCGAAAGGCAGCCAGATCCCCGAGGTCTGCGCCCTCCTCCGTACGTCCACCAAAAATGTACATCACATCATCAACAAGTGATGCAGCGTGACCTTCACGGGGAACGGGAATGTATCCTATACAGTCCAATTGTGTCCACTGGATAGTGGCCGGATCAAAGCACCAAACATCGTTGAACCATTGGAAACCGTTTGTACCACCAAAGCTGTATGGAATTAGTTTAATGCAGTCATTTTGAAGTATGGTCGTCCTTACAGGTACAATTTGTCATTGTAAGTAATGACGGTGTGATTCGTTCGTGCTGGGGGTATTTTGCCCTTGGGCGAGACGTTGTTCTCGTTATTTTCGACAAGAATCTCCCATCGGTTTGTCGGCAATTGTAGCTGGTTCAAATCAAACGTGGCCAGATCGTTCATGAAGTATCCCTCGATCTGACCACCAAAGATATAAATCTTGGATCCGATGATGTTGAGCGAATGTCCGTATCGTCCCGATGGCCGGGTACCGGCGGGTAATGCCCTAGACCATTGTCTCGTTGCTGCATAATGTCAGTAAGCAGGACCCGGACAAGGCCAGGCATATGCTACAACGCAATTATACTTACATGTATTCAGCAGGTAAAGCGTTTCGTCCAACACATCGGCTTCGTCAATCTTGGTATCACCACCATAGACAATGAACGCATTTCCAACAAGCAAAGATGCATGTCCTACTCTTGGCCCAGGGCCTTCTGCAGTAGTCGGCAGTGGGTAGCATGACATGTTTCCACCTGCTTCAATCATCCACAGATCGCCCTTCACAGTAGAACTGTTTATAAGACCTCCCATGACATAGATATCGCCTTCTTTGGACGAAACGCCATTGACCGCAGCTCCATACCGGGGGAAGGGGCTCGGAATCGAAGAGGTGTAGTTGAGCCTCCTTTGCGACCACGGAAACAGAGATGCATTTGGGTTGGACTGGGGGGCATTGCGAAGCTATGAACAAGACGCATCAGTATTGCTTGGATCGCCAGGGCTTTTGGTACAGTATATCACTTACAGGTAAGTCGCTTTGAGGAGGGGGCTGCTGCGGTGGAAGCTGTTGCTGTTGTGGGTGTTCTCGCTGTTGCTGGGGCGGCGGTTGTTGGGCCGGCTCTGGTGCACGGCGCACAGCATACTTGTCGAGGTCTTGTATTGGGCTGCCTTCTTCTAATGAATTGAGGCTCCCCGTTGGTGTTGAACGCGCAGCCTTTTCATCCCGTACAACTCGATTAGCAGCGCCAGGCGAGCCGCTTGACCCAGATGATGGTGGACCATCTCGACCATGTGCGGCTCTATCCTGCTGATTCTTTTTCGACTTGAAGAGAAACGCCATGGCGACTTAAGAGCAAGGTCTCGAGAAGAGACACGATGCAATTGCAGCCTCGTTGATACAATAATTTCGGCCAGGCTCGCAACGACGATTGGCGACGGGGTTCGAAACTAGACGGGATGTGACGTGCGGCAAGAACCAGGTATCGTGGCTCAGGATGAGAGAAGTCTGCCGCTGTCGTCGTCGTGGTCGCGCTGTGGATCGTCGAGAGTCGGGATGGCTGGGGATTTCATGGAGGTTGGCAGTGGGCTTTTTTTTTTTTTTTGGCGGCGGCGGCAGCGTCTGATTCCAGGGTCCTGGTTCAAAAGACAGAGAAGAAAAAAAGGTGTTCGACAGCGTCGCAGTATGTCTCTTCGCAGCCTTCTGAATTTTAAATCCTATTGCAACGCTGGGAATGCAAAGAAGAAGTGAAAAAGTACGAGAGCAGGTTGGGCGCAAGAATCAAATCAATCGATCCGCGTCGTGATGGGAAACCTAGCGCAGGGCGGCTGGAAAGGAGCAGTTGATTTATTACAAAAAGTCGGGTATCGAACAGGGAAGCCACTACAAAGTTTGGGGTCTTCGTCGTCCTCCTTATCTGACTGATTACAAGGTAGGGGCTCGAATTCGTGTGCGACGTGGTGGTGAAGATGCCAGTTCAGTCGTAAATCGAGGTTATCGTCCGCCTTGCCCCAAAAGAATACGCAGCCGAAACAAAAGGTTTCAACAAACTGCAGCCAGCAATTGGAGAGAGATGGAACAGACAGGGGAGGAGAGAGAGGGAGAAAAGTTCCAAGGTCAAAGAGGTCCGACAACAGATGAACAGCAACGACCTTCGGAAGCGCCAGGGCCAACGATGCGTGTGGTGTGGACTTTTTTCCCGGGGGAGCAAGAAACGGACGGGATGGGAACAGATGCAAATTTCCAAGATGCTCATCAGGGGGTTTCCCCCATCAAGAGAAGACAGACGGTTTGCTTCCCTGAAGCTGGCGTGGTGCGCTGCGAGACGGCCGGGGCTAGTAGAGGGGACCCCCCCGTAAGGTAGAGGCAGGTACGGTTAGCTCGCCGCCCTGAATCATTCAAACCCCCAGCTACGGCCCTTCATTCAAAGCTTGGGAAGGGGAGAGAGGGGGCCATCCATGATGGATCAACCGTCGATGCATCGCTGACCTACCACTGATCACTATAGCGGGCCAGTGCTCACTTGCTGCTCACTGCTCGCTGGCAATTGTTCCTAGTACGAAGTATGCGCCCGGCTTGGGATGCTACCAACGTTTCTAAAGGGAATCCAGTTCCGGGTCCTCTACTACCTGTCATTATGCACACGGCCCGTTGCTCTGTTCTAGCTCGATCATTACGTAGATGTTGGTCGATTACTCACGCGCTAGAAGCAGAGTTTATCGTACACCTTTTGGCGGACGATTTGGTTTCTATTGTTAGATCTCTCTGCAACTGGGTCGTCATGCTTTCAGTGCTAGATGCCAGATGCACTCTTCAGATACACCCAGCATAATGAAATTTGACGCTACAACCGCGTCGTCCCGCATACTCACTCGATCGGAACCCACTGCCAGCAGCAATTGTATTCAATCCAGGATCAAGGTGCCATGCAACATTCATCTCACAGAAGTCTCGGCGAATCACTCGTGCATGTGGCCCGAGAGTACCTGGCACACCAGGGGTCCATCCGAGTCCAAGTCTTGATAGGCTGTTGACGTTGTGACGGAAATTGTTCTCAAGCGATTGTCATAAGATATTTCCTAACCAGTAGGACTCATCATGTTCCTTGACTCCATTTTCCCCGTTGTTGATATTGGGAATTACCAAAATATCTTGTGTTGGTGGAATATGATATTTATATTCCCAACGCTCAGCTGTATGCGCACCCATCTAGGAATAACGTAGGTATGGGGGCCAGACCTGTTGTAGTCTATATGTCCTCCTTCCCTGCTACGCACATACTTTGTTCCCCAGCGACAGAAAATATATATCCAACCTTTCATCCGTTGCCCGAGCCCGTCAGCCATCCAGCCTACTCATCATGGTCGCTCTCTTTCTTCCAGCAGATCTGCTTAAGACTGCCACCGTGTACACTTGTTGAACGATGGGTCCGAGCCAAGCCGCGAAAGATGCAAAGCTGGCGTAATCCGAAAGAAGTTCCTGGTCGGCCATGTGTAGCAGATGGCAACTTGTCCGACGTGTCCTACCGCGCGAGTGATGCAACCCCTTACATAGGCGCGATATAGCCCAACAAGCCTACATTAGCAGCTATGCAACCACCCCGATCCCGTAACAAGCCTCGACTGTCTAGAAGGGGCCACCGCTATGGGGGCCAATGAGAGACGCACAAAGTTGAGAATAAGCAACCCGATTGCGCAGCTATCTGAGATTTTTTTTTTAGCCTATCTCTACCGGTTGTGATTTATCTTCAAAATGTGTTTAGTATTCCGTGCCCTGTCCCGTTAGTCTGGAAACTGAAGAAGTGGTACACTCTGGCATCCTTGCGCATCAAACTCAATCCGTTTCTCGAAACATGCGGCCACCAGGTCCGCGCGGCATCGACATTCAGCCCACTGATCGTGTTCGATCCCGTATCATATCAGGATAAGAACGCGAGCAGCATTCGTGAGACCTACGTCAACATTGCTTATAGTCATCATGCAGATTCTAAAGAATGATTCTATATTCGAATGCACCCCCCACTCCGGAGGGCGCCATGGCTTCTTTCACTAGAGACCCAGGGCCTCGGGGCACGATCCATCTGCAAGCGTTTTAAGTCGTCTTGATTGCAAACTCTTACTAGTAAGGGAGAAGCAAGTCTTGTTGCAAACCGGCAGCACAGTAAAGCTTGTGTGACTGGCGTAAGATGTAATATTTTCCAAGGGTCTTTGGTGTGAAACTAGAATATCTTACCTTGGGCAGAAGATTACCTAAGTACCACTTAGGCTGAAGCTTGACAGCTGATAGATAAAATGCACGATAAATGTACCTACTGCTCAAGGTATCAATGCCGTTAAATTATCTGAAGTACTCAATAGGATCCTATAACTTGGGCACATTGCTACATTTAATGGTCGAAAAATAACAAGTTAATGTGGTTGTGAGTTTGCTGGGCACTCATTATTATCCACAGTACTACGTACCTCTTGCCAAGGCGGTTATTACGGATGGATCAAGCTAGAATATCCACAGAGCTCGAGTTGTGTATTTGATCCGTGATGTCCCATTAATGAATTGCAGATTCTATCTCCGGGCCTCAGCATTATCAGCGACAAAAGAGTGGTAAGATATCACATTTCATTCGTGGCGTACCCGCAACGCCTGCACATGTGCTATCTGCAGTATCAGCGCACCTGCCAAATACCTAACGCAATTACACCTAACGCATTTACATGTCTTCTTTACATAGGGACCACGTACGTCGTACGTTCCTACCTTAATTGGGGAAATCTACGAGTCGATCGACAACAGCCTTACGGGGCTTGATGTGGAAAGTTCGAGTCAATGCTTCGTATAGACTTATACTTGAAGCCAGTCACTTATCGAAAGATCGAAGAATGACTTGTCTGCATTCATCTCATGGTTCGAAAGGTACTGCCAACCTATGGTTGCATTCCCCAAAGGGTTGACCTGAAACATTGGGGTCCTGTTCTCCAGTCTTAGCCGGCACGTGAATTGGACATCTCCAATCGGGAATAGCGTAATCCTGAGGCCCGGCTGCTCGGCTCCACAATCTTTGCGCCCCGAAGATTGAATCGGCAACTCAGGTCAGCATAGTAGTAGGTTGATTGGCATGCGGCTGACGAACGATGGCAGCTCTCTTTTCAGCCATCCACATGCAACGCACTTTTGAAGATGGGCCTCAGGAACTTTTGTATAAATTCCATCAATGGTCATCTGATACATCTTATTTTGACCTCGTTTAATCATTTACATTGGCGAGCGTTTTCGCAACTAAAGTGTTTAGAAAAGGAGGACAGCTCAAAATAAGCTTGCCCAAGTTCCAGCCTGAATTTTGAGTCACAAGCAATGTTGACTTGTGAAAGACAATCGAACGGATACAAAAGTCTTTATCTACTTTATCAAACAGATATTTAGATTTTATATGGAAATTTCACATTGCCTAGAATCCTCTATTTTGTACGCAAATTTCTCCATGTCCTTGGGCTTGTTCAGCCACAGTACAAAGCCTAGCCTGCACCCCTCCGCCCTCGAACATCAGACGGTCAGGTTAAGCTAATTCGTTGCCCCACAATTCCGCCTCGCAGCAGAAGGTGCTGTTGCTAGGACTGGGAACCCGTGAGTTCGCGCACCCAGGCAGTCAGTTGAGCTGCTGCATCTCGACAACGTCACTCTACGACAGCGTCCTACGCGCCCGTGGACCTGTCATCACATCACAACTAGTTCACGCCGCGGATTAACGCTTTATTCTCTCTTTCCATCCAGAATTCCCCCAATTGATTGCTGCGGAAAATGTCTGGGGCATCGCAGACTTGAGCACCATGACGACGGTTGCGCTTCAACAAAGTAGCGGTGCTTATTACCCTGCGCGAGAGGAGTCGAATCCAGCTGGAGCCCCAAGCTCCTCAACACGATCCACAATGCAACAGCAGCAACGGAGAACTTCGGCGTCGGGCTCCTTTGCAACCTCACGAGTCGCACGCGACGGACAAGCGATAGCTGCCACCATGGCGAACGGCAACTCGGCCGCCATGCCGTCCCACCACCACCATGCGTCACCAAACGGTGTACAACAACCGCGCGGAAGCGCCCTAGTCAATGGCAGCGACAGCTATTATGCCAACGGCACCATCGTCGGTGATGATGCCGCCGAGAGGAGACCTTTCACAGCTCCCGGCAATAGACACCAGCTTACCATCCGCACCTCCTCCTTTGACGAGTCAGATCGCGACCAACCAACAAGACGACCGAAACCCCCGTTGCTGCGGTCAAAAAGCGAGCACATGATGCGCAACTATGACGACTCTGACCAGACCGATGAAGAACTGCACGACTGGAGTGCCCGGCATGGATTCGAAGACCACTATCAGTCGGAAGACATTATCTCGCACTTGGCCAACGTGAGTTGCCTGATTTTATTTTTTCCAAGCTATAATTTCCCTTTTTACTTGAGGCGCCCAAGATGGCCTGGATATCCCACAAGAACGATTCATCGAGATATCACTGCTGACTCTGCCGTCTAGAACTGGTATATGTACTACACGGACAAACGCCATGAGACAACCGGACATCCCAAGAGCCCCGCATACGAGATCGAGGACTGGCGGATGAGAGATCGACTAAAGACTGTTTCTGCTGCCCTGGCTGTGTGTCTTAATATTGGCGTCGAACCACCGGATCAGCTCAAGACCAACCCGGGCGCCAAGCTTGAAGCCTGGCAAGATCCCTTTGCCACAAAGGCTCTTGAAAACATTGGCAAGTCATTGCAAGCCCAGTACGAGAACATCTCCCTTCGCACAAGGTATAAACAATATTTGGACCCGTCGGTCGAGGAGACCAAGAAGTTTTGCATTTCGCTACGTAGAAACGCTAAGGACGAGCGCGTATTGTTGCACTACAATGGCCATGGTGTTCCAAAACCCACAGCATCCGGTGAAATTTGGGTATTCAACAAGAACTACACACAGTACATTCCCATTTCACTCTACGACTTGCAGCACTGGCTGCAAGCACCCACCATCTTTGTGTGGGACTGCTCGGAGGCTGGCAACATCATCAACAACTACCACCGATTTGTGGACAAGCATGAAGATGAAGAGGAGGCACAAGCTCAGGCGGATCCAAATTATGAAAAGACCAAGTATCGATCATACCTACACCTTGCTGCTTGCGCGGTCAAGGAGAATCTGCCGACAAATCCGAATCTCCCTGCAGACTTGTTCACTGCATGCTTGACAACTCCGATAGAGATGGCTCTATGGTTCTTCGTCCTTCAGAACCCACTAAAGACCAAGCTTACCCCCGAGAGAGCAAAGAAACTTCCCGGCCGTCTTCAAGAGCGCCGAACACCACTCGGTGAACTCAACTGGATTTTCACTGCCATTACTGATACAATCGCGTGGACTTCTCTGCCAAGACAATTATTCCGAAAGTTTTTCAGGCAGGACCTCATGGTCGCGGCTCTGTTCCGCAACTTCATACTGGCCCAACGGATCATGACCGTCTATGGCTGTCATCCACAGTCGTACCCAGCCCTGCCCGATACACATCAACACCCTCTCTGGGGAAGCTGGGACCTCGCTGTTGACCTAGCGTTGGCACAGCTCCCCATGTTGGAAAAGAAGGAGAGCGAAGGGCTTGAGTATGAATATCAGAGCTCTACCTTCTTCACCGAGCAATTGACCGCATTCGAAGTCTATCTTGCCAGAGGCGACGCTAATCTCCAAAAGCCGCCCGAGCAATTGCCTGTAGTACTTCAGGTCCTACTCAGCCAACAACATCGGGTTAGAGCTCTAATCTTGCTTGGTAGATTCTTGGATCTGGGTCCCTGGGCTGTACAGCTGGCATTGAGCATAGGAATCTTCCCCTATGTATTGAAGCTCCTGCAATCTGCTGCCGCTGAACTGAAACCCGTCATGGTCTTCATTTGGACTCGAGTGCTTGCTGTTGATATATCTTGCCAACCTGATCTGGTCAAGGACAGCGGTTACAATTACTTTGCTCAGATCCTCAAGCCAAACGAGCAATTGCCAGTCGCCAACAGTGACGAGCACAAAGCCATGTGCGCATTTGTTCTGGCCATGTTGTGCAGAGGTTACAAGTCTGGTCAAGTCGTTTGTAACCAGTCAGACATCATGTCGTCCTGCCTGGTGCACCTGAGGAATGAAGACAATATTCTACTACGCCAGTGGGCATGCTTATGCATCAGTCAACTCTGGCAAGATTTACCCGATGCCAAATGGAGAGGAATTAGGGAAAACGCACCACTGAAACTGGCTGCTCTCGCCAAGGACTCTTGTTGCGAGGTTCGCGCAGCGGTAGTCCATGCTTTGACGACCTTCCTCGGGATTCCGGATCTGACCGATGAAGTTGCTCGCATTGAGGAGTCGATAGCCTGGACACTTCTCGACATGGCCAACGATGGTAGCCCGCTTGTCCGCAAAGAGCTCCTCGTCTTCCTCTCGCAATTTGTCCTCCGTTATGAAAGCAAGTTCCTCGTCACCGCCTACGAACAGCTCGCGGAAGAAAAGGAGTATCTCCTTTATCCTCCGCAGGATGACGGATCTGAGCAGAAGATGGGCCTGCACTATGTCAGACCCGAGCATCGCAATGCTGACGGCTCGGTCAAGGTCACATCTCAGGGTCTCTCTCACAATACGGTCTTTGCTGCCTGCTGGAAACATGTCCTGATTCTGACAGTTGATCCTCATCCCGAAGTTCAAAACGATGCCACAATCATTGTCGATTACGTCCACAATGCCCTTTTGACCTCTTCAACCGGCATCTACGCTCAAAGCTTGATGGAGGAAATCACGAAACGTATGGCAAAGGTGAGGGGCCATAGAAAGCAACCATCATCGGTGTCCCGGAATAGCATGGGCCCAACCACGACCACTTCAATGCATTCAGAACCCTCTCCTGGTCTGCTCAAACGGACAGCAAGTCTCCTTTTCCGTGTTCCCAGCACGATATGGGGAGCCGAAACGAGCCCAAACGCGCCTTTGCCCTCCCCCGGGGTCGTACGCGGCGGTTCTCAAAGGATCAAATCTGCGGCGGACTGGATTGCTCCACCTGAACAGAATGACTTGATCGCAGCTCCGTCACACTACCACGTCGCCGAAGAGCCGGTATCAGGTGGTTTCAAAGAACGCCAACTAGACGAAATACCAAAGCTCCCCTTGGCAAGCACCTTTCTGGACTGGTCCGTGGAGTATTTCAGGGAGCCGCAGATGAAGCCAACCGAGTCGGAAGAACCGGGCAGTACCGAGTACAATGAGCGACTTTGGAGGAGATCGCGCAATGAAAATATCTTGCGCGAGACACAACCACAAAAGCACTTTGCCGGCACCCATCGTTGGACAAACCAATTATGCATCATGAATAATGGTGCTCAGCCTGCCAAACTGACTTTCCACCAGTTTGAAGATCATCTTGCTGTGGCAGACGACGGAAATACTGTCAACATTTGGGACTGGAAGAAGCAACATCGGATAGGCCATTTCTCGAATGGTAACCCCGAAGGCTCCAAGATCTGCGACATGAAATTCATCAATGAGGATGATACGGCCTTGTTGATGACTGGCTCTTCTGATGGTGTGCTCCGAGTGTATCGCAACTATGATAACGAGAGGTTGCCAGAACTTGCTAGTGCCTGGAGAGCACTCACTCACATGGTTCCGAGTAATGTCAACTCAGGCATGGTTTTCGATTGGCAACAAGTGACAGGTCGAGTCTTGGTTGCCGGTGACGTTAGAGTAATCCGAGTTTGGGCTGCAGCGCATGAGACTTGCATTATGGATATTCCAGCCAGGTCTGGTTCCTGCGTCACATCACTCACCTCGGACCAAATGACTGGCAACATTTTCGTGGCTGGATTCGGCGATGGTGCTGTCAGAGTCTTTGATACAAGACTACGGCCGCAAGAGAGTATGGTGAAGAAATGGAAGGATGACACGGACCGCCAATGGATCAAGAGCGTTCACATGCAGAGAGGTGGTCAACGTGAGCTGGTTTCTGCGAGTCGAAATGGCAAAGTCAAGCTCTGGGACATTCGTCTGGAAAACCCTCTAAAGGTTTTCCAGGCCACTCGTGATACTGTACGGACTGCTAGCACCCACGAACATTTGCCGGTATTTTCTGTGTAAGTCTGCCTCGACTTCTCTACTGACAAGTCCCGACTTTACTAACTTTTCGCCAGTGGTACTTCTGCACATACTGTCAAGGTATTCAACTTTGATGGACGTGAATTATCACGAATGGAGCCGTACACAAGCTTCTTACAACAAAATCGCGGTTCTCCAATCTCAACGACGGCATTCCACCCCCATCGCATGATCCTGGGCTGTGCTGCTCGTGGCGACCATCACATCAATCTCTTTACCTGCTCGGAAGAAAAGCCAGGCGACTACTTCCGCACTCTTTGATCTCACCTTTCTCTTGCGTATCATTTGATTTATTCTGCGTGCACTTTTCATCCCCAGCATGGCGCTACGATTGCATGACACAGCGTATAGAGGTATTGCATCGTTGGAAGATTTCATCATGGTGAAAACTTCGTTCCGCGGCTTCTCTTTGTTAGCCTATGCCAACGTCTTGCATTGAGAGAAGGGAGCTGGAATAGTATGCCTTGCTGCTTCGAATGCATGGTACAACGAAGCAAGGAATTCGGAAGTTTCCTGCTTCCAAAGGCGTTTCAGGATTGTTTGCATTCGTACGGAGGGCTTCTATCATCGGCGGAGTTGATGGAAGGACGGTCTACTGGTTTCACTGCTGAGCAGACGTATAGTCTCTCCGGTATTCTTTCGTTCGCTCTGTTTTACCATTTCATGACTTGATGGTCAACGTTTGTGCTTCTGGATTTGCCAATCACATGGCACGGATATTCTTGCTTGGTTTGAGAACAGGAAAAAGGTAACTCTGCACATATGTAGAGATATAATCCATGTTTTGCGATGAATTCAACACCTACGTAATCAACTTTCGTGCCCTCATTGATGTTTCTTCTGTGGCATGAAGGGTGGCATGGATGGCATGGCCAATAAGCGTTTTTCATATGACCCTCGGTCACAGTCCGAATCACGTCTGTGGGCAGATACCTTTAAACGAGCATGTGAAAGATAGACTGTATTCATATACTGCATGTGGTAATGGCATTCGTACAAGGGTCATTGTGAATGGCGACATGTGACCGCGCTGGAGGTCTCGAGCTTTATGGCAAGACGTTGCCCATGGTGGCCATTGTCGACCTGAACGCATGGGTCGTGATCTTGGGACCCGGAGCTGAAGACTAAGAACGTTGGCTCGTGCCGCGTTTCGGGTCACGTAGTTGAGAAAGCAAAAGGCAAATGCGAGTATTGGACCACTGGGGCTTTTGCACTGGGCCTTGTTTAATCACAATTTTTGCACTAGTTGCACTCGTAGAAATAACTGAATTTGTTTTATTTTTCGAGTCCTCGTTCACTCTGCAAGCCTCTTGAGATTGACTTTATTAGTTCCATATTTATTAAACAATATTCAGTTGTCTTTATATTGCCCCTTCCTGACCAATGATTCACTTTCCGCAACCTGACGGTGCCTCACTAATGAGACGTTCAAAGTGTTTGCGGCGCTTGGCGAGAAAGGGTAGGTGCTCGAACGTTCTTTTACTAAGAGCAATGGACATCACCATTCGAATGCGTGTGGCACTCCTATCCAAGACCGTTAGTAGAAGCAGTAGGTGAATCGGGATAAAAGCTTACAGCTGCTGCCGTTGTCGTTGTTCTAGCTGTAGTGACCGCTGTCGTCGTCGCCGTGGTATCCTCGGAGCTGGATTCCTCAACCTTTCCCGTGCAGCCGTCGTTGGGCAGGGCAATGTCAAAGGCATAGACGTCGAGAGCAAAGTACTGGAGCGTGTGGGTGTTTCTGACTGCCTCCAATGGGTTATCAATCGCGAGCTGGAGGCAATCTGCGTAGTCGTCGGCGTAATGCTCCACGACTCCCTCGCCAATGCTGGGCATGTGGAAGAAGCGGTGGATCAGGTCCGAGGCAAAGTAAAAGTTCAACGAGCCCTGAGCTACCGTGTAGCCGTATCCGCACATGCCGTCTAGAGGCTTGCGGGTTTCATAGGATAGTGGGCAGATGACAGTCTCCTCTGTCGCGTTCTCTCCACGCCAGTGACCGCCCCAACCTGTGAAAATATGGTAAGACTCCATGAGTTGTTTATATATGGGAATCATTACTCTACTAACCGTCAAGAGCACAGTTTCCATCAGGATTGTCGCAACGGAACTTGTATGCTCCACGATCGCCGTGTACTAGCTTCTCAAACCTGATCACTCTATTAGGATAGTCTCATTTCGAGCGACATTTCAACATACCATCCAATGACCTCCCCGCTTGGTGCGCTGCCAAAGTACTTTTGGTAAAAGTCGGAACTGTTACCAAAACGGAGAATGTGGTCCCGGGCATGCGATGCAAGAATTGCGGCCTCATCCAGGCCACGCTTCAGCAGCGCTCTCTCAGTCGCGTTGCAAGACTCGTGAATAGGCCAAGCATTTGACGCCCCGAGATTCCACTGCCATTGTGTTGGCGATGCTGCTGCTGCGGTTACAGTCTCAGTGACTGTTACAGCGGCTTGTCGTCTCTGGATGGTGGCTCCAACCAATACAAGTGGCACAAAGGCCGAAGTAAGAGTAGACAGTCTCATATTGACGAGTGATCACAGAGCAATGAGCATGAGCAGCATAGTAGATAAACAGAACATCTCCTGGCGATCGCGCCCATTATATAAGAAAGATCGACGTCTGCTTTTTCTTGGACCCAGCCAACATGATTTGTCTGTCAAGTTTCCCTTTTGACTATCATCAATCAAAAAGAGCCTCGATCAGAAAATGTTATGATCCGCGAACCGGGGATGGCCCTCAGCCCAGCGTCACTACTGCAAATAATCAGCCTACCAAGAGTCTTGGTATTACGCCAACAAGAATATACCTCAACCCTTCCGGCCACTGTCATTGCCAAATGAGGTCAGAAATGGGAAGCGTATGCAAATGTTCTGGGGTCAAGTTCATAACGTGCCATCCCAGTAAAGCCAAGCGACTATAACATGCACTCTGATCATCAAGGGACTCACTCCCGCCACGTGGGGCCGCCGTGCCAAGACTGGCAGGCAGGAGGTCAGACTGCACAATATTTACGTTTACACTTGTTCATTTTCGGCGGAACTGAGATTTAGCGACAGTGCTCCTCAAACATATGCGCCGCCTTGCTAAAGTGATGCAGTCAATATCTCACCACAAGATTGGCGGCCCTCCCAAGCTCATGTACTCTGAAGTTGGAACTTTTTAGGAGTTTCGACGTCAAACCCAGGTGTTGGTAGAAGCTCTTTTGCCAAGAATTGCCTCGAGAACCTTGATGGTTATTTATACAAGGGCTGAAAATTTCTGTTGCTGTAAATTCTTGGCTCTTACTGATGAAATCCGTATCATCATGACTTGTTTAGCGATCGAGTGCTGTTGCCAAGGCACTATACAGGCGCCGCTGTGCTTGGCTGGGGCTGCTGGGATTGGCCAGTATGCCAAGCAACATTGCCTATAGCAGCCCATGGTGAAATCCATGATAAATGGTTGAATGTACGATGTAGAAATATTGTCCCGAAGCAATAAGTTCGGCTTTCCTATTCTTCCTTTACTCAATCACCTATCTTTCCTCTTTTTGTTTTTTAAAGTGATTCCTTCTGAACACAAACGTCAAGATGAAGCTGTCTCTATACATTCTTTCTCTGTCTACTGTGGTTTTCGCCCAGTCACTGGCTCCTTCGCCGACAGAGTCGGTGGGCTGTGAGGCTCACGAAGACCACTGGCACTGCGACGGCCCAGTCTCGACAACCCAGGCCGAGAGCAGCATCACTACAACCTTTGCCACCACAACCACGGCAACTTCAACGTCCTCAGAGGAGGACCATGACCACGAATCGGGCACCGGTAGCCTGGCACCAAGCCCTACAGAGTCTGTAGGATGCGAACCTCATGGAGATCACTGGTGAGCTGAACTCAATCATGGACTAATGAAAATTGTTAACAATTGTAACAGGCATTGTGACGGACCTGCTTCGACCACAGCCGCTAGCAATGCCACGAGCTCTTCGACTGCAAGCACCACCTCTTCAACAACAGCCACCACCACGCCAGCCACGGCTGGTGCATCTCGGGTCGCTCTTGGAGGTGCATTCCTTTTCGCGGGACTCGTCTTTTGTGCGAGCATGTAGAATTAGTCTCACCATTACCTAGTCTATGCATTTTAAGCAATTGTAATAATATTGTGGTTTGCAAATTCCGAACAGACAACATAAAATTTGAAATATCGTGTAATTTCTCTCGTCACGTCAAATATTGTACATCTCGATTCTGCTATATTCTCCATGTTGAATACTAAGAGCTAGAAACGACTCTCCACCATTCAATCGGTGAGCCAGTGGGTTCGGCCATGTTTGTCACTGCCAAGGCTGCCGAGAATACCAAGAGAGGAGCGCGACTTGGCCTACTCCATACCAAGACTCCCGGCGCCACTTGATCATGGGCGAACTCGGGCGATTGAGCAATAAAAACAAGTATAACACCACTTTGGGAAACACCTTGATGGACACTTGCTCAATAGTTTAGCCGAATTATAGGTCAGCCTCCGCGAGCATCGGGATGTGGTGGTTTGTATAAAATTTGAGTTCAGATCTTTGACAAGCTTGAGTTGAGCATCGGGATTTTCAATTTAAGCAGTGTTGAGAACTTCTAGAGGCCATGTACTCAAGCATTCGACTCGGTATGGTCTGGCTTCTGCCGTTTCTGGCCCCGACCTGCTCTGGCAGCTTTGTGGCTCGAAGACAGGGAGTGCCGGCGGCTCCAGCAGTGACTGCGCCTCCGCGGTTCGATGCCGGCGTCGTGGTTCGGCGACAGGCCGAAGACATTACCGCCATCTCCGACTGCCATGCACATGGAACCGAAGTGTACGTGTACCATTTCAATACTTCACAACCCCTCGCTCCCACTTGAACTAACATTTATTTAATAGCTGGTGCATGGCCGGGACGACAGAGTATCAAGTTGTGGTCGAGGCTACCGCAACATCGGAATTGCCTGCTTCTTACACGGGCTGCCACTCTCATGGATCTGGCCTGTGAGTTGACTCTCCAAAAATTGGCCTCAACTTTTGCTGAAAATATAGGTACTGCATGGATGCCGCTGGGGATGATGTCGAGGTCCTCACTGAGACGACAAGTGATGCGGCGTCGACTGACTCTACCGACTCTACCGAGACTTCCGATTCGACTGAAGAACTAGACTGTCATTTTCATGCAGGAGTTGAGTAAGTAACGCATGTTTGTCCCGTCCAGGCCACTATTGACATCTTTCGCTCAGACACTGCGTCGGCGCCGAGGGAGAGAACGGGTCTTCTACTACCGAGTGCGCGCGACAGTCGCGGGACTACAATATTCCTTTGAGGATTGGACTGCTTTTCGTAATATTAGTCACGAGCTTCATTGGTGAGCCCCATATTGGCGACAGCTCGGAAGTCATGTACTAACACTGTCAGGCGTCGCCGGCCCAATTTTCATCAAGCCAGTCCTGTCCAAGAAGTTTGATATCGTTTTCATCATACTGAAACAATTTGGAACTGGTGTCATCATCTCGACCGCCTTTGTGCACGTAAGTTGGTTCTGTTCGGCCCTTTCATGTGCTTACTAACTAAAGAGATAGCTCTACACTCATGCTAGCCTCATGTTCACCAATGAATGCTTGACCGGCATCGAGTATGAGTCGACAACATCTGCCATCGTCATGGCTGGGCTCTTCCTTTCCTTCGTGGTTGACTTTGTATCACACCGGATCGCCTCGGGAGCGCAGACCAAGTTACACGAGTTTGGCTCTCACGATCGAGACAATATCGTCCAGGTGCTTATTCTCGAAGCCGGAATCATTTTTCATTCTATTCGTAAGTCATCCTGGTTCGATATTTAAGCAGTTCAACTTACATGCCACCTCAAGTGATCGGCCTTACCCTGGTGGTCGCTGGAGACAGCTATTTCATTACGCTATTCATCGTCATCTTGTTTCACCAAATGTTCGAGGGTATTGCACTAGGCACACGTATCGCCTCCGTTGGGCGGCTCGCGCATCTCGACTCGTGCCACGCCCCTCCGGTCAGCCCCGCCGGTTCTCACGACAAGACCACGACCCCGATCGAGATCCCAATGACAGCGACCCCATCGCCGAACCTCCAGCCGTTGTCCATGGTGCAAAAACTTCTCATGGCCGCCGCCTTTTCCATTGTGACTCCCATTGGTATGGCCATTGGCATCGGGGTGCTGCAGCACTTCAACGGCAATGACCCGTCTACTCTGATTGCCCTGGGCACCTTAGATGCGCTGTCCGCCGGTATTCTGGTCTGGGTAGGTCTGGTGGAGATGTGGGCGCGCGACTGGATGCTGGCGGGCGAGATGGTCCATGCAGGTTTATGGGTTACCCTCTCCGGAGGTATCTCTCTAGTCGCGGGAATGGCTCTAATGAGTTTCTTGGGTAAATGGGCATAAACATGGCATGGTCTGGAGCTGATGTATGACGGAGAAATGATTATATACACAATTACGGTCAGCACGGTTGAAAATGGGGATACGTGTCGGCCAGGTCAAGTAATTCCAGCTGCTCAAAAACTAGCTCACTGGGTTACAATATCAACCATATATTTGAGCTCGCTTTATTCAGTTGAAGTCCCTACTTATTTCAATGATACAGTCGTTTAGAAAACCACAGCCAACATGGGCTCTGCAGCAGAAGAGTGCCTCCTTGAACTGAGGCGTCTTTCACCGCGACAGAACCCTCATAAGGTTGCAGAATTAACCATCAGCCCCCAGATCGCCTGACCCGTTTCTGTGCGCCATGTACCTCCTTCTCATGACGTCTCAGACCATCCTTTCGGGCGAATGTTTGTCTGCACGCGCCACATACGGCGGCTTGGGTAGGGTACCTTTCCTGTTCAGCCCACTTCCTGTGCTTACCCCAGACATGTCGGTCTATTTCGCTTTGGTCCCTTGCCTTGGACCAAGTGCAATCCTTGTTGGGACATTGGCGGTGGACGAGGGTAGCGTGATCACTAAGGGCCTTAACAGAATGCTCTTGTCATACTCGGAAATGTGGACTTACTTGGTCTCATCGGCGGTCAGTCCACGAAATTCACAATCTTTCCATGTGCAGAGAACCCGAGCCCTAGACCTTTGTTTTGGCGAGGGAGAGGGTAAAGGTCCTAAGGCACCCTCTCCCGCCCCTGCTTGTTCGACCTCGCCATTGTCAAATTCCCCGCTGTAGAGTGGTGACGGCATGCCAGCTTCTCAAGAATGCTGCATGGGCGCGGCGTCATTCAGAAAATATTCCGAATCTTGTTGCTGTGCCAGGAGCAGTGCCGGGTTGATACAAGCGTCAATGTTGAAACCAGGAGCAAGAGCAGGCGCTAATGCCCCAGGTTGAAACATTGTCGGATGCATGTCGGAAGTGATCCATGGCATGGTATCGTCGTAGTCTTCAGAATATGAGTAACTATCCTCGAGATAGAAAGTATCTTGCCTCCTTGGGTCAGCCATGGCAGTGGGTTCGGATGTAGTCAGCCATGGAACGAGCGACGTGAAGAGCCATGTGACAAAGACGAGCATTAAGGAAGAGTATCCTGACTCGGCCTCAAATATCGGGGAGAAAATACATAGGCGTCAGCAAGGCTGCCAGGCATCAGGCTAGTCCTGTCACTTACAGCGTGACATCCGGGCTGGCCAAGACGCTGTCAGCTGCAGAATTGTTTGCCAAGTGCTGCATCTCCATTTACGTGGTCCAATGGCATGTGCACCGCCACCCAAGAGCGGTATGCTGCCTCCAATGAGATGTGTGCTGCCACCCATGACATGCACAATGTCTACCAACGTATGTGCCCCGCCTCCCTTAGTCACTACCAAAGATTTGTGAGGCTGTCTCCATGGTACTGTGGGAACCCCGCTGTTTACACAGAGTCGAGAGATTGATTGTCCCATCTAATATCAAAGCTCACCAGCTACATCCCACCGATTGCTTTGTATTGGAAGTGGTTTTTTTTTTTTTTAAGGATTTCCCAAATGGTCACAAAGAATGTCGAACCAACGCGAGGACGCGAGGGGCGCAAGCCATTTATGATCAACTCAGTTTTGCTAAGCCTGATTGATCCCGTTCGTGGCGAACCGACCAAAAGCCTTCTTGATGGTAACCCGGATGATGACGTTTCGAGAAGTCATCAGCTAAAGGAGAAATTCCTCGACTCTTTCGCGCTCATCTGCTCGACATCAAGCTCCGGCTCGGTGACTGCCTCGGCCGTTTGCATGGAGCAAAACCAATCGTTTGAAAACACTCTACGCGTGGCTCGCAATCACAGCTTCTCGCCGCAGAATATCGACAGCCTCAGAAAGATCCTGCAAATCCTTACTGCTGTTGCCAATCGAGGTCAGTCATCTTCCATCCTGACCAGCATGTTGTGATCACTCACAATTCGGGTGATGCAGATAAGCTACCAGGGCAGGCTGAGTCTGAAGCCCTTAGAGAGATTGCTGATTTAGACCAAGACCGTATTCGTTCATTTGTCACCAAGCTAGAGAAGAGCGGAATCCAAACTATTTTCAAGCAGGCAATTTCCAATCTGTTTGGTAGCGAGCGCAATGAAGAAATACTGGAGTATCCGCGATTCAGGCAATGGATCAAGACTTGTCCTTTCATGAGCGCGTCTCTGAGCTCTTCTGAGACGGCTCGATTGGTCTCTTATATCATGTGGGCTTCACAAGCTAGATGGACCTATCCTAAGCATTTGAAGGCCTTACTTGCATTTGGATCAGAGCCTCTTCCGCCGTGGATGGAAACTCTTCACAAACTTGCTCGGTATTGGGCGGCAGTCAAGTCCATGGTGAAACTTGCAGTAAAGCAACCTAGGGTTTTCGCGAATATCCAGATTCAAGAGATCAAAGCCCCTGAACAGGAATCCTTCAGGCTTTCTCCAAAGGAAATGCATCTTCGGGAAGCTCTCCAGCGCCTGGTCAAGAACGATTGTCGTACGACGATGGACAAGCTGGCTCAGCGCTGGAAGACAAATGATGTGGAGGGCAAATTGCGTGACAAATGCAAGGTGAATCTCACGCTTCATGCTGAAATGCAGCTTGTCGGTTTCTACGAACGCAACCCAGATTTGGTACCCCAGCTACGCTTGATGGGCACCAGTAAGAAGGCATGCTTTCTTTGTCACGAATTTCTACTGCGGCATCCGCTCGGTATACGGGTCTCAGCTTGTCACCAGAAGGTTTATCCCACATGGATGCCACCACCTAGTCATAACGTTCCTGGAACACCTAGAAACAAGCTTTTCTGGGATTTCAGTAAGCACATCGAGCGCGTGACTGTCAAGGCACTGAAAACGGAACTGTCAGCCCGCCAGCGGCCGAAGACCAGGGACTCAACAGCGGGCGGATCTCTAACGGAGACAGCTACTATCCCCACGGAGTTTTTGGTACGACAGCACCTACTGTTTGATCGCGATGGCATTTAGTCTGGAAGAAACAGTATAAGATCAGCGGGATTGGGAAACCTGTAAATAATTGGGCCATATTATGAATCGAATGCTATATATGCATATCTACCCAACATGCAAGTCTGCACTAATTTACTATGTAGTTTCTGCTGTACAACTCGGTGTAAGTGGCGACTTTAGATATAGCAATTCAGAACGGTGTCTGTTATCAGAGTTTGATGCACGGCATTTCAAGGATTAACGCTCACCAATTGCAACCACAGGTCTGCCAGAGATGCGCAAGTGTCGGGCGAACACAGCCTACTTACTGAATTTCCGATCGAACCACATCCAGTGCAGTCCACATGGGAGAGCTCTACAATGACTTGATGCCCAAACCTGCGGGAGGCTGTCCACATCCCACTCAGCCTGATCAACTTTTTGATCTCCCTCGCGCGACATTTTGAACTTAAAAGCAGGAGCTTCGACAGTCATCCTTCTCTGATCTTTCACATCTAGTTCACCACACTCCCAATTCACCACACTCTCAATTCACCACACTCTCAATTCACCACACTCTCAATTCACCACACTCTCAATTCACCACACTCTCAATTCACCACACTCTCAATTCATCATTCCCACCTTGAAATATGACGGCCATGGATTTCACAAGCGGAGACCATCGCAACCTCCTGGATATCATTGATAGCCTCCGTGCGCAGGGAATAAGCAGATATGTCGACCTTCCCGAGATCATAGTCTGCGGAGATCAGTCTGCGGGCAAGAGCTCTGTTCTCGAGGCTATCTCTGGCATGCGGTTCCCCACGAAGGACGGCCTTTGTACTCGCTTTGCGACGGAGCTGGTCCTTCGCCGAGGCCCAGAGGCAAGTACAAAGGTGTGCATCACACCAGGCCAGGGCCGTTACGACAAAGAAAGAGACGACCTTGAGCGATGGCAGCCTCGGACCAGTATAGACAAGGATGGCCTCGAATCAGTGACGGAGGAGGCTATGGAAGTCATGGGTGTCCCAGTAGCTCGAAGATTCTATGACGATACCCTTCGTATCGAGCTCACTGGGCCAAACCAACCCCATCTGACCATGGTTGACCTCCCTGGCCTTTTCAGGGCCGCTAATAAGGAGCAATCTGACGACGACGTGGATACAGTACGTTCCATGGTTGAGAAATACATGGCTCGGCCCAGGAGCATTATTCTGGCGGTGGTGTCGGCAAAGAACGAGTACGTTTTACAGGAAGTGACATCGATGGCCAAGCAAGCCGACCCTCAAGGTCTTCGAACCATGGGGCTCATTACAAAGCCGGATACTCTTGATGATGGCTCCGACTCAGAGGCATACTGGGTTCGCCTCGCCCAAAACAATGAGGTGGAGCTCCGTCTCGGATGGCATGTTCTAAGGAATCGCAACTTTGAGCAGAGGGGCTCATCCTCAGCCCAACGTGATGCCAAAGAGGAAGAGTTCTTCGCCAACGGCATTTGGACTGGCGTCGACCCCTTACACTGCGGCGTGGGATCTCTCAGGACTAGACTCAGTTCCGTCCTGAAGGATCAAATTCTTTCTCAACTGCCAAGCCTCATTCGAGACGTGGAGAGTAGCATCCATGTTTGCACAGATAGACTAGGCCGGCTTGGCCCTGTCCGAAGGACTCAAGAGGAGCAATTGAGATATCTGCTGCGTGTGGGTGAGGATTTCACATCGTTAACGAAGCAGGCGATTGACGGTACATACACGGACCGCTTTTTTGGCAGCCGGAAGAAGCTCGAAGGTTACGCTACGAGACTTAGGGCAGTAGTGCAGAACCGGCTGTTGGACTTCAGGGATGAGATGCTCTCAAACGGACAGAGCCAGAGAATCATTGACCCAGATACCGAAGCCGGAGACGAGGATGAACGAAGCGAATCGCCCCGGATTCCTCGGGCCCAATACGTCGAAGAAGTTGCACATCGCTTGAAGTACAGCAGAGGACGCGAGCTCCCAGGCCTCTTCAATCCGCTCATTGTCGGGGACCTCTTCATAGACCAAAGCCAACCATGGCGAGCTATCGCCAAAGACTTGGTCGCGGACATCATGGAAGCTGTGCACAACATGACTGAACTCGCGATTGAGCACGTTGCAGCCAGTGACGTTGCGGATGAGGTCATCAAGTTTGTCCACGAAAGTATAGAAGCACTCAAGGTGGAACTGGACAACAAGATTAATGAGTTGTTGACAATGGCCACCAACCACCCGATTACGTACAACCGTCAGCTCACGGAGAATGTACAGAAGGCCCAGCAGGCACGGCAAAAGAGTGCCATCAAGCAACTCATCCGTAATACTTTTGGTTCGCAGCACTTTGAGGATGCGGATAGGAAAATCAACCTTAATCCTGTCAAGTTTGTAGACCTCCTGGCACAGAGTCTTGAACCCGACATGGAGCTCTTTGGAAGCTCTGCAGCGGTTGATTACATGGAGGCATATTACAAGGCAAGTCCTACTTATCCGGCAAGGTTTCTAGTGCTAACCATGACACTACACACCCAGGTGGCATTGAATAGATTCATTGACGATGTCAGTGTGCTGGCCATTGAGAACTGCCTCGTAGGGAAGGTCTCCGAACTCTTCCGGTCGGACAAGATTCTGAACATGGGCCCCGAGGACATTTCTCGTCTTGCAGGCGAGACTACCGAATCTTCTGTCGAAAGAAAGCGTCTCGTCGAGAAGCGCAAGGTTCTCAACGCAGGGTTACAAGAACTGGTTGGCCTGAAAAAAATGAGACAAATCTCGGGCCTTGCTGAATCTGACCCCGAAGAAGTGAAGCGCAAACCTGAGAAAACGGTACTTAACTCCCCAAAAGCCTCAGTTACTGCTTCCGTGACTGAGGGTTCCTCGGCAAGGAGCTCTCGAAACAAAGCAACCCCTGTAGGCGACGAAGACTTTGAGGTCTATACTGTGCCGCGAATCTCGCCATGGAAGGAGCCGGAGCCGGAGCCGGAACCAACACGAGATCATGAATGGGACTTTGCACTTTCGACCGGTTACGGGGCCAGGTAGTGTGATGGAAAGGACAAACTCGATAAAGCGTTCCGGAAAGAGACTATTTGTGGAGTGAACCGAGATCATATTGAGCTATAACAACGGTCAAGTACTTCATTCAACATGAAGGCAAAAGAGTTCAAAGTAAAAAGCGTTGTCATCGTACTTTATCTTGATTTAAATGTTGATGTATCCATCCTATTAGCATAAACTCCCCTAGCATTCATAGTCCTGGTTCATCTAAAGAAACACGTAGTATAGCCGTCAAAATGGACTCAAGTTTGCAAAGTTGGGGGGGAATCCTGACTCTCCGTTGAAGAAATTGGTCCAAGCTCCCCTATCCCCGACCCATATATTTGGTGTGAACCAATTGCATGGACATCCGACAGCATCTCGAAAACATCCCTGCAGACCTCGTACATCACTGACATCAAGCATCCCATGAGTTGTTAAATCATGCAAAACAGTCAGATGAGGTCGAGACAGATCGCCGTCGGTCAGCTGCAAAGCGCCGAATCCCCGATGAAGTACTAGGTTAGGTTGTTTCGAGTGTCGTATCTTCTGCATTCCTCTGCGCTATGTTGTTCATCGATACAACCCTATAAAATCTGCTGGCTCCCTCCTCATCTATCAGGGTGGTGAATCGATTGTCCCAACAATATCATTTCCTTAGCTTACATACCGACGACGATACAATGGCACTCTGGTATGATTTATCAATCTCTTTGCCTGTTGCAATCTTGATTATTGCCAGCAGCATTCTCATCGCTCATTACCACTTCCAATCGAGGTACAAGTTGCCCGTGCATGTTCCAGGTTGGCCCATTCTTGGGAATTCACTGGACGTCCCCTTTCCAGCCGGGATGTGGGGTCATCGAATGGCGCTGAAATACGGAGAAATGTGAGTGTGAAGAAAGATTCAGGCTTTATAATGCGTACCTTGGCTGATTGTGGTTGCTGCAGGTTTACTTGTCGATTAGGAGGGAAAACCATGGTGTTTCTCAACTCAGCGCGTGTTGTACATGATCTATTGGAGAAGCGTGCTAGCATATACGCATCACGTCCGTACCGACCAATGGCCCAAGAAATTGCGTCGGGTGGTGCTCGAATATTTCTCATGGGCCATACCGATAAATGGCGTTTGCAACGCAAAATTATGCACTCAATCTTGAACAGCCAATAGGCTGAGACCAAATTTGCAGCATTCCAGGAGCTAGAGTCGAGACATCTGGTGTGGGATTACCTGCATACACCCGAGAGATTCCATATAGCGACCCAGCGATTTTCAAATTCCGTCATGATCAGTGTGATATTTGGTCGACGGGTGCTGTTGGGTGACAAACAGCTTACCAAAATGCTTACATTAATGAAGGAATTTGCTGAGATCTTGTTCAAGAACATTTGCGATCTTTTCCCATGGATGGCACATCTTCCCAGACCATTGCAGTGGTGGCGGCCTTATGGTGAAGGCTTGTTGCAAAGAACATTAAGGCAAATTTTATGCCTCATGGGTTCAACTATTTGAAAAAAGACAATATAACATACATGCTAATATCTGCTTCCAGTATATACCGCCACGAAGTTGAAGTATTGAATGAAAAACTTCAAAATGGCACTGCAAAGCCATGTTTCGCCACGGCGCTCTTGGAGGGCATCTCGAAAAAAGAATATGACCTGAGCGAGACGGAGAAGTTGATGATTTTCAGCACTCTCCTAGAGGCAGGTAGCGATACTTCTCGGACGGCAATCACTCAAATGGTAGCGGCCGCGGCCGTATTCCCGGACTGGGCAGCCAAAGCGAGGTCCTATCTAGACCAAGTCTGCGGATCCAAGGCAGAGCGCCTCCCTACACTCGCAGATCGGAACAGTCTACCTTACATCACTGCAGCTACCAAAGAGGTGCTCCGATGGCGCCCATTCATACAGACTGGAGTACCTCATGAGCTGGCGCAAGATGATGAATATGGTGGTTATCGCTTTCCGAAAGGAACTCTGTTCGTTCGAAATGCGTATGCCCTTGCTCTGAACGAAAACGATTACCCGGACGCCATGAGATTCAAGCCAGAGAGGTTCATGGATCAAGATTTGAACAGTCCTTTGAAAGGTCACTGGTCTTTCGGTGCTGGTACGTGTTGGAGCGAGAACGCAAGAATTCTCCCAGACATTGCTCTACCCCCCTTTCTTTGCTGATAAGCTAACGTGAATCCAGGGCGGCGTGTGTGTGTAGGTTATAACGTGGGATTCAATAGTGTTTGGCTGGCCACAGCTTGTCTTCTGTATTGTTTTGATTCCGCCGAGGACGAGGTGAGATTGAAATTTCCCGCCATAGGCATAGGTTTTGATATTAATTCTGCCGTCAGCGCCAACCTATCGATACACTGAGTTCTAATTGGGACTCGGTGGAAGAACAGCCATTTGCTGTGAAGATTTCGCCCCGGAGTCAAGCCCATGTCAACTTGATTCAGCGAGTGGGGGCTGATGTGCTGCATATTGAATAAAGGAAAGATTGAAGCGCAGAAGACTTTGGCCAAATATAGCCTGTAATGGATTGTGGGCAATAACGTGGACGGAACAGCCGTGGCTGCGACCAAGTCGCTGCTCTGACACGGAGTATAGTCCCTATAACGCTGGTTTCGCAGCTATTCAGGCCCTAGGAAAGTATTTTTATACCTTATCGAGGTGGTACTGAGAACGATGCCTTTTCCCTAGCTTTTTGGATGGTTTCCGGCGATTTGCGCTCTCTTTTGCAGCTATCAGGCGTTCTATTCCAAGCTGGTATTAGCATTCACGCAACCAATAACTTAAGTTTGATGCTCTTTGACAGGAACATTCTGTAAGGGTGGGTAAATACCGCCAATGTGATGTTGAACTTCATATTGCACTCTTCTGCTGCACTGACACTCCGTTCAACACAATCCACGGGAAGAAGACATCCATGCAGTGTAGTGCCGCTAGAATCTACTTTCCTAATATGCCAATGTCAATTTCAGGGTTCCAGGCTCGAGACTCAAGCCTGACGCTGGGCAAAACTCATGTACTCTAGCGATTGGTATGCCCCAGGGACCTGCCGGTTCTGCAGTAATTTTAAGTACAGCCGGGACTGAAGAGGATACCAGACTAACGCCACACAGTGGAATTGGCTTCTCCTATATTGTTAATGCCGATAATGCCGATAGAGCCGAGCTGGAATTGAAAGTTGGAAAATCATAAGTGGATTATGGATAGGACGCTGGTGCGTATCTGTACAGGTAGCTAGCTCCAGTGTTTGCTTCTTGCTAATGGGTGTACTTTTGGGAAAAAAACCGTCATGATGGGACGCAAACATTGATCCCTTTCCCTGAGAAAGCTAGTCTAATCAATCCCATCCCTTATACCGAGAAATAGCTTTTCTACCACCAATATCAGACATGCGTTAGGGGAGTGTAGCTCGACCATTGATTATGTGTCATCATTCACGTTCTCTTTTTAGGCAACCATTTAGAACTTGAATCATATCTGCTAGTTAGAATGACCAAGCCCCAAACTGCCGGGCGATCCCAGGTACCACCTCCTACGATGTAGTTGGAGCTTGATATTTGGTCATTGACACACGTGTATGCGGCGAATTAGTGGAGATGAAAACGTCTTCGTTCTAGGTCTCGACTATTTTTGTTCCGTCAGTCTTTCGTCTCCACTTTCTCCACCTGAAGAAGCGACAAGGGTAGAAGGGTACTATGTAGAACAACGACTTGGTTTGTAGCGGAATGTCGGGTTGTTGTCATGGGCATTCTTCTCTCCATATCCGCCAGCCAGCCACTCGGTACCTACACAACGGTCTTCACTGTAGCGGAATATCGGGATGTTATCGAGTGTATGTCCCATTCACATTCGCAAGCTAACGTCTTGATACCATGCAACAACAAGACGATCTTTGACTTCACTTGATGTGCTTAGCAATCAAGTTATTGAGGGCAACAAGTCAAGAAATGGTGTGATTCATAGCGAATGGAGAAGGCGAATGCCCTCGATGCCGGTATATTAGTTCCGCTCTTTGCTTCTCCATCGCCCTCTACCGCGACTGAACAGACAGTCACTCGTTGTCCCTTTTACCAGTCACTGAAATATTTTGCCAATAACAACAGGATGGTGTCAAAATTTGTTCAGCCTTGCGGCGATGTCACTACGCAGCTCAACTTTTACTCGGCGCCCACGGACGGCCAGAAGCCGTTTGACTATGTCGACAGTCCTCCACCAGGGCAGCCGCAGCGTAACTACTCTGACGATCCTAACGAGGTGGTAATTCGGGATATCCGTGGGCGCGAAAACGATTTCACTCTTGACCGTGATGCTTTTCAGATCCTGCAGTCACTCGGGCCATTCCCTCGAATACAAATAACAGAGGAAGCGATCAAAGAAATTTACTACCCCGAGATCGAGAAGCTTCTTCTGAGCACTGTACCGGGCAGTCATCAAGTCATCATCTTCGACCACACGTACCGAAAGGCCGACCCTGCCGCCCATCGAACCCCCGTGCAGAAAGCACATATTGACCAGACAGCGGCCTCTGTCGAGAAGCGAATCAGAATGTACCTACCAGACGAAGCTGACCAGCTTCTGCAACGTCGCTATAGACTCATAAATGTCTGGCGACCGCTCAACAAGATGCCGGTAGAGTCTTTTCCACTGGCATTTGCTTCAACATCGTCACTCGAGGACCACGACTTCGTGCCGGTCAGACATCATCACCAGGATGGATATATAGGTGAAACAGCCTCGATCAAGTACAACCCTGGGCAAAACTGGTATTACCTTAGCGGAATGACAGACTCGGAGTGTGTACTGCTGGAATGCTTCGATAGCGAATCGCTCAAGGCGGACTCGACTATCGGCGGGCGGGTCCCACATACTGCATTTCCAGACCCCCGAACCAGGCCGGGCGCGGTGCCCCGAGAGAGCATCGAAGTGCGAACGCTGGTCTTTGGTCCATGATTGGAGACTTGGGGAATATCTGCAGCTCTACATGTGCCTAAGTTCTTGGCTTAGTCTCTTGAAATTGATCATGATGCTTAATTGAACTTGTTCACTTCTGACTACTGTGCTTGCTTTTAATGTATTTTGAAAAGGCTTTGTCTCTTTCGGGGAAAAAGTAGTGAGTATTGATTATTATGTCACGCCATATACCCTAACGTCCTACTTTATAAGGACTCGAATCTTTCCATGGCGTCCTTCGCAAGAAGCACACCTGCAAAGCGGCTTCGTAAGGACTATAGGGACTTGAAATGACGAAACCGAAGCATGGGCTCAAGTGGCTTGAATTGTTCTTACGAGCCTATATCTGTACGTGAAGAACCCAATCTTTAGACACAAATTTTGGAGACAGATGAATACACGTCGTTTGTCTAGGGAAGCAAAAATTCGATATTGAGCTCAGCTAAAGAGATTGAGTTCAATGAGAAACCTTGGACTGACTAACAAATGTACCTTATCCGCACAATTTCATATTCTTTTCCAACCTAGCCACGAGGCTCTGTGCGATTTCCCCTGCAAATCCTGTCCTGTCATTTGTAACCTCTTCAGAAAAGCTTACGCGGTCCTTCCACCAACTGAGCCAGCTTTCCGCCCGCGCTCCGTCGGGCGATCGCAGCAGGCCTACACTAACATCGATGACATCTGCGCCGTTATCCTCGTGCCAAAAAACAGTTGCGCCGCATCCTCCACAAAACTCGCGAACCACGCCGGGCGACGACTTGTAGCTTTGTAAGGCCCCACTCGGCATGTTGGCAAAGTCAAGCGGCTCAAGTTGCGCTTCATCATTGAGCGCGGTAGTGGCCAAGGCAAGGTTGGCACGTGGGATGAAAGCCCACGTCTGCACCTCGAAGCCAGAGATCAAGCGACACGATCGACAGGCACATGTTCCGGCAAGATACTTGGTTCCAGAACCCTGGATCCACCATTTCTCCTCGGATGGATTCGACTTGAGTGAAATGGGCGTCGATTTATCTGGTAGCATCAGGTCCGGGTAGTTCCGCTTCGGGATGTTGTGTCCTGCTTGACTGGGACGAGTAATCCTGAGGTCGACTTTGCCACAAGCACACGCTGCCTTCAGGGACCCCTTCTCACTGACATTGGATTCGTCATGTTTGGGAGTGTAGCTTGTGGGAGCTGGTAATGAGCTTGTATCATCCATGGATTCAGGTATCCAGATGCTTGCACCGCCATCTTTTGTATCGGAGACGTGGCCATGTTTGATTTTCAAAGGGCTCCGCTCGCCATGGAGACCATCGTCGCTCTTGGCGATGACACCCGATGCCACTTCCCATTGGACGAGTCCTATCGAGTCCGATCTAGAGCGAAGTAGATGACAGCCACAAATGGAACAGAAATAACGGGTCCACGTATCGGAGGCAGTGTACGAACGGAGATTAGTCGTCTGAGGTTGTTCTACGGAATAGTAGCTCGTGAACAATAAGCCTGTCGAGTATCGGCACGAATCGCAGTGACACAAGCCGAGCTGGGCGTCGTTGTATTGACCTGTACTTTTGCTTTGAAGAGTCTGGGCGGCGGCGCCACAAAGGCATGAAATAAGGTAGGTCTGGGAAGCCATTTTACAGTTGATCAGAGTTGCTTGTGCAAATATTCAAATGATGATCGACTTGTAACCATTCATGTCACAACCACAGTAGTTATATACCGCCGTCACATTGATGGGATTTGGTCTGGTGCGATGAATCGTTCATGTGAGAGTTGGACCGTTTCGGGTCGTTGAATGGAGGTGAGCGTAGCTGAGGTGGCGTCCGCGGAATATCGGGCCTGAAGCGCATCCAACCATGTTGGAGTTCAATGTCTTCGGCAAATGAAGACCAAGTAACCTAACCTAGGTACCTAGATACCTCTCCCGATTAGGACTAGATTTATTCAATTGTAGTACATAGGCTCTCTCTTTTAGTCAAACCCACCTACAATAGCCAACCCCAAGCATCGCGCCCTACATTAGTTCCCCCCGTATGACACCCCCTACACTAGCATACTTTAACTCAGACCTTCCGCGCCTACGAGTATAATGACATGCATTGAAAAGCTTTCGAAAAAAGTCAAGTTACAAAAGCGAATTAACTCAATAATATTGCTTTCACCGGCCGGCTCTCAATGGCCCTCTCACGAGAGATGCCAGGATTGCTGCTCCAAGAGTCGTTTTCAACCCAGCAGTCGATTCCGGGCTCATGATGAATAAATCGTCGATAATTGGATAATCAACATCCTTGAAGCCGAGTGACGTTGTGCCTAACGTTATGGTTGCATCGACTGTCCAGTAAATTGTGTCGCCAAAGATACCGCTGCCGGAACCAGATGCTACACCAGTGGTTTGCATGCTGGTGTTGGTGGTTGAGCTCGTTTGTTTGTAAGAGACGGCCTCGGGAGCTGTTAATACCCATGACGATAATGACGGCCTTCCACTCGAGAGCTTGGACAGGTTCTGATAAAACTGTTCTGCTCGGAACAGTGTCAATCTGCGTTGGAAGAGCGAGAAGCACTTTTGCTGGAACAAGGACTGGTCTGATGAAATTGCTTGCTTTTTTCTCTTCCTTTTTTTTTTTTTTTTTTTTTTTGCTCAGATCAGAATTAAAGACGCGGAAGTCCTACAGAAAGCATCCTTCCGGATCCAACATCGTCTTGGATATTCCATTCGAGTTTCCACGCATGGACGAACGTTTCTTGACCCAGCGATATAAAATTCTCTTTCTCCACACATTCATTCCTCAAAAGTCGGACAGTGGACAAAATATCTTTCATAGTCTCAATGGGCTCACTATGCATAAGAATAGATCCAACGACACTCGCTGGTGTTATGCCCGTGATAACACCCTCGTCCAAGAGCCAGTCTTCATTCCGCCCGCAGTTCGGACACAGGTAAGGGCGATTGCTGGTTAATGGCCATGGTAGAACGACGGTTGACTGATCGGAATGAGATTGTGGTCTTGGACGCGAGTGATCTAAGTAAGCCTGTCGCCGTCGCTCAGTTACCTTTCCATGTGAGGGCTCAAACTCATGGAAACTGGTTGGATGCCGCTAAAAGGTTGCAAGAACACAGTCTATTCCGGCAGATCGCCACGTTTCCGCTGAGCAATAAAGGTCTGTTAGAGTCACTGTAATTGATTTGGAGAAGGCTCTCGGTTTATCTCGGAGGAAACTCCTGGGACCTCTATTTTAAAGAGACTTGCCTACGCAGGGGAGGTTGGAAAACTTAATAGGTATACAGTCCTGAATCGTTTCGGCTATTACCGTGGACTAAATCAATGTTCGTATTCTGCAATGAGCTGCCCATCCCCCTTTCATTCGAGAGCCACGCGTCGTTCTTTTGATACAAAAAGAAAGAAAAAAGAGAATTCCACACGAGTGAAGCAGGCCCTAGATTGAGTGGAACATAGCGCGGGTATCTCGACACTGCTTAGTTCGGTGCTTGACCATTTAGTCTGACGTATAGAGGAATACGTGCTTCCTTGTCAGTTTGCCTTTTTCAGGAGCTGGAATTAGACCTATACTGGCTTTGCGCCGACCCTAAACACAAAGTACAGACCTTTTGCGGGGCATTCAGCTCAAGGGTCCACCGGGCTAGGCTCGAATCTACCTACCTAGGTTAGTAGTTAATGGATTATAACCATTGAATTGAACTTCCACAAGCTCTGCACCTCAATAAACGGCCCGTGAGCTGTACACTGACCAAATATAAACACCATAGATATCAATATATACATCTCAGATATTCAGTAAATTTTAGAAAGTACACACGATTACTCTTCCAACCAATCTCAAAATCTCTTCCAACTCACTCTTTTGTTCATTTTCCTCTTCAACGCAATGAAGCCTTTTTCCAGCGCTACTGCGCGCGGCTGCGATTGCGCCTATCTCGCAAGCATTGGCTGCCTTGTATGGAATTGTCTTGGAGACCAATCATGGCCTTGTCCAGGGATACGCTGCCTTGAACACCTCGCCAGAGAGCATCAAAATACCAAACTGGGCGGATATCGTAATTTGTATCCAGCCTTACAGATGTAGGGAATCATGTGATACTATTTTTAAAACGGTCTTGGCAGTAAGCCGTGATGCATTGGCTTTAACACGAGCCATTCGAAACCCTGTAAAGGATTGAAGCCGCCCCCAAAATATGCGGCGAGGTCCTATCTCACACCAGAGTGCATAAGTGCGTCATGGCTTCAATTGGTCCTGATGCGCAGGGCTGCTGTCCCTATGCAGGAGACTGGTCTCTTTTGTAAAGTTTCCTCAGCTTGTTCTCCTTGAGTTTATTTTATTACCTTTAAAATTTCCAAAATCCCATCCTTTGTGGTTGACATATTCGTTGGGTGCTGTCGTGCCGTGTAGTGTGGTACACTTTGGGCCACACAACGGGAAGGGTGACCAAGCCTGTTTACTTACACATTCATTTCGTACATGTAGACCATCTTAAACTTTATTCTTTATTTCAGATACATTCGCCCGTCATGGCGTTTCCCACTCCCTTGACAACGATATTCACTCCGCCCTCATCATGTCTTTCGACAATATACTATTCGAGTGGAGGACAGTACCAGCTTGGGTACTCAACTGAATGCATTCCGAGCGGGCCTAATCCAACCTTGAGCTCATACTTTTCTCCCGGCCTGTATTGTCCAGAGTCCTTCACCGTCGCCTGCACCAGTGAGGTTACTCTGGGCGCCGGGGCGGCTGAGACTCATGCAATTTGCTGCCCTCGGCTTGACGGCCTTGACCGCTTCACCGGAGGTGGTTTCAAGTGTAATACGGATAGTGCTATGCCCTGTGAGTAAGATCAATTATCATTGTCCCCGGCGACCACAAGGACTCGTGAGTCATGCGACCTGAGAGAGAGGAACATCTAACCGCGAATGCGACAGGGTACTCGTCCCTTGGATGCACGATGAACTTTGGTCCCGAGGCGACCGAGGGCCCGATCACTGTTTTGATGGCTGTTTCAAACACCATCATCACAACGGTGCGCACCGTAACTGTCACCGACGGCCTGAATGCCTACAGCGTAAAGATCGCGTACCGTGCTTCAGATGTCGCGCCCATTACGACAGACTCGTCTCGAACAAACTCGATTGATACATCTTCGATACCCCAGAGTGCCTCGACAGCCAGCGCTTCCGAACCCTCATCCTCGTTGGAGACCCCTTCCAGTAACAACAGCAGTGATCGGACCGGGCTGTCGACATCCGCAAAAATCGCTATTGGTGTTGCTGTTCCGATAGTTGTGTTATTGGGTGCCCTTGGAGTGTTTTGCATAATAAGAAGTCGGAAAAGAAGACGAACCCGCATGGAAACTGTTGGTCCGCAGAGAGAAATTATACATGAGAAATACGGCCAATCGCAGAGTGAAATAGATGGAAATCCGGACCCCGTCCACGAAATATATGGCACAGCGCGCAGCGAGTTGGATGCAAGCAGGTCGTCGGGATTGTCTCGCCTTCGCCTGTTTCCTCAAGACTTACCTCGCGCGTCAAGATGAACGCTGGGTCATGCGCAGCTTAGGTTGCAATGATTTGCGCTTCTTATACCTTTGATTGCTATAGCTCAATAACGCCGGTAATTTTATCAAGGGACTAGAAGTGGTCTCTTCATAAGTCTTCTCTAATTAACCCTGAAAGATAGATACCCCCTTTTAGTGATGACCATTTATCTCCGGGTGTACCTCCTTCGCTTTATGCAACATCGGGGTTGCGGTAGTCGCGCCCTATGTTCTGCCAATACTTGAGAGCAATGCTGCAACTACAAATGATGGCTTCCATCGTTAATCCGTAGGCTTCCACGGCAAATATGTCCAGGTTCCCGATCGACAGCCCCTTCTCTGCCTTCATACCCCGGCTGCTGTAGATGAACCTTGCAAGGCACAAGCCTCTCGATTTGTCCAATAAAGCAAGCGTTGCAAGCGTTATTGGGCAGCTTTGCACTGTCCACTGGAGTGTAGGATCGCTGACACTATCGGACCACTTGAACTCCCAATCGATGAAATTTTGGCTCTTCATCTGGACTTTTTTGGTTCCATACCCGGGGATGTCAACCGTCACGTTGGCGCGTGGAAACCAAGGAAATGAAGAACTATTGTCAAACTCCATGGTGCCGACGCAGAAGGGCTTCTTGTGTTGAATGATCAGCTCCGAGGAGGATCTGCTGTTGAGCAATTGCCAGCCGCCTTTGCTAGCAATCTGATACTGAATGTCGTGACCTTGGCTTATTGATGCCAACGCCATCGAGGTTGCACTGAGTCGGCAGGAATTCAATCTCATTAATGGTGTTGGAACAACGCTCTCCTCATAGGATGGCAAATCATTCTCATGCGATGAGGACAATCTTGTCATCAGCTCTTCATTTTCGATAATCTCAGCCATCCCTATACGCAAAGACATGGCTACTGTCAAAACGCATTTTAAGTAGTGCGTAACTCAAAGTCGGATATGATTCGCTGTGAAACAGTCATCAATGCAACACTCTAAGTCTTCCTCCCCTTATAGCAGAGTGTTATTTGGCTCTATCAAGATTCCGCTCCCGGCGCCGAGTCCATTCCAAATTGCGGCCATGTGCGAGGGGGATCTTAGGGGCGTGTCCGAAGTAAAGGGCAGAAACTAGCGCTAGGCTGATTTCTGGAACCCATATGATTTGGGCATGTAGGTGGTGAACAGAGGCAACCCCGCTAAATCTCTTGAACATTGTTTTCCTAGTGTCTCGGCTTTTGTATCGAGAATTTACCTAATTAAGCCTTAAGATACCTTTGATCAAAATCTCGAACAGAAAATAATACGCTTTCACGTTATTATCGCAGTTTAGGCCGGTGGGGAATGGGGTGTAGGAGCTGCTGATCCGATACCAGCAGTCGATCATTGAGAATGGTAATTGGTGAATGATTTTACAACAGCAGCCCCTACTGCTCTACTCCTTGGGCGCAGGCCATATTCAACGTCAATATTATAATGAATGTGTTCTCATGTAGATATGATAGTCAATGATGTTCTGAGGCGCCGGCGTACAACGCGAGGCGCACAGGTGGGAGGGCTATTAGACAATCAGGCGATGGACATCTTCATTCCGCCATTCGCACAAATCACGCTGCCTGTAGTCCAACCGCTTTCTGGCGAGCAAAGCATATCAACCGTGCCAGCCACTTCATTCGTAAATCCTGGGCGTCTGCCTCTCATTGGCCCCTTGACAATTGCATCGAACTTGTCTGCATCCTGACCAGCCATGGCGAGGACATGTTCTTCACCGTGATAACTTACCAGTGGTGTGGCGTCAACATATGGCTGGTTAATGTCCCAGAAAACCGGCCCGGCTTTCTCACACATATCTCCCAAACTGGGCCAGGATTGATGACATTGACAGTTGCGCGCTCCGAGAGTTCGCGGCTCCAGACCCTTGTCATTGCTTCGATAGCTGCCTTGCTTCCAGCATAGACTGATTGGCCTTGATAGCCAATCGATGAGGACACAATGAGGACGCTGACGATGCGACCCGACCGATCTGTTGGGAGAAACGGCGCTATTGTTTGAGTAAGCAGTAGTGGCGCCAGCACGTTGACTGTATAAACTCGATCAAACTCGGGAGGACCAATGGCTCCGACTTTTCCATCATTCAAATGTTGGTTCGATGATACTCCGGCATTTTTGACCAGAACATCAACTTGGAAATGTCCATTTGGGTTGTACGCCGTGAAAAGCTCTTTCGCCGCTCGTAAGATTTCTTGACATGCTTCTTCGGGGCTCAGCAAGTCAGCCGCGATGTGACTGCAATGGATATTATGTGAAGCCGAAAGTTCTCTGCACAAGCTCTCGATAACATTGACCGATGAGGCCGACGAGTATGTGAGGAGAAGGTTACATCCTTTAGCAGCAAGTCGACGAGCCACCGCAGCGCCAATGCCTGATTATACAGCTGCAATGGTCAACAAACATCTGAATTGCGACCGTTGGCCAAGGTAATGTGGCAATAATACAAACCTCTCGAGGCTCCAGTTATAATACCTAACTTATTCTCGTGCGTAAGAGATGCTGTCATCGTATAAGCCGATAGCACGGTAGACCAACAAGATGATACAAAAATGCTTAATTAATTATTGTATTTGCAAGGGAAAAGAGAAGAAGAAGAAGAAGAAAGCGCACATATGACGCAGCGACAGTGCGCAATGAACCGCACTGTTTTATTTTGAAATTGTCTTTAATTGCCGCGTTCTTTGTGATTTGACCTTTCAAGGTCAAGGAAGGCTGCAGGCGATTCGGCGCCGAGGTGATTAATGGGCTATGCACAATGCTTCCAGTGATATTGTATTGAAACGCCCGCCTGCTTTACTTAGTTCGAAAAAGTGATAAAAGCCTTCCTGCCCTATATAATTTCCCACTACGGTCATTAGTGGGGCGAAAGGCTGCCAGCCGTGATTGTTGCTGAAGTTTTTCCAATAATTCTACGATAGTCATATGGCCATGGCTTTTTGCTAAATCCAATGGCCCCGGTGAACCCTTTTCGGGATTAGCCCCTTTATGGAGGAGCAGTTGTACGATAGCTCCGTGACCGTAGAACGCGGCCGCACACAATGGCGTGAATCTGTCATAATCGCCGTCGACCTTGGCGCCTCTATCGAGCAGCAATTGTACGATCGCCTTGTGGCCGTTACCTGCGGCCATGGATAATGGCGAGGATCCGATACCAACTCCGTCGACCTTGGCGCCTCTATCGAGCAGCAATTGTGCGATCGCCTCGTGGCCGCGACCTACGGCCGCGGATAATGGCGCCGGTTTGTAAAGATTGCCGTTGACTTTAGCACCTCTTTCGAGCAGTAATTGTACGATCGCCTTGTGGCCGTTACCTGCGGCCATGGATAATGGCGAGGATCCGATACCAACTCCGTCGACCTTGGCGCCTCTACCGAGCAGCAATTGTACGATAGCCTCGTGGCCATTACGAGCAGCCAGCCACAATGGTGCGCTTGTGTCGAACTGACCGTTGCATTCGGCGCCATTGTCGAGCAGCAGCTTTACAATGGCCGTATAACTGTTTTTGGCCGCCCGGAATAATGGTGTCTCTTTCATCTCGTTGAGATAAGCATTGACATTCGCGGACCTGTCGAGCAGCAGCTGTACGACAGCTTCGTGACCATTCTCAGCGGCCACACATAATGGCGTACCAAAATAGGTCTGCACTTCGGTATTGGCCCCACTGTTCAGCAGCAACTTTACAACAGCGACGTGACCATTTTCGGCTGCCAAGAATAATGGAGTTCCACCACCATGCTGCCATTCGATGCTGTCGCTATTATTGTCGCAGCTGTCGAGTAGTAGTTGGAAAATAATCTCGTGACCATTCTTGGCGGCCCTATATAATAGGCTCCCGTAATCGGATCGTTCAATGTCCACGCCCGTATCAAGAATGACTCGTACCAAAGCCTCGTGGCCATTTGCAATGGCGAAGTATATCGGTTTTTCCCAATATGCCATTATAGCGGCATCATTCTCCAAGTCACGCATAAGCTCCATCAAGCTTAGCATTTCCTCATCCATCTCTCCATCGCAGCCGTTGCTATCCAGGATAGCCATTCTGTAAAAGCTCACCGCTTTTTCGAGATTCTCATTTGCTTCTCTGTACCTGTCAATTCCATTCCATATCAGCCCAATATTCCACAGTCTGGTAGCTCCCCCCCAGTAATCTGGGCAACTGCAATCCATATCCGAGCTCTTATGCCAGCCTCGACTGCGTATGATGCTTTCATATTCTGCCTCATGCGACTGGCCATGTGATGCATCCAAGTCCCAGACAAGCAGGGTGTTGTGTGGAAATATTGTGATTGACTGTGAGAGCTTTGGCATTTTGGTACTTGCAGATTGTGAATCGGGGGTCAAAGGAGCTGAAATCATTATAATGGTCGAAAACCCATCGCATAGCCTAATGATTGTAAGATTCGATGCTCCTTGTAGAAGACAGACGACATCGCCTTTCTGAACGGGTTTCGCAGAATCCGGGCAGGTAAAGTAAGTGTACTCTCCCTCTGCCCTAGAGAAACGCTTTGTTCAACGTATGCCCAGACGCTGCCCGTTTCCTTGAAAATAGTCCGTAGTAGCCACCTCGCCAAGAACGCACCCCTTGCTTTGAATTATGGCGAGCTGGTTTTGGTCCCACGTCTTTACGCTTGCCTGTTCACCGATGCTGGACCTGATGAGTTGGCGAAAGATATCTCCCCAACGTGCATCGTACTTGGGAGTTATGTAAGTTGGGGCGTCAGAGCTCATGCCAAGCAATGCGTAAACCTTGTCGAGTCGGTCAGTAGCTTTGCGGTCGTGGTACAAGTCCATCAGCGTCCCTAAAGGATGTATATCGAGCGAAACTCTATCTGAGCGGCTTGTTGCGCACTTGGGCCGGAGAACTGCATCTTTCATGAGGTCGGCTGCTGAACTGACTCGACTCTGCAAGTTAAGCTCTCCAAGGGCGAGTTTCAGCTTGCTCCAACCCAAATAGAACGCGTATCCGTCCATCTCCATACCAAGAGACATGATGACAACGTGTCGAGCCGCTGCAACTTCCTGGAGTACCTAGAACGATCCTGTATCAATAAGTACTGCTTGTTTTGTTGGATGATTGGTGCCTTACCCAGATACGCTCAAACCAGGACCGTCGAAGTAGCGCAAGGACCGCTTCCCGGTCGACGTGCGAGAGTTCCGTGAGCTGGTCATCTCTAGCCGCGCTGTCTATGATTTTGAACGCATGATCGCCATTGGTCATGACTTGTCTGCTCCCTTGAAACCGCTCCACTTCCGTCTCTTCTAGCCAAATGATCACGCGGCTTGCTCGCGCATAGATTTCTGCCATGCACCCGACTTGCTGCTCCCGCTCTTTGTTGTCATTTTGATTGATGCAAATAGCATCGATCCATATGATCCGTGGGAGAGTGCAGTCTCGAAGACGTTTCAAAGCCTCGTAGAGATTCCTTCCCACTGGCAAACAATTGCTTTCTGTGAAAATCATCATGGGTTTATCTCCGGATCCCCAAACATAGGATAAAGCCTCGTAGAGATGCGTCCCTTTTCTTGGATTAATATCATCAAAGCGGTGGTCAAAGAGCTCGCATCGTATTGCGGCGTCTTGGTCGGAATGCGGCATCAGTCGAAGCAAGCGGATATGGCCTTTTTGCAGGGGGGAATAAGGGTGACGAGGCACCTGGCCTGTACTAGTCGGCACCTTTTCTGAAGCCATGACTCTGTTCCTGGCAAGTGGCCGTCGTCGGCTTGAGTTGGTGAGATTTTGCTGGTGTTGTGGCCTGAACAAATACAAGCGGGGTAATTCACGCTCAGCGCCTGTGAATACATATAGATGCGTAAGCTACATGCCTACCTAGTACCTAGGCAACCACGACAGCCCCCACGACATACCTATGCAGGGTCCTGACACCGCCGCAGATCACCTGCCCGGGTATTAGACAGCTCTTCGCACCTCTATTTTGTAGATTATTTCTACACTTAGTCATGTCCTATACCCCCTTGGAGGTTGTTTTGATCGCTACGCGACGCCACCAAGACGTTAAACAGATAAACATACAATCTTTTGTGGATCTGAGAGCAACTCAGACATTTCTCACTGCTCCGTCGCCCACATCCTCCCCTTCGCATATTAGCTCAAGTGATATAATATCATTAGCCTGGCATTATGATCTGGCCAGCAATGATGTAATCAATGTCTTCTCCCCTCTCATATTATGCCCAGTCTTCTCCCAAACACGGAACTATTCCCAAAATACAGTCTTGCCAAGTCACATCTTCACCATTTGGTTCTCAAGTTTCTGTCATGCAGTAAACGTGCCACAAGAATAATGATCCCTCCGCCGAGAAGGCACGATCCCTATGAAGTAAGGTTGGTCGCAAGGTATTTCACGAATCCTATGGCAGAAGAACATACAGCAAATATAATCAAGGGTTGATAGCCACTCCTGCTCTCGCTTTTTATCAAAGCTCCAGCGATTGGGGTTCCAGTCAAGAAGGCGAATGCAGTAAACGTGCCAAAGGCACCAAGTCTAGCTCCAAGTCTCTCTGCGGGGATAATCTGTGCAGTTGCTGCAGGCATTACTGAGATGAGGCCACCAGAGCCGAACCCATACAAGCAGGCGAAACCGACAAGGACCCCAGGGCTCGTCGCTGGATACCACATGGCCATGCAAACGAAGCCGCAAAACAGCACCATGGGGTAGAGAAAGTTGAGCAGTCCTACACGATCAGCCACGTGACCACCTCTGATATACTCGAAACATCAGTTGAAAGGCAAATGCGGGGACAAAGAACATTTCTGGGGCACGGTCACTTACATTAAACGGCCGAGTAGACTGGACGCATTGATGAGGGGAAGTAGATACGGCTGAATCCTTGAGTTTGTATCTAAAACAGCGCAGAATGGCTCTGTGTTTGCATAGGTCAGTCCCTGGATGGTACTAGGGCTTTGGAGGGTGTAAGACTTACCTAAATAGTAAAAGGGAACATAGGTTCCAAGGTTTGAAGCAACTGCCCCTGCCGCAAGACATGCGTACCGAATGTCGAGAAACCCTCTATAGTCAAGCAGGTCCTTGATCGACTTCATTTTTCTTTTTGGATTCCCAGATGGAGAGATGGCTATGGCAACGGCATAGCATATGAGTAAAATGAGTAAACCAACGCGTATAGACCACGGGAACCCTATTCTGGGCACCAATTTTGAGAACAGCACTGGGAGGCAAACGCCGCCCAAACTGCTGCCTGAAGCAACGATTCCCATGGCCAGGGCACGCCTTTTCTTGAAGTGCTGGCCAACAACGGTTAGGGCAGGCTACGCTGCGAGTCAGTGAATTGTAAAGAGTCGACACCTGTTCTGCGGACAGTGCTGAGCAAGCTTCTGGATTTGGGGGCAACCTACCTGCACTCCGAATGCGACAGTAAGGCCAAAGGGAACAGACTGAGCGAGGAATAGCTGCCAAACGGCATTTGGCCTCGTGAAAGATGTTGCCAACATAGACAATGATCCCCCGACAGCGGCAAACAAGTAAAGCCACTAATGCAAAGTCAGAAATGCGAGCTTTCTACAGCATGTTGAAGGTTGACTTGCCTTGGAGCCGTACAAGTCAAACAGAGCACCGGCTGGCGCACCCGATAGGTACATCAACGTGATCTGCAAGGTGCCGATGAACGAAATTGTGGATGGGGATGAGTCCTGCAGGTATTCCTGTTGGTAGAAGTTCTGGAAATAGCCAAAGCTATTCACGACACCAAAAGAAGCAAAGTAGACGAGGAAAGAGCCGGCCACAGCCAACCATGCTTGCTTGCCGCCCTCTGAGCTCTCGTTGACATCTTTGCGCTGGGCTTCTCCGTCTTCTGGCTCGATGTTTGAAAGGGGAACTCCGGGCAACACACCCAGCTCTTGCTTTTCGTAACGCGATGCGCCCAGAGAGATGTTACCGTCTGCCATGTCTCAAGACAATTCGAAGAGGTAGGATAACACTGACAGAGGTGAAGCTGTACGACAACGGGGAAAAGGGCGCAGTTGAGTTGACTCGAAGCTTATGGCAGAGAAAATTCGGGGGACGAGGTACGTGACGCTGGCGTTATTAATGATGGTCTTTATCTGTTGGTACATTGTCGGGACTCTGCTGTATATCATCACAGATCATAGATTACTCTTGAGACAGGAATCAACCGCTCAGGGCCGCGGCCGATCGGACTGCTACGCCGTACCATATCCGCCGTACCAGACCGGAGGCCCTTAGAGCCAGCCTCGATACCCCAGCTACGTATATATGATGATGTCTGGGATTGTGGCCGGGGATGTCGAATCGCCTCAGGGGTGCCGCAGGATCCCCCGTAGGAGATAAGCCAATGGGAAACCCCTCCGCCCCGTAAATCAACTAAGCTTTTCTGATCATTCCATCACTTACTCCGGAGACGAACGGGGAAAAGTGGATTATTAGCATTTTAAGCATAACGATAAGTTCTTGCTGGCTTCTACTGCCAAAATTCTAAGCGTGCTCCACCTGATGCTTGGCATTTGTGGCAACAAGGCCGATGCATATGAGCATTTATGCCTTACATCTCGAATTACGCATCTTTATAGTTTGTCATTGGAATGCGGGTTGAAGACCAAAATCTTTCCTGTAAGAACCGTCAAAATATCAAATTATGCTGTTTTCCGTTTGTTTGTGCCAGGTCCGCTATCAACCAGTCGATCAGTCACGTACATCATCTAACCACTGAATATGGTAAGAATGCCTCACCAGCTCCAGAGCCGTAGAGCGACACAGCAGTGGCGCCGGCGAGGAAGCTCCGACAGACTTTGACTTTTCATTCTGTCGCAACTTTTAGGTCGTTAGTATTATAGTGGCTTCGATCATTGGTTGCACTGTAATGCTCATAGCTCGTAGCATGCTCTATTTTATGATCAATCTCCCCCTCCTTCACTCCATAATGCTTCTTCGTACTCCTTGACCAATGCGCCAATCTGTTTGCGATTGCCAAGACGGCCTCGCTGCGCCACGGTCACCAACCAATCGGAGTGTTGTCCCGCATATTCGAATTGGCGATAACCCTGGCAATTTGTCGGGGCCGTGCTGCGGGGAAAATTGACCTTGTGGTGACCTAGGTTAGACGACTTGCAAAATGTTCATGTCTGAATGGTATTTCGTGTGGTTCATTTCTCCACTACTCAACCAATATGTCTGGGTCAGACCATCTCTGCGCCGATTGTCAACGACTAAGCCTTGAAGGATTGAAAGACACATTTGATCTTTGTCACGATATCAGACCACTCTACAGAAAGGCAGAAGCATCAGATTCTACGCGATGCGACATGTGTGCTCTTGTCTGGAGGTCTTTGAGGGTCCACCGCCGAAGAATACCACTGGATGAGGATACTTATGTGACTTGGCCCGTCTCGATGTACTCCGAACGAGCCGATTCTTCATTCGAGCATGTTAGAGTCCTCGCAGCTCGTGGGGTGCCATTTCCTATGCGAATTCGAAGTGGCGACTTTTGGCATTATGATCTCGACGAAGAACCTGGATTTGCTTGGGGATCTTTGACCCTGTATAGAGGTCCAGGTACTCCAAATCTTTTCTTCCTAACTAGATGTTCTCTATTAACATTTGCAACAGGGGATTCCTGTGATCTCGGCGGAGAAAATTTCAGGCATCAACTGGTAGGACAGAATGCTGGAGCCCCGGATTGTCTTCATCTGGTGTCCTCATGGGTGGAAAGTTGTGATAAGAGCCATGGCACAGTGTGCTTCACTGGGAAGGCCAGACAGCCAACTCGGCTTATCGAAGTCGCCGCTGAGGACGGCTCTGCATCCCTGAGATTGATAACATCACCAGCCTACGCAGCCGAGAGATACGTAGCGCTCAGCTACTGCTGGGGGCAAGATCCCACGCTCCGACTCGAGATGGACAATATATCAGCGCTGCATGAATCTATTAATATGGAGAATCTCCCACAAACCATCCAGGATGCCATATCTCTCACGAGATATTTAGGCATTCGCTATTTATGGGTCGACGCACTTTGCATAATTCAAGGACGAAACAAGACGGCCAAAGCAGATTGGACCCGCGAATCCAATCGAATGCATGACGTTTACGGGGGTGCGTGGCTCACAATCGTAGCCGCCGCTGGAGCATCGTCAGATGCAGGGTTATTCGTGAATAGACCAGCTCAGGATGACTTATTCAGCAAAGGCATACGCATTCCGGTAGAATCGGGAAAGCTCGAATGTGCGGTATTGGGTCCTGCGCTTAAGATCTCACCCTTTATTACGGAACCTCTCGAAAAAAGAGGGTGGGCATTCCAGGAGTCTATCATGTCCCGCAGGCTACTTAGATACGGTACTTCGGGGATGTCGTGGAAGTGCCATAGTTGTGAATACCACGAAAATGTGACTCAGCCTCTGCAGCCGAGCAATATCGCATATTTTGCGGCAGGCCGTAAAGAGATGGCGAGACAGTTGCATGAGAGATGGACACGAGTTGTGGAATCATACAGTGCGACACATGTCACATATAAGTCCGACAGACTTCCAGCCATTGCGGGGCTTGCTGGAATCATACGTGATGAAAGTGGTATTCCCTTTCAGCGGCGCTACCATTTTGGTGTATGGGAAGATAATCTCGTGCAACAGTTGTTGTGGAGGCATGAAGGGTGCTTGATCAATGACAAATGGGTGTATGAGCGGCAGACCGACTATCGTGCACCGTCTTGGTCCTGGGCTTCCGTGGATGGCGTGGTCAACTTTTTGAGACCTGACCCTTTGGCGCCTGCAGGCAAGATCGAAACCCTGCATTTCAAAGGTTCCTCGCTTTTCTTTCGGGGGCAGATGGCTTGGGCACGCAGTCTGCGACTCCAGACCAGAGCTCAATCGACGGGGCTAGTCGAGACACATGAACCTTGGCGACACCTGGATGCCTATTTCGATACTTACCTCGACGACCTTTTATCAATACCATCTGAGCACAAAAAGACGCCCCAAGACGGGCCCCAGGAATTGATTAATGTTTGGCTCCTATTCTTGAACAAAAGTCAAGGCCTCATACTTGCCCCCTCTGTGCCCAACTCTGTGCTCAAATTGGGAGATTGGAAACTTGTCACGGACGCCGTGCTCAGCCGAAGGGACGCTGTGCTCGGCCGAGTCACAGGCTATCTAAATACTCGTAACAGTGAATCACTCGACGGCTCAAGTAAATTGGACTACGTAACTTCTAGGATGCCATTGTATCCAAAGTTAGAATTTCGAAGAATTGGAGTTTTCTCAGGGTCCTTGTCTCCCAGCGTTTGGAAGACCTACACGCGTCGGGGATGGATTGTGTAGCTGACTAATAATCACGCTGAGATATCGTAGCGTGGGATCACTGAATAACGGAATTGACTAATAATAAGCACGTACGCATTGCATCTTGCAGAATTAGGTGTTCATTTGACATTTTCGATGAGATACGAGACATCTATTCCATTGGATACACTTTGCCGCCGTTTGGTGAATGATTCTATAACTTCATGTGTCAGTCAGAACTGCACATGTGTCATTGAATACTCCATAATCCAAGGGTATGTCATACAGAACCTGTTACCCGGTATCTGTTGCCCGTCCAATATTCTTAAATACACTCAGCGACTGTATATCGTTCAACGACGCCAACAAATAGTCAGCGAGACACTTGCAATTATTTATTATTGTCCAATCCCAAGATAAGCCGAGACTGTCATACGACCGGAGATATTCGAGGGCGGCATTTGAAGTATCTTGAAGAGACCTATTGAGGGGCGTAATGACTTATTATCAATGCGTAATAACTATGATTAGTAGTTGAGTGTGCTCTCCTACTCTGCCTGCATCATGAATTGCCCTCGCCTGGTTTTCCAAACCCTCAAAGAGGTCATGTCGTATCTCCTACCAGCAGGCAGTTTGTCAGGCACGATTTGACAGTGAGGCTATAGTGGGAAACTAAGTGGTTAGTCCAGGGGAAGGTTCTGTAGTTGAAGGTTTAGCTCCGGCGACGCCGGAGCTGCTCTAGAGCACCGGCAGCGCTCTGGGGATAAATAGCAGGATCACAGCAGGTGATTTAGAGGGCAGAGATCAGTCTTGAATACACACAACCCCTATTATCACCATTACCTGGATCCTTCACTCTGTTGCTACAAGGCCCTGACACAGTTGGTCTAGAATCTGGCCGGTCCTGGCCAATGTCTTCTTCAGCGTACCACTTCCATTGTCGTCTTTTCTTATAATTATCATCTTTACAGACTTAGGTACTCCTTTCACTTTCCATCATCACGGAGAAGGACGGCTTTGTCTGCTCCTAGGCGCCTTCGTGCCTCCAGCCGTATCAAAATGTTACAAACATGCAAACCCACATCCTTGCAGGAATGATTGAAGGAAGAAGGAAAGTGACGAAGGCGCAGGAACCAGGCCGACAGGATGGCCAGGATCCCCGTGATCTTGTCAGCGTCTACCACCAGCTGCTGCCAGCTGCTTCGCAGGTTGACAGTCTTGGCCTCCGGTGATGTTGGGCTCTTAAAGCCCTGGCATCGGCAGGTAGCCCTACAAATTAGCGCGGCTCTCTGGAGACAACAATCTTTGCCTAACCATGGGTGTATACTTTGTTCGGCGGCGCGGCACATGATGTACACAGCGGCACACGGGTGGGACGACACATTTTACTGATACTCCAGTGCCAGATTCCAATATAACACTTGTATTCATCTACTTAAAAATCTCCAGTAAGACTATGAATATAGAATTATAATTTTTACAATATAGGTCAAGTGCGATTTGAGTGAGAAACGCTTTATTGAAAATACCTAACTATGTACTAATCATACATGGGGATTAGTGGGGGTGCACGTCTCTTAGCGATACGTAGTCTGCATCGCAACAGCGGATCTGGACAACTAATTTTCATAGAAATAATACATACTGCTGCCTAGTCCATTCAAGCGCAATATCGCAATAAAAACGCCTTACCTAATCTTCTTTATTTCAGCCAAGACTGAATGTGGCAGAGTAGCTGCTGTACAACCATTCATGCGTGCATCGCCTCCTCAACTGACCTGTCTTCCAAACGGGATTGGTACGGTTTCTACATTTTTTTGGGCTCCAGGCTCCGGGTAACCCTCGGGCCTGCATCATCATGTGATGTATTTTCACTGCTTTCTTAGTTCATCGCAATCTTGCGGGGGCCCAGCCTTTTGACCTTGTCATGATTCCACCCAACTGGCTGCGGTAGTTTTAGAATCAATCCGGACACAATTCCATCGTCTGAATGACCTATACTAGGCCTGCGACACTAAATTTCTCTCTGACCTGTGACAATTACTGAACCAAGGCCGGCGATGCCGGCTTCCAACTGCCAGCTGCTCTGAGATCAACCCTCCCGCAGCAACCTCGTGAGGCTAGGCATGGAACCTCCGCAAAACTTCCCGTTGCAAAGAACATCTGCGGATGCATTTCGCAATAATTCATCAAGCACCTTCAATGGCGCCGGCATTTCGAACCCGAATGGCACATTTGTCGTGGGGGGCGACATGAATATCCTCTCAAATGCCGCCCCACAGCCAACCGATCCAGAAAAAGAAAAGCAAGAGAAGAGACAGAAACTCCTCGAGTCCTTGCGATTCGACCAGATTGATGCACGACAAGACAGCATCGAAAATTCCCATGCCAAGACGTGTCGCTGGTTCCTGGACACCGATGTATACAAGATGTGGGCAGAAACGGGCTCATCTCACGCCAACAACTTTCTATGGATCAAGGGCAAGCCAGGAGCTGGGAAGTCAACGCTCATGAAGTTTCTGTACGATCAGATTCGCGCCCAAACACACCGAAAGAAATGCAATGACATCTTAATTTCCTTCTTCTTCAACGCCCGGGGCCACGGATTGGAAAAGTCAACTCTCGGTCTGTATCGCTCGTTGCTATGGCAGCTACTTGACAAAAGGCCTGATTTGCAGCAAGTCTTGGACGAATTGCGGCCAGGCTTCCATTGGACCTCTGAGTCTCTCAAGTCTCGGCTTGATGAAGCTATACAAAAGTTGGGGGGAACCCCCATTTTCTTTTTGATTGATGCGCTGGACGAGTGCGACCAAGACCAGATACGCGATATGGTCCCATTCCTGGAGGCTCTCGTCGTCGAGCAGAGCTCACTGCACGTCTGCTTCGCCAGTAGACATTACCCTCATATTACTGTTCAGACAGCCCTTGATATCATTCTCGAAGAACGCGACGGCCATGAGCAGGATATCTCGACGTACCTGACCAGTGCGCTGCGGATCAAGCCCAACGAGCTTGCCGAACAGTTACGTACGGAGATACAAGAGAAAGCGCACGGTGTTTTCATTTGGGTTGTACTTGTGGTGAAGATTCTGAACAAAGAGTACGATGCTGGGCGCAAGTATAGCCTTCGAGAACGGCTACAAGAGCTCCCTAGTGATCTTCACCACCTATTCCGAGATATTTTGACCCGTGATAGCAACAACCGAGCAGGTCTTCTTCTGTGTATCCAATGGGTCTTGTTCGCCAAGGAACCGCTCACCCCACGACAGTTACACCTCGCGATTTTGTCCGGCACGGAGCCGGAATTTCTCCCTCGCTGCCACTCCGAACTCATTTTGGAAGACGACGTGCAAAAATACATCTTAGACAACTCAAAGGGGCTTGCTGAGTCAACTCGATCCGAGGTTCCGACGGTCCAGTTCATTCATGAATCGGTTAGAGACTTTTTGCTCAAAGGGAAGGGCCTCGGTGAATTGTTCAATGGCCCTGAGCCAAATATCCACGGGGAAAGCCACGAAGCGCTTAAGAACTGTTGTCTAACATACTTGGGCATGGAACCACTTGTTGAACTCGACAAATACTCTTGTAGCGAAGCCCTTCAGGCATTTCCATTTCTAGAGTATGCTCATTCCAGAGTCCTACACCATGCTGACAAAGCCGGGCAAAATGGCATCGGTCAGGAACAGTTCCTTTCCATCTTCTCACGGAGACAATGGGTGAAACAGCACAATCTTCTAGAAAAGGCTGGGTTGCGCCGATACACACCCAACGCGAGTCTCCTGTACATCTTGGCGGAATCGGGTCTGTCAGAACTGATTCGTGCCCACTCATGCCGCCAGTCTTGTTTCGAGATTGAGGGCGAGCGCTATAGGGTACCGATTCTGGCGGCACAAGCTTCGAGTCATGAGATAGCTGTGCAGGTGATGCTCGAGCTCCAAGCTGAACGAATTCCGGGTTTTGATTTTGCGGACTTCTGCAAACGGTTTAAATTAGCTGGAAGACCAAAGTCACTTCGTTTGAGTCGATCTTACGAATTTTCGCAAGGACGGAAGTTACTTGAGGAGCTCATCGAATACGCAGACAACCAAGTTTTACTATTCTTCCTTGAAACAACAGGGGAATACTCACAGTACACTGCCTCAACGCCAGACGAACTATTTCTTCTCGCTTGTGCACATCAAAAATTCGATTCAGCCAAGTTCCTTGTTCAGCATTGCGCCAGTCGAACGAATGCTGGTGGTGTAAATACGCCATTGCACCACGCTTTAGCACATAGAGCTCTCGAAATGATCGTATTCCTTGCCTATCGTGGGATTGGCCTATCGGCTACCGACAAGTATGGCGATACACCAATTCACATAGCTATTGAAAACGATTACTTTGAAGTGGTCCAGCTGCTTCTTCAAAATGGTGCTGATCCATCGGTTGCCGGCAATAATGGCAATACACCGTTATATCAAGCT